GACGAGCCGTAGGAGAATGCGGGCATCTCAAACGTCATCTTAGAATCCCATGACAAACCAGGGCTCCTCTGGCACCCTCGCTCCTTGCCCTACAGTGATCGTCGATCGTGCTTGAAAACATTCACCTCTTACCGGACCGAACCGTGCGCTCCAGCCTCTGAGGCGTGGAGAAACACTTGGGTGCAAATGAGACGCAAAGTGGCCGAAGAGGACTCTCGTGTAGCGAGTGCTTGAGGTATTTGGGGGTTGTCGCATAGCCCTTCCTTTTCTATTTCGACGGAACGTACCTCTTGGCCCTGGCCGTCAGTCTCTCCTTCCCTGTCCCGGGGACTTTGGGTGCTCTTCACTAGTAGTGCGCTTTCCTCTTGCCCATCACTGGCTGCTCGGACAAAGAAGCTAGCAAAGCATCCTTCAATCCTATGTTTCACTTCTTCCCTACCCACACCTTCTCCTAAGCCTGTGAACAATGGCTTGTACGCCCCACGAAATCGTAGAGATACGTTTCGAGCCTCCCTACTCTGTCCCATCTTTGAGGGAAGGCGGGCAAGAGATATATGGTGAATATAGGGCCGAATGCACGCAGCGACTAGAATATATCTAATCAGTTTTCAACGGCAAGCCCATGTTGCCTTAAGTTGACCTCCGGCGACTGGTGTCAGGGTCTCTACAAACGATCTTCGGCCCATCACAGCTCCCTAAGGCCATGCCGAGTGAGCTCGTTGGGTTCCGAGATAGCTCGAGGACTCGTTCTAACCGCCTAGAGGGCATCTTACTTATCCGATTGAAGGACCGGTTGCCGTTCCCTTCACACCGTTCTCTCAGATGGTCGTGACGAAGGGCCACAAGACTTTCATATAAGCATCCTGGTCAGGCGCGCCCTGATGGATGCACACAGGATGGCGGGGCGGGTCAATAAGTCCCCGTCTTGGCTAGATAACCGATGCTATGTAGGTGACTGATGGGCATCGAAGAAGAAGCGCTTCCGAGATAGGAGCGCGCTTTGCCAAAACCTCCACACACAGTCCCTTGTCCATACAAGTCCTCGACCATCTTTTGCCCTTTTCCGCAAGGGAAATTGAAACAGGAGGGGTGAGTGTATATGTGAGTAGGTAAAGGGAGCGCGAGAGAGAATCTCATCGGAAGCACACCGTTACTACACACAGGCTATGGCTAGATGGGCAAATCAGTTCATGCGTAGTTATTCAAGGCCTTTTTCTCCTTGCTTTCCTACCTCGGCGGCTGATCTGATTGAAGCTAAGTAAACCCGCGCCGCAAATGCTGGATGGCTTTTCATCGAGCGTCGCTTGATGTTCTCAAGCAACCGCTATGCGGCAGGATTAAAGAACTGCCTGATACATGCCATGCAACGCTTCCTCGCGAGTGCCATTTCAAAACGTCTTCACTTTCGAAGGCGTGGAGGCATCTATCACGAGTGGCGGGCCGCTGGGATCCCGTCTTATCGCCTCGACAAATTTCGCGCGCCCCTCCTCTAGTGGAAGGACCATTCCAACTAGGGTTAAGGGAAGAATCACGAGGCATCGCGTTCTCGACCCCGCCTCGGAAGTCACAGAAGAGGTCCCGCCAAATCTCCCGAGGGTAGTGCTGGGGGCGTTAACCTTTTTCTTGCACCCTGCAATCCGCCGGTTGATCCTGAACCGAGAACAATGCGATTGGCCAGTTAGGCTTAAAAGGAGGAGGATGGAAAACCAGTCTTCGAGCCACTTCGCGCCTCCATCAGCTTCGTTTAGAGACGGACTGTCGGAGGCGCATTGGCTTGCGGGGCCGGCAGCTGTTGGTCGTGTCCTCCTCCACAAGGCCTGCCAGGGATGGGCCCAGGGGAAACCGGAAATTATTAGGCAAAATATGGCCTGGTCCAATCTTTGGCTTTGCTCCCTCGGGGCCCTCGGAGGGTGTTACGCCATGGAGAGGAGGGCGTTTCTGCTATGCTCCTTCCCCCATACTGCCGATGGTGGTGGCTGATGAACGAATCCCACGGCCAAGTCATGAGACCAGGGAGAGTAGATTGCGCGGGAAAGGGAGCTGCGATTATCCATGGACTCCCCATATATTCGGCGAGACGATTGATTTCTAGACCGTGCTAATGACCTATCAGGACGAGGGAGAGTGAGGTGCACCCCAAACTCGAGGGATGATGGAGGAAGTTGTTGCAACTTGATCTTGTCAATTGAGAAAAAGTGGAACGCAGTGACCCTTTAGTTCGGCGGGGCTTTGATTTCTCGTCCAATCAAGAGAATTCTCGTTTTCAATTTTGGCCAATCATTATGAATATAACCATCTGCTTGTTCTGGTTGGATAATTCAATGTCCCACAATTCCTTCATCGCGTGTGTTAGTCCCTTTTCTTCCAGGGAGACGCTCCCTGCTCCAGAGACGTGAGATGGTCAGGTTGAATGCATCGAGCAAGGGTATTGCTTTGGGGTCGCATCCTCGGGCCATCTAGGATGAGGGGCTCGAGTTCTCAAGATGATATGGGTGATGGATCGAGAAGGCGACGGGATAAAACCAAAATAATAGGCTCACACAGGTTTGCTTCTCTTGGCCCTCGAGCCGAAAGACAATGGCCCCCAAACCCCCGCCGCCCTCCCCTTTCAAGGTCCTCATGTCTATGGACTGAGTGGGTGTGCACGCCCTCTCTCTGTTTTGAGCAGGAGTCCGAGCAAGATTTTGCTCAAAGCAGCACGGCTGGTTCGGTTGACCAAGGTGGGGGTGTCAGGGTGTCCATCCCTGTCCTCATCTTGGAAGGAGGCTAACTCAAGGGCCTGAGGCAATGTGATTGAGGTCATCAATGGTTATTTAGACGGCCGCTGATAGCGGCCTCTGCCCTGGCTGAATACGGACCTACGAAGTGTGTACATTCTACTACGCCTCATCATAGGTACCCCCATTAATACATTACTGACCCGGAAAGTTGAAGTCGGTTTGAAGCAACCGCCTCAGGCTTCAAACGCGAATATAAACCTGAGGTGTTTGATTGTTGACACCCATGCGATGTGAACGGTGCGCATCCCCACCTTGACTCCGAATCGCCATCCGAGGAAGCCTACATGTATTCAAGCCATCATTGTAACGATTCATCTCGAAGGAGGATCTGGCGTAGGGTATGCATAACAGCCTCGTCACTGTACTTCGAGCACCAAATTTCCTGCAGGCCACGGCCTGAAGAAGCGTCTTCCCCAGCTTCGGCGAGTCAGGAACCCATGATTGATGGGTGGACTCCAATCTAAGAGTATGGAGGGGAGACGAGACAGGCGCGGGCCGTTCTTTGGCCGAAAAAAAAAAAAAGAAGAAAACCTGCAACCGACTAGGATGCAGCCGAATAGAACCAGCCAAGAATTGTATAGTTGGTCGGGGCATCGTCCATCAGGATAGTATAGACCTCCAATGCTCAAGCGAGTCGATCGAATGAGAAGTGATTACCCGAAAACCGCAGCCGCCCACCGACCTCCTCGTCTTTCAACCCCTTTTCAAGAGAGAAATCGATCCGCTTAAAAGATTTCTCAAAACTTTGATTGCCTAACGTCCACAGCATGTGAGTTCTTCCAGTAGAAAGAAGAAACACGCCAAGAGCGGACACATGACGCTTCTAAGGGCGCTGATCCTCTCTTCAACAGCTGAAAAGCGGAGGCGGCTCGGTATCTCTTTGATGTCTGCCAACCTGTGGCTGTGAAGCCACAGAACTATCTGAGAAACCCCGAGCCTGACGATGGGCAAGCTGAAGGGGCTTCGGACATTTTTTGCGAACAGCATAAATGTCAGATATCGCAAGGCGTGGATCCGGACGAAGTGGCAGCTACGGCTATGCGGCTATCTTCCACGATGGAGAGATCCATGGGATGGTTGCATGCGTGGCCCGGGTTGCTTAAATGCCATTATCGCAGGGCTGCAAAAGGGCTTTGAGAAGCCACTAAAACTCATATTATCTGGTAAACGAGGCTATGGTGGCACCAGCATCCCCTCCTTACCTTTCCTCGGGTTAGCTCTCACGCCAAACAACTTCATATATACCGAGGTCTATCCACTCTCCCGAATTGCGGGGACCCAATATGGTGAACGGCGTCGTTTATCAATCTCCATTGTTTGGTCCTTCCTCAGCTGGCAAAGCGGAGGAAAAGGGCCAAACATATGAGGCTGCCGGCTTCTAGGGCTGGAGCCAGCATGGTGGCAAAGACCCCTTGCTTCTCTATCTAATTATACGTCAACTATTGCTCGGATCTACTCACTTCTCTTACCCAGAAGCATTTCGTTAGGGGCTGATCGCTCACACCGGGCGAGATCTATGGTAAGGACCGGCCCGTTTGGCTTCAGTAGACTGTGGTGCATGGCGGTGCGATCCCCGGAACTGACGGGTAACCAAATCCTGCAGCCAGCATAGAAACGGCGGGACTGCGGGGGCTCTCAGTCATGTGAGATCCTTGGGAGAACTGGCAAAAGCCTGGTTTGTCAGAGACTCAACATGAATGATCAGGGCTTCCCTTCCATTTGGGGGGGTTCAAGAAAGAAGAAAAAGAGGGGGAAAAAGAGCAATCGTTATTGATGGGCCTCATTGACCATCCACTTGGTAATACTTGAAGAGTCAAGAAGAGAGCTCAGATGCATTGATAATACCACCTTCGTCCCTAAGCTTGGATTTAAAAAAAAATACATATAAACACCTTCCATAGGGCATCAGTTTGTCAAGGAACGGCGAGGATGCGCCTGGGCTTCCCAAGTACCTGCTTGTACCCCCGTCACTGACCTGTAACTTGAACCTGTGGCATTGTGTAGACTATATTGTTCCTCATCCTCGAAGCTTCGTCACATTGCCCTGATAACCCCATCCAGTCTTGCCAGTCTCTCGAGAAGTACAGGCACGCCTCCCCCAAGAACACTCCGTCAAAACGACTGGAGGTCTCTTCCCGAGTCCAATGGCCCCTGCACAACGCTGACACCCCAACACCCCCAAATTCAATCAGCAATGAAATACCACCCTCCCCTGTCAGCATGGGGCCCGAAACGGATATCATCACTGGGCTCACCCTCTCCGGCACATTACGATCCCTGCTCAAGCAACAAGTTCAGGTACATGTACTCCGCGCTGGTTCTAGCCCGCTCCTGGAAAGGTGGGCCCCGATGGGCAGGGATGGATCACAACCGCAGAGAAAGCTCCCTCATTCCTTCCCTTTCCCGCATGGCGAAGTGAGGAAAGAAACTGTGTCGCTTTCGCTTTCCCACTCTGTCCTGTCTCTTGTCCTCACCTCCTGAGGCAATGTGCGAAGTAATCAGTTCGAGCCCGTACGAAGTAAAGTAGTTGTAGTATTTGATTTGATTCAGGTCTGGTCCATGCCCTCGCATGCACGCGAGCGTAGAGGCTCCTTCTCTCCTGCTTCCCCCAAACCCGTCACCTGCTCCAGCCTTGAACCACCCATTACTGGGTGGTCAATGATATTGTGCATGCCTCCCACAGCTGGATACAAGTACATCGATCCGTCCCACCCTTTTCCGAGCGAACATCTCTCGACCGGCTCCTGCCTGTAGCATTGTCGAGAAGTAAATAGTTCGAGGTCCCCATCAACAGCCTCGCCCTTCTCTATCTCGTGCGAAATCCTCTGAGGCAGCATAACGCTCGAGATCAGCGCTGCATCAAGACACCTGCATTCTGCCGCTCTCTTGCTTTCAGAGCCGACCAAGACAAGACGTGCCTCACCTTGGCTTTCAGAAAGGATCCATCGTTCAGTTCTGCCATCTTCCCGACTCCCGCGGACGTTCGGCTCGTTCTAAAGCAGGGCCGAACTATCGGCCCTGAGGGGGAAGTGTACACCTCGTTAAGCGCCTTGCATCGCTAATTATCACGGGTTGTTGAGCGAGTTCGCTGCGAGGTGCGAGGCCTGTTGTCTGTTTCGGCCACCCTCCTGCACTCTCATCCCACCCTTCCGCCAGAGAGGATCGCGAATATCCGCCTCTAGGCCTCAGTACATGGCCTTGGTCCTTGTCCCCAACTCCGCCAACCGTGTTACACCACTGACCCGAAAGTATCCCGACCTTGTCGTTCGCGCCTGTTTCTGTCCGGTGCCCTGACCCATTGCTCTCGGCAACACGCCGGAAGGGCTTCTCTGAAAGTTGCGGGTGGTGACAAAACTACTCTGCACCAGATCCCGCATTTTTCTAGCTGGGCTAAGCCGTTGGATTCTCGGGATCTGTTCTTGGACACCTCTTTCTGCATCTTCCCACTTCGCTACCACTTCCCTACTTGGCTGTGGTGGCTAGGGCGATGCACAACGCAATGATCGGGACCGCGGAGATGGACCAGGACTCTCATCCAAGCCAGGACAACTCGCAATATGGTGCTGGGCCAAGCTGGGTCGACGTTAATTTTGGCCAAACCTCTCTACCGGATTATGGCAACTTTAGCTATATGCCGACAGGCTTACCATCGGAGTCGCTCTCAAGGATAGCACCCTCGCCGACTCAGATCCAACCTCATCATCAGCAACCTCAATCACAGGCCGGATCGACCCAACAGTCCCCGCAGACCTCTCATCACCCCCAATTGCCAATGCTAATCATGCCTTCCCACGCATGGCCTAGCATGTTAACGAATCCTGTGACATATTCCACTGCTTCAATGGCGATTCCTGCTGTAGCGCCCACGCCGGTGGTCGCGCCTGCCCCATCTCAGGCAAAGCCATCACGACCAACCACTTCCACTCCCCGCCGTACCTTGACAGATGATGACCGACGCCGAATGTGCCGTTACCATGAGGAAAACCCCACAGCTAAGCAGCTAGATATTGGTCGAATGTTCGGTGTTGAACGGAGGCAAGTTACATCCTTCGTATTCTATAAGAGCGGTGCCATCTAACTTATTGACTTTGCAGTACTGTCTCGAAAGTTTTGCGCCAAAAGGACAAGTACCTTAACCCTGAAGATAGAAGTGTTTCCCGGTCAAACGAACCAAAGGAAAGCTTCCGGATATTGAACGAGCTTTAGCGGCGTGGGTGCGCAAAGCCCAGCAATCCGGGATGGAGATCACGGATAGTGAGATTTGGGAAAAGGCTCGGCACTTCGCTCACGGGGTGAGTGGCGGAGACCAGGTCCAAAAGCTCGGGAGCTCTTGGCTGGAGAAGTTTAAGCAGAAACATGCTATTGGAGCGCCAAGGTTGGCAAGGCGTGCATCAGAGACAAGCGTGCCCAGTACTGCAGGGAAGCGATCCGTAACCTCACCCTTGTTATCCCATACACAAGGCGTGAATGGCATCTCTCCGATTTCGCCCATTGCGCAACCATCCCCTCTCTCTGGCACGAGAAGTGATGATGAGCTTAAGGACACGGTCAGCACCCACATCTATGGGTTTCGGCCGGATAGTTTCAAGAGGGGTAACAACCAGAGCACGACATCTTTGTCGAGCGCGTTCACCGATGCGGGCACCTCGTCCTTCTCAAGTAGCGCAGTGAGCCCTACAGGGCCCTTCGCCTTCTCCCTGATTCCGCCGTTGGCGGCTTTCTCTCATCAGATCACCGTCATCTCTGGCGGCGCCGACCCCCACTTCCAGAGACCTCGTAGCCAGACGTTCCCCACGCTAGACATCGAATGCTTGAATGGCTCGACTAGTAATCCCGAGCCTGCCACGCCAAAGTATGCAATTTCATCCACGGCGCCCTCCTCTGCCTTGGAATCCCCGGACGAGACCTCGACTCGCGCCACTTTGGATTGACCTCGATAATTACTTCTTCCCCTCAGCTTCATCATAGCACTAGCAACGGTAGTCTCCACTCCAACACGGTAAGCCTGTCCGCAAATCATTTGATGTCGCCACCGTCGCCACGTGGCGGGTCAAGTGCCAGCTCCCCAACCCTCGAGGATGCACGAAAAGGCCTCGATGTCGCGCTCAACTACGTGCAGAAGTCAGTACCGCGGTACGAGGAGAAGGACCTTATGGCCGTCATCCGGTTCTTTGAGGGGGTCGGTTTGCGACAATGCGCGCAAAATATGAAAGGCAATGGCACCTCGATGCAATCGCTCAGCGGTTTAAGCCGAATCCCCGAAGGAGGGGAGGTTGAAATGACCAATGCGCCCCCTACCACCTCTGCTAAGTTGGAAACTATGATGGTATAGTCGGGCATCCGAAGAGTTCCACGAGGGCGGGAGAAACTAGAGTAAAAGACTCTAGCAGCATTGCCGGAACTATACTTGTACCGTTGGTGGCCTTTCCCCGGTCCTTGTGTGTCCTTCAACGGCCATGCTCCCTTTGGAGAGTTAGAAAACGTCAGAACGCGCGAGGTAACGACGGCGGAGGCCGAGGTTGGCTGGGCCCTTTTGTCTTGCCTGCCAGACTAGAGTGGCTCTTCACAGACAGATCTCGCTCACGCGACCATCGGGAGCATGGAGTTTCAGCCGCCTTTCTTTCTTTTCCTTTGTCTTTGGTTAAATTACCAGACCAACCCTTTGCCGCAAGGCTTCGGAATGATTTCTACCTCACAGGCGTCTGGTAGCGTTCACCATATTTTCTTTGTCCATTTCTATGAATTCGTCTCGTTTCCTTTCACTTTCCTTTTCCCCATTTTTGTGCACGCGGTACATATTTCGCATCTCCTTGGCTTCGGTTGTTTTTATAAGCGGAATACTCATGTAGGACAGAGGAGCGCATCTGTTCGTTCTGAATTTAGGGATCCGGCTGAACTCCTCTGTATTGGCTCGGCGAGGGTAGGGGCTTTTGGGCATACGGAAAGGATAACATCTATGGATATAATGGGGATACAATGAGGCTCGGGTCGAACAGAGCCAAACTAGACCGCGAGGTCTCCACTAACTATGGGGTCGTTTTTCCTTCGAGTTCTGGGGTTTAGTTTTTCCTTTTTCATGTTTTTCCCAAGGAAGACTCTTGAGATCCGTCAAGTTCTTCGGGGATTTTGTTGGTTTGTCCAAATCCCTTTCCGAAATGTCCATATCTTGGCTTTACTCTTTTGGACTTGGAGTTCACCAGGAGGATGAAGCGGAGGGAGCGGAAGAGCAATGAACAGGGGGAATTACAAGAGGGAAGAACAAACCCTCAAAAAACGCCAGAAAAAAAGAAAGAAAAACATTGGGCGGCTATCTGTATTTTTAACTACTTCTTTTCGTCTGTCATACCTGCTTCTCCTACCTAGCCTTATTCTTGTTGCCCTACTCTTTTCTTCCTTTCTTTTCTAATGTTTTTTTCTCTCTCTCTCTCTCTTTTCCCTCTTCTTATCCATTATTTTACTTCCTCCCTGTCGCTACTTCTTTGATTGGATATCTCAAGCAAAATACAATGAGTGCCAAACCGGTTGAGCTGATGCGACAAGGTCATTTGTGAAACTTGCGTTCTCGAGATCATAATACTTGAGAAATGCTGATGGGAAAAAAGGTGGCATTTGCCAATGTCATTACGATTACATAGTAGGGGGTAAATCCTCTGGCACTCTATGATATACAGGCTGGTAAGGAGGAAATAGGAATGAATGCCTCATCGGCGGCCATTTTAGCTGAGCCTGTCTTCCCACAGCTCTGAGATTGGTTTCTCAGCTAGCTCCGGCAACAGGCGGATCAAGACCAACTCGAGGACACCGTACATGAGGTGTTTGTTGCAGTACTCATCGGCAAAAATATCAAGAATAGCATCGTCCACGGCATCAACTACCTCGGCGTCGACCCCGTTGGCGTGATGCGGAGAAGACGGGGTTTTTGGTGGACGGCCGCCAAAATAGAGCGAAGTGAGCCACGAGGGCGCGAGAGAAGCGAGGGACGCGGCGGTGCGTCGACGGAGAGCAAGGAGCTGCTCGTCCGAGGTGGGGGAAAAGGGAAGGCGTGCCGGGTGCGTTATTTGGGAAGAGGGCGGCTCTGAGGGTGCGAAGTAGCGAGGGTAGGCGCGCAGGGTCGAGAACGCGGTCATGAAAGAGGTGGGAGAGTGTCCTGCAGAGGAGGGGTTTTCGGTTAGCTACGACGACAGGCTTGCAGAGGCGAGCAAGGCGGCAAGCGCAAAGAGGCAAAAGTATCCGGAGATGGGAGCTAAACGTGGGGATGGGCATGTCGATGAGCGAGGAGATGATGGGCCGCGTGGGGGTCAACGTCTAAGTGGGCAGATGGAAAGGGAAGCGAGGGGCTACGAGGGCCTGCCGTGGGCGGCCAGCAGGGCAGGAAGCAGGCGCACCCCATCAGGCTCGGAAGACGGACGGAGTTGCAATTGGGCTATGAAGATTTCGAGCACGAAGCGGTGCTTCCAACTTGGCGGCAAGGAAAAGAGATGTGGAATGAGAAGGTGAGAATAAACGCGGCAGAGTTGACGTGCGCAGTGCGACCCGAGTTTCGTGTCAGCAGCAGCATCGAACTGTTCGCGATTGATTATTCACGCTCTTCCTTTTCCAACCGATAAAAAGAGCCGACACAAGGGGTGAGGGGTCAACGTTAGTGGCAACGTGCCTCAATCTTCTGGCCAGCGAGCAGGCGATTCCCCGTGGATGCATATCACGAAAGGGAGGAGGAGGAATGTGGAGGTTGTGTGAGGGAGTCTTTCATGTCTTGCCAAGTACCGCTCTGCGGGACAGAGACTAGAGCCATGTACCGATACTTTGCGAGGGTGCTCGGTGCAAAGACACGAGAAAAGAAATGCGACTGGCACAGTTGGTGTGGATCCAGCAGCCAGAGATGGGGAGGGGGTGTGTATTTGATGCGGTAATGGCAACTTTCCATTCACCAGGGTCCTGTGGAGGAGAGAGGGGGAGGGGGATGGAAAGGGGAGGGGGAAGGGGAGAGCAAAAGCAGCTTTGCTGCAGATTGGGGAGCACAGAGCGTGGTGGCCGACATCCGCGACCCTCCATCAGAAGAGGGAAGCTTCATTCTTTGTGGAGGAGTTTGTCTGGGGCGTTCGGGGTTTGCAAACAGCAGCACGGGCGAGGCTAGGAGCTTGCCGACTCGACCCGGGACAACCCCCCTCACCCCCGGGCGCTGCACATGCTCGATATCCACACTGCATTTCGAAATGTTTGGACTGTCTGAGGCTTGCCTCTTGACTCAGGCGCCGAAACTTGCACCACAAATCGAGTGCGGGCGGTGGTAATCAAGATGTGTGATGAAAATGCCACGCTATCGATTATCGGGCAGAGAAGGGGCTTTTTTGTTTTGTGAATCGTGTGGGAAGGGTGAGCGGGAAGAGCGTGAGCCAACCAGGATGGCGAGTCTTGGCCGCCGCAATTGCTCCGGCGCGTAAACGCTGATGCTGCTGGATTAGGCGGTAGCGGGTCAAACTCGGCCCCCAGTGCGCCAGGGAAGCGAACCCGGCGATTTCGGGTTACGATTGGCCGAGACGCCCTTTCGCCGAGGAAGCAAGGAGACTAAACGGTTATGCTTGAGCTCCCGGGGGCGGAAGGAGGGGAGGAAAAGGGGATGGGAAGAAGGGGGGGGCGTGGGGTAAAAGAGCCCAGCTTTTTCTTGTTTCTCCGTTCAAAGGAGCTGGTAACACTCGTTCTTGGGCTTCACGGATGTTCTCCTCTCTCTTTCCACGGGTTATTGGCTGGAAATATTGAACAGGAGCGGTCGCGCAACGGCCTGGTTCGCTGGAAACTCCCGCTGCGGAAAAGCCCGCCACCAATCGCTAGTAAAAGTCGTTGTCAGGAGAGCAACTCTCGCCTCGAAGATTGGCTCACTCGGGCCGGCTGCAGCTGACAATCCACACCACACCCTAGGATCAAACACTCGCTGGCTGGGTCCGCCGCTCTGAGCAAAGAAAAGAGAGCTCACGTGCATGGATGTGCCGCCTTCTTGGATACAAGCGTTGGCCAGGAGAGGGCAATCTCAGGCATTCACTGGAACAATCCTAAGCCCAGTGACCTCGCCCGCATGCGACATCCTTGCAATCCTTCCAGGAAACGGAATCAAGCGAGGGGGGCGGAGGGAGGCAAGAGTGTCTGCTAAACCAAGGGTAGGGCATGAAAAGGAGATAAAGGGCGCGACATAGATGTTGCTTGGGGGAGGGGCTTACCTATCCATAATGCGATCTACATCCCCGATCCTCCATGGGCCCTCCAATAGTCCGAGCTGGAACAGTGCCAAAGCTCCGGCTGACCAAGGCATACGACTCTGGAGCTCAATCAAGTTGCCAATACATGTCCAGATCCGAAAGCCCACAAAGGGGGCTCTAACCTGGTCAACTTCAGCCGAATCCGCATTCGTATCGTCCGTTGTGTCTTGACTCGTCAGATCTCTCTTTTCGCCAGTTATGCGGCTCGTTCTTCGCGGAAATGAAGAGGCGGTGGCTATCGTTGTGACGAGAAACCGGATGGAGGTGTACGCAAGGAACACCCAATGGAGAGCGGAAAATAGCAGGCCTTGAAAAGAAAAACCCTGTGCAGCTGAGGCGGAGCTCGGCTTAGCATCTCCTCGCTTCTTGCGGCGCCTCTTCGCCTCGGTCGCGTTTCGAGCGAGGATAGACATGCCTTCCCAAAGCAGCCATGGCTGGGAGGCCTTGTTCGCAATGACGTTGCCAATAATCATTTCGGATAGTATCGCACCGACGAGGGACGTTAGACAGGGATTCTCGAGGTCTTCCGTAGGCAATAGAATTGCAAGGACGCCCTGGACGAGAAGCTTCCTGTACGCCTTCTCATTTTCAGTTTGGAGTTCCAGCGTCTCAGGCGATCCTGGATCGGGCACGGGAGAGAGGTAGGGGACCGGGCAAAGCGAATGATAGACCTCGCGAGGGTTCACCTCAACTGGTGGCCGCGCTATTGGATTTCGGGCGGCACGACGGGCTGGCATGGTCGAGACAGCCTGTTAGTTATTGCAGAAGGAGATAAGGAGCGGGGCAAGAAGAGTGGAGGGTGTAGGGTGAAGGGGCAGCGCTGTGCAGAGTATGGAGAGGAGTAGGAGAAGAGGAGGGGGAGGGGGTGCATTGGACCGGCTTTACCAGTGATATGTCTATCAAGAAGGTCCGGAATTTCGTCGAGGAGTAGGCTCTCGAGGTCGACCTTCCGAAGCCGTTGTTCTAGCGCTCTTGTGATGTGCGCAATTATTTGCACAATCTCCGCCACAAAGGTCTCGTCCGGGGTGATCTTGCTGTACCAAGCTTGCACAAATTCCTTTAGAACAACTGCCAGAATGGCATAGAGCTGGAGGTCGACGTCATTTCGGCTGGTAAGAGGGGGTAGCAGCTCATCTATCGGGCCTGCCGCGTTCCTATTCGTGTCTCCATTCTGCTGGGGGCAGAGAACGCGGCGGACGAATGCGGTCGTGGCCTTGTCGGAGAGGTAGTCGGATGGGCTACTGCGGGCAGATCGCCGAGACACCGGCGCCGGCGCGCCTGCGCCTGCGCCTGCGACCGAGGCGTGCGAGGCAGTTCTGGATTGAGGAATCGGGTTTGGTGCGGACGGGCTCCGAGGGGCGGTGGCGGGCACTGCCATGGCGACCTTGGGCAGGCACCCTACGCGGCCATAGCACGAGGAGTGCGGCGCGGTGGTGGGATGAGGTGTTGAGCCCGGGTCGATGGTGGTGTGTTCCTGAGGAAGAATATCGCCCCTCGTTATCTGCTGTGCTTTCCTGCCTCGTGCCCTCTGTTCAATTTTATTCCCCTTCTTCTTCCCTTGATGTTCTCCCGCGCAGACGTTTTTGTCGGCAGCACGACGGAGGCGAGATGGCGCCGGCGAATGTGGACGCGGAATCCGATCTGGGCGGTGGAGGAGCTGGGCTGGAATGCGCACGTGTGGTCTGGTCTGGTGACGCTGGGGGACAGATTTGTCACTATCAAGCACTGCAGGCGTGGATGACTACAGTGGGTAGGATAATCTACCACGCAGACGCTTCAGGCTACTAATAGCTGCACCCGCAATGCAGCACAGAAAAAGCGGGCCCTCAACTTCAGCAGCAATTGATCAATTTGATGCAAGGCTGTAATAGCGAGGGGCATTTCGTGCGCCCACACAAGACGACCGCTGCAGCTGGCCGTAAGCCTCGTGGCTCAAGCTCAATATTCGCAGCACACAACTCACAAGCCTATACATGAAGAATGACGAGGTTTCTTTTTCTTGTTTCATCAACAAGAGTGAGTGGTTTATCAGAATTGTCTATATCCCCGTCTTCCGCTTCCCCCTTAGAATAAAAACATGGTAAAATACACAGAACGGACATGGGGGCCACTAAATCTAGGCATGGTCCGAGTCTTTACACAAAGTTTGAATACGAAGTCCGTCCGCCAAGGCGTCGGGAATCTTCTCTTAAGCGTCCTTGCTGGCCGTCTCGTACCTCTTGCCTCGGAAGGCCCAAACACCCCAGTTTCCACAGCTTACATCCTGGGGATCCAGGTCGTTGAGGTCCCATTTGAGGCTTCGGAACATATTCTCGCCGGGCTCTAACAGCATGTCGAATTCCCCTCGGGCCGTGTCGTGTATCCAGTCGATATCTCTTTGCATATCGAATTGCGTGTATCCTGTGCAGATGATGGGAATTTTGGTCTCCAAGAGCATGGGTAGGGTCTCGGTCCACTCGTGGCTACTGGCGGGGTGGCCGAGGCCAGGATGGAATAGGACGAAGCAGTCAAAGTACGGGTCATAGGGAGCGAAGTAGCCAGTCTTGTGGATGGTGTGGTAGTAGTCCACAATCGTGCTGATCTTCATGTTTTGCGAGACGCGATCCTCGATCACCATACCAAAGGGGTTTGAAGGAGTTCGCTCCGGTAGGGGAAACTCGTCATCGCGGTTTGCCATACTTTCCGGCCCGATGAATACGAGATGAAGTCTGGACTCGGGGAACAGGTGCGCCAACTCCATCCACGCATTGCGGGGCAGCGACGACTCGGCCCGAGCACCGAGGATGAAGAGCCTCATGGCCGGGGGCGTAGGACGGAGACCCTTGATATCCGTTCCTCCTCCGGTCCTAGGCGGGTGAAGTGAATAGCGCAGGGCTACAGGTGAAGAAAAAGGGAGGTTAGTCACGACAGGTGGCGCACGTACGGGTCATGGGGGCAAAATTAGACATACCACTAAAACTCTTCAAGCCCTCTGTAGTCAGCCGGTTCCGGACGTTATACGGTGACAAGTCATGCAAGACGCTGCCGACGGTGACGGGATAGGTCAAGAGTCTCGTGGCATGCCGCATAGACCTATCCTCGTTGATTGCGCTGTACCGCCGGGAGTACATGAACGCATCCCAGTTGGAGAGGTTGACCACGGCTTCGGGAAGTTGATCTTCGCCAAACTGGAATTCCGGAAAGACGCGGCCGGACCTCAAGTCATGTTCATCTTCGTTGATTTCACGTAGGGTATCGCAAATCTCAAGATGCGCCTCGTAGTCACTCATCCAATGGCCCTCGCTACAGTAGACGGGAACACCGCAGTCTGGACACTCAAAGTTCACGTGGGCCGGCGCTAGGTGTCCGCCTTGCTTTGCCTCCTCGTCTTCCTTGGGCGCCACAGTCGGCAACCGAGTCAATCGATGCTCCGGGTGGGGGCAATAGGCGTGTTGCTTTATGAACTCGGCCTTCCTTCGCATTTCGGGTAGAGGCGATGTCGAGAGAGGGTGAAAGAGGTCATTCGGCTGCAGCCGAGGCTTCCCACTGTGCAAGTCGGACCCATCGGAGGACGCCGTAGCTTCCCTCAGGGTGGTTCGTGTTGACGAAATCGATCTGATCGTAGACTTGTGCGGTGCGGTGAAGCCTGACGGGGTGGCAGGCCCGTGAAGTTGTTGTCGCGCAGAGTGGGCTGATGCGAGCGTCCTTGTGCCGCCGACCCGAGGAGCACGGCTAGCGAGGCTTCGTGCAGTGGAAAAGTATCGCGGCGACGTTCTGGACATTGCCAGCCTGACGGCCGAGTCCAGAGGTCGAGTCATGACTGGAGAAGGTGGTCGAAAAGCTCCAGTCAGTTCGAGGTTTGGCCGGTATAAGATTTGGGTCGAACGCCAGGAACAGAAAAGCTCCCCTTCAATCTTTCTGTATGCGATATTGGCTCCTGCGTGGGGCGACTCGACATGTTGGTATTATGCACTTATAAGGTACCACTAGCATCCAAGCCCTCAAGGGTGCAACCATTATGCTTACATAGGTACATTTATATGCTCCAATCGGGGCCAAGTGGAGCTTCAGTCTGAAGCAAGCCATATTTTTCACAACCCACCTCCACTGTGGATCCCGACCTTTGACAATTGGGAGCAACAACATCTCCAGCCCACGACTTTTTTCCTCCTCCATCTCGACCCGAGCGATTTCTTATTTCAAGAGCCCAAAAGGCTCTTGAGACGATCGCGACCATGGCGACCACGTCGAACATGTTTCTTTATTCGCTGACCATCCAGCCGCCTACGCATGTCACGGAGGCGGTGGTTGGTCAGTTTGCAGGCACCAAGGAGCAGCAGATTGTGACGGCATCCGGCTCCCGTCTCGTTCTCCTCCGCCCTGACCCTACCCAAGGAAAGGTTGTAACTCTTCTTTCCCATGATATCTTTGGTATCATCCGCTCCATGGCTGCGTTCAGACTCGCTGGAAGTAACAAAGGTACGTACTCTACTCCCCTCCCCAGCGTCACTCAACCGCCGAGTGACTTGGAAGCCCTCCACTTCCAAAACACTGCGGATCGGGCGACTGCTATGGCCATAGCTACATGAAGTGGCTGCCCTAAAGTCATCTTGAGATGAGCTCTTACATTGTTCAAACGCTAAACGGTTCATTTTTTCATAGATTATCTCATCCTGGCAACCGACTCTGGAAGAATCACAATCCTAGAGTACAATCCCACCCAAAACTGCTTCGCACGGGTACATCTAGAAACGTTTGGCAAGTCGGGGGTTCGGAGGGTCATTCCCGGTGAATACCTAGCCTGCGATCCCAAGGGAAGAGCGTGTCTGATTGCCTCTCTTGAGAAGAACAAGCTTGTCTACGTCTTGAACCGAAATGCTCAGGCTGCATTGACAATCAGTTCTCCTCTCGAGGCGCATAAGCCCGGTGTCCATGTCCTTTCCCTTATCGCCCTCGATGTCGGATATGCAAATCCTGTTTTCGCTGCGCTCGAGTGGGACTACACAGAGGCTGATCAGGACCCGACAGGCCAAGCTGTTGACGAGATCGAACCTCACCTCGTATATTACGAGCTCGATCTCGGCCTGAACCACGTTGTTCGTAAATGGTCAGAGCCCGTAGATCGTACCGCGTCAATATTGTTCCAAGTACCCGGTGGCAAGGATGGACCGAGCGGTGTGTTGGTGTGTGGTGAAGAGAGTGTCACATATCGACACTCTAACCAAGACCCCTTCCGTGTTGCCATCCCACGGAGAAAAGGTGCTACTGAGGATCCCTCAAGAAAACGAAACATTGTTGCGGGTGTGATGCACAAGCTCAAAGGAAGCGCGGGCGCCTTCTTCTTCCTGCTCCAAACCGAGGATGGCGATCTCTTCAAAGTCACCATTGACATGGTTGAGGATGACGAGGGTAACCCTACTGGAGAAGTCAGACGGCTCAAGATCAAGTACTTTGACACCGTGCCCCTTGCCACGAGCCTTAGCATTCTCAAGAGCGGTTTCCTCTACGTCGCTAGCCAGGCTGGCAATCATCAATTCTACCAATTCGAGAAGCTTGGGGATGACGATGACGAGCCCGAGTTCTCAAGCGACGACTTTCCAGCGGACCCAAGCGCTTCCTATGACCCCGTTTACTTCTACCCTAGGCCTGCGGAAAATCTAGCCCTGGTGGAGAGCGTGGAGTCCATGAACCCCCTCGTCGACTGCAAGGTTGCCAACCTCACAGACGAAGATGCCCCGCAGATTTATACTATTTGCGGAAGCGGGGCCAGAAGCACATTCAGAACGATCAAGCACGGCCTTGAAGTCGAAGAGATCGTAGCCTCGGAAGTTCCTGGCATTCCCTCCGCCGTCTGGACCCTCAAGCTTGACCGAGGGGACCAGTACGATTCTTATATCATTCTTTCCTTCACGAATGGCACATTTGTCTTGAGCATTGGCGAAACTGTCGAGCAGGTGAATAACTCTGGGTTTTTGACCTCTGTCCCTACACTAGCAGCCCAGCTCCTCGGCGAGGACGGACTTATCCAGGTCCACCCCAAGGGAATTAGGCACATTTGCCGTGGGGAAGTACAAGAGTGGGCGGCGCCCCAGCATCGCTCAATTGTCGCCGCCGCCACGAATAGCAACCAAGTAGCTATTGCTCTAAGCTCAGGCGAAATTGTGTACTTCGAGATGGACTCCGACGGCTCCTTGGCCGAGTATGATGAGAAGAAGGAGATGAACGGCACCGTCACCTGTCTCAGCCTTGGTGATGTACCGGAAGGTAGGCGGCGGAGCTCGTTTTTGGCTGTTGGCTGCGATGATTGCACAATTCGCATCCTCAGCCTCGACCCCGATTCAACACTGGAAAGTAGGTCTGTCCAGGCGTTGACAGCTGCTCCCTCTTCACTCTCCATCATGGCTATGTTCGATTCTTCCTCAGGTGGATCGACCCTCTACCTCCACATCGGTTTACACTCCGGTGTCTACCTTCGAACCGTCCTTGACGAAATCACGGGCGAGTTGACGGACACAAGGCAGAAGTTCTTGGGTCCCCGACCCGTGCGGCTTTCCCAAGTTTCGGTCAAGGGCCAGACCTGCGTCCTAGCTCTAAGTTCGCGACCGTGGCTAGGCTACGCCGATCCGATATCAAAAAGCTTTGTGGTGACGCCCTTGAACTACGTCGACTTAGAATGGGGATGGAATTTTACTAGCGAGCAGTGCGAAGAAGGCATCGTTGGTATTCAGGGCCAATCTCTCCGGTGAGTTTTAAACTGCGCGATCTGGGTCTCATACAAGGCCACCCACATTCCCCTCTCCTCCCCCTTTCTCCCAGTGCAAATGATGAGAAAGAGATATCCTATTTGCGTCTTGCACAAATACAAAACCGCAATGAGGACTCTTTTAATTGTTCCTTCTGAAACGCACACACCTATCCCTTGCCTTGATTCGATACCAGTACGAGCTTAGAGGGAACGCCGCTGACATGAGCTTGGTGTAGCATCTTCTCGATAGAGAAGCTTGGGGAAACCCTGATTCAGAAATCCATCCCCTGACCTACACACCGAAGAGGCTGGTCAAGCATCCCGATTATCCCATCTTCTACACAATTGAGGCGGACAACAACACCCTTGCACCGGAACTTCGTGAGCAGTTGCTTGCAGATCCGGGGTTGTCAACGGAGATGCCAAAGTTCTCCCTCCCCCGAGTTTGGTTATCCGAGGGGTAAGGGTCGCTGGGCATCATGCATCAGCGTTGTGGATCCCCTGGGAGACGAGCCTCGGGTGCTCCAAACCATTGATTTCCAAAATAATGAAGCGGCCTGCTGTGCGGCTGTCATACCATTTGCCAGCCAAGACAATGAGCCATTCCTCGTGGTCGGCACCGGCAAAGACATGATTCTCAACCCTCGCCAGTTCTCCGAGGGCTACATCCATGTCTATAGGTCCCATGAGGATGGCCGGGAGTTGGAATTTATTCACCGGACAAAGGTCGAAGAGCCTCCCAGCGCGATGCTTGCGTTTCAAGGCAAGCTCCTTGTGGCGATTGGCAAGTCACTGCGCGTGTATGATCTGGGCATGAAACAGATGCTCAGAAAGGCGCAGGCTAACGTCTCGGCTCATCTCATTGTGTCCCTCGACGTTCAGCAGAACCGTATCGTTGTGGGCGATGTCATGCAGGGCGTTACATACGTCGCGTACAAGCCGGCTGCGAACAGGTTGATACCATTTGCAGACGACACGATCTCGCGTTGGGTTACTTGCACCACCATGATCGATTACGAGTCGATGGCGGGAGGTGATAAGTTTGGCAATCTCTACATCCTACGATGTCCCTCGAAAGCCAGCGACGAGGCGGATGGGGATAGCTCTGGCGTTCACCTTCTCCATGCACGAGACTACCTTCACGGCGCACCCAATCGAGTTGATCTCATGGCGCACTTTTACACACAAGATATCCCCACCAGCATCACCAAAACGAGTTTGGTTGTCGGGGGCAAGACATCATACTCTGGACTGGCATCAATGGTTCCATTGGCGCTCTGATCCCGTTTGTGAGCCGTGAGGATGCCGACTTTTTCCAGACGTTGGAGACGCACATGAGGAGCGAGGATGCGCCGCTGGCTGGGAGAGACCACCTCATCTACCGTGGGTATTATGTACCCGTCAAGGGGGTCATAGACGGCGATTTGTGCGAGCGGTATGCGCTCCTACCAAACGACAAGAAGCAGATGATTGCAGGGGAACTAGACCGGTCCGTCCGGGAGATTGAGAGGAAGATCTCGGTATGTCATGCTAACACCATCCTTCAATTTTCCCCGGACTTCCCCTTCCCTGCCCAACCATCAAAGCTTTCTCTTCACTTGACTGCCTGCTAACTCGCCTTGTTCACGTAGGATGTCCGGACCCGGTCAGCTTTCTAGTGAGATTCTGGTAGTAGAATACCTCGTGTCCCTTTTTTCTCTTTTTCTCCCGATCCTCTCCAGGATATCTAGCATCAGCAATGCTACGAGGGATTAAACGATCGAAATGTATAGTGTTGTGGCTAGCCCTCATGTGGTGGTGTCTTTTTGTCTTTTTGTCTTTTGGGCACAATACCTGGTGTTCTTTTCGGCGGTGTGTGTGGCCGGCTCGCTACGCGATGAATACTGGATGGGAACGGCCTCTAAAAGGGGGTCTAATAGAGAACGACCTAGCTTATAGGAAACTCTTGTGTATATAATTCCATAATGATTATGACTTTTCATGCGCTATTTGGAGTGTAAACGGCACAGAGGCCGTAACAGACCCGGTCACACATGTCAGCAGAAAATCTGGCCAAAGTAAAGCAGACTCAATCCCTCTTCCAAACTTGGCAGCCCATAACACCAGTCGTATGTAGGCTTGGGCTTGACTGACATGAACGTAGATGATTGAATATCATCTGGACCTATCCAGATTGCCGCTGCCAACATCAATCAATTGATACCAGTGACACTGGAGAAATTGCACTTTGTCACTAATTGAACACTCAGGCTCACTCACTAAAAAGGATAATGCCCACTAACTTTCACGTGACCCCAACCACTATGCCGGCGAATTGATGTTGAAATTTACGGGTGACAACGGGTAGCTCATCTGTCCATCACCCACATCATCTCTCCCATCACTACTCCACGCCTTTTAACCCCTCGTCTCTATCTTCTCCCTGTCTGTTCCCGAGCATCTCCTTAAGAAGCTCGGGTGAGGACTTCTCAAGTGCAACAATATCCACAAACCATAGGACAATGAATAACCAAGGCTTGTCCCTCGGGTTGCGGCTCTCCAAGAAAGCAGCCAAGCCCACCCCGGCCAGGAGGAAAGCATTTGGCGGCGGCGATGACTCCGATGATGAGAGTCCGGCGCCTAGCTCGGCGCGCGGCGGAGCGCAAAACGTCTTGGAGTTCGGTGGGCTCGATGAAGACTTGTCCTCCAGCGCGCGGCCGGCGTCCCCGGAAGTGGGCCGGCGCTCCAAGGGCAAGAACGCAGCGCCGACGAAGCCGCCGACGCTGAAGAAGAAGAGCGCGCCGGATGGCATGTTTGAAGACCTGGCAGGATCGCTAACGGCGCGCAAGAACACGGAGGAAGGGACGAAGGTGGACGCGAGCCTGTACGACTATGACGGGGTGTACGAGGCGATGAAGCCGCAAAAGAAGAAGGCGGCGGTGACGGAGGATGAAGAGAGGAGGCCCAAGTACATGAGCGGGCTGCTCGCGGCGTCGGCGGTGCGGAAGCGAGACCAACAGGTGGCGGAGGAGAAGAAGATCACGCGAGAGCGCGAGGCGGAAGGCGAGGAGTTTGCGGACAAGGAAAAATTTGTGACGGCGGCGTACAAGAGACAACAGGAGGAGAACAAGCGTCTCCAAGAGGAGGAGAAGAGGAGAGAGGAGCGCGAGGCCAAGGGCAACAAGACGGGGGCATGACGGCCTTTTACCGTGACCTATTAAATCGCGGAGAAAAAGAGCGCGCCGAGATCGTGAAAGCGGCCGAAGACAAGGCCAAGTCAGGCGCGAAGGCGAGCGCAGAGGGTGAAAGCGCAGAAAAGACGGAAGCGGAGCTCGCCAAGGAGATGGGCGACAAGGGCGTGTCCGTGTCCGTAAACGAGGACGGCCAGATCATCGATAAGCGACAGCTCCTGCAGGGCGGCCTCAACGTGGTGACCAAGAAGCCGGGACCGCGAAAGGCTGGAGACAAGGACCCCTCGTCCTCTTCGCAGCAGCGGGACCGGCAACGGGATCACGGGTCCGGCCGGGGTTCGCGGGCAGCGGGAGCAAGCGGGCCATGATTGAGAGGCAGTCACGCATGCTGGAGGAGCAGCTTGCTGAGTCGCTCAAGCGGTCGCGCGAGGAAGAAGAGGAGGAGAGGCAAAAGACGGTGGAGAAGCTGACCAAGTCGACCAAGACGGACACGGACATCTCGAGCGCCAGGGAACGGTACCTGGCGCGCAAAAGGCAGATGGAGGAGGAGAAGAAGAAGGCATCGGGAGCGCAGTAGTGAGGGGCCTATTCACGATGGTGGCCACGAAGGACGCAGGGCGCGGGGAGCGGGGAGCGAGGTCGTGTACTATACATCCCCGTGCAGATTGATGGTTGGTTCCTCTTCCTTTTTTATTGTCCTTATGTATACACGTCATGATACCACGGAAGCAAAAGGGATTTATGGAAGATATGCAATAGCCGAAGTGGGAAAGAAAGATGAAAGGTGTAATGATAGATCGGTAAGAAGAAAAGTTGTTGAAATTTTCCGAGAAAACGGGCAGTTATATCTTCTGTCTAGATCAGACTATCTTGAAGCATTGGATTTATTTATTTTTGGTCCTTATTTTATCAGTAATGTGTACAACCGTCTATAAGAGTCGCTCTCCCCAAGATTTCATGACCCCATAGGCATACATGGAGATATTGATACACATAACCCCGAACAATCGTACAACCCAACCCGGCTACTTCTCCTTTGAGGAGGGAAAAAAAAAAAGAGTACGCCATTTCTACCTCGTCCCATGATACATGGATTCTTTCCACCTATTCAAGTGGTATTCCTCCAGGGCAAGACGAGGTCAGAGCGTGAGGGACGGGTCTCAACCAGGTATTCGTATTTGACCTCCATCCCAATGCAAAATCCAGACCGCCCACGCGTTCTCAGTAGGAGCGGTGGGCTCAAGGAGGCGGCAGAAGAAGGCGAATTTGTTTAGGCCCAGCCGTCGGACTTGGCGTTCTCGCCGCGTAACCTGGCGATGTAGGTAGAGTTGACGAGGTTCCACGCGGCCATGTACTTCTCCATGCAGTTGGTGACGCAGCTCTGCTCGGAGCTGGACAGGGAGGTACCGGGTTTGGGCACGCACATATCGAAGCAGCTCGATTTGAGATTCTAGAGAGGAAAAGGGTGAAGGTCCACCCGCCATCTGTGTCAGTGATATTTTTTTGTTTGTTTCCTCGCAGGATCAAGTTTCCAAGGGATCTCTTCGAGGGGGCGCAAAACCACCAAGGGGCTAGGAGGGGTGGGAACTCGAGGAAGGTGAAAAAAGGGGGTCGTAAGGAGAGTGCGCATACGTTCATGAGCTTCTGCGCATTGGCAACGCTGGCCTCGGTGCGGACCTGCTGCATGACAGCATTCTTGACGGTAGTGGAATCCATTGCGGCCGGAGTTCGCAGACGACTGGGAGAAGGAAAAAGGGGGTTTGGGGGTTCGATCGGAGACGGTGGGACGAGCTTGAAGGTTCGGTGGTGGGAGGAGGACTTCGGTTGTAGATTGACTCTTGTCGGCTTTCGGAGCTGGTGCTGGATCGAGCTTGAAGTCAGTAGCTTTCGCTTGGATATGCAAAATTTCGGCTGAGCTTGCTGCGACACGCTGCAAGGGACGCCGTCACGTGCCACTACGCAGCGACTCGGAGCATAGTATGGATTATCATCCGCGACGTCGGTGACAACCTCGACATAAACTCCATTCATCATTTACATATCATGGGCATTTCTAACAAAAAATATATATAAACATCCACCATGTATTCAAATGATAATAGACTATTAGACACTGTGAAAACACGCCAAAAAAAAAAAAAAACCAACAAAAGAAGCGATTTCGAACAAGCCTTTGTGAAGCTTGCTTGGCCAAGCCGTTGTCTGTCGCCGGCCGTCGTCCCTTCTCGAAATACTTGCGGGACAGGTCCTCTCCAAAATCTATAGTAAGCCGCGAAAGAGAAGTGAGGGTATACCCCTCGTCGAATTTCGACAGTGCTTTAAGTTTACTTGGCCCACCGGCAGTCACAGGATTCTCTAGACGGGTCCAAGTTTTCGTCACAAAAATGGAAAGCCAAAAAGGAGAACAGTCAAGGTCATAGATATATATATATATACAGGTAGATTTCTCTTTTCTTTCAACGCCTAGGTACAGCGATACAAATGCAGCTGGTTTAGATGCAAAGCGAATGCACGCTCCTGCAACAAAAAGACTACTAGATTCCTCTATTGAACACAACAAGGCCATCCTTTCCGCCCTTACCGTGGAACTCGGGCTCGAGGCTCTCCGCCTGGATGCTCTGTCTCTGGGGGAACGCAGCCAGCGCGAGGGGGAGCACGGCGAATGAGGTTCCGAGAATGAGACCGAGATTGATAGGGATGGTGAGCTGGGGCCGACGCTTCAACCACTCCGTCTTCTGCAGCCGGACGAGGATGAGGGGGAATAACCATGATCGGAGAGCTGTTGAGGACTCGGCTCAGAGCTGTCTCGCTCACGGCCAGGGTAGCAGCCTTTTTGCTCTTGCCGAGGGAAGCGACGTCGGACTCGGACTTGCCGTCGGCGGCCAGCTTGAGCTTGTCCTCGTCAGAGAGGACAGGGAAGACGTCGATGCCCCTGCGGATCTCCTCGCCCCTCATGAGGAAGACGTTGAGGGCACCGGCAGAAGCCACGGCGGCGAAGGGCACGAGACGGGTGAGGATCGTCTTGGTGGCGGGCGAGATGCTCTTGAGGCGGGGCACGAGCTTGTTGAGACCCACGGCCACGGAGCAGGAGGCTGTGACGGCCATGAAGTAGGACTGGGCGAGCTGGGCGTAGCTAAGAGGAGACGACTTGTTGGCATTGGCGCTATTGATCGCGACGTTGAGCGACTGGTTGGCGACCTGCCATCCTATCGTTCCCAGAGTCTATAAAGGAGCTGTTAACAAGGCGAGATGTCGTATGGACTTGGGCTTGGCGGGAAAAGAAAAAAGAAAAAGAAAAAAGAGAGCCTATGCGTCCGTATGAGAGAAATAGAGATAGAAATGACTTACGCCAAGGCCCGGCTGAAGCATACCGGCCGTTACGACAAGGTTAGAGAGCACAAAGGAAGACATACGGAACGGCAGCAGGACCGGCTCGCCAGTGTCTGTATCACAAGAGAGCGGGTGTTAATGGGCAAAGATTCGCTAGAGAAGACAGACAGCAGGTGGGAGCACCACTTCACTCACCAGGATGAAGAGTCGAGTCGACAATCTTCTTGGCTTGCCACAGCTCAGGCGTCATGTTCTGAACACGGCCTTCCTTGTAGTCAACCACCAGCCGCTTCGCCTTCTCAAGGCCGGAGGATCCCGCAAACAGAGTCCTGATACGCCAATGGCGCGCCCTCGTTAGCCATCATTGAGTCGAGGGCCAATGTAGAAAAATGGTCTTGTGATATCACCGCAAAGAAGAGGAAAAGAAATGACTAGGCCACATAAACAGCAGCATCCTCGCCTCCCCTTCTTCAGCGCACAGCAAGCAGTTTGCGGTTTTCCTCAATTGAAACTCAGCAGTCACTCTCTTACCTCGGGTCAGTAAGTCCTGCGGCATGTTGCACCCGACCCCAGTATGTGTTGAGGTCATACTGGGAGTCGGGCAGGGCCCGGATGCCAGGTAGGGATGCCGACATGTTGGCTATGAGTCGACTCAAGTAAAGGCGTGCTGGTTTGTGAGGAAGGTGGTTAGCCTAAGAAACCCTACCAGGGCCCGGGCTTCGCAAGATACTACGAGGAAATACAGAGGCGACGGTCAATCTCACTGCGTTCGTTGAGCAAGGCTAGAGCGTGGAGGAGGGAAGGAAGCAAAATGGCTGGGTGGAGGTCTGTCCGCGGATGAGAAATTGATAAGAAAATCGCTGGGCGCTGGGGCGGGTCGGGTCACACGCACTGATTCACCGCTCCGATGTTCCGGACCACAGCAAACTGCCCCAATACTAAGAAAACAAGGGTCGGTCCTCGACTGAACGGACGGGATCAAGATGACCTCAATAAGGCTTATTTATCAATTGCTAACTAGGGCTTCAAGGAGCAGTTCGATCTGGAAATTGAAGGCAAAAAAGGTCGGCTCCTCGGTAAGCATACTACCAGCAAAAGAAAAGCCCAAAAGAAAAAGGTAGACGCCAGCTATCCAGCACTTGTTTAGAGGCCCGAAACCCACTAAAGCAAACAGAGGGCGGGAAAAAAAAAAAAGAACTGTCAAACGACCCCGGTAGGATTCGAACCCACAATCTTTAGAGCCGAAATCTAACGCCTTACCATTAGGCCACAAGGCCGCGAATGACTAAGTTCGATATGAAATATCCCCTTTGCTCAGCCATATAAGCCTACATTTTTAATAAGTGGACCAAGGTCGGGTTGTTCGTACTCTCACTGATCTCTCGAGGAGCAACTTCTAAACAGAGACCAGCGCAGATGGCCCCCAACTAAAACTGAATGCAAACTCTGTACCCTGGTCTCTTCAGCAGTAGTAAGCCAAGTCCTCGGTTTATCTATATCACATTTTCTCAATTTTTTTTTTATCCCCTAGGATTTAATCAAGGAAAGATAAGGCGAGTTGTTGGTACATTCTTGTCCGTGGAGAGAGTTCAGATCAAGCAAAGACCGCTCCGTGACGCGCCAAAATCGCAAAGTTGAAGTTGAGTATATAAGCCTCTACTACGGCTCTACCGGTCCCTCCCCGCATCACGTCTAGCCCTTTATTATCACTATTGTATCTTTCTTATGCCTATCCACTCTCACCCTGGTACCTTGATACCTTTCTATATAAGATGTGGCCTTGGGTCTACATGAAAGATGAATGGGCCTGATGAATTCATAGAGAGATCCTTCTTTATGAGCCTAGTTATTACATTGGTGGATCTTTCTTTCAAAAATACCACTTTCCTGTGGTCATCTTAATCCTATACCTTAAAGCCCTTGCTCTCTTTAAGCATGTATGTCCTTTCTACAGGCTTCAACCTAAGTCTTGGAAAGTGCTGGAAAGTGAGGTATTGTAGTTTCCAGTCCCCAAAGAGCTTCTTCCCCTCATTCAGTGTATATATTGGCAAAATGTAGAGAGGAGCTTTGATTAGGAGCTGAGGAGCTGTAGGAGGGTAGGGCAGATGCACATTGCCACTGTTGCTGGTAAGGAGAGCAACTCACCCCACCTTGGTGATAAGCTCACGATCTCCCTCAAGGCTACCTCTTTTGCGTTTGCTCTCTGAGTCAGGGTTAGGGAAACATCAGGAGAGCACTGGAGTATCACTTGAAAATAGAATAGGAGCTCAATAAATTTCAATCCTTCTTCCCCCATTGCTCCCCACACATGGATCCCCTACCTATACCAATCCCATCCTCCACTGCCATCAAGTCGTCATCCGAGAGCATCTCAAAATTGCAAAGAAGCCGACAAACAAGCCTGAAGCTGCAGGGGCTTTTGTTTTCTCTCCCGGTTTACCTACCTCCTCGCCGGTACTAGGCGAAGGACTACACAACAAACTACGGTATGGTGAAGGCGTCGGACCATGGAGTGGAGGGCCAGTCGCATTCCCGTGAGGGAGGACGCAAGGGGTAGAATTCATGCAAGATCCCAGCCATGACGAGATCATGAGCAACAATAATGGCTGGTTCATCTTGAAAGACCCAGATCTACAAATGACCTCGCAGGGCCACGATTACAAGCAAGCCTTCATCAAGAAATGGGCCAAGACCGCCCTACGACCGTCGCCTCCCTTGAAGATTAACGAAGCCATGCACGATCCTCTATACCGCGACTGGGAGCCAATCGAGGTCTTCCAAGACACTGGAAGCTCTACAATGTACCAAGAAGACCCCGAGGAAGACGTGAGCGCCATAGTCACGCCGCATTAGGACTGCGATGTCGATACCGTTAACGGCACTTTAAACGCCCCCATCGTTTACCCCGCGCCCACCGTGCTTACACACGCGAAGATATTCATAGCGGCTCGTCAATTGAACTGGATCGACAAAACTGGACCGCGGAGTATCGAATAGTGATCAGCCCTCGTAGGGACGCTACCACGGGAGAGGTTGCCATGTCCCTGCACCCTTTCTGCCATGATGCCATATTCAGAGGCGGAAGCCCATTGCCGGAAGTGAGTAAGATTCGCGTAAACTGCGAATATCGTCCTGCCACCCTGGACGATATGGAAGCTGTGACAGCCGTCTACAATGCCGAAGTGCAGTCTGAGGGAATGGTGGCGGACGGAACAGAGGTACCCGTCTCCAAATTCGTCACAATCTTTGAGGAGTGCCTGGCCGAAGACCGCCCCTTTCTCGTAGCCGTTCACAAAGCCAAGCTCCTAAACAAGGCCAGCTGGCCCGACGAGGAAGCGTTCAGCGAGTACATGCACTGGCGGCAGGAAACGGGCGGCCTCGGCAGCGGCGCCGAGACCATAGTGGCTTTCTCCTACCTCTGCCTCTTTGACCCGAGCGGCGCCTTGGGAGGCGGCAAGTCATCGTTCGCCGCTCGGATCGAACTCGTCGTGCACCCGCACAAGCGCCGAAGGGGATTCGGCAGCGGGCTCATGGACCTGATGCTCCAGATGACGGTCAAGGACTACAGGCCGCAGCTTGAGTACGTCTGGGATTGTCCGAACCCCGGCAAAGTATACAACCTGTATGCGGAGGACAACGGGAAGCGCTACCGCATGGTGCTGGTGCAGACGTTCTTGAAGCACATGTCCAGGGATGCGTTGATGAAGAGGCGACTCTTCATTGAACGTATTTTCCAGTTCACGAACATGGCCCACATCCCCGGAGCGTACAGGAGCAGCAGGACGGGCCTGCCGGGCGACGGCCTGGAAGGCGAGGGCGAAGAGTGGCAGGACAAGGCCATCTGGGGAAAGTTTTGCCAGTTCTCAAACGCCGAGATCTTCGGGGAGGAAACGAGGGGGCCCGATGAGGCGTCGATCTAGTAGGGCACTGCAAGTCCCCAAAACGATATCCAGAGGAAAGAGGGGAGAGATGGATGGGGAGCCGTAGATATGTAGACTTGGACTTTGTGTCGAGACTCGGGAGACACTGCTGATATCAAACCGTGCCGGGAGTTCATGCAATACACCGGGAACTGCCACCGTTTGGAAGGAGGAGGAGGGAAAACCGCCCCAAGATTGATTGGCAAGTTATTCAAGAGAAGTTTGATAGAAAGGGTACGTAACAAGCCCTACAATAAAACTTTGAAATCTCATCTTGTCCCCAGCGCGTCTTTTAAACACCATACTTTTACTATATATTCAATGGTTTGGGATAGCGTCGAGAGGAATGTGAAATTATGGAGAGACAGCCCTGCCTTTACCCATCGACTATATGGTGGTATGTGCCTTTTCCCCGTCTTTTCCTTTCCCTCTTCTATTCTTTTCCTCGCCTTCACCCCCAGTGCCTTATATTTACTTTCGGTGGTGGCAGAACTGGCTTGGTTGAGTCAATCGGCGATGATGGCTGCAGGATATATGGTGTGGACGGTATTGGTCGCTGTCGCCATGAGGTCAAGGGGAATATCGCCGTGCACTGTACATTTCTGTCCGTGTGGACCTTACACACTCAGCAACGATCTCTGTAGTTTCTAGAAGCGCTCTAACCTAGCCGTGATAGCAACTTAAGGCATCAATCAAAAGGCGATATTCGCAATATCCCCGCTATTGCCTGGTTTCTCTTGTCACCCTCTAAGCTTGTCGCGTTCAAGAAAAACCAAAGCTTTGTTGGCTCTCACCATCTATTCTCGACAGCACCCACTTCAGGACGGTGACTCCTCATCCTAAACCTTTAGACCCAAGATGCTATCCATCTTGCGAAAAGCACGGCTGAAGGACAAAGAGATGAGGGTTTTGATGCTGTAAGCGAATGCCGCGCCCGTCTTGACGGATTATCGCCGCCCAACCCCTCTTCACCCCTCCCTGCCGTCTACCCCCGGGTTTCTCCCGGTCGTCTCCCCGTCACTTCCCGCCCTAGTCCCGGCTGGCAGACAGGTTATTGGGAGCGCTCCCATACGACGGCCCGGGGGTGGTTTCTGGGCTAATATTGTGGTAACAGCGGTCTCGATAATGCGGGAAAGACGACAATAGTGAAGCGCATCATGGGCGAGGATGTCACAACCGTGAGCCCTACGCTAGGCTTTATTATCAAAACCATCGACTACGATGGGTACGAGTGCCCCTTTAAACGTCCTACCTTCTCCCTCTGTCCTCATACGACTCGTTTCCTTGCTCTCCTCTTTCCCCTGCACTCGTCTCCTGTCCACCGCCTAGCACAACGCTGACTCTAGACTCTAGATACAAGCTCAACATATGTGAGTCCCCTTCCCCCATTCCCTCACTCCATGTGAACCTCTTAGCTAGCCGCCGACTGACGAACCTCTCACGAGAACAAGGGGACGTCGGTGGCCAAAAGACCCTTCGCTCCTATTGGCGCAACTACTTTGAAAAGACCGATGTTCTCATCTGGGTAGTCGACGCTACCGACAGGCTGCGCATAGGGGACTGCAAAGAGGAGCTGCACAATCTCCTCATGGAAGAAGTAAGTACTGCCGCCCTCTGGATCCATGATGCTTGCTTTCCATGATTCTCTTTTCCCCATTCTCCTTAACCCGGACTGGAGAAAGGGCTGGTTGGAAATTAGCAGACTAACCTGCCCCGCCACAGAGGCTCTCTGGCGCGAGCCTCCTCGTCTTCGCCAACAAGGTGGACGTTACGGGCTGCATGACCAAGGATGAGATAATCGAGGTGCGCCTTTGCCCTGCCCTTCCGATCGCTGAATCGCACTCCCTTGCACCGCCGTAGGCATATTCTAACAGCCATATCCTCTACGCGGCTCTCTCACAGGGCCTCGACCTACACTCTATTCGCACCCACCGGTGGCACATTCTTCCTGCAGCGCCATATCCGGCGAGAATCTTAAAGAAGGCCTTGCCTGGGTTGTCGAGGACGCCAAAAGCAGACTCTTCCTTTACTAAGTGTTGGCAGGTTTCGACTTAAACCCAAAGGCCTCGCATGCCACTGATCCGTCCTCACGTGTACGCATGAGAGACGATAGGCTCGGGTTGCACAAGATACATGTCCATCACATAGTTATGAGAGATTGGAGAATGGATATCGCATAAGGAGAGGTATCAAAAGATGTGAAAAAGGGGGAGGGGAGGCGAAATAAGAACAAGAAAACAAGAGAAAACAAGAGAATAGAAAGAACAAGAGCGACAAAAAAGCCACACACACACACACATACAGTGACCTGACAAGCCCTCCCTAAACCCGCCGCTCATGACCCTTGTTTGACCCAAGCCAGTGAGCGAAGGTAACTTGGCCCTAAACAATGTACCGAGTTAATACCTCCAAAAAAACTCCCCTGTGCAAATGCGGACAACCGTTGAGGCCGTGAAAGACGTAACCAGCTTTTCTCCTTCTCCCAATGGGACTAATCGTCACACATCCCTCTCAAGTGCCTAAGCGGATCCGTAGGGAAACAGGGCAACAAAAATAGAAACAACTGGAAACCACAAGCAGCCGAAATGAAATGAAACGCGATGAAACTAAACAAGGCTGAAACCAAAAAAAGAAATGTCTTGAAACGTCCACCTTCCTTGATAAACGAACCTCCCAAAAGGAAACTACTCCGCCAGTGCCTGTAAAGCCTGGGTGAGTGGCACAATGCGAAGACTCCTGCCCCTCTTCAGTCCCGACCCTGGTGTGGTCGGAGGAGGCATGACGGTCGGGCTGTAGGCATCGCGCCATTTCCTGAAGACGCTCTTGAGATCGCGGGGAATGCCCTCGAGGACCACTGTCGAGATGGGAACGAAGGGCCGGTCTTCCATCCCGCTGGCGAGAATACCGTATTCTTGCGCAAAGTCGAGTGCATTTCGGAAGGAAGCATATTGCGATTTGGCCTCAGCCCCAACAATGATGTACATCTCGAAAAAGGCATCGAGCACATAAATCTTCTTGGTGCTGAGGTCGGCCTGGCAGTAAGGGCTAAGCTCGAGGATCTGTTGCTTCGACGACGCATCGGAGCAAAACAACCGGCAACAGTACTTGGAATAGCTAGGCTTGAGCCGCCAGTGATCTGCCGAGAGTTGCTTGGAGCCTCCGTCAAAAATGTCCCAGAACGTAGCCGGTTCATTGCCGTCATCAATCTCCTCTAGTTGGCCAGTGAGGGACAGGTCCATGCCGACTAGCCGGGCACTTTCGAGCTCCTCCGAGTCGGTGCCCTTTCCCTTCCATAGGAAGCACTGGCTCTGCTGATTGATCAAGAAGGGGAATCCTGAACACAGGTTGACGGGCGAAAAGTCCACCTCGTCAAAGGCTACAAAGCCAAAGTATCTGCGCCCACAGAGCATGTTGGAGGCCAAAGAGTCATATTTGTTGCTTGACCCGCGACGCGTGATGAGGACGCCTCCGATGGCTTGCAAAAATTCAGGCGTTTCCTTGCCCTGTTTTACAACCACCATCTTGCCTCCAATCGATTTTGCCTCCTTGTTGACGTAGCCCTCCGTAGCCTTGACTGTCGAGACTGGTACTTCGTCTCCGGCCCAGAAGTATACTTCACATAGCTTCCTCCCGCTGCGTTGGTAAATACGTGCGAGCAGATGTACATCTCACGCTCAAAGACGACGCGTTCGTTGTGTGCCGGTATTGGCACCATTTTACCATCGCCGAAGATCTGCAGCCTCTGCACTGACACGGTGTTAATGCCCTGTCCTGTACCTGGTCGCCGCATCAGAATCTCTGCTGCGTCTGCTCGATAGTCCCGCTTCGGTCGCTGAGGACCAAAAAGTCGCTAAGCAGAGCCGCAGTCTCAATGGCTTGCTTCGTTGGCGACCGCATCGGCGAAGGGACCTGACCCGGCGACAACGGCCCAGGGCTCAGAGGCGGTGGCCGGTCACCCACTTTTGTTGGTGATCGGGACCGAGAGCGACCCGTGTCTGATGACGACGATGGTTCGATCGGCCCGCTTGAGACGGGTGATGGCGCTTTAATGGGCAGTATGGAGGCTGCGCCACCTCCAAACATAGCCGCCACTCCCTTTACGAATCGACTCGGGCCTCCCGTAGGTACCCTTTGCAAGGGCGGCGGACTGGCCTTCTCAGGGAAGGAGGTTGAGGTAGTGCCCTTGTGGGTGAGGGTTGCGAAGGCCGTACTGGCGAGGAAGCGGCCGGCTGAGTGGGCTGGCTTTCCAGCGACTTGATTGGCGATGGTGGCCTCGACATTCGTCTTGGTGACCGAGCGGGCGTGTCATCTGTAGATGAAGCCGACAGTTTGGGGGTGGGTTGGCCGGCATCATCGAGGAACTTGGACATTCTCTTCACGTTGAGCTTCTTGGGGGACGGCGGCGGTAGCTCAGTTTTAGGCTCTTCGTTTGGCTCCACCCTCGGCTGCTCTTGAGGCGGTTCCTTGGGTTCTACCTTTGCCGTTGGCTCAGGTTGATTCTTAGTTTCCACCACCGTCGCGCTGGATATAAGGGGCTGCTTCTTTGGACTGCACTGGCGGCAACCTGAGATGCGACTGCGCCTTTTAGCGAAGAAAAGCTTGAGTAGGAGCCCCGGCTATCTCTGGTGGGAGTCGCGCTCCCAATAGAAAAGCCCGAAACTGAGCCGCCCCTTTCCCTGGTGGGGGTGGCCGCAGCATACGCTTCTCTCATGGCGGACGAGTCTACGAGCTTAATCTGGCCCGGCGAGGAAACGCTGGCGCCATCGTTTCCCCTCCGCCGACTGTAGGAATATGACTGGCCATAGCTCGGAGATGCGATTGAGGAATCGACAAGCTGGATCTGGCCATTGATGCTAGCCCTAGATGAATCGACCAGTTGAATCTGAGTGGGGCTGCTTGTGGGTGGAGACGTCATCACTTCAGTAATCGGAGTCGCCATGGCGGACGAATCGATTAGCTCGACCTGCTTGGAAGTTGATTTCGGAATGGGGGTTGGCGGGAACGGCGTTTGTTGCCAAGGTGCCTTCAGACTGGGAGGCTGCTGGCGTTGCTGTCGAGGTGGGCGCCTTGCGTCGCGGGCCGCGTGCACGGTTTTTGTGATGTGCGTAAGTTGCGGCCCCGGACCCGGGCTGCTGGATGATGTACCTGTCGCACTTGAACTCTGCGCGGGGCTGGAGCTATCGGAAGGCTTGTTTCCAAGCGTGGCTGGAGGCGGGCCGCGGGCAAGAATTCCCGCAAGGGCCGGATTGAATCTGTCCGCTAGAGAGCCAGCACCAGATCGAGCAGACAGGCGGGACGGTGTTGGGTGTTCTTTTTGGTGTGATAGTGGTCTTGACGGTGGTGATTTCGGGAGAGTTTCGGCCTTGCGTGTTATTGTTTCAAGTGGTGTTTGCTTGATCGGGGTCTGGCTGGAGCTGAGAGACGGGGAGGGGGTCGGTGCCTCGACGCTTGTTATATCTGTAGCAAAAGAATTGCGATTAGATAGTACAGAGGAGGCAGCTTTCGTGGTGTCCGACGATACCGAATCTCGATTAGACAAAGTAGAGGACCTAGCTAATTGGTTTCGCTTCGCCAGTCCTTCGGGAATCGGTGTTTCGGTCGCTTGCTGATTCGGATCGCGGGGGTAACGCCGGTGCCTTCCTGCTGAGCCTTCTTAAAGTCCTCTTTCTTCTTAAGAATGGCCTCTTTGAACTCGTCCTTGCGTTCCGTCTTCTTCGGACCGCCAGTGAGATTGAGGCCGGCCTTGCCTCGAAGGATGTTATCTTTGAGCTCGTCGGGCGCGACGTAATTTTGAGTCTTCGTCCTCCGCAAGTTTCCAAACACGTTTTTCAATTCGTCAGCGTTACCGCTCTTGGCCGAATCCAAGGCCGATGTTGGAGTCTGGCGCGACTTAAGTTGAGAGCGGAAGTCGACGGGCGTAGGAGTGCTAGGCTTGTCGGCTTTCTCTAAGGAAAGAGTAGAGCCTCGTCTGACGGAGTCACTCGCGCTAGGGGTGTCGGAACTCGGGGTAGACTTTGAGGCGGCCGATGGGGTGTTGGCGCTTCTTAGATTTGCAGAGAACGGTGAGCCCAGAACCGGGGTGGTGTTTGCTGGTGTTGCGGCTGTAGTGGTCGGCAATGGTCGCATAAGGCCATCGATTTTGACCTCGTGCTTGAGCGATGGCGTATTCAGCTTGCCAATTGCGGCGTCGGGATTATTCGCTTTCTGAGCCTTTGCCTTGTTGAGCTCTACCATCCAGGCAGGCTGATTGGAAATGGGCGCGACAGGCTTCGGTTTTGGTGTTTCTGGCTTGTTGAGGGCAGCCTCAAGCCAACTAGATTTTGTAGGGCTCCATCTTCGAGTGTCCATGGTTTTTGATGGACTAGAAGGAGGGGTGGTCTTTTCCTCCTGGTCGAGCGGGGTGGTGGTTAATGTGAGATTAGATTTTGTGTCAGGGGCTGGATCTGCGACGCCTTGACTGCCAGTGTTTGCCGGCTCATTTCCTAATTTTTCGGAGCCGTGCCGGCTAGTCGGGCGGGGGTGGGAGTTGCTGATCCGTCGCGGATCATGCTAGTAGGGCGCGAACGAGAATTAGGCTGAGCGCCCATCCCTGCTCTATCTATGACACTATTTCGATTAGATGCCACAGAGTCCGCGCGCGCCAAGCCCGGAGGAGCGGCCACGCTCCATCTCTTCACGCTATCTGTTCGCTTCATCATAGCGCTCTGGACAAAACCACCCATTCCCTTGGTGGGGAGAGAGGCCGGGTAGGAGACCTACGGCCTTCTGCTCGCGTTGGCGACCGCTCTGGACTACGATTTTCCGCGTCAGCGAGAAACTGGCCGGGTGCGTCGAATCGCTGGGTTGGCGTCAAATCGAGTGGCGAGACGACTTTATTCGGTTGTAGGGGTGGGGGTTCGAGATCGGGCTTTCTCGAGTGTCGGATGCCGTCATGCCAGGAAGCTGCGATCGCATCGACGACATGTCGAGTCGCTCCTCATCCTCGACCTGGCTGCGCCGAAAGGCGGGCGAATTGAGCCCGCGCTCCGATGTCTGGCGGAACCATGTTGGGTCCTTTGACGACAACGCCTGCGAAATCTGGTCTCGAGTATACGTCTGTTCCGAGGCGGATGATGGCTCAGGGGACGCCGTGGTCGAGGTTCTGGCGGCATTTTCCGCCGCAACCATGGACAGGGGCCTCGACTTGGCCTTGTCGAACGACTGAGAATTGGGACGCCTCTGCCATGACATAGGGGCTGCCCGCATACCGGGCGATGGCAGGGTTGTGGCGGATGACGTGATGCTTGTCCGCTTCGACTCCGCGTCCGAGAAGGACTCAGTCTCCTTGGTGGGAGACATAGAGAAGTTGGTCACAGGACTCTCCATATTATCAAAGGTGTCATCTCGACGCGATGCCAAAGTCTCAAGGCCAGGCGAAGACGTCAAGCTCAGACGATTCGAAACAATCGAGCCTCTATGAGAAGGGGGAGGAGGTGTGTTTGCCGGCGAGGACTTCTGTGGTGAGATGGACCTGGCGCGCTCTACAATCTTTAGCGTTAGCACAGTGATTTGTAGTGGGGATTGTGCCACTTGAGTGCGAGACAAACAGCAAGAAGAGAGTCAAGACTGTTTGTTTTTGTCCATTGAGGGCAGAATGTTGGGACCAGGCTTGTTTCGTTGCACAGCCCAACCACTTGACGCGACTCAATCGCCACAAAGAGGCACCATCAACCTCCTTTCCCAGGGGGCAAGGTGGGGAGGCGGTATCCGCCCGTTACTTACCAGCTCGTCGAGCAGCGCGCTCACTCTTTTCTTGAAGAATTTTTCCTCGAGCTCCCGGGATCTTGCCTCGTCCTCTTCTGCCCGCCGGCCCTGGAGCTGTTGGACCTGCTGCAAAAACTGCGAGACGTCGTCGGACATGGCTGCGAAGGTTCCTATCTAGGCAGCAGAAATCGAAGTCGAGGTTGCGGTACCAAATGCAAGGAACATTACTCGAGGCGATCGAGCGTATGAGTGCCAAAGAAGGAAGAGAAAAAACCTTTCTAGTGACCCAGAACTGACGATCTACAGGTTAGGGATGCTGCGGGTTGGCAAACGTGTTTGTATGGAACAATGTGCGGTTGTGGTGTTTAAGGCAGAGCGATGGTTCTAACCAGCATGGAGCGAGTGGAAGGCTCAAAATCGAAGCCGGACTGGAGGTGTTGGTGTCTGGGCCGTGGATGTTTCTCGCGTCGTCGCGAGCCTCGATGTTTTCCGGGAACTGTGGATTAGAGGTCCCGGCCTGCCTTGAGTCGTACAGATCCCGCGACACTGGTGTCCTGTGTTTCCTGGTACGAGCTGGAGTAATTTACGGGCTATAGTGAACACGATATGTTCTTTTGCAAGTTCTGGCTATCCCTCATATTCCGTCCAGGTTCTGATCCTAGAATTCCCTCCCTCCTTCCCCTTCCCCTTCCCCCACTGTCCACTGAAAAGCTGAGCTGCCTGCTTAGCGGGTCCTACGGTGGGGTCGGCTAGCTGCATCAATCCAGTTGATTCACTGAACGGATGACAAAGACCCCTATTTCGCGCCCCTTCAGTACCCAATAGGGCCTCCCCTTGATATTAGCGGTTCCTGCTCGGTACCTGACATGACTGACGCGACTGGGCCCACAAGAGAAGAGTACAAGTACTTCGTGGATAGAATGGATCCAGAGTAAAGTACGAGATACAATTGCAAACAAGGAATAATATCAACGAAACAGGATCCATGGATGATAATGTGCATGCATCGGGCCTGGGCATGTTCGAGGCACACGTGCGTGTAGCAGCGAGCTTCATGGTCTTTGCTCGTCTTCGGCCTTTGTCTATTGTTCTTCTTTCTCTGCAAAGTGCAGCATCCATAAAGATGTTTCGCACCTCTTCGAAATATATGCACAGTGCAGTAATGTCTTAACCCACGTGCAGTTACGAGAACAGATTAGAAAGATAAACCTGAAGTCGCTGGGCGGGCCTCGAGAACCACGAGCTCCACGATCCCATCAGAAGAAAAATACCAGTTGCGTGCTGAAGAATAATAGATCCGGTCCACTTCTGGCTGATGAACGTCAGATTGGACCACGGATGGCGCGCGTCATACTAAACGCGTGGCAACATGAAGTTTTAGTTCCAAGCGCCCCACTTCGTAATCGCGCCAGGCTCCAAATGGACAACCTTCTTAAAGACTCCGATAATGCAAAGCCGCGAGATTGAACGGATGAACCCGGATATAAAGAGACTGCGCTGGGAGAGTACTGGATGTACCAATGATCAACGTTGCCGGAGAGAATATCATTGGGTATTTCAAAAGGCGAGGGCCTAGGCGGTTTCATCGAGCGCGTCGAGGCCGCCATCAGCAACTCTATACCTGTCTTACAACTGCCGTTCTCTTAATACATACAACGAGAGCATTCGTATCTGATTGATATCACAATGTGTATACTCGTACAGGAGAATCTAGGACAGACAAGTCCGCCCTCCAAAACGCCAAGCGCCAAAAAGTGGAAGAATACAAAGCGAAAAAGGTTGTTCAGCACACTCGGAGGCCACAAACCTCAATCCCTTTCCCTTCAATACGAACGGACCGATTAAAGTATATGCTAGCAAGCTCCTTGATAAACTCGGCATCAGACGGATTCCAAACGTCAAGACCCATGAGCTCAAATGCGGTGCTGTCAATTCTGGTTGGTATGCCCTCATCGTCGCCTTCAGCAGGCAGAAGGCGGACCTCCCCGCTGCCGCTCTCAGAGTCATCGTCCTCGTAGGGGAATCATCAGGCTCAGCTGCTTCACCAAGCACGCTTAGGACATCTGTTGTTAGGCGATGGAAAAAGGCTATTGTGGCGAGCTCGGTGCGCGCGCTGTCATCATCGGTCGTGCCCAACGAGGGGACTGAGGCCGTCATTGGGTCCTGAGAGAGGCCTGGCGATGCTGGCGTCGTTGCCGCCGAAGGGGTGGTAGGAGGGGGCCCAGTCCGCGAGGAGCGACGCGTCGTGAATTGCTTCGTCATGTTCATAACTGCGGTGCTGCTCGCCAGCACTGGCCCACCACATGAAGCCGCCATAAGCTAGTTCGGCCCAAGTAGGAGGCTGGACGATCTTGTCAAGTGCCTCGTCACATTCATCACTAACCGGCGTGGCGTTACTAGGGTTCGGGGCAGATGCATGATCGGCTGATGACTGCGAGCTCGTCGTTGCGCGAGAACATGGTCTCGCGGGTGCCACGTCTAATCGCGCAAGACCAGCCTTGAGCGAGCGGAAACGCCTCAGGTCACGCTGCGTGGCCCTGACCGGCTTCCGGCCCGGGTATTCTACGGTTGGCCAAGCCTTTGATTTTGCATTAGTCGAGAAGGAAGGGGGCATGGTGATCAACATATCCCAGAGGGTATCTTTCATGGCCAAAATACTATCCGTGGTGCACGCTATCCACCCCGATGCCTCTTCTTCACCAAGTGTCGTCTCGTCATCCCCTTCTCGCGGCGGTTGCCGTGGGCGAGCGTTGGATCCCGAGGTCTGCATCAGCGAGGGGATATCGTGGACACCTATTGTGAATAATGGGCGTAGTCGATGTGTAGGAGCGTGTTGTGGAAGGAAGTCAGCAACCGACTGGGGTATATTTGACAATATCGATAGACAATATACTAGCCAAAGGGGTCAGTCCACTTCCCTGTGTCAAACATGCCTCAGAAGGCTCTAAACCCCAGACAAGACGTACCGAAATTGCAGATCTCGTGGACAGGGGCATGGCAGGAGATGAGTATGCGCTTTCGAAGAATCGCCGCGCGATGAATCGGGAAAATGAGAGGTCCAAAAGCGTCTAGCAAGGCACCTAAACTGCGGGCAGGGTGGTATTGGGAAGAGTATGGCCGGGGCGAAAAACGACACCGCCGTCAGAGGCCGACCGGGTCCGAGAATGCCCTTTGCCCCGAGCCAAAAGGGGCTCATGAAAGGCGACCGTAGGTGAGGCGATTGGCGTGTTATCCGCCCCAGAGGCGATAGGGTGCGTCCTGGTCGCTTTGTTGAGCGAACACTTCTCCCAGTACGCTTCAAGCACGCCTGTTCGGTTTCGATCAACTGCCAGCTTGCTAGAGTAGACATAGATATTAAAACCAAAGACATCACCAGTGTGGGGAGGTGGGGAAGGCGATGCCGGATGAGACTCACGCAGCCATGTCCTTCAGCATATCAGCATGCCTCCAAGCTCTCCCAAGTCGCCCAAAGCTCAATGGAACAAGGACGCCAACTGCAAGCATGCGGGCATTCCGGGCCTCTTCCTCCTCGCAAGGCACATTGACAAATGCGCTGACGCCCGCATGGCCCGCGTCGTGGACAAAGTAGATCAAATCATCCTTGACACTGTGGAGGCCAGAGGGTAGACTTTTATACTCGACAACTCCCTCAAGCTCAAGTCCCGAGACCGCCCTCTTCCACGCTATCGTATATCCAGCTTTCACGTCAAAGTCAATTAAGAACAGGGCCGAGATGGGTGGTAAGTCAGCAGACAGGCTTGACTCGGCGACGTTGGAGAGCGCCGAGGCACTTGATGCGGCAGGAGCCATTTTGGCGTCCAACAAAAAGACAGGGGACTCGCCAAAGGCGACTAAATTGACGGCAAAGGCCCGGGCAGGAAAAGGGATGTTCGCTCTATGGTTCGGGGTTCTGCGAAGGTCGGTAACACCCCAATAAGAAGGAGGTGGATGGGGGATATTTCAGCGCTCTTTGTGACAGGCCAATCCTATCATCACGGAGTTGGTCGAGTCGCTACTTGTAGAATAATGCCCTCGAGAGCCATCTTTGGAGCTCACTGTGTCAGGGTCTCCTGAAAAGTGGAAGCTGACTAACCACGTTTAATTGATCCAATGGATCCAAGCTCGCCGCTCAAAGATACAGGTACAGCTCCATCCAGGACAGCGAAACCTTGTTTCAGGCCCACCGACATTTACCCCAAGCTAGGGCCCATCAGTGTAACTCTGGAAGGGTTCTAAAAATAACGCCTGATAATCAAGGCATCAACAGACTGATGACAGATAACCACTAAAGAATATGCATCGAGAAAGTGCTGCGTGGCTACTACTTGCAGCAACTCACTCCGTGTTAAATTCTAGGGATTGGTGATAATACAAATTTGTACTTATGCCACTTCACCAACATTCCTCATCTTCTCTCAACAGCTCCTAACACGTCTTTGGGGCCTTCTTGAGTTTACAAAATGAGCTCGGAGTACTCCTACGACGAAGAGGTATGCTAACATTTCCTTTTCTGTGTCCAGGGCTTTTCCTCTTGCCGCCCTCCCCAAACCCATCACTAACCACCGTGTGCTCGTTTGCTAACATTTGACCGAAATCTAGGGGCAATTCTTCCCCTTTTTCATTCTCACTTTAACCTCCCTTGTCACCGTCCCTCTAACATGGAGCCTTCTATCTCCATCAAAGGATGCTGGCGCTGCCTCCCAAAGGGGAAAGCTTCCACCACCTTCGAAGCCAAGCATGGTAACGCCGAAGTTCAGAATCAGCGGACCGCGCAAAGGCGCAAACTGCGGAAAGTAAAGCGGGCCATTTTTGTCCTTGGCGGATGGGCAGTAATTGGGCTCATGGTCTATCTCATCATAATCACAAAGAGGGTAACCCCCAAGATATGGAACCCTTACGATATCCTTGGAATTCCAGACGTACGTTACCCACAGGCCGTCCTTCCATCCCCTGGCCCCCACTCGGCCTCTCCCCCTCCCCCAGGCCTCGAGAAGAAATATGGAACAAACGGTTGCTAACATTTGCGATAGTCTCTGAGCGAGAAAGAAATCAAATCGAAATACAAGAAGCTCTCCCTCAAATTCCACCCCGACAAACTGAAGCCCGATGCGTCCAAGAACGAGACGATTGAAAGCCTGAGTGCGAGATATGTCGAGATTACCAAGGCCTACCAAGCTCTCACCGATGAGGAGATCCGCAACAACTACATTCAGTATGGCCATCCTGACGGAAAGCAGAGCTTTAGCATCGGCATCGCCCTGCCCAAGTTTATTGTCACCGACGGTAACGGCAAATACGTTGTACTTCTATATGCGCTTCTCCTAGGCGTTCTTCTCCCATACTTGGTTGGAAGCTGGTGGTACGGAACGCAGCGAGTGTCCAAGGAGGGTATCCTGATGGAGAGCGCCAACAACCTCTTCAGAGAGTACAAGGAAGATCTCGATGATAGCGGTATTGTGACCGCGCTGAGCACGGCTAAGGAATATAAGAAGCTTCTTGGCACGGATAAGACAGACAAGGATCTTGCGTCGATTGAGTCCAAGATTGCGGACCTCATCCCCCAAGAAAAGGCTAAGCTTGAAGAGCTTGATGACTCGGTCAGGAGGAAGGCTCTTGCCTTGCTCTGGGCTTATCTGGGCCGTGTGGATCTTGGCAGCAGCGCGCTCAACCGTGCCAAAATCCAAGTTGGTCCCATTGCTCAAAGCCTCATCAAATCCTTCACCACAATCTCTCGCCTACGGCAACACGGCCCCGATCATGGGTTCGTACTTGGCCAACCAGCACATCATTCAGGCCATGATCCCCAAATCCTCGCCTCTCCTCCAGCTCCCATTCATCACCCCCGAGATCATCAAGGCGGTAGACGGTGACAGCAAGGTACACGTTACCGTGCAGCAGTTTATGGATCTCTCCGATAGCCAACGCCGCCAGCTTGTTGTGGGCAAAGACCTCCTTACCGAAGAGCAGTACGCGACAGTGATCGCTGTCGCACGCGAAATGCCCTACCTCCGGGTTGCCAAGGCTTTTTCAAGGTGCCCGGTGAACGTTTCATCACGCCGTCCTCCCTTGTCAGCTTCGTTGTCAAGGGACGCATCATCCCTCCTGGTAGCGAAAAGATTCCTCAGGTCAACTCCCTTGATCTCGAGGATGTTGACCCAGCCGAAGACGACTTGGAAGCCATCACCGGGCGTAAGAAGAAGGTCAAGGGTGCGGACGGAAAGTGGACCGCGGTAGAAGAGAAGAAGGTGAACCCTACTCTGGCGACAGCACCCTATTTTGCGCGCGACCATTCTCCGAATTGGCACGTCTTCTTGACGGATGCCAAGTCGGGCAAGATTGCGGTACCACCGTTCCTATTTTCTCAGTTTGACGAACCTATCTTCGATGCCTCGGGCAAGCCCACGTTCAATATGCAGACCTTTAAGGCGCAATTCGCCGCGCCTCCTCAGCCAGGCCATTATACCTTTGCTATGCAACTGATCTGCGATAGCTATGTTGGCCTCGACACTAAGATGGAGGTGACGCTTGTCGTAGAGGATGCAAGCAAGGCGGTAGATATGGTAGCGGAAGACGAGATTAGCGAGCCGGAAGAAGGTATGCTCCCATCAGCCCCCCACTTTTTTCTTTCCTCTTCTTTTTTGCATGTCTTGAAGATTGAGCACTAACGATCTATGCAGATTCTCTCGCTGGTCAGATGAGCGCCCTCAGGGGCGACCCTGTCGCTAGCGGCAAGGTGAAGCGAGCTGAGGACTCGGACGATGAGAGTGGCACAGACGACGAAGAAGAGGATGACACGAGTGACACGAATACCGACACGGAAGATGAGTCATAAGGGTCGTATATAAATGTCGACCTAGACAGGTGTAGGTGGCGGTGAAAAGCGAGGTGGAAATTTCCTACAATATTCATCGACAGATTGGTGGGGTATATGGCATGTGTATCAGCGTTCGATTCCAATGTGCTCGTCGGCAAAAGGCGGGGACAGCTTCTTGTAGTAGTAGTCTCATCGTTTCCTTTCTTTTTCTTTCCCTTGAGCTATTTTCCTTCTCCCACTTGTCCCTTTATGCCCCCCTCCACCCCTCTTCTTTCTTTTCTATCTTTCCTCCCTTTAGGCCAAGGAGAGAAAGATCCCAAACATGTGGCTGGGGCACGAGGTCTGGCGTTTCCGGTTAATAGAGTTTTCTTGCTGAGAATGCCGTCACGGTCTGAGCGCATGAACGAGAGTGCTAAACTATGCATCGAGAGACCTGTTGGCCCCGGTTACCCGCGACTTAGGGCCGAGTGGGAGATAATCAAGGGTCGTATCATCTACGGAAGGGCTCGCGGTTAGAGCATGGTGTCACACACGCGCACTCGCTCTTCTTCGTGAGTGTTAGGCAGGCATTATCTGCTATCAAGTAGGAGGGACGATCCAGTCTACATCAGTTAAAACCTCGGATTCCCTTGCGAAGGGCTGGCCGCCAAAGTTATAGGAAGACGGTGGTGGATACCAGTTGATCCACGATCGCGACATGCCCATCTCTTTCTTCACGCCAAGCCCAATGTCAATGACCTCGACCACGCTCCCCCAACCCTCGACGAGGGGTCAATACGCTGATACATTGAGTCACCCAGCTCACCACGCACCGGATTCAACCGCACCGCAGCCCCCGTCCGTTCATGTCGCGATGGCTTGAAGAGACTTGATGTTAGCGGGGCAGAAGCTCCAATGAGCCTACGCGGAGGCTAGAGGAAGGGCGTAAGGAAATTCACAGGCTCCTAAACCGATAGTAGAAGAAGTCGTTGTCCAAAATGGCCAGAAAATCTACCGTCAAGCCAGCAAGGAGTAGAGGGCGAGTCGTCCCGAGGCTTCTAGCACGGAAACCATGGCTCGGTGGCCGAGGGAGGCACAATCGAATCTTGAGCCTCATTATCTAATCTAGGTTGAGGGTGAGGAAAGCATGGATTGAATAGCATAGACTAAATCCCAACATTTCTTAACTTGGAATTTGTTTTTCTTTTGCTCTTCTTCGTCGGATCTACAGGGGGGGCGCTCTCTTCCTTTCTCTCTTTCACATGTGATCCGCGCCATTTGTAGTGTCCACAACTCCATCCTTTCTGATTCCTGTATTGTGTCTTGTGCATTTCTATGAGAGGTGGTTCCCTCTAAATAGACGGATAAAGAACCCGAGAAGTACGAGCTATGAGGAAAGTCAGATTAGCGTTGGACCTGATTGAGGTTTCTTTGTCGATATATCGCTTCATGGTTTCCCTGGAGTTTCCGGAGAACAGCGCAAGGTTCGATAGAATATTTAGTGTGACTTTCAGGGCTCCCAAGGCCGACGCCGGCGACATCGAGCGTGCGCCATCGATTTAACTAGTACATGTGCTCTAGGGCTGGATCGCTCCATTCGAGAAATATCAAAGTTTACTTGCACGACATAATCAAGTAATACTCGATCAAGTAAAATACTCGAAGCTCCATAAAAATTGAGTCCGTTCAAGGTGGGATTCATCCATTCATGTTCACGACGAACCCACCCAAAAACGATTTGATGGGCTAGTCTAGTCCAAGGTACATTTAAATGTTGATTAATTCAATGATTGATCCCAGCAATCGCCTTTGGGCGAATGGATCCATCCTGCAGGCCTGGTCGCATGTCTGTCCCAACAGAAAAAAATTGCGCAGATCTATTCAATCCTCGGGCGGCTGATGCAGCACAGCACCAGGCCTGGGCCTTCTCGAGGTGATTAGATGTTGAATGTGTGCCTGTCATTGTGGACGGATTCTTCAAGTGTCTTTCGATCAAATGGATCAGCCAATTTTTTGTGTAGGGCCCAGCCACCTAGCCGTTCTCCTGAACTCCATCGAGGGTAAACCACATATAAATGATTGTGAATGGAATGGCGATGAATCCATAAATCGATTCCGAAATGGGCTAAAATCTTGGATTCAATATTATGTGGCCTCAAGTCCATCTGATCAATCCATGTGCTCCTAGAATCCCCAGCCGTCGATACATCCACAATAACAATTCATTCCGCCGTTGAATCCATGGCCTGGCCCACCCTCCATCCACCTTCTTTCTGCTCCCTTGATCACAAGCCTCAGGCCTCGGCTCCAGCAAGACTAACTCTTCACGTCTTGGAGAGAAAGTCAATTTCCCACTTCCACCCCGGCCACCCGCCTCAGTCTTTTTAATTCCCGTCACGTTCCTGGGACCCTGAAAGCGTACTAGCCTTCCTCCGCCTTCAAGTGCGTGCTGCTATTACTATTCTTTGTTACCGTTGACCCACGCATTCGCTTTGCGTCTGGAGCTTTGTGACCAGACGCTCAGCAGTTTTCAGCAGTTTCCAAGTACATCATCGCCCGGGCTCCTGCTCAACCAATAAACGGCCGTGCTGCATACAAAACCTGCCACCACCTTGGTCACCGACCGCTATCACCACCTCCATCATCACCATTACCTGCTGAACCTCACTAAAACCTTCACAAGGGTCTCGCACAGGCGGGGCGTCGGTTTCTATTTCCTTGCATGTGCTTTCTCATCATCTTCGTTCCCACTACCATTCCTCATATCCATTCCTATCTTCTCGCGCCGTGAGCAAGGGAGACATCAAAGAAATTGAGGAATTAGAACAAAGAAGAAAAAGGCCTTCCCACTGGTCTTCCACGCTTGAATATTTCGCCAAAACCCTCGGCCTTCTTTAACCACAAAACGGCCTGTGCATCTCACTTCCTGCACTCTTCTTATACCATTCTTGTTAAACCTTCTCTTTTCCTCACCCTTGGACGGATCCTGTAGGCGCACACACGTCACATCCACACCAACCGCACGCCCTCGAAAATGTGGGATCGCCTCATCTCTTGGACAGTCAACTTTTGGCTCGGCTCCACCGCACTCGTCGTCTTTTTGTACCTCGTGTCGTTTGCCGTGCCAAAAGCGAGCTTCTTCGCGCGGTCTTTAGCCTCCTACCTCTCCCTGTTGGTTGCGTCGAGCTATGGCGTCGTCGTGTCCTTTCTTTCCGCCTCCTCGGCCTCGCGGGCAGCGCCCAGTGGGCCGTCGGTCGCATGCTCAAGTTCCTCATGTACTGGACCACAGGCGTCGTCTTCGTGACCGTCGATCCTCATGGGATCCTGAACAGCGTGCGTCCGGCCGTGCTCGTGGGCAACCACCAGACGGAGCTCGACGTCTTGATGCTCGGGTCCATCTTCCCCGCAACTGCACAGTCACGGCGAAAGCTTCGCTCAAGAAGATCCCCTTCCTTGGCTGGTTCATGACTCTGAGCAACAGCATCTTTATTGATCGAGGAAATGCAAAGGACGCGAGGCAAGCTCTAAAGGGCGCAGGAGAGGAGATTGCTCGAAGGAACCAGAGTGTCTATGTCTTCCCCGAGGGCACCCGAAGCTATAGCGACGAGCCCATTCTCATGCCCTTCAAGAAGGGTGCTTTCCACCTCGCCATCGAGGCGGGCGCTCCCATTGTGCCCTGCGTTGTCGCCAACTACAGCCACGTCTTCAACATCAAGGCCCGAGTATTCAACTCCGGCACCATTCCCGTTAAAGGTAACCGTGGGCCTCCCCTCCTTCTAACTATCCAGTGCACTGACAGCAAACTACGCATGCAGTCTTGGCTCCTATTCCGACTAAGGGGCTTACTTCTGCTGATGTCGACAAGCTCATGAGTGAAACCCGCGAGAAGATGCTCCAGGAGCTCATTACTCTCACCGCCGAGGCTCGGGGTACCGTTCCTGCTTCTAAATGAAGGAGCTGTAGGGAGTCGACCTCTTGATCTAGGCAGGGTCGCTTGCCGCTTCAACTTTATGAGTTCAATATTACTTCTTTCAGGTGATCTCTAAGTCTAAGTAGGCAGGTTTACTATTCAAGACAACCTAGTCTTGGCTCAGTGGATCTGCTTGAGAGAACATGCTAGGAAGGTGGTAAAACGGATCCCCAGTCACCCTTGCCCCTCATGTCGCTCTCCCGTCCTATCTAGCTCCCGTCCTCCCCCTTTTCCTATCTTTGGACCCCTTCGCGGCTGCACCAAACCCCCAAAAATTACCCCTTCGCGGAGCTGTATGACCTTATGGCATATTATTCTCATACCGTATCCGCTCATCCTCCTCCCTTTCCGTACTCCGGCCCCCGTATTCCCCATATATTGATGCACCACTCCTTCCCCCAACCGCCACCTTGCAACTGGTTCCTTATTCGGGGCCGCTCTTTGGAATTGGGGTTCTTCATTGTCCTTTTCTGTCTCTGGTTTAGTTCGTGGTGTAGGTGTCATTTTACAGCTCTAGAAATGGCTAGAGTGACATATAGATCAAGGGGTGCACGGCGCTGTCGTCATTGTCTAGACCTAGAGTGTTCTCTTCGTGCCACCTCCCTCGGCGGTGTGGCGTTATCGGCATGGGAACAGCACTTGCTATGAATTCAACGTTTTCTTGGTTCCAATCTTTCCTCTAACCCCAATTCTTCAATGAGGCTCCCCTAGTTTGTCTCGAGCTCGTATTCTTCGTAACCAATGAATGCGTATGTGAGGCGGAGAACTGGCCTTGTTGTACTAAGATGTTTGCCATGCCTACACAACCTATACTATACGTGTACTGACATTGAGTGAGGGTAAGGCGGAAAGGTTCAATTCAGGATTTGAGTCAAGTGGAATTACGGGGTAGGATGTGTGAGTTCTGGCAAGCTGACGGGTTACATGGTAGGCCAAGCCTGGCAGCGGGTATATATTGTGTATATATATCTCTTCGCTTATCTGAATTCAAGTATATTCGGATGCTAGGGAAAGAAGGAGAAAACTTCGTAGATGTACAGTGCCTTATTTCTCTATTACCCCCACCTCAAGTTTACACACACGCCTATTTCAGGGCAGCCTGAATACCCTCGAGGACCTAGATGAAGAATATTAGCCTTGATGTTGGGTATTGTGGTGCTACGCTGAGCGATAAGGGCACGTACCTCGAGCTCAATCTTAGCCTCGGCAATCTCCTGTGCGCTTCCGCTGCCGTTGGCAATCTTCTGGGTCTCGGAAATCTGGGCACGAACGGCCTCCGCGCTGAAGTCCTCGATGGGGTGGGCCTCAACGGCGTTGATGCTGAGAACGGAGTTGGGCTGAACGACGGCAAATCCACCGGAAACTAGAGTAGGTATGCAAATGTTAGAATTGGCGCCTTTTCTTTTCTTTCAGAGAGTGAGGGAGAGAGACGACGGCTGTCTTGCGCCGCGGTCGGGGTGGGTTCAAAGAGAAGAAAAAGGGTCGTCGCATACGGAAGAACTGCTTGCTGCTGCCACCCTCCTCGAAAATCTCAACAAGGCCGGCCTTGAGCTGCTCGATGACGGGAACGTGGCTCGCGAGGATACCCATATCACCAGATTCCGCGGGAATGTTGACCTGGACAACCTCCTGGGAGTTGTAGAGGGACTAGAAGATGAATTGCGGCAATTAGATCTGACCAACATGTCCACCAAAGTATCAACCGGCAACGAAAAAAAAAACCGCGCCAAATCCTCGACGATTCCGCTCCGCTGTAATCAATCGCAAACTACATCAATTGGACTATTATCGTACCTGGTGAGGGAGCGAAAGGCTGAGCTTGATCTATAACGATGACCAGTTAGAAAAAAACCTATCCAGCCGAGGGATTGCGGTGCACCAGGGGTCCCGGTTTCGAGGGGATTCTTGCCTTGTCGGAGACAGCCTCGGCATAAGTCCTCCTTTGGACGGGGACTCGGAGGGCAGCAGGGCGAGCCCTGAGAGCTGCGCGGGCAAAGCGGAAGGAGTTCATGGCGAGCTGATGGGGGTGAATTGATTGATTGACAACGTCTGGCTTGAGCAGCTTCTATCTCCACGATTGTTGATCGGTCGTAGTGTCGGCAACAATTTGAGGTTTGGAGAGTTCCGAATGCGGATTAGCTAATATGTGTCACGTGTGGAGGACTGATTCCTGAGTCAGCATCTCTTCAAGAATGTTCATCTATCCTAGGTATGCACTTGTCGAGTTTTATATTACATAACCAACAGAACCGGAGGTCTTGCCACAGCTCACGATTTTTACAGTTGCATCAGAATTTAAAGCTACGTTTGCCAAGGCGGATGGTAAGCTTGATGAGATCGCCAAGGGAAGGTGGTGCAGCGCCCAAGGCTCTGACATGATAACCTCTCAAATCTGAGGCATAGGAACGGTGTTTCTCGACTTTTCTTTATTGTTCACTGCCAATGACTTCATAGGCTTTCGTTGCTCTATGCGTAAACATCTCTGGCTGGATGCAGGAATGGCGGTGACTGTCATAAGAAGACAAGAGTCTTGACGAGGGGGCCTTTCAACTGTTGGTGCCGGCCTATTCCCGCCCTTCCTCCTCTTTGCCTCGCAGACGGCGATGGGTAGCGGCGGATATGGCAACGACAAATAGGGTCTCTTTGACCCTAGGCGCACTGCTGCTCCGGCGTGCTCCCACTTGGATCTCGCTCTTGCGCGTTAGCCAGAGGGGATCAGCATGAAGCATGGCCGACTCAGATAGGCATGGCGCTGAGCATGTGAAACGGAGGTATATTATTGGTGTGTCTTACGGCAAAAGCTAGGAGGAGGCCATACTTGTACTTTGGTAGGGACCAAAGGAGCGACGGAAAAGAAAAACAAGAAGGAGGATGCACTCTGTGCCGTATCCGAAACCTTACCTCTCCCAGCAGTCGAAATGACTGCATGAAGTAGGGCCGCCACATCCAATATGCGTCGGAGACTGTGCATGTGTGCGGCCAGCGTGGTCCATGACATTGAAGCGTTCGTCTCCGCTGCATGATAACTGGTAGTTTTGGCTTGAGATGCGCCGCCATATGCGCGGGGTGGAGACGGAGCCAACCAAAATCCATCATGTTTTTTCAGTGGCCGTCCCTTCACTAGCGTTGCGTGGCGACCATGGGGAAAGCTCAAATCGTCGAGGCCGCTTTCCGAGATGTCTCAGCCGATGGGTGCTCACCAACACCGAATGGAGTTGCACGCAAGTGCTACCCCGCACAAAGATGGTCTTGATTTCCACACCATATGGAAAGCCTTGAGCTTGAGTGGAGGCGGGATATCAAGCCACCCATTCGAACGATGTTGCATTCATTTTTACCCCTTGCACAACAGGAGAACCGGAATGCACCCGCTCTGAGGTCTCAAGAAGCCTCGTATCTGATCTGTTCATGCTCGGACGGCTGCCTTTCTATCCAATCTCATCGCGCCCTTTCTCGGATTTGCTGAAGGAAGAAACGAGGAGTGAGAGTGTTGGAGCAGCATCGCTGGCACGCTCGTAGTACTTCTTAGGAGAGTAAACGCTGATCCATCGGAGCACCTGTGCCCATGTGGCTCAGGGCTCCTCGGCGATCAGGCGGAGGGGAGCCAGAAGGTCAAAAGGATGGAGGGGAGGATCTCTTGTCGCGTCTGGCGCAGAGGTTTGAGTGGGGGTGACAACCAGTTGCATCGGGCTTGAAGGAGGGGAAGGGTCTGGTGACGTGGAGCGGATTCCTTGCTCTGGGACAAATTCACGCATTGAAACAAAGGGTTCTCTCGTGCAACTTGGTCGATCAGCCATTATTTTATGCACCTTTTTCACTTCCGCTCCGAGCGCACTCTCGGCATGTTCAAGTACACGTTGTTTATTCCTTTCGAGATCTAGAGTCGGGACTTTGTCATGACGAAAGAGTGCAGCCAAGAGCTGGGCGCGTGCGATGACGCGGTGCACAGTCTTAGATGGTGGAGGGTCCACACCACAGGCTAGAAGAGCCGTGGAAATGAGATGAGAACAAGGGGGAAATGGGTTGTTTCGGGACGCGGGCATCATCCTTGATGGCTGAGTCCAGGCAGTAATCAGCAATTTTTAGCACAGGTGTTCCTGGCTCGACTCAGCAATGACAACATATTTACATCGTTTATTTATGTAGAGCTGGGAGCGGATAGTTTGTCCTTCAGAACCAGCCCGCTCAAAGAAAGAACAACTGCGGTGCTGATATTTGGGGTGGGAGAGACATTGAAGCGGATGATGGGATTTGGTAAACTGATCCCAGACACCATCATTGATCTATTAGGAACATTGAAAACAACATTATTTTAAGGAAGGTGTGATGGGGCTGGGGAGCCTGCTGTATTGTTTGGCTGGCCAGCGTTGCTGATTTGCAGTGTCCCACACACAAAGTTTGAGGTAATATCCCGTTCATACGGATCAGGGTTTAGTGATCGTCGCTCATCCAACCTTGTCCAAAGCTGTCGGAGCCAGATGATTGAGGGTCAGCAAATTTGATCCAGGAGGGATTTCCACAAGCTGGTTAAATTTTGCTGTTGGCTTCACGACGCTACGTGGCGAGAGGCGAGCTAATGTTGTTTGGTCCCCGGCTTAGCGGCGCTGGCGAGTGCTCGACGCTGGGGGCACGCTCCGTTTCTGGGTGAAGATGGAGCCTTTTTGGCCGGTTCTGCGGCGTCCTGACAGTTGACGGTGGCCCCCACTTCGCTGTGAACGAGAATAGGCCGGGTGCGAGGAAAATACCCGGACGAGGGATGCCGACTGGAGTGGGTCTTAAAGGCCTACGGCGGTAAATGAGGGTAGTAGGGTGGGGAGGGGACACCAACAAAAGTGGAAGCTGCTCACCGCGAAAGCCGCCAACCCCCATGGCATTGTTCATTGTTGATCGGATTGTGGATCAATTGATGTTTACAAGCAGTGAACGTGGGGCCTCCACGCACAGTGTGGGACACGCACCCTTCTCTCTTATTTCGTTATTCTTTTTTGTCCTCGAGAGGAGGCGGAAGGGGAAGCGGAGGTCAAGCCTTGTAGCCCCATTGAATTGATCACCTTCTTCGGGGAGGGCGCACAACTGACATTTTGGCCCAATTGGCGTCGCCCTCGATCTGCGTTGAAGTGGCTTGAACCAGCTGGTTCCTGTTGATCCCTCTGCGGATGTAGTGGACTGGTCGCTTCCACGAGCACTCTGCTTCCACACCTGTATACCGGTCAGAACACTTGCATCCTATGACGGGCCATGTCAAAGACCTGGACAGTAGCCGATCATTGCCAGACACGGAGCTATGTGGGAGTGTGACACCGCCTTTGCGCAGTGAAAGGGCTGGGTGTATTGCCGTCCAGGCTTGGCTCAGGCTTGGCCGGTCGAGACCGACCCCCGCCAGCGTATCAAGAGCCCTGAAACGAGCCTGTGGTGTTATTCTAGCACAGTGGCGGGAAAATCGATTTACACTCAGCCAATTCATTCGACCTATGATTGATGCACCGAAGGAGGCCAGTGCAAGTACCGGCCAAGTAGTTTTCCTGCTGACGAGCGCGGCAACATTTACAAGTCTGGCTAGCTGACGGCGAGACCGCCTCCTAAAGGGTCATCCGAGCCCAGTGCCGGTTCCTTAAAAGTTTTTTTTTTTTTTCCCTTTTTCTTCTTTTTTTCATCTCCCTTCCCACGAGTGCGGACACCGCTTCTCCGGGTTGGCTTCGAAGCAGCAAGTACCCTGCTTTTGCCCCCATTCCCATTCGCAGCTGCCCGGTGCATAAGCCCACCCATTACCCACCACCAACCCTTGCCCTTCCCATCGACGCAGCCCGTGCGATCCCCCTTGCCAACACCACCCTTTTCATCCCGCATTCCATCCTTACTTTGCCCATGCACAATCAAACCGCTTTCCCCACTTCTAACGTTATTAGTAGTATTACCACCTCGACCCTTCTCCTCTGAATTCCTTCCCTCTCCCGTCAACACTCAAACCTCTCGCCCTTTGAACGTTATCCTGGTGACTTTCTCTTCGAATCTTTTAACTCGACAAAAGCAAACCCCTTCACTCCATACTTTGTCGTGCCACGTTATTCACGATTGGCTTACGTATAATACCTTCGCCTCACAAGGGCTTTGTCGAATCGCCTCTGCTTGGCACTGCTGCGCCACTACTTCTCAGCGCCGCGAACGAGCTGAATCGTCAAAACACCTCGCAGGCCTCGCTGTCCAGCATTCTCAACCTCTCCGCAGCGAAATTCAGATTTGTCAGAGAAGAACACAAGACCGCCCGACGTGGACATCTCCTCCTCGGCGTCTTTTTTCCTTCTTCTCGCTTAGACACAACCTATCTCCAACGCCCGCCTATAGCGCACGATGCACCTCATATTATAGCCAAACGGTCCCTAGGGACGCAATAACTTCGAATCCCGGTGCCCGGAGAACGAAGGCTCAACAGTAATAGAGGCTGATCTGAACAACTCAGACCGGTCTCTCTAGCACTTTTATATACAACGACCCTCGAAAGTCTTAACCAATATTCACAAGTCAACCAACCCTTACTGACCCGATTCTTTACGCGAACACTTGGACCATCCTATTTCTTCAATCCCAGAGTTGGACCAACTGATTTACTCCCTTGTTTCGATTTTTTACCGACGAGATGGATCCGGAAAGGCATTCGTCTTTACCCACACCAGGCGCTGCCTGGTCCTCACAATCGGCCAATGTTCCTCCCCTATTAGACGAAGAGCTGAGCGCTGACGTCGATGAGCCGCCCGACTCTTGCTCTGGCAAGCCGCAGCTTGCCCTCGGAGACTTCAAGAAGACATGCGTCCGGAAGCAATCGGATCGTCAATCCTCGCTCCTCACAAGGGCCCTGCTGTGTGAGCAGGGTGAGGATATGGCCCTTACCACTCCGCGAACCAGCATGCTCTACCGCCAGCGAAGGCGATCTATGACGAGCAACATCAGCCTCGCCTCGACCGTTGATCTTACCAGCGATACCGGCCTGACCAGCCCATCAAGGGCTGAAACCCCCAGTCCGCCCCTTCCCGAGATGCTCACTCTCCGTATCCACGACCACGGCCACCACAATCACCATGGCCTCAAGCCTCGGTTCGGCGCGTTGCCAGGTGCAGGCGCGGTCGCTAGCCAATCCCCGCGGAGCCGTCTAAGAGAAAAAGCATCTCCTTTGCTTGCCTGGGAAAACCTGTTGCGGACCCAGTCGAGAAAAACCGGCCCGCGTGCAGTTTGCTGCTCCTTCCCGCGATGCCAACGCCGAACCCACCCGCAAACCGTGCATCAAGTTTGCCTGCCCCAGCATCGTCCCCGCCACACACTCCTCTAAAGAGCCTAACGCTATTCAAGCTGCCGATGTGATGGCCTCGCAGAAGTCAGCCTATGACGAGCCAAAGGAAGATGATTGGATCCGCGAAGAGCACTTTTCTCCGAAGAAGCGGATCACGATCAAGGACACGCTCATCATGGAAAATCACATCCGGAAAATTGGCGAAGAGGCTGAAGAAGAGGCAGAACAAGAGGAGAATGATGAGGACAACGTGAATGGTGAGGACCTCGCTGATGAGGATGAGGATGAGGATGGAGATGGAGACGGAGAGGACGACGATGAAGACAATGAGGAGGATGAGGACGAAGATGAAGACGAGGATGAAGACGAGACTGACTACGGGTCCGTCGATGGTGATGACGGCTACCATACCGACGAAGAGACGGGCTTTGCTGAGTCCGATGAGGACGAGGACGAGGATGACGATCTCCACCTTTGGAACCATGGCATCAAGCTTGCTATTGGCACTTCTCCTCATCCTCTTCTTGCCAGGCGCCGTTCATCGACCACGGAGCATCATTCTGATTCCTCAACTGCAACTCGTGATGGCCTTGACTCAAGAAGGATGGCCACACCACGACGGAGGATTCCCCGGCCTGTAGTCCCTGAGCTTCCCGACAGCACCGATTTCGTGTGTGGTACTTTCGACGAGGACCGCGAGGTTGAGGAAGCTTACCTGTCTCATCGCGCTGCTGTCAAGGCCCAAAGACACACATCATCCCCCAAGATATCGATCCTAGCTTTCCGACATCCGATATCGAAGATGGTGATGGCGAGGAAATGTTCAATCCTGTCCATGATGAGACTGATGAGCAGATTTGGGAGATGGACGATGTCAACAACGACAAGGAGCGCTCTTCCCGCAAGAAAACCAAGTCTACCCAATGCTCCCCTAAGAGATATCACTCACCACCTCCTAAAGCCCTCAAACTCCGTGGTCGCTCGCCCCGAGGTGTGCCGGATAAGCATTCTCCTCGCCGTATGAGGTCCCCGGCACCCGCCAAAGTCCCCACGTCCACTGGCGCGTCGCCGATTCCCACCGGCGTTCAGTCACGTCTCATCGGGTTCTGTGGCCCAGCTGGTCCCCATACCAAGTCGCTGCCCGCCCCGGCGGCATGATTACTTTTTGAGAGCGAACAAGAAGGAAAGCTCGCGCATGCAGAGAATCACGTCCGTGGAGCCATCGATATTGTCAAGGGACTCGAGAAGAAGCGCCAGAGGCGCAAGGAGAAGTTTTATCAAAAATACTGCAACCGAGCCCGCAAAGGCCAGGTCCAAGAACGCAAGGCCCTCCCTGGCCAGGGAGCGACTAAGATGAGGGAGTTGGGCCTCCTCATGGCCGGTAAGACTGACCGAGGCAACTATGTCCTCTCCGTCTGAGGCAACATTTTAATGCTCCAAGGGTGAATTTCGCCACAAAGCGGAGGACATGCGAGGGATTTTATATCACGCGTCACGAACCGACTTTCATACACACACATCTACTGGCGTTTTTATCATCACACAGCAAATCCAGACCCTTACTCCTAGGCTAGGAATGGAAGGGCAAAGGATATTGAGATTGGTCAATTCGGAACGGAAATCATCATGGGGAAAGGGACCCCTGCATCATTTATGATTTTTTTCTTTTTTTTCTTTTTTTCGTTTTCACTCTGTATCTACTTTATCCATCATAGGGAAACAAGCTCCCCGCTGTATATACACACATTACACACATAACCAAATTTTTAGCATCTTCACGAAGCACTGGTGTCGTCTCTAGTGATCAAATGAACCCCGCTAATTAATGCATGTCGTGATCAAGCATCGTTTTTTATCCATACTTCCATTTCACGTTGCTATCTAACACTGCTTTCCTCAAGAGGTAAGAGAGGGCTGCGGCTGTCTGGCCCCATCGGCGCTGTGACGTGTAAAGCAGTGTAAAATGCATAATGTGACGAATGTTGAGCGAACAGCTCCGATTGGAAAATTAGAGCGCTATCTCACGATGCAATGATTACATGGGGCGAATAATTGGCATCAGTATCTTTTAGGCCGCGTTCTGATGTGGCGACCGCCGCTTAGAGCCGATTTTGGGGGTGTCTGCCTCATTAGGTGCCACCTAGTTCGTTCCTCTGTGTCTCTTGGACTGTGGAGTTTCATCTGATTTGGCGTTGGTTTATTCGAACAAAACTGCTGCGCTGTCCAAATCTCACACATGATTCCCGCCCTAGATATAAGGCAACGAGACCCATTATTCGGGGACGGTCCGTGAACCTTCCTCGACTAAGTCCACATCACCAAAGTGCATCTTGCGACTACTCTCTATCTCGTTTGTCTTTGCCTACAAATTGCCGTTTCTACATCTCGTGGACCTAACCTTTTTCCCCCTTCTTATTTTGACACCTTGAATCGGCACCCATCCTTGACCTTACTCGAACAAGATGTGGATTATCAACTGGTGTACGTGTTAACCATTCCATACTGGCCTCCTCCCCGACACCCCTAAATCGGCGCTCTTGTCGCCTCGTTTTTCTTTTTTTGTCGGCCCCTGGCCCCTCCCGCTGCCTGTTCTCTTGCAACCTGATCCGAGATGATCGAAGCTGACCTTTGACGCTATACTTTTGCCTTAGTCTATGATGTCCTTTCGAGCCTTGGGCTGCTCAACAAGCACGCCAAGCTGCTCTTCCTCGGACTCGACAACGCCGGAAAGACGACGCTATTACACATGCTGAAGGTACGGTGTACCATCCCACCGACCGCTCCTTGGATTACAACTCCGTTCCATCTTCGCGCGGGTTATCTTATCCAGAATTTAGCTGTAGCTAACCACCCCATCCTTGAATTAGAACGACCGAGTTGCCATTCTTCAACCCACTCTTCATCCCAGTATGAGACACCCTACATCAAAACACTAGCGGAACCACAGTGGATGCTAACATGCAACAGCCTCTGAGGAACTTGCCATCGGAAATGTGCGATTTACCACTTTCGATCTTGGTGGCCATCAACAGGGTAAGTCGGCCATTCATTTGAAGATCGCCTTTAGTGCGCAGCGCGTGTCCTGCTAACGCGTACTCCTCACGATAGCTCGTCGTCTTTGGAAAGACTACTTCCCCGAAGTGAACGGCATCGTTTTCCTCGTCGACGCCAAGGATCACGATCGATTCCCCGAAGCCAAGGCTGAACTCGACGCCCTACTCTCCATGGAGGAGCTCTCCAAGGTTCCCTTTGTCGTCCTCGGCAACAAGATCGACCACCCCGATGCCATCTCTGAGGATGAGCTCCGCCACCAGCTTGGCCTCTACCAAACTACTGGCAAGGGCAAGGTTCCCCTTGAGGGAATCAGGCCCATCGAGGTCTTCATGTGCTCCGTCGTCATGCGACAGGGTAAGTGTTGCGTTGCTTCGCGGCTCTGCACAGAGTCGTAGCGGTCCTTTCATCGTGTCTGTTAAGATCACTAACAAATGGGACATAGGCTATGGTGATGGTATAAGGTGGCTCTCCCAGTACGTCTAAACGGCTTCTTGGCTCTAGCATCTGTATGCATATATACAGAAGCTCAAGAATAGCCAAAGCATGTATTCATAAGAGGGGCAAGGGGGCGATGCGGACTGGGGATGGTTGGGGATGATATCTCATCGCGGCTGTGCTACCTGCGTAACCTCTAGTACGCGACCTTAATGTTCAGGGCTTTACGTCCGTCTGATATGTCGAGGCACGGAATGACGGCACTTCTGCCAGGTCAGATGATATGCTATGCACTTGGCTTGGGAGCACGGCAACCAAGAGTGCAAGGTGGACTTTACAATTTGGATGGAGTTCAGGCTCCTCTTGTTTTTTTCGTGGAACTCGACACAAGCGATGATTAGATAACTTATATTGTGCAACCTCATTTTTTTGGTCTCGGCCCTCTTCTTTTTCTCCTTTTTATTTATATTTCTTTTTCACTCCTCTAAACCCCTTTGTAGCCTGATTCGAGGGTCGCTTTCTCACCCTTCTTGTCGGAGTTGAGTAGACCTAACTGCCATCTTGATCGGACCTGGCCCCGTTTCAAAGCCTTGCTGGTGCAGTACCCGAGGCTCATTCCATGCGGGAGATTTATCCAGACGATTCCGCGGCCAGGGCAGGCGTTTACTGAATACAGCTAGCCTTGAACAGATCAACCATTGGGCGAGTCATCATTGGCAGCACGGAAGGCGGACCACGCCCATATCCGGATTTTTGGTCTTACTAGCCCGACCACGCAATGTCGGTACGGTGGAGGCAACATCGAATGACGCCAGCGAATTGTCACCGTTGGGTTTGTAACGAACAGGACAAGGGCACGGCGGATACTTTTATTTTTCGGGGCATAGTTTCATTCACGACAAGGTGCACAGCGCAGCGGCCTTAAACGTGCCAGCCTGGAGAAGAACGGTAACAGCACGTGACAGACGGGATCAGCTGGCCGAGGTTTCGGGGCCGAGGAATCAGCGCGGGTCGTGTCTAGGAGGTGGGATGACATAGTTTCCACATGGTGTTACATGTCCGTTCTAATCCCAACAAGCCGGCCTTCCCAACACCACTTGTGAATGCTAATATTGCTAGTGCCGCGGCCATCGCCCTGTAAATGGTAGAAAATACATAATGACCAAACTTGGCATATCTTGAACACCGTTTGACTCTGCAAGGATAAATCCTCTCTTTGCATGCTCCTAGCTACTCAACTCGAAATCAACAACTGCGATATGGGAATTCAAGGCCCGCCCCACCTCCACCAATAAGCTAACAACCATGTCTGGTCGACGAAACAGCTTCTTCCAGTCCAGCGCCACCAAGTACGGCTTCGCGCCTGAAGCCTTTGATCCCGGCAGCGTGCCGGGCATAGCGGACGACTTTTCGGACCCGGAGGGCATCGAGGCCTTTGCGAATGCCCTACAGGCCCCCGAATTCCACTCCGCTGCCGACGAGCTGTCGTCGCCGAGCTCAGCGAGTTTCACAACCATCCGCAGCCCTCGGCTCATCTCCGAAGACCCCCACGATGAGACGAACACTCTCGCCTCAGCATCTGGCAATGCCGTCTCGCCGGCGTTTCGGCAAACGCTATCCTTGACGCAGCAGCCGCCCTTCTTCATCTCTGCCCAGAACGACTGGGCCCCGTGCACGAAAAGGTCAAGAAATCGCAGAGGCGAAAGAGGCGGGCGGCGCCGGTACACTCGTTGCTAGGCGAGCGGACAAAGGATGAAACCCGCGAGGGCTACCTCTATAACTTGCTCAAGTGGCCGCTGCTCCTAGGCGTCTCGGGCATACTTGCGCTCGAGTGGATATGTTACCTTTTCACGCGACTCTACATATACTTGTACGAGCAGACGGTAGCCTGGCGCGGGAAGAGGGCGACTTTACGGAGGAATATGCGCACGACGAACAACTATAAGGATTGGGTCATTGCCGCCAAGGAGCTAGACAGCTTCCTCGGCCGACAGGACTGGAAGGAGGAAAACGAATATGCCTACTACGACTCGAAAACGATCAGGCGCGTATGGGATCACATGAGAAAACTAAGGCACAAAGCGGAAAGCCTCGAGAAATCCAAGAACAATGAAACGGGCAAAGCGAAACCTGTGGAAGAACTAAGGGTTTTAGCCGAGGCCTGCATCAAGAGCAACTTTGTCGGCGTTGAAGGCCCTAGGCTTTACAGCCAGACGTATTACGGTACCAAAAACCTGGTACAAAATTATATCGATGAGTGTAAGTACCATGCGTGGGCAGCCAAAGTCCGCAACAGCCTAACTAACTCCATTAACTATAGCGGAGAAGACGATCAAGTTCCTGATGAACACCAAACAGCTCCCGAATGACGAGCGACGGGTCTTGTTCAAGCACATGCACGCCAATTTTGGTCGCACCGCCCTCTGCCTATCCGGAGGGGCGACCTTTGCCTACTATCACTTTGGGGTCGTCCGGGCTCTCCTGGACGCTGACCTTTGCCAGAGGTGATCTCCGGCACCAGCGGCGGCGCCCTTGTCGCCGCTTTGGTGGCAACACGCACAAACGAAGAGCTCAAGGAGCTCATTGTCCCTGCCGTCGCAACCCGCATCACGGCTTGCCGAGAGTCCATCTTCACCTGGCTCCCCGCTGGTGGAAGACGGGCGCTAGGTTTGATGCGGTCGACTGGGCTGACCGTTCCACTTGGTGGTGCCGCGGATCAATGACGTTCCGCGAGGCTTACCAGCGAACAGGCCGAATCCTGAACGTTTCGTGTGTTCCTTCGGATCCCCATTCTCCCACAATCCTCTGCAACTACCTCACGAGTCCAGACTGCGTTATCTGGTCTGCCATCTTGGCTTCCGCCGCAGTGCCAGGGATCCTAAACCCCGTGGTTCTAATGATGAAGACGCGAGACGGTACCCTTGCCCCCTACTCCTTTGGCCGCAAATGGAAAGACGGTAGTCTTCGCACGGATATTCCCATCAAGGCACTCAACCTACACTTCAACGTAAACTTCACCATCGTTAGTCAGGTTAACCCCCATATCAACCTCTTCTTCTTCTCGTCCCGCGGCACCGTGGGGCATCCCGTGACGCACCGTCGCGGGCCGGCTGGCGCGGCGGCTACCTCATGTCCACGTTTGAGAACTTCCTCAAGCTCGACATGAACAAGTGGCTCCGCTTTATCCGCCATGCCGAGCTCCTTCCACGGCCCATGGGGCAGGACTGGAGCCAACTTTGGCTTCAGGACGCCTTCGCGGGCACAATAACGATCTGGCCCAAGAGCGTCATCTCGGACTTTGTCCACATTCTCTCCGATCCGGACCCGGACCGCCTCGCGCGCATGATACACGAGGGCCAGCAAAGTGCCTTCCCCAAGCTCAAGTTCATTTCCAACAGGCTGAGGATCGAGAGGCTGATCGAAGCGGGTCGCTTGGAGACGCGGCCTTGGCTTCGAAGGGGCTCCATCGAAACTATCCTTAGCGAGGATGACTTGAGGAGCCTACTCGTAGACGGGGCAAACAGTACCGACGCTGACGACACGGAGGGTGCCGATGTGGAAGAGGGGATCATCCTCGATAGTGATGGAAATTTTGCGGGCATGAAAGACGTGGCATACTCGTCGACATACAAGGTGGACTGAGGGTTGGAGCAATCTCTGGAGAACCAAACCCCGGCCCTGGTCCGGCCTTTTTCATCTTCTTTCTCTTTTCTCTTTTCTTTCTTTTAGGTTTCCTCCCCCAGATTAAGGGCTTCGGATAGAGAGGACTAGCCATGATATATTACTATAGACTTTGACGGCTGTCACAAGACTTCCTGTAAACAGAAATCTGCTTCGAAGACGATGGTTTGGCCTGGCAGCTACGTAGGAATGAAATGATCGATGACTTCTTTAATCTTCCTCTCTACTTCTTTTGCTCGTTGACCTATGTATGGGTTACTTGTAATAACCCATTAACCCTCCTCCTCTATGTCAGCATTGATGGATGTCACAAAATGTTAGGATTTTGGAAGCTTATATGGCGGAGAGTTTTCGTTTTGGTTTCCCCCTTACTCATCAATTAGTCTCTTTCTCCGGGGTCAAAAGCCGTCAAGAGGGCTTTGAGCCCATGCTCCTAGTCATCATCATAGCATACAGATGTGCCTATGCTTACACAAACCGCCGCCTTCCCGTTGTCCCTCCACCGCTACCGCCTTGCTTGTCCTGTGTCCTATTTTCCGCTTCCAAAGACGGGGCTGCAAGGGGAAGGAGAGGTATTAGGAGAGGGCACCGAGGGGGAGGGTAAAGAGGACATGGATCGTGTGTTCAAATCATATATTTTCCACCTTGGTTCGGCGGGATTGTCTTATACCCAGGAAAGTTTTGCCCGTGCGAGAAGCCAGCAATCGCGACATGTTCTAACCGGCCCTGCCTCCATATCCGCAGGCCCCGAAGCCCCTGGATCCCCTTTTCCTTTTGCACCTATCCATAATGAGCTCTGACAAGACAGCCTCTTCTCAAATAGAAGAAGAGGCAAAATATGTAGAATAGCGGAAGACCTAGGAGGGAAGGAGAGAAGGAGAGAGAGAGAGAGAGAGAGAGAGATAGAAAGGGAAAGAAAAGAAAAGAGAGGCCAACAAACAAAAAATTGACAACAAGAGACGTGCACCGGAACGTATCCGCGTCACGTACGCCTTACCCTTCGCTTTATTGCTCCGCGGCTTCACCTCGAAACCAGACTTGAATCGAGCCGATTGCGCCCCCACCCATCTTATCACACACTGCGCGCGTCTTCTTTCTTGCGTAATCGTTACAAAGAATAAGTCAGGATCCAGAAAAGAAACAATAAGAAATCCCTCCCATACACTTCCATACTCCGGCATTGTTACCTGACACCGCCGGAAGGGTGGCATGCTCCGTGTGCTGCTTGGAAGTCGTGAACGTCGTCTGGAATGCAAGATGACACATCTCTAAACAGTACTAGATGTAGTAAGAGAATGTAGAGTCCAACTTTTGGCACCTCAGGCCACCGGTATTTAGAAGTCGACAAATAGATGGCCGTACCTAAACCGTCTCCATGTCAGCTGACGAAGCCTTGCGTCGAATAGTCTCTTTCTGGACACATCTGCGACGAATGTTTTTGGCCAGGGAAGAAGAAGGCGCAACTTACTCGTCAGTTCCAGTCTGGCCATAGCTCTCTGTTTCCTCTGGGTAACGATCGAAGAGACTTGTGTCACCAACGCCGGCTTTCACTGGGGGCGTGTAAGGCGCATCTATATCTTTTCTTGCGAGCCGTTCCCAAGTCACTTCAGCAAACCAGGGATGATTCTTAATATCTGCAGATCCGTTGTATAGGTTACCTAACCGCTTCGTGATGTCCGCGGTAATCAACCTTTCAAGAAGGTCTTGGGCGTCCCGGTTAATATAGGTAGGGTACTTGACAGTGCCACGGAGGATGTTCTCATAGATTTTCATGGGCGACCCGCTGTCCCAGAAAGGTGTGTAGCCGCACAGCATCTCGTAGATTAGGATACCCAGCGACCACCTAGATATCGGATTGTTAGCCCCCATACCGTAACATAGAGCAGTGCGCCCGTTCAAGGCAAGGCGCCGAAAGCGGCACGGAGACCCTATCGAAAACGGAGGGGGACCGGAACGTACCAATCGACAGACTTGTTGTAACCCTTGTTACTCACCACCTCCGGGGCGAGGTAGTCTGGCGTGCCACACAGGGTCCATGTTTTGTCGGGGACCCTTTTCGCAAAGCCGAAATCGGTAATTTTGAGATGGCCATGGCGGTCTAGCAGCAGGTTCTCGGGTTTCAAGTCTCGGTATATAATGTTTCTCGAGTGGAGGTATTCCAAAGCTAGCGTCACCTCGGCGGCGTAGAATTTGGCGACCGGGTTAGGAAAACGCTGGTGCGCCATCCGGTCAGCGGGGGTGGATGAGGTGAGGATTCGAGAGGCACTTACTCCCGATTTTCTTAACAGTGAGAAGAGCTCTCCGCCTTCAACGAAGTCCATCACCATATATAGGTTTTTGAGTCTTGGAAAGTGCCCCACAAGGTGACGAGGAACGGATGCTTGACCTCTCCCAGCATCTTTCTCTCGTCATTGGTGTGCTCTACCTGCTTCATCTTGACGACCTGCGCCTTCTTCAACACTTTGATAGCGTAGAATCTCGTGTTGTGCCTCGACTGTACAAGATGGACTCGGCCAAAACTACCAGTGCCAAGGGTCCTCAAGATCTCGAAGTCCTGCAACGAATACTTGCCCTTTGTGACCCTACCTTGGCTATCCGGCGCAGTGTCGTCGCTAGCATTTTGTTGGGTACCCTGGCCGCCCGTGGGCTGCTGCCCGGACTGGGCAGTTTGGCCGGCGTGCAGCTGCTTCTCAGTATCTGCGTGGCCAGCGCTGGGCTGTGCAGGCGGAGCCATGGCGGAGCTTGCTTGAGCTTGCGCGAGCTTGTCAGGATCTGTTCCCGGGCTCACGGTATGCCCTTGGTGCGTATCGGGGCGCGCTAGATACTGCTGGGACGGAGGCTGGTTGATCAGGTTACTGATACTTGGTAGATTTTGTTGGTCCGGCGAGGATGTAGCTTGATAGGAGCTGGGGTATGCCTGCTGCTGCTGCGCTGCAAGATTCGACATCAGGGGGTGTCTCCAGTCGACGTCGCCGAAGCCGCCGAAGCTGAGATTGTCGGAGTTAGAGTAGCAGGCGCGGCGGAAGCCGACGTAGATGTGGATGGAGGGAGAGGGAAAGAGGGGAGGCGGCCACCGTCGGCCGAGCCGGAGTTGGCTTGAGATGATCTTGAAACAGACGGGGTTACCGGACTTGTAGGTGAGCTGGAGGGATTCTCTCCGTTGGCGTCCCTGGTTCTCTTCTTCTTGAGGAACCCGAGGCTCGGCATATGAGGGGACGATCGAGAGCTTCGCGGTATGGGGTTGATTAGAGAGCAGGGCGATTGGCCGTCGCAATCGCAATATTTGGTGAGGGAAGAGACGGAGGGGTTCCGGTAAAGTGCACCGAAGGTCGAGGTTGCAGCTACGCAGAGATGACGAGGTTGGAAGGGTTTGGAGTAGACGGCGGGGCAGCGGGGTCGCTCAAGCTCTCGATCTTGACATAAGCAGTTTTGTCGGGCAAGAAGATAGGGTCAGGGTTGGGAATGCAATTGAATTGAATTAGAGGAGATAAAAAGTCGCATAGACGTGAGTATAGCAAGGATGGATGTAAAAAGAAGAATAAAAAAATCAAGCGGAATAGCGTGCCCTTCCAGATATCCGGGGATGTCTGCAGCTCGTCGTGGAGGGAGGGCTGGTGCGAGACACGACGGCAGGGTTGCACGAGATAGTATAATAGTAAGTGGGGGTTGTTGGTGGTCACAACCTGCCTTGGTGCCTTGGCCAGCGCTCGCTTGGAGTATTGACGGGGGTGGTTTTTTCCCTTGCTCAACGAGGATTGCAGGGAGGAACACGGCGGGCGGCTGGCGGAGATGAGTCGGGGAGGATAGCTGGACAAGGAACCAACTCAGACCGCCGAGTAGGTGTTAACGTGGGAGAGGATAACGGGAGCAGCTTGAGGCAACCGGCAAGGACAAGTGGGAGAAAAAAGGTGTTGTCTGTGGATTGTAGGTCTGAGGTTTTTTCCCCTTCGTCTTTCTTTCTCGGGTTTTCAGGTGCTTTGAGGGTGAGAGCAGCAGGAAGTGGGCAAGTCGGCGGACTGACTGACGCAGAAGAGGCAAGCTAGCTTCAAGGTTGCTTCAAAGTACTCCGAGCAATGGTATCATGGCGGTCCTGTGCTATGTGCTTTGCTAACGTGGACTGGGCAAATCGATTGGAACGACGGAGGCTGGCGCCAATCGGCTAATCGTAGGAGTATCGCAAACAGCCGAAGCTAGCGGGTCGGAAAGTCAAGAGTGGTTGGATGCGCGGGAGGGAAAAAAGCTTGCAATCAGGTCAAGGTGAGGAAGAGGCTATTACGATCATTCGTTGTACAAGATCAATTGACCTGATGAGCTTGGTGGGGAGCCGCTGGGAGGATCAGTGCCAGGTGTTGTGGGGGATCGGTGGAGGTGGAGGTGGAGGTGGAGGTTGGAGCAGCTGGTGTATTGTCCAGGGTCAAGCAAGAGATTGAACAAGGGGGTTGTCAAGGTGCGTGAGGACTTCAATGTTGTCCGTTGCATCAATGTAGAGTGTGCGTGGTGCGTGGTGCGTAGTGCGTAGTGTGTGTGGTGTGTGGTATGTGGTGTGCGTGTGGTGTGGTCCAGGCAACTTGGTGCTCAATGAGGTTGACGGCTTTTGAGCCACCATGTCCCTTTCTCGTGTCGTCTCCGCCGGAAGGTACCTCGGCGTATTGTGCGGAACCGTGGAGCGGTTGACGAGACCCTACCCTCAAGCGTGGGCGGGGAGCGCTAAAAGCTGAGCGGAAACTCGAGGAGGACGGGCCGGGAGGGGGAGGGGCGTGGGCGGGGTGTATGCTCTGTGCCCAGGCCAATCGAGCCTGGACTGGACTGGGCTGAAGACGTAATGTGAAAGCGGAGCAAGCTTTCCCTTCCCCGCGGGCGGGAAGATTGGGACGGTCCCCTGGCACAGTCCCTTCACAGGCCACCTTGCCGAAGGAGCGGAACGAATTGATCTTTTGAGCAGCACCTTGAAGTGAGCGGCGAGAAGATTGATGCACGGCAAATGGGCCAGGCCACAAGGCTGGCTGTCTGGGTGGCTTCCGGGACAGGTTCTGGATTGGCCGCCAGCCCACCGCTTTGTTGCAGGACATGAGACGTGTTGAAGAGCCCAGACATTGATCAAGTGATTCTAGATTCGAATCTCAACGGGTCGGTGGATGGGGTTTATCAATGATGGATATAGCGTTGAGGTATTTCGACGTGTGAGCCCTCCCTTTGAAAGCAAATCTACCTAGGCTCGGAAGAACTGCTAGGAAATAAAGGTTACGATTCCGCCCCTTCCAGAGGGCATCACGGTGTCGGTGACTTGGGCCGCCAGGGAAGGGGTTTTAAAGAAAACACGGGTTCATCAATTCCTAAGCATGCCCGAGACCCTCCAAGGCCGAGTGTGGCTTGTGGGAGGTGCAAGAGGCTGGCCTTGGATGTTCACGAAGAGAGGCTGGCATGAACATGGCGCGGAGAAGTGGAGCTCTTACACCCGCCAACTGATCAGCTTCGGCATCGGGTCGAGTGCTATCTTGGAGTTCGAAGAACTAATCTACCCCCATCCACTATCCACTATCTACGCACCTCGAGTTTGGAGGATAGGGTAAAACGTGCCTCAGCCTAGTCAAGTGACTGCAGAGAGCTAATCCTCGCCTAGTCTCGCAGTGTTCATATGGAACGTGCTTGCTGCGTGTAAACTCCAAGTTGTGGCTACACGCGCGCATCAGAGCTTCAGGCCTGGTTGACAGCTCTACTACTTTCTTTCGCTACCCCCTTCCCCGAAATCCATATGCAGGATATAACACTCTGCCCTTGACCGCCCTCCTAAAATGACGCAGGGAGGGAGGCAGGAAAAGCAAGGGAAACAAAAGGGGTTCGAAGTGAGGGGAAATGGAAAAGAAAGAACGAGAGAAAAACAAAGCACAGCAACCCCCTATAAAAAAAAAAAGGAATGAAAGAGTCCATTACCAGGTCTACATAAACACTGGGGCAGGGCATTGACTTTGACCATGGCCATGACTGCCAAGGACGATGCACAGAACACTCCGGAGACAGAGTTAGCAATGGAGGTCTAGACCAAATCTAAGTTTGTCAAAAGCGTGTTCCCATTGTCTGCCATTCCTCACAACATGAGTGCGACCGACCAGACCAGACCCTCGTCTTCGGCTGAGCGGTAACAAAAGGGCAAGATTTGCTATATCCCTTATCAAGGTGGTCTGGGCAGAGACAAAACCCTAATACCACGAGAAAACGGCTACGTTGCCAGCAAGTTTGAAGAGCGAAAAGTCATCTTCAAAGGTGAGCCAATCGCTGCTTCAACCAAACGATCCGCAGGCCCCTTGTAACCATCCGTCCAGATTGATCACTGTGCACAGGAGCTGGAGGCGATCCCGCGCACCCTCGCAAACAGCGGCGTGGCGGGGGCAGGGTCAGAGCTTGCCGCAAGAAAAGAAACGTGCGGAGGGGTTGAAACACGCCTGGTAACTTCAGTTGCATCTCGTCCCTTGCCCAGCATGCTTGAGGATATTAATACCTTGAAAGGGGTTCAAACCTGCCATCCTTGCTCTATCAACGGAACCGATGAGTTGAAATCAGCGAGACCGAAGGCTTCGGACTACCTCGGTACTGGCAAGTCAATTGACCACAATGGTCAGTTGCTCAGGGACTTGCTGACTAGCTTCCTCGCTCCACAAAGATAGATCAATTTCAACGAATGGTGGATCGAGTGGATGACGCAGATAATAGACCACATGCAGACTCTGTGCTTTTAAGTACATCCATAGATAGATCTATTCTTGCCAGTCCATGGATCTAGCATCGAAACTCAGGTCGGCCTGTGTGCTCCGTTCACGAAGGGCGGTTCGTGGAGCGAAATTGCGTCGCTAGAGTAGGAATGTTGCACAACTTTCTGCTCAGGTCATGATAGATATTTCATTCCGTGGATGGTAGCTAGCTTGGGCCAGCTTGCTCTAGTACATCCATGATCTATTAACGGATCTACCTGGCAGTTCATGGTGCTCTTCTCATTCAAACCCCACCCGCCTTGGCACCTCCTGCATATCTTCCACTCCAGTCCCCGTTCTCCACGTGGGGAGCCAGCCAAGCTATCAAGCAAAAGGAAGGCAAAAATGTGAAGAAAGGCAACGGCAACTGACGGAGAGGAGGGCCGAGTAGGGAGGTTCACATCCGGTCTTCCCTTCACCCCGCATGTGACTGCGAGGGGCTCCCGGCGAGGTCGTCAATCAACAATGTCAGTGGCGTTAAATGGAATTTAGTCGATATCCGACCCACCTAGACCAACCTGGGAACATCCACTCCACTAGTGGTCTTGATCCCCTCGGACCGCAAAAGAAGCCAGTCCACCATTTTTGACTATTGTGGCGCCGACCCGCTTTCTCTTTGTGCTCCCCTTCCCTGGTGACTTTTGCCCCCCTCGCCGCCCGGGCACCTGTCTCCGACATCTCATACCCGTGCACAGGTGCAGATAACGTGGGATTGCTGGTGGGCGGGCGAGGCTTCGGCCGCTACAAAGTAGAGAAAAGAGGATCTGCTGCCGGAGGTGATGGGACCAGCTGGAAAGGGACTCTCCTCTCCGCATTGACAATCCTTTCAAGCGAGAGCATGGAAGGATAGAAAGGGGATGGGCCTTGATATGAACGATTTTGTCGCACCTTACGACAAGGTCTCCTACACCTGCAAAGTCGCCCCCGTCACCAAGATTCGAAGGGTTCGAGGCCTTTGGTATCTCTTGCCGGGAGGGGGGCTAGGTATCAGATGATAGAACTTTGTCGTAATGGAGAAGATCTTGTGTGAAGCATGGACGAGGTGATGAGCTTTTTAATCGAGGTGGATGTACTGGTGTTGTCTTGATGCCCGCAGACCTGGCCTAAAGAGCAGGGGAAACAATAGTCAGGCACTCTACAGATCTCCCCAACCCGGAACAAGGGTGCCCTCCACACTGATTAAACCAATCTTCTATTCTGCGTGATGAACACGGTTGCTATCTAGTGTATAGTACCTTTACCTCGTGTTGGAAAATAGCGAGAAGCTGGCCGCGAGACCACGGGTATGCATTGTGTAGGGGTCAACGATTGGATCAAGATCAAGACAAAAGAAAGTTTACTGCGTGTGTTGAAAGCTTGATGTTGATAATACACATATAGCAGATATACGCCGCTTATAAGACGAGTAGGATAAGATGAGACTAAAAGGAGGGCGCCCTCAATACACAAACTTCCTCCGTACACAGACACCGTGCTACCCATTTACAGGCATCACCGCCCGCCTGCCTTGGGCCCGACGACAACACACCATACTCTGATACTTTCGTGATAACCTCCTTTGTTTTTGTTTCACTTTCCCGCCCTTTTGACATGGTGACTAGGTGAAAGAGCAGCTAAAGCGGGACTTGGATAGGTTGGTTAGTTCCTTCGTGAGGCTAAGGTCTTTTAGGGCTGTCAACGCGTCTAGGAGAAGTTGTTGACGAAACCAGGGATGCACATATTCATAGAAAGCCATGACAAAAACCCTCTCCGTCTCGGCTAGAGACAAAAGTGAAAATGAGAGTTAGAACCACCAGACGATTCCTCGTTTCCGGCTTCTGATAGAGCTCGTGGCGGCTAGGATATCCGCCCGCATCAATAATCCTTGCGCCGCTTGAGTCCCAGCTCAACGGCCTAGAATCGGTGGGACTTCTTTGACGTCCTCCAAGCAGTGTAGCCGACGTAACCTCCGACCAAGACGACCAAGACGAGAACAGTCTTAAGCAAGAACCCGAACCAGGAACCGCCCTGGTTGGGCTTCTTGTAGTTGGAAGACTTTTGGGGCTTCTTCCTTGCCGGTAGCGGCCTTGGCCGACTTGGGAGCCACGTAGAGGTTTCGGGCACGGATCGAGATGATGTCGTGGTTATCGCTAAGCTCGCCTGTTTCGGCACTGAATCCGAGATACGAGATCTGAGGCATCGCCGGGGGCTCGTTGGTCTCGAAGCAGCGAGTCCACTCGTCCTCAGCCTTGTACTGGAGCTCCAACTTGAGGCTCTTGTCTTGGAAGTAGGTCAACTTGAGCTTTGTGGGCACTTGGGCATTGCGGATGCCACGCGCCGAGCAGCCAGCGAGCTCTGCATTCTTGCCGTCGCTCTCCTTGTCATAGCGCGTGTTTCCATCGCCAAACATGGCCATGATGTAAGGGAAGACGACGCCGGGCCTATTGTTCTTATAGGTATCGAAGAAGATGCCGAGTCCGTTGAAGTTGTCGGCATGTCCAAAGACGGGACCGGGAGTGGCTCTCTCCTTGGTGATCCACATGGCGAAACCATCGCCGAAAAGCTGGTTCTTGCCCGAGATCTTGAATTCGACCTCGACCTCCCAATTCGTGGCCGTGAGAGGGACTCGAGAGAAGATCCATCCCGCTTGGGAGGGCCGATCGGAGGTAAGACGTATGTATCTACCGTTAAAGTACCTAAGTCAGCCATTGCTTAAAGCATTTCTTTTCACCAGAGTTGCCCGGAGCCCCTGGCGAGGAAGGAGGATGGTGCGGAGACTAGGGCTATCAACACATACGAATCGGTTCGAATTATAGTATCGCCGCCGAAGTCATACCACCGACTTTGCATATCAGAGTCAAGATAAGGCTATGGTTTGTGTTAGAATGACGTTGTCGTGGCTCAAGGGAGCTTGGAGGTTTGTGGCGCGAGGTCGCTTACCTGAACTAAGGTGTGTGTCCGCAGCTAAATCAATGTTAGGAAACAGCACGCAGAAGAATACCATAGGTGGATAGAAGCTTACCGCGATGCTCTTGACCTCTCCTTCAGGCTCAGCCGAGGAAGGGGTATCCTTCTTGGCCCATGCCAACGCCGCCAAACTCGCAGCGGATAACCACGATGTGAAGCGCATTGTGAGTGTTGGTCACGAGGACTCCTGGATCTCGTGGGCAAAGGCAATGCGGAGCTGGTTAAAAAGCGACCAGAGTAAATATAAAGAGAGAAGCCGTAAATGGATACCGAATCGAGAAAGGAAAAGAAAGGATTAGGTCACGTCCTGCTCCGCCGAAGCATTAGTTGGCAATAAAAAAAGGCGTCTTTCCCCAAAGACGTTCTCAATGGCTCTTTGGACCTGTCGCGGGTTACCATCACTGCGAACAAAAGCTGTCCTCTTCGAAGGTCAAAGCAACCTTGGAACATCCGATGCTTAGCCGACGCTGCGGCAGCCAGCCCCAAGGATGAACCATTGCCTGTGCACCAATCCGGCACCGCCCCAAAGTTGTGAGAGAGAGTCTGCGCGATTCAATTTGAGGCTTGAATCCGGGGCTGATGCCCCACACGTGCCACAAAGGCTGATGATTGATGTCACAGGAGTTCACCACAGCGAGTTGTTGTTTAGTGACGCGACAAGGGTTGAAACAGCCATCTCATCCAAAACTGGTCGAATCGTTGGTTGGACATTCACGAAGGCGTCTTTAGCTTCTATGTCACACCGATGCTAACTGGCCTTCTCTTGGCCTTGGAGGCTGCGAGGATGGGGAGATTTCGCGAGTGAGGGAAACTGTTTGTTTGACCGGCATTGCGTCTATCCGTCTTCACGCGTCTGCACAACGAGTTCCTTGAGTGTCACAGAAACTATTTACACCGGCTTCCTACTCATGATGCACGCCGCTACATGTGGTATTTTTGAAGCCGAGCTGTCAGCGCTTACCAGCAGTCTCCTCCCAAACGATTATCGAGGGCCTTGGCCAACCGTGCTCTTTCTCCTGGGCTACTCTGACCGAGTCACGGCTAAAGCAGAGCTTGGTGGGTGATAACTCTGGGCCTAGTACAAAGTACGTATCGCACCATGACCCAACACGGGCACTGTTTAAATCACGCTGTGACGAATCCAAGGTTTTGGCAAAGATCCACTTACTCTAGCTAGCCCTCACAACTAACGAAGTCTGGGGGTTGTCCTGCGCTATGCAAGAGAGAGAAGCTGAATAATGGTGCCTCTTTTTCTTCTTCAAAGTTCTTCTTTTCCTACTTGTATATCGCTGGTCATCAAGAGGTGCCCGTGTTTCATGAAGCTATTGCTGAGTATCCCAGGAGTTTGCCCCTGTCCCGGACAAGATCCTTCCCAATATTCCAGGAGTTTAAGGGTGCATGATTGGGTGGTCAAGGCCAAAAGAAGAAGAAGAAAAGAAACAACTGAGGGCTCCCACTCGGACGTGCCACGTTTTGGGCCTGGTGCCCCAAGAGGTTGTTGCTCTTCGCTGCCTTGAGCCCTTTGGAGGAACAAACAACATTCCATGTCCTTGTAGCGGAGCGTGGGTCATTCCCCATCTCCCCTTTCAGACCATATATCTCTTCTAAATTTCTTCCTTTCCGAGACTTCCAGAAGTCCTTCGGATGTTGGTGCTGTGTGAAGCACTATTACGGCAGCGAGAAGCTTGATGAATGCGTGTGCACTGTCCAACCTCTCAACTCAGTCATAACCTTGCCTTCGGAAAACCTGAGACATTGATAGTAGCCCTCCGGGCTGAGAATAAATGGTTAAAGGCTCAGCTATTAATAGTTGGATTTCTTTTAACAAGGACCTGAGACAACTACAAATTGCTCTTCTTGGAGATGCTAGCAATAACTACGAGGAGCCCTGGCCAACAGGCTCGGCAGCAAACAATCTTGATCCCGAATAGTGTGATTTGGGGACCTGGATCAATGCTGTTGGCCTCTCGCTAGGTCCCCAGGATCATTGAACAGAGATCGTTTTAGCATTGTGCGAGGTAAACTCTAATGCAATGTGATCTTTCACTCATTCAATGCTCACATAATGTACGAAGAAAGGAGCGGGCCGGGCGAGACATGGGCATGACGGCCGAAGATACTCATTAACTGCTGCGCTGTGCTGATATGACATTTGTACTTGGTGCATCCACCTCATCGGGCCCACGATCGAGTTTACGTAGGCATGAGTAAGAGAGTACAGTCGACAAAGTCTCTCTGTGGGTCCGCGCGATATAAAACTAGTGGAGGGGGCGCAAACGAACATTGCAGTTAACGAGTGCCTCTCATGTGCCTCACGTTCGATCCGTTCGGCTTCCTGGCACAATGCTCGGTGGGTTTTTGATAGAGTGCTGGGAGTTGGGGAGGGGCAGATGAGAGGGTCTCCTGCTCAGACGGGACCAGGCATTTCATCATGCCTGTGCTGGCAAACCCTCGAGAACGCCACCTGATCTGACGCTAAAGGTCAGACCGATTTTTACCGGCTTGACATTCCAAGTTAAATGTTTTTTACGCACCGGAGATATTGTCTAGTGTCGTTATCAGGATTACGAAGTATCCTGTCTATCTCTGAACCGGGCTGGTGTAGATGCTATGAATGGTCACCCTCCCGAGCCCTCAGCATTCGCCATCTATAATTTTTTTTGTTTTTATTTTTCCCGCTTTGCCCCTGTCGCATTGAGGGGGTATAGGCTTTCCTTCTTGAGAACCTTTCCTGAAATTGGTTGAATAATAAGTATGGTGATACGACAGCGGGTGATGGGTGAGGGAATCCAATCTGTGGCACGACTTCCCACACGAGTTTGTCAGGAGTTTGGTACATCAATTGATCTACCGTTCCCCAAGCAGCAGCACTACGAGGCGAGACACCATGGATGGGTGTATTAGATTCCTTGGTTTAGTGGCCCCTGTGGACCCCAGGTGGTGGCAAAAGGGCTCTGGGAGGGCACGAGAAGTTCTGAGGCACGCAGCTGCCAGAGAGTCTCGAGATGGACAGATTGGTCCATCCAACTATTCAACGACGGATCACTCCAGTTCCGGAGACGAAAGAACGAACGGATTCGGGGTTGGACAGCATGGAGGCTTGCGAAACTGAGCACACTAAGGTATTTGACCTACGACCGTCCATTCTTTTTAGAGCAGTGACTGAAAAGAGCCTGAAGGGGGTAGATGCCCCATTTCAGATGACACTTGAAGACTGTGATGTTCAAGGAACTCTCTTTGGGCCGTTTAAATATTACATGTATCCATGGATGTTTTAGCCGTCGTAAATACTACTGCTCCGATGCGCGGCACTGTAATGAAGGATCTTTCTCATTTTCTCTCTCTCTCCCTCTCTCCCCTCTTATTAACGGTGATGGAAAACCGATCGGCTCTGGTTTCCGCCTTGAAAACCTCAATACATCCATCCGCATCCATATCCCGCACTGTTTGACGACGAACCATAGTTTTTGGTCTGAGACCAGTCACCCTGGGTCACCCTAGGGACGGGCTTCAGTGAGAGACAAGTCGAACTACATCTAGAATTAATCCACGGATTTAAGCGCGTCTCCAACCAAACTTATTGGAAAATTGTTCTAAATGTTGTATTTGGTCTCCCTCAGGTTGACTCGTGAGATGATATTCATAACCGGGACTGAAGGTTTTAATTTTGGTGGAATCAACACGGCGAGGTTGATAGGTGCAACGATTCTGGCAGGACAGTATGTGGTGAAGCCTCTGGTTTCTGCGGCCCAAAACGAAACGGCACTGGGACCACAGTGCTCATTTGTGCTGGTTCGTGACCTTCCAACGTTTCGAAGGGGACGAATCGCCAGCGGCAGGGAGAATGTGAAGTTGACTACATGAAGCGATTAATTGATCTCCGTGAGACGACAAGGTGCTCCTGTCACCATACTCTGGATTGTTCGTTCCAGCGACGTCGGGTGGACGGCGCTCTGGCAGTTTTGTGCACATTGTCCCAAAAAAAAAAAAAAAAAAAAAAAGAAAAAGAAAAAGAAAAAAATACGCGAGCCTATTATTACGCACTGTCTCTAGTGCTTGATGAAAAGCGTTGCTGATGTAGCGCATACATTTATTATCTGGGCTACCGTATCTGTGAAAATGGCTGGTTGGAAGTCTCTCATACCATGGTCAAAGACAGTGTCAATAGAAAAACGGACGCCGTTCACCAACAAAAATGAAAGAAAAAAAAGTGGCTCTGTGGCTCTGTGGCTCTGTGATCTAGCCCAAGGTGACCCACGGAGCGAACTGGCTGGCTGGAATAGATCCATTGGATCGAATAAATTGACTTGCTGCCTTTTGATGGATCAATGGTTGCTTATCCGTCAAGTCCTGGCTGGCCCCCGCCCACAAAACGCCCTGACCACCACTAACCGTGGCAACTGGCACTGGCCCGGCCTCACATTTCAGAGTTGATCCTCCAGTTTCCATCACGCAAAGGATTGCGTCCCGTCGTCGGGCTCGGCGTGTTTTCCCCTCTTCACATTGTCTTTTCCTCTACTATCCTACATGCTCGCCCTGAACCTGCGATCTGCCACAGTCAGATTCTCGGACTCTTGCAAATACAATCACCATCTCGATAATCATCTGCCGGTTTGAAATTTTGTAATCTCTCCAACTCGGGAAGATTTTGGGCTCGATACACGACTACCACCAGACCCTCCACTGTCACCTGCTGCCACAACGGCGCGGCCATAACATTGAGGGCCTAGCACAGGGGCTAACCTCCCAAATCAGTTGATGCTGCGGGCGGGAAAAAACTACGCAGGCGCTGGCTCACGACCATCGCCCTCGCACACACTCCACTGCGGGCCTCGCTTCCCCAGCGTGCACCGCTGCCCCAACTTGATTCACTCTTCTTTTGTTTCCCCCAACACACGTCCTCTCGCACACACAACATCGCCTCTCCTGCCTTCCCCTCCCTTTACCCTCTCTTCTTAGAGACTTCGCTAGCAGCGATAAAATCTCGTCAAGAACATTGCTGCTGCACATCTCGAAATGTCGACTCCAACGACGGCTACGGCGACACTTCCCCATTACCGCCCTCATCACTACACGTACCCGACCAGTGGGACGCAGTCTTCGTACCGCTCCAACGGCCTACCACACCCTCACTCCACCACAAACCCAATTCTCCCTCCAGCAACTGCAAATTCGGCCGCGACAAGACTCCCTCCTCCCACATTCTCGAGTACTTCGGCTCAATATTCTCCTTCGTCCACTGCAAATAATGATTCCCAATCTGTGATTTCCAACGCAAGTACAAACGGGAACGGCGTACCCATCCCGACGACGACTACTTCGCGTCCCTCCTACACCATGGCCAACATCCGCCCCGAAACCGACTATTCCGCCGCCCCGACGCCCTCCTCTCACCAGGCCCCTCAGCGAGACAGACCTAAGCGAAGACGCTCGCGGGAGCCGGACTGGAGCACATTTTATAAAAATGGTTTACCTAAAGAAATCATCGTCATCGATGACGATAGCCCCGAACCCCAGACTGTTCCCTCAACACAGCGCCCCGTGAATGGCGGCGCCTCAGACACCTACACCAATGGCACCGGCTCATCTCGGCATGTAGTCAAGAAGCGAAAGCGAGATGACGAAGCCCTCAACGTAGAAGGCGGATACTATGCTCAAAAATACGCTACTTCACATACCTCTACTCCGCACATGAATGGCAGCCTCTCGGCTTCCATCTCGACTGACCGTACCACGGTCCGTACTGCTGCTGCGACCTCGCTGTCATCCAGTTCCCAGTACGACTACGAGGTTCAACTCGGACAGAAGAGGAAGCGAACGCGGCAGCAAGTCGCCAACGAGGCCAAGCGCCGCGAGGTGGAAGTTCTCGGCGATGCCTTCATCAGTTACAAGCCGCCTCCCTACCCCCTAAAAAGGCTGGCGAGGTGCCTGTTCGTGTCGTCCATGATGTGAGTTGTTTTCCACACTTCGCCCCCGCATGCGTAATACAGGACGTTACTAACCCGCTTGCCCAGCACACTTACAACAAAAGTCTCAAGGTCGATGATGACGATGGCCACTACATCGTTGTGCCTGATGCCGACCTAACGGACCGATGTGCGTACCTACCTCTTTTGACACCCTTGCCCGGGCCCATGTCGCCATCTATTGCACCCAACTGACTTATTTCCCTCTTTCCTCATTAGACCAAATGGTAAAACTCCTCGGCCAAGGTACCTTTGGTAAAGTAGTCCAGGCCCGAGACCGCCGTCGAAATCGCCCCGTTGCCATCAAAATCATACGATCAGTTCAGAAATACCGCGATGCTTCGCGTATTGAACTTCGGGTCCTTGCCACCCTCAAGGCCAACGATGAAGAGAATAGGAATAGGTGTATTCACCTCCGTGACTGCTTTGACTTCCGCGGCCATATATGCATCGTTATGGATCTCCTCGGACAAAGCGTCTTCGATTTCTTAAAAGGCAACAGCTTTGTTCCCTTTCCTAACAGCCAAATCCAGAGTTTTGCACGACAACTTTTACCAGTGTTGCGTGTATGTGTAACTCCTTCCATTCCTGCTCTCCCAAATGAACCCAACAATCTATCGTACCCCTTTATACTGACTTAGAACTAACCAAATGGGTTGTAGTCCTCCACGATTTGAACCTGATCCACACGGATCTAAAGCCTGAGAATATTCTTCTCTGTGACAATACATATCAGACCTTCACCTATAATAGGAAGATTCCGTCATCATCCACAACTGTCAGCCGCCAGGCCACTCAAAGGCGAGTTTTGCTCGACACCGAAATTCGGTTAATCGACTTTGGATCCGCGACCTTCCAGGATGAATATCACTCGTCTGTTGTCAGCACCCGGCATTACCGGGCTCCCGAGATCATCCTAGGGCTTGGCTGGTCGTTCCCTTGCGACATCTGGAGCATTGGCTGTATTCTTGTCGAGTTCTACACTGGCGATGCTCTTTTCCAGACGCACGATAATCTCGAGCACCTAGCGATGATGGAAGCCGTCGTTGGCTCGAGGATTGACTCGAATCTTGTTCAGTCAGTGAACAAAATGGCCACAAGAAATGCCGGAAATCCTGCTGCCAAGTATGTCTTGAACCGGCCTGTATTTGTCTCGGGAACGTTGACTGACTTAACTGGTCACTTTAGGTACTTCAAACGACTCAAACTAGATTATCCCACCGCAGAAACAACGAGGGCATCGAAGCGATTTGTTAAGGCGATGAAGCAACTCAACGTTGGTCTTTCATTCCCCCGTTAGTCATAGAACTATGTGGCTAACTTTACTACAACAGGACATTATCCCTTCAGCGAATCCTTTCCTAAAGAACTTCCTCGATCTGCTGAAGAAGATTTTTGTTTACGATCCAACACGCCGTATCACTGCTAAAGAAGCGTTACAACACCCTTGGTTCAAGGAACCCGCACAGCCAGATGACGGGACGGAGGCGGCGAAGATTCGTGCTGACAGGATGCGAATGGAAGCAGCCTCGCTTTCGTTGGAGGCCCGTCGTCTCCCTCCTATTCGGGCATGAAGTGGGGATAAAGGGCGGGGAGGGTCTGCTACTTGATATAGAGACTGTGGCAGCTCATTTATTTAGCCTGAAGGGGCGGCATGTATGTACTGGACAACGAGGTTCATGATGTGTCTTGATGGATGGTTGCATAACGGTTATGATCGGGAATGGTCACGGTTTTTAAAGGGAAGGCAGGATCGCCCAAAACGACATGGGTCTCATTGTTCGTGGCTTGGCCTTGAACTGGTCTCTTTTTCGCCCCGCTGCGTCCCCGGATTCCATGTTTCCGACGTGAGCTAATCCCGTTTTCTTGAAAGGCCGAAGGACATCTTCGGTTCTTCTTCTTTTGATGTTTTATATTTTTCTTTTTTTATGGAGGCGTTCAAAGGACGGTGGGACACAACCGGCCTCGGCAATGGGGATACTCTGGCACTTAGAATACCGAGCATTGATGTACCAAGCGTGTGCAAGGAGGAATGGGCATGGTCATGGAGTTGAGCAATCACTCATATTTGGGATTGATAGTCCTTTTTCTATTCTCTCAGTCTTTATGAGAAGAAATGCCAACCGGTACTCTGAGACCAAAACTAAGGCTAGGCACGTTCCGCAACCAGCTGAAGAATGTGATATCCACATGGCCAGACTGCTCAAGGTACGTCCTTGATCAGCAATATTTCGTAGCATTTCTATTTTTCAATGACAAACTGGGCCACTCTCGAAACCAGGACGCTCTTTGAGATTATAGAGAGAGAGAGAGATAGACCATTGGAAGAGAGTGACTCTTGGTTCTCCTATCCGCACGTGTTTCGCAGAGATGCTGCTTCGCCTCTCTTAATCCGTTCGACACACCAACTTGATCTGGTGTTGTTAGCACAGAGAGACGCCGAACCTTTCTCGAGGCCCAGCCGCGAAAGTATTCTACGGGGACAATGGACGGGCGTATTTGGGGTTCTACGCGCATCTACTCACTTCCACCTCGACCGGCGCGTGCTTTGTTCCCACCTGTGTCTACCTATCTCAAGCCAGGGACTAGGAAGGTTGGGGAATGTTCTCCCCACCCGCCCGACAATGTCGGATCTGAAGCCACAGCATCTTCCTCTGTGCTCAACGGGGTGGGATGCGCGGGACCAGGGCGCAACCCCACGTCATCAAGCTCATGCTCCTACATGCGTTTTCCTCGCGAGCGCTTAACATTGTCATGACCACGTTGGACGTACAACTGGGCGCCGGGGCTAGATATGCGTGGATTCTGGATGACCGCTCCGTCTGCCAACTGACCAACTTGCTCGCCCTCCCGCCTCGATATGGAACAGCCCGCCCCAGCGCGAAATGGCTCCGGCTCCAGACTGAGATGATCAAAAGGCTACAGTCAACGCTCCTCCGCCCGAAACCGGTCCTGCAGCGCCTCGCCGTGAAGGTCACCGAGGCCGTTCCAATCGCCGGCCTCCCGCCCGCCGCGATACTGTGTCCCGTGCACAAAAGGTTGCATCCCTGGATCATACGTGCCCTCTTCAACCTGCTGGTGTCAGAGGTCACGCTGCGCTGCGAGCGGCTACAGACGTACCGCGATGGAGATGGCGATGGCGATGGCGACGATAGCCGTGTCCGGAAGCGGGCCGAAACCGTCCGCAAAGTACTAGACCGGCTGCACTCCGTCAATGCGCTCTGGTTGTCCAAACAGGCGTTCCGCATGATCTTTGGGCGGCTTCCGGAGCACAGCGAGTACGTGAGGCTGGTCGAAGTGGTGGGCGGCTGCGAGGCCTGTGTGCTCTCCTGCATAGGCTCCCGCGGGGAACTCTTGGCCGACTTAAGGGCAAACATGCTGGCCAGAGCGACACGGGGAAAACCCCGGCTCCTGAAGTTTGTGGACGGCTGGATAGACTGCTTCGACGATGAGTCGGCAAAGAAGATACGGGAGCAGAGCGAAGCGATGGGTAAAGAGCTGGGGAAAGCCAGGAGGTTTCTCTCGAGGATGAGAAGAGAGCGGCTCTCGAAGCGTGAGCAGAACATCAACGAGCATAGAGAACGGAGAGCGAAAACGAGAAATGTGTCTTGTGAGGGGACGAATGCCTTGCCGGTGGGCTCTAGAGGTGCCTCGTCTCGCCGCACGCACCCAGCCAGCGGCACCGACTCAAAGACCCCCACCGCGACCAAGACGCCAACCAGCCCACGTCTAGCCGAGAAAAGGTCCCAAACAAAAACTTACCTTCCGAAGCCGAACGCCTCGGCATGCATATTGCTGATTACTACGCGCGTTCTCAAGTCAGCCTTGCCGATGTCCAGTCCCTCCAGAAAGCCATGCACCCAGCATTTCGAACATGTTCACCAGCGCCACCCCAACCATTGAAGCTTAATCGCAAACAAGAACAAGACCCCCAATCAACGTAGAAGAGGCAGCCTGGGAGACGGTAAGCGATCAAACGAGGGCCTCGTCTTCTTCGCCGGATGCTTTGCCATCCCCAACCGTTATGAAAGAGGAACCTGCTAGACCCCGTGGGATGGGCCCCCTCAGGTTACACAGAGATTTGGCCCCTGATACGCCACCCTCGGGAGGATCCAGGTCTGGGTCTGCTGCGCAACGGTGGCCGCGGAATGTCTCCCGCCGTGCCGACAGGGACAACGCCCGTTTTCGGCGGAGTGAAGAGGGTACGACTGCTCGAAAAGTGAAAAAGCCGGGCGGGTTCGGATCCGAAAATTCTTCTGTGGGCTCTCGCCCCCGAGAGGTAGCCTCAGGATCGCACCCCGAACCCCCGCGGCCAAGCCCACGACATTGGTACGATTCTCCGCCAGACGGCGCACAGGCCGTGGTTGCGTCGGTATTTTACCCGCCCTCGAGCTCCTATGGTACCACAAACAAGATCTACCTTCCACCACCGAGCACGCCACCCGACGTCGAGCGAAGAGCTATCGTGGAACACGAACAGAATGTGGAGGAGGTCTACATCGGGTGCACCCTGAGAGAAGTAGGAGATGGATGGGACTCTGAAGTATCTATTGTCCGGGACCCGTGGGGTTGGGAAGGGAGTGATCTCCAAAAGACCACGGTGAAAGAAGGGGAAAGTAGATGGAGTGTGCAGGAGGGCCAACCTTCGGGGAGAGGAAAGCGAGAGGTTTCATCTTTGGGCCTACCTAGGTTTGAGGCACTTTGAGATCAAGCCCAGCAAGTATCAAACAGTGGCAGACTAACACGAAAGAAGTAAATGGTCAGTTTCTGTATTTTCTGTATTTTCTGTATCTCTGCAAACACAAATTGCCGGGGGTCCGGCTGAGATAACGTGACAATGCCTGTTGCTATTCCTGGCGGGGAGTCATAAGGACGGATGCTTGAGAAAGAAGAACGCAAAGGTGAAGGGGGAAAGGGGAAGAAAAAAACTAGATTGTATGCTGCTCGTTCCTGTACTCATGTTTCGTCGTAAGCTCTATTTGAATCCGGCCCAAATGAATTAAAAGGATAAGGAGAAGACGAAAGAAAGAAAAACAATGGAAAGGGGAGGAGGGATAAGGAGAAAACAGCAGGGATGATAGCTTCGATAAATCGTGCTCAATCAGCCTTTGGCTTTCTCCCTCGGAACAGCATCATCCTCCCAATGATCCAGGTGTCTACCACCTCAAACTCTCTTTCGAGCGCATCGACAATCTCGTCAGGTCCGTCCTCAGCATTGGCGAATATGCCGACAAGCCCATATGCCGAGATGAGGAAGCGCCCTAGAAGGCCCTCCCGGAATGCCATCTGTGCCTCTCGCGCGGGCCCAAAGTCTACTACCGTTTTCCCATGCTTTCTTCGAGGCAGCCAGTCGATGATGTCGGCGGGCGTCGAGGTGGTGCGGGTAATGCGACCGAGCACGGTGCAGCCGACGAAGACCCCGTCCGGGTTGAGGAGGCGCCGGGCGTTAGCAACGAGGCCCGCGGCTTTAACGGGCGTCGGGGCAGGAATGCAGTGGAGGAGCAGGAAGGCAGACACGGAGTCGAACTTGGCCGTGAGGGCCGGGGCATTCACTGGCACGGGGACTATGGCGTCCGCCCGGACGGTGAGCACGGGGGCTAGTCCTCTCGAGGCGCCCTGAACTTCCACCCGCCTCTTCGTCTTCCTCAGCGCCGTGGGGTTCAGATCCAAGAGAGCCACACGCTGCGGTGCCTTCGAATCCCGCGTTTGAGAGGCATGGAATCCGCGCGCGGCGGGATCTCTGGGGGCGGAGGAGCCCAATACCTCGAGAGTTTTGGCTGGGAAATATCCGGAGCCCACGCCGAGATCAAGGTGGTTCTTGGAAAAGTGCGCGCGGAAAAAGGTTCGAGATACTGCTCCGTTGGGCAGTTCCACGCATAGGACATGGAAAGGCCAAGTATCATGGCGTCGTAGACGTTTAGCATGCTGACTGAATACAGCTTATAATAGAGATCGCCGCCAGGTCCCAGAAGGGTCGGCGCCTTGGCTGGCGCCTTGGCCGGCTTTTCAGATGGCATGGGTGCGTGTGTGTGTGTGCGTGTGCGCGTGTGTGGTGTATGTGTATGTGTATGTGTATGTGTCTACACGTGTGTGTGTGTGTAGATGTACGTGTATTTGGGCGTGGACAGGTCCTCGTGAATTAGAAAGAACTCTCTTTGTCTGTCAACTTAGAGTTAGACTCTTGGCAGGAAGGTCACCAGGCAGCAGGACAAGAGATGTTTGGAGAGAATTTAATAGAATGAACACAAGAAGAAAAAAAGAAAGAAAATAGTGATGACGAGGGAAGGCAAGAGAAGAGGGTGAGAAGGGTTGGTCCTGGGTCTAACCGCCAGCTTGAATGCACCTTCCGCACAGGGGTTTGCTGCGGAGAGCATCAACTTTCGAAGTCGGCGCTTAAAGTACCCGAAATATCGAATGCGATTGCGATGCTAGTCCAGTTCCTCTCCTTGTCTTAGTCGTCACTTCCTCCTCTTTTCTATCAGGGTCGGAAAACAGACAGCGCTCAGACCCATGACTGGCTGACGGGGCGGACGAGGGAAAAAAAGAGAGTGGCCAGACATTATAATAAGGGATTGGTGTAAAAGGACGACATGGGAAAAGTAACAAGAAAGGGATCTCACGCAGTCACTCCTCTCCTTGGTCGGCTGTCGAACACAGCGGCGTTGTCAGACCTGGCTTCGCGTTGTCTGTCATGCCGTGCATCGTCAATTCCGACATCCATAGGAGTGGAGCACGAGGGCCGCCTCCCCTGCGGCATCGAATAATTCAATGCATCTCTCTTTCGCACTCGGTCGCCTAAGCTTGTGCTTCGTCCCATGGTCGGGGACGCAAAGATGCAAGTACATGCCGCAAATTTGTGGAACCAAATCATGCCAAGATTGAAAAGAGGTTGGTGCCATTCACCCTTTTTTCCCTTTTGGTTCAGCCCGCTCGCTCTCGCTTTCGGTTAAAGAACGAGGGAGGAAAAAAGAAAATTATATACAAAGAATTAACCCCTCCAACCCAAAAGGGCGGACATTTCCGGCGCTTGCTTACCTCACTCATTCATCCTTGTCACCACCCTGGTCCTCTTCCTCTTCCCCTTCCCCTTCATCGGGAACATCCTCATCCGGCTCCTCGGGACTGCTGGCAGCATCGCCAACATCCAACTTGATCTTGAGGGGTAGGTTTCGAGAGCTGCTGCCGACCCATACCGTCTTCTCGTGCTCGGTAATCACCCAGTCCTGAACCACAACATCCCAGTTGCTCAGGTCCCTCCTGGTCAAGTCGGCCTCGAACGTCACCGACTCACCAGCGGGAATTGACAGGCGGTCAAAGCCCCTGAGGACCCTGACAGGCTCATCTTCCCCGCCGAGGGAGATGTATAACTGTGCGACTTCCTCGCCATCCAGATCGCCTGTGTTGGTGATTGTGGCACTAACTGTATAGAGCGTTTCCCACAAGGCAGGATTCCCACCAGGCTGGCCTCCCGACCGTAAGAGGGGCTGGGGAGAGCCGTCGGTAGCGCCGGGCGGGAGGAACTCGTCGGCCTCCTGGCCATAATTGGGGTCCCCGGAAGCGGCCTCGCCCGACTCGTCCGTGGAAAGGTAGGGGTAGATGAATTGCTCGATCGGGCGCACGTTGTCCGGAAAGACGTAGTCGGATAGATCGGTGCTGTAGTTGGAGAGGATGGGTGCCTCGATCGTCTTGCCCTTGGTGGGCGTGTACTCCGTCACGTCGAGCTTTTGAACCTTGATGTCCGAGTACTCAAATGTGGTGTAAGAAAGGCCAAAGCCAAATTCGTAGATGGGGGCCACCTCAGGGTCCTCTTCAGAAGCGCGATCAAAGTGACGGTAGTCGATAAAGTTGCCTTCCGCAAAGTCATCCTGGGGGCGCCCTTTCCATTGTTGGCCTCCTTCAAGAGTTTGGTCCCATAAGACTCCGCCGTCGGGCCCCAAGTAAACGGTGTACGTCCAGCGGGGTTGATCCTGCCGTAGAGAACATCGGCGATCGAGTTGCCGGACTCTTGGCCAGGCACACCTGCCCACAAGATAGCGGTGACGTTGGGGCTATCATACCAATCGGTCACGAGCACAGGCCCAGTCGAGTGAATGACGACGATGGTATTGGAACAAAGGGAGGAGACGTTCTTGATGAGCTCGTCGCCTCCGTTCCAGAGCGTCAAGTTGGCGCGGTCGCCCTGATTATCCTCCACAGCGATGTAGCCCTCTCCCGAATTGGCATTGACGAAGACGATAGCGGTCGCGTCATCTTGCTTTACGAGATTCCTTGTGGCCGAAAGCTCCCAGTTGCTGAGGATACTCTCATACCGCGTGCCGTCCTTCAAAGCCTGCTCTTGGAGCGCGAAGTCGGGGGTGATGAGGTACGGGAAATTGGCGGTACCAGACCCCCAAGACATGCCGAGGGTGCCTTCGTTGCAGCCCCGGTCGGAACAACCATTGGGGCCTTTGGGATTGGGGCCAGCATCCTCCCCGATGACGGCGAGGAACTTGGGCTTGTTGAGGGGAAGGGCTCCTTCGTTCTTGAGGAGGACGGTGCCCTTCGCGGCTACCTTGCGAATTAACGCGGCGTTGTCATACTGAACATTGACGTGCTGGTTGATCACCTCGACATTCTCTTTCGCTACGTAGTGGACAGGGCCCTTTGTGTCAAGGGTCCACGACGAAAAGTTGATCTCGGGTAGGTCGAGGTCCATGTTGCTATTGAACATGGACGTAAGGATGCGGAGGGCCATGTCGTCGAGCCTCCACGCAGGAACGGTGCCGTTGAGGACGGCAAGGGTCAAGTTAGCGCCCCAGAAGCTGAGACCAGAGTTGAAAGTAGTGTCGCCAGGCATAGTCATGTCGAGGCCTGCCACCGCCGAGGAAACACCGGTGTGCTGAGCCTGCCAATCGCTCACAATGAAGCCTTGAAAGCTCAGCTCGTCTTTGAGAAGATTATTCATGAGCTTTGAATTGGCACAACCATACGAGTTGTTGACCTGCTGGTACGAGCACATGATTGCCCCTACACCGGCACGGATAGCATCAGCGAAGGGCCACATATACAGCTCGTGCATGGTCTTGTCATCGATGTTGGAAGACATGGACTCAGCAACGTCAAACCCGTATCCCTGGGCTTCTCCTGCTTGTCGGAAACGCTCTATTTTCACGGTCAGTACTCTGCGTTCGGGCGCCATACGAGTGAGAGCCCCTACCTTGCTCGTTTCCAACGAAGTGTTTAGCGCAAGCGATGACACCTGCTCCCCGAATGCCCATTGCGGACTCCGCCATAGCCACGCCACTCAAGTAAGGGTCTGGCGAAAAGCCTTCCCAGTTGCGACCTCCAGCAGGGATACGACCGATAGGACCGGCAACGGGGGCGAGGAGGATATCAACTCCCTTACCCTTGGCCTCGAAGCCCATGGCACGCGCCCTCTGGTTGATCAAAACACGATCCCAGGTAGCAGCTGTAAGCTGGCCAGAGGGAAATACGGAGTTGTAGTCGGTAAACCGGATGCCAGCTGGGCCATCCTGGAGGCACAGGCCACGGAGGCCGAGGCGCGGGACGGACCCTGTATTTCCAACACACCTCTCACCTTGCCATCTAAGTTCCAGTGTAAGCTGGTAATCTCCGGAGGGAGAAGATCGGGAGAGCAACCCAGGGGAAAAAAGAGTAAGAAGAGAAACCTACCCGACACCACTTGTGAGGTTGACTTTCTCAGGAATAGTCATTTCCGCAACAATTTCCCTTGCCTTTGCGTACATATACTCAACGCCCTCGCCCCGCGGATTCATCCATGGCGACGGGTAAAATGGAGGAATGGGCAAGTTCGTCCCGCGCCATCTAGAGGATGTTAGTTGCCAGTTACAGCATCATAGCGTTAGAGCTGGAAGAAACTGCCGCCTGCGTCTCCGCCAACGGAGGGAGTGTCGAAGGAACCGACAAGGGTCTCAAGACATCACCACAACTCACCTTGGGGGTAGACGCGGCCTCTCCACATGCCGCAAGGGCAGCGAGGGCAGAAAGGAGGCCGGCCCTCATCTTGGCTGGCCGGCTCAGTGAGTGGCTAACTTGGGATTTTGAAGACCTCGTTCAAACTAGCAGGGAGTGATTCTGCTCGTAATGAGGCTGCTCACAGCGGCCAGTCCCAAGTAACACAGAAGCAATTGAGCGCTCAAGGGAGTTGGGAGGGGAGGTGAACAAAAGCTAGAGTGCGGATAGCTCGCTTTAAAGCCGAAGATCTCTAAAAAACAAATCTGTAGACGGGACGGGGGAAATATAGGGAATTCTTCAATCTATCAGATAAACAATAACCATCCGCGGCTGATGTGCGGCATTGGATGGTTGTAAAGTACGTCTAAGCCATGGAACAATGGGGGCAATATAAGACATGGCTGCACAGACGATTTTAAGGTCGAAAAGAGTATGCCCAGTTTTGACATTGCAAGTACCCTGATATCATGGGTTTGTCATTCGAGGCCCTAGGGTCAAGTTGTAATGCAGAATTAGGGAGGGGAGGGACCTTTGTCCGGGTTGAAAGTACACGGAGTGAAATATATTGCATCCATCCGTTTTTGATGGATGGGAGGATAAAAACTGGGGATTGGATTGGAGTGGACGGGATAGAGGCCGATCCATTCCCAGCCCTGGAAAGATGCACCAGGTATTAGCACGAGGTACTTGCTCCATGACAGAGTGAGGTGGAACACGGAAGGTGTGTTGTGTCGTGGGTTAACGTTGTACACATCGGCGGCAAGTGTGGTCGCAGCGGAGGCCTTTCCTCGCCAAAGATGGTCCAGGCGATTACATGAATTGCCCTCTGTTGTGTTCAATTGTCTTGGACCGTTGAAGTTTTGGGATTTCAAGACTAGACGTACACTATGTCTCGATATGTACAAGTAGATCAACCAACCTACCGTCCGTCTAGAAAATGAGGGCAGTCATCGTTCTTGATGCCAGTGACTGGAACAGAGTGTTTGCTGCGCTTGGAACGATCTGGCGCGCTTCAATTCGGAGAAAATGTTTTTGCTTCATGCAAAATCCCTCGCGCCGTGATTTAACAATCTAACGAAAAACTTGGGTGCAATATGCGCGCGGACATCGAATGAGGTGGAATAGTAATAGTGCAACGGTATAAAGTTCCCATCAAAGCCCTTTGACCATGGATCGATCGATGTTGTATCGCAACTACCGTTTGGGGGCGGCCCCGGACGTGACGCCGCGGATGCAGCGTCTTCCCCTTCCTATCCCCTTCCTCGCCCCTTCCTAGCCCCGTCCTCGCCTCAAGGCACGGAAGAAAAGCAAGGTACTGGTGTCAAGGTAACCTTAAACCCCGAGGAGGCACCTTGTTTATTTCACCGAACAGACCGGAGGGAGCGGAGCCCACCATGTTGCTAGGCAGTCGAGGAAGCCACCATGAACAAAGTTTCTTGGTCTGGTTTGGACGGATTTGGAAGGAGACACACATCAAATGGCAGCTACGCATCAACTGACTGGGCGATCTTCTTCCATTTTCAAGTTGCAACAGTGCTGCCGTTACGCGCCAATCCAGGCCCGGCAGACACGTCACCTTTTCTGCAGGACGGCGGGGACCGATCCTAACTGATTGAGAGCCACCGAAAGACATCCATCAATGGATCAATTGATCCCGATTTCAGTTTGGTGTCCTTGCGCATGAATACTAATCACCGAGGCGTGGAATGGCAATCCATTCTCGCAGTTGAAATCCCGGAGCTCCAGGGCAGCAGCAGCCTTGTAAGACTGTGGCGTTTATGAGCCAATCTCACCTGTGCTCAAACATACGTGTAGGACAGCCTTGGGACATCTGGGGAGGTTGGTCAATGGAATGCTTGGGGTCTAACTCGGCAAGGTGGAGAAGAACAAGAACTAAGGAAGAAAAGAGGGCAGAGCGCGAAGCAAGCACAAGCTGAGGCATCCTCCCTTGCTACGAGCATCCACTTCGATATCTCGATGGAGCACTTGAGGAGAGAAGGGTGTGTGGTCAACTTAGAAGGCCCGATCGGCGGATCATCGCCACTGGCCGACCAAGCTGAATGCTGGGATAGGTATAAGCACCAACACGAAGTCACGGTTTGCCCCTATCCTTTCTATTAGGCAATCAGGGTCAAACTATAACTACCTTGTTTTGGAATCTACGAAGTTCGACGTGCGGCGAAGGGACCTCAGTCTATGAATGAGGGCGAAAGGCAAAATAATACAACATCGAAAGAGAGAGAAGGGGTGTGGGTGGAAAATAGAAGCTAGACCGGAACGGAACCAGGGCTATACTACCAAATGCCATTGATACCCGTCATCACACAGGAAGGTGGACATGGGAGAACCTCAACTTTCACTGATGCCGATCTGAATTAAACTGAGAGACCTCCAGACTTGTGCCCGTCTAAGCGCTTATGAGAGAGCTCCCGGCGATGGAGAATCCCCTGCTTGCCTAGCTACAAGTACAAAGGGCTTGGGTGTCTTGGTTCCTTGATCGCGTGTCGGCTGGGACTTTTGCACCAGATCTCACATGCCGGCGTGGTTCGAAGAATGCGACCCTACATCGCCCTTTGAGTTAGCCTCATGGGTCGCCAATGGTCATGTCGCGCCCTGCCTTCCCCACAGCCTGTTCGTCTCTTCAACGACGTCTTTGCTGCATCTACCATTACAACTAGACTGCGGGTCATTTTAGGATTCCTTCTCTTCAATATGTACGGGGTACATTAGTGAACTTGTAGGGAACTCAGATGCACCTCTGCGCATTGGCTCAATGTGACATCGCTCAACTCATCATGAATTCTCCTTCCCATCGCCAGCTTCTCAAACGTTACATGGGGAGTTGATTCTAGACTTTTCGCACCTTGGGCCGGTTGGTCCCACCGTTCTGTTCACGAACTTGGCTCCACAGCAGATGGTGAAGGAAAAGAGGTACCCTTTTCTTTCTTTCCTTTTTTCATGTCTTATATTGCGTGGATTGCTTCTTCTTCTCCACGTGCAATGAACGATTAGCATTAATAAGGCCCCCGAAGCTATATGTAGTGACCAGGCAGTGCGCCGTCACATCCGATTGCCTAATTAACGGTTCCAGATAGAACTCAAGGCCTTTGTTTTCTCCCGCGCGAGCTATGAAAGGCTTGGATATCGGCCGGCGGTCGCGGCTCGGTACTTGGTCGAATAGGCCTTAACGCTCCAGTTAATAACCCGTGCAGGGATGCCACGGGTGAGAAGCGTGGCCCCGGAAATCCTAGTTTCCGTACCACCCAAGGTCTCCCGTGCCGGTGCGTGTATCCATGGTGGATAGCTGACGAATCTATTTTCCCTAGCAAACCTCTTATGATTGTATCAGAAGCTGCCCTGGGGTTCCTGAGTAAGCCAGTACAATCCTCCTCGTCTGGAATAGATGACTGCTCAATATTCACCTCTCGAACAACACTGAAGAACAACGGGGGTCAGCCGATGTAATTCGCCTAAGACAAGTCTCAGGATGTTGCTGGTAGAGCACTACTCTCGGGTCGGAGAATTTCCGTTCAAAATACAAGGGGAGTAAAAAAAAAAAAAAAAAAAAAAGCCGGTCAATTAGCATTTAATGTTTCGAGAATGTACATGGATCCATATATGAGTAGGACTTTCATCCAACTCTCACGTTCGCTGCTCTAGCATTATCATTACAATGCACCCCTCCGCACATGGGCACCTGGGATTCGTTTTTAGCCACGTTCCCATGTTCTTTCCACCATCCCTGGCTCGAAAACCCTTCAAATGGTGGTCCTATATTGTGCCTGCAATTGCCTGGAGAGAGGGCCTTCTCCAAAGCGGACTCGCCGTCTAGTATAGATAGGGAACAATTCTCCACTTGACCCTTCTCCTATACTCGATCCAATCATCACCATACTTCCTCAGGCACTTTAAATCATCGCGTCCCTCTCGGTGAATGAGCAAGACACCAAAGTAGACCACATAGAAATATGTGAAAATCATACCCCAGCCCCTCGCGGCACCTTGGACCACCTCTCTTCCGTCGGCCAAGATGTGGGCGCCGGCGGCCCCGAGCCGGCCGCGAGAATCTGGTAGCCGGCGATGCCAGTGGGCAAGCTGTAGGGCCAACCTTGGATCCAGTCGCCGAAATAATTGATGTGACGCGCGGTGCCCCACCACCCGGTAACGAGAAGCTTGCTGCCCGTCTTCGTCTGGATGTACTCCAAGTGGGAAACGCGAGGGTCGTTGGGGCTCGTGCGGAATAGGTTCTTCTCGTTGTTAGAGGACCTGAAGATGTAGAAACCGGTGCCGAGCACGGCAAGCATGGCGGCGATGCCCACAGGGCCTAGAGTGGCGGGGTAGATGGAGAGGTAGCGCGCCTGCGTTGAGTAAAGGAACGGCACCCACGCAAGGTCGCCGAATGACAACATAAACCCAAAGCCGTCCATAGTGATGTCGATCATCGTGAGGATGGAGGATTCATTATACCACGAGTCAATGATGTACAGGGACTGGATACCGGTGATGAATATAATGCTGTCGGTGACGTAGCCAAAGTTGCGATACTGCTGGGCCACCCAGGAAGCGTTGAAAAGGAGCCAGCCAAGCATACCAGGTCGCAACTCCATCCAAACCTTGATATCCATCTCCCCGATGATAGGAAGGGTGATGCGAGGGTTAAGCTCACGGCCGATATACCAGTCATAGATCAGGTTGCCAGTTTGCCCACCTGCGGCTAGTTCGCGCATGTCTTTGTTTCCGGCTTTAACACTGAAACTACGTACGTAGACAAAAGTGGCTAGGGAGGTCGCAATTAGGAGGTTCGCGGTGAAGATCTGGAGGTAGTTGTCGCTGATGTATGTCCAAAGTATCCAGTTGGCACCGGAATTGATCGTTCCGGCCACACATACGGCGAGTATGATTGCATGCGATGTAAACGCTAGGGGTAGTGATTAGAGGGTTGATTACTGATAACACCGGGACATGAGTTAGAGGCATACCGTTGAATCGATACGTAAGACGGCCTCCAGTCGCAAGCTCCGTTCCCTGAACCTCGCTCACGGGAAGGATTCCGTAGAGCAGCGCATTCACTAGGTAGTAGCCAAGTACGTAGAGGGTAACGTTCAAGTCAAACACTCCGCGGAGACCTTCTGCCGGCCAGCCAACTTCGCGCTTCAATTGTTCGAGATCGAGATTCTTCGGGTCGAGCAGGGATGGGGGTGGGCAGCCTGAGATGTCGTTGCAAAGGAAGATAAAGGCGTACATTAACACCGGGAGACCGAACGATATAGCAGCGGCACCGAGACTAGAGGCCACGATGCGGAGTCAGCGCTTGGTGCTATGGGCATGATGGCGCATCATCTGAATGATGAAAAGGGGTTCTTGGGTAAAAAAGGTACACTTACGGTCCGCCGAACTCGTAGCCCTCGGGCACCGGGCCGCTCACGGCAGGCTTTTTTGCCTTGGTAGCCATCTTCAGACAGATTGCGGCTTCTAGGAACTCAGAATATACGTCGCGGGGAACAGAAAGCGACTTAAGTTCCGGAGAGAGGGTCGTCAGAAGCCCTGGGAAACACGCTTTTATAAACGGGCCTTGTTGATTGGAAGCCTGTGGGGAGGCCTGCCAAGTCTTTAAGCTCTTCGGGTTTCGAGCTCCCGGATGAACTGAGCACAAGGGTCTTTGGACCGCGACACTTATGTAATGCGCCGGCACCAATGAAGAGACCGTGACGGGCCAATAATTCTGCCGAATTGAATTTCCCGGGGCCCATTTAAGGGCGATGGCTCATGACGATGTGTGATTGGTAGGTAAATTTGTAGTCCCCTTTGCGAGAAATGCTCGAATCAGGAAGCGAGAAATGAGACTGCCAGAATTGTATTATTGCACCGTTCGCATTGTTGGGAAAGAGGCAACTTGAAGGCCCAGGTGGAGCCGCTGCTTCTTCATTTCCACGTGATCAGGACTTTTGCACTCCTTGGGCACTGTGCACGTTGTTTCAATGGATGACGGGAAAACTGGGTGCAAGGCTGATCCAGGAACCGGACCATCGAATGGTGTGGCTTGCGCTTGAGCGAGGGATCCAATCAAACTGCTGAGTGTCTGCACAATCCACGTCGTCACTTCCTGTTCGGAGCCTCAGTTTCAAGCCTCTTCGGCAGCTCTTTCGTCAACTTGGACGAAGCACCCGAAGCCCCAGCGGCATTTTTTTAATCTCATGGACCTCTGATTCTTCCCCCTCCCCCATTGACTCCATCGTGCACGACGACTAGTAATTTTCATTCAAGCCTTCTTCTCTCCTCTCGTCAACCCGAGATCAGGGGTGCAGTTGGAAACCTTTGCCCTCAAACACAGCTCCTCGCCTCTCGCGACCCCTCCCCTCCCCCTTCTCGCCATGCGTCTTCTTTCAGCGTCACGTCTCCTTTTATTATTAACGCCGGCTCTCCCATTTGTGTCTGCGGAGACAACGACCACCAGCGAGGCTCCGCCAGCATGCACCGCGAGTGGTGGATCTACAGCTATCGGCGGCTTCTTTGATCTACGGCCTGACATCGCGGTGGCCCCCGAGGAAGAAGGAAAGTTGAGGAAGCGGGCAGTGACCGCGGACTATCATGCGAACGGGTTCGACTACAAATCCAACTTCACTCTAAACATTTGCGCGCCGGTGGTTAAGCCGGTGAGCGATGTCGTGGGCCTCTCAAAAACCCAGTGGCAAAATGTGAGCGCTTATTATACCTCGGTTGATGGGGACATATACTCTATAGGGTAAGTTTTGTTGACTTTCTGTGGATTGATTTGTCGACGTGGGTGTTTGAGAGACCGTATACCTAACCCAGATTTTACTTTCGTGGGGTATTTAGGCAAGAGTCTATGAGGCTGCAGACAAGGGGCCGGAAGCTCGTTCTCCAGTATACGGGAGGCTCTCCCTGCGGCAAGAACGCTAAATCGAAGCGGGATTCCCGCGCTGTCCACGATGGCGCCACTTATAAATACGAAGACTATGTCGACGACGAGGACGCCTCCACCGAGGACAAGACTCAGGCCACGCGGACCAAAAGCCATGACGACGAGGACGACGAGGACGAGGACGAAAAGCATAAGAAGAGCGATAGGCGCAAGTCAACCATCATATCATTCCTTTGCGACCGTGATCCTCTTGCCGCGCATGCAGCGGTTCATTTCGTTGGCACCGACCCCGACGAGTGCGCCTACTTCTTCGAGGTACGGTCGCAGCATGCGTGCATCGCCGCCGAACCGCATCAGCCTGGAACAATCGGACCCGGCGGCGTATTTGGGCTCATAGTGGGCATTGCGCTCGTCGTGTATTTCGCAGGCGGCATCTTTTACCAGAGGACGGTAGCGCACGCTCGCGGATGGAGACAACTTCCCAATCATAATATCTGGCAAGGCATTTGGACCTTCATTTCAGTACGTCGGGTGTCAAGCATGCACCAACGATCTAGCATCAGTCAATTCACTAACGCGATGGTTGGCAGGACTTTGTCATTATCGGCGCAGCGTCATGCGCAAGGCTCCTCCCTGGACAAGGGGCTATAGGCCCCTCTCGCGGTCCCCAACAAACTGGCGGAACCGGGATGACGAGAATAGGCTTATCGACCAGCTTGATGAGGAGTGGGACGATTGAACCGGCCCGTGATATCGACGGCAATAAAACATATCCTCATTCTCCTTTTGTAAACATGTCCTCCTTTTCGCTTACGTACACTCCTTTTCTTTTCTCATTTGTCATAGAATTGGTTTTGGGCCGGGTTTGGCCTCGGTGCATTCTGGGATACAATACAGTTTATATGACCTATTGACCAGACCAACTGTCGTTCGCGCCTTGGTGTAAGGTATGATTTATTCTTGAATTTGCGGTTTCTGTGCAACTGGATTTGAGAGGGGTTCCTCACAACTGCTTGGTGGCTACTGACGTAGGTCGAATGATGGAACACTATCAACCAAGCTTGCCACGCGATACACTAATGATTCATGCGCCTCTCGGTACAAAAAAACTGTGTGGTAAGACTTCTGGAACCTCTGATCTGCGTCTACAGATCTATGTAGTTTTAAATCTGGAAAGGCATTAGGTGAAGCTGCTCTACTTTATGTCTTTGAGTCATTTGAAGGTTACCGCATCCAAAGAGATATTGATCCCCACCACCAGCAATGGATGTAAGCCACCGCCTCAGGACCTAGAGTCTCCCCAATATGACCTCTTATAAAGGTACATGAGGGACCGACTTTGCTTATGTTGGCAATGCCACGGCTTATACGAGTTTCCTCTCCCTTTACAGTCTAGGTTTGGGTTCTTACCAGTGCTAGTTATCGAGCTAGAGGTGCATGCTCAATGTTGGAAAGCTGCTTTTCTGCTTATTATGTATATCAATGACGTCTAATGCTTCCGATCCAGTCCACAGCCGGTCCCATATTACCGTTGAGCAGGTGTCAGCGGATAAGGCCTGAACCTGGAAGCTGACCTGAGCTGGTGTAGTGGCCGGACGGCGAGGGAGGAGAGGCCTACTTTGACTTATCAAAATGAAGTACTAGCTTGATGGTGGCGTCAAGCTCATGTTCTACGATGTTCTCGGAGAGACCGCAAGAAGGTCAACTCGACTTGCTGTAAAGGCAGGACAAGGCTGCTACGAGTAGCCGAGGAAGGATGGTCGGTAGAGATGGAGGAACAAGAGTTGACGAGGCCAGGCAAGTCAGAGATCAAGAGGAACGGCCCGCTGTGCCCGGGGCCGTTATGAGAAAAAGAGCGAGCCGGGGAGGAGCCGTTCTCAAGTTTGGCTGTGCATTCTTCGGGTGCCTCCAGCTAGTGTAGGGATAGGCAGTCGAGGATCACCAACGATTAAAGGTGCCTCATTATACTGTCGGCATCGACACCCGAACCACCTAGACGAGAGCTTGGCGCCCTTGGGCGCAGGAATGGGGGGCATCTTTGTCTGTTGGCTCCTTGGCCTTCCCACCCCCGCTCTCGCTGTGGGAATCCTGGGAATCGCCTCGCATCGTTGCTGGATGTGATTTGATCAATGCAATCCCGAAAGTCTCCGAGCTCAAAAAGGACATCAAGAGACCGAGACCAGGGGCATCCCGGCTGATAGCTCCCATCTGGCTCGAGGGAAATTCTCCCTCCCTCTTTCTTGTGCACCTTACCCCGCCGCTGGGCGGGCATGACATCCCTGTTTGCTCTGGCGATAGTAGACGTGATGAATCAACAGTGGAAATGGATGGATCTATGGATGGATCCATCGTCTAAATGGGCGTGTTGCTTGCCCGTGGCTGCCAACCCGGCCCAGAGTCAAGGCTTCGGCTAGGTCCCTTGTACGACGGAGCAGGAGTTGGCCCGTGGGCCGGAGGGGGATGGCTTACAAACCGGATTTGGACGCGGGGGTCCTGAGAACCAGACAAAAATAACAGCACACAATTGTTGAGGCATGAGTAACGAGGACGATGGTGAGCCCAGGACATCATCATCCCTTCTGATATCTCCCGTCCGTTATACACTCGATGGATGCGGTACGCTCATCTCTTCTTCTTATCAGGGACCTGTTTTATCTCATTTTCAACGTAACCCCGCCCATTTTCTGGTCAAGTTGAAGCCACCATAACTTGGTTTTCATCTTTCCCCTCTAAGATGGTCCATGCGACGGATGACTGAGTGTTTGCAATCGGGGCTCAACCCCAAACTTGAGCGCGTGGATCAGGATCTCCGATCTCCATACTTCCAAATAATTGAGGGCTTAGGGTCAAGGGGAACCCACGCGCATCAATGATTTCTCGGACTGATGCAGAAAAAGTTTAGCATAGCCACATGGCGATGGTGCATCCCCTTCCCTTCCCTCCCTGTTCGCCCTTCATCGCGTCGCACCACCGCCTGGCTAGGTTTCTTCAATGCGTGTATTACATGCAGCCTGGAAAGACCCTTGAACTTGGGCAGACATTGATGATGCCCCCTCTATCCTTTCAAGGGCTGTTTCCCTTTATGCTCCATTGGCGCATGATCGCCCAAGAGAAGGCCTTGCCAACTATAAGGGTCTGGCCTTTTAGATGGCTGTTTAGATGTTGTACCCTGAGAGTTTGCTCATCCCTTGAGTATACTCTACTGCCCTCTCTCAAATCATGCGATCCGGGTCGTCAATCAAAATTTCCGGGCATCACTGGGGACGATTTTCCATACCGGGAGTTGCGGTTCCCTCCTTAGCTCCTTGTTCTTCTTCATATCAGGCTCGTTTCTTCCCTGGATATGCTCCTCTCTCACACGCCCCCCGCCCCCCCCAATACATCAGACCCTGCATCAAAAAACATGTGCGTTGGACCCGTTTGGGAAGTAAGTATTATTAGCCTCACAAGCCGGGGATGGCCATGGATCATATCCATCGCCATCCGAAAACTGATGATGGAAGAGGATTGAAACAACTGACAGTGACGAGACGGGCCATGTAATCATGAGATACTAGATGTACGCATCAATGCGCACGTCGACCCCAGCCGCTACCTCCTTGTTTGTGCGCTGTTGACACTTGACCCGCAGAGCGACAGCATCTGTGTGTAAAAAGAGCATGCCTCACTTTTTGCATCATATCGAAATTTCCGGATCCGGAAACACACCAGTATCATTTTGCTTAAATTTTCAAAGGCTACATCTATGCGTCCGCCAAAACCCATCCACACATACGCCCCTCTTTTCTCCACAAATCCTCGTTGAAATTTAAAAATCAAGGTAAGAAGCTTGAAAAAATAGCCAAGAAAAGAAAGTGAGGGGGCCAGGTAACAAAGGTAACAAGGTTGTTTGGGACACGTAGAGTGGCGGCAACCCAAGTCAAGTGGCCCGGTCTTAGGGGCCCTTCAATGGTTCCTTAGTCCGCGGCCTCAGTGCTCAGGCGCGGATCCTAGCCTCAAATCGGAAGGCTGATCCCCACACAGACGCTGCTCGGCGTATTATCTTCGTATCGACTCACCGAACGGGCGGGCGGAGGAGCAGATTGACATCAAGATGGTTTTTGAAATATCTTTGCCCTGGTCTCAAGTTGCTGTGTTCGCAATGGCGGGAGGATCTCGCAGAGCCAGCAGGCCGCCACGTACCGGGCTGGTTGTCGGATGCCTTCGAATGACGATGTGATAACAGTGATAACCTTGTGCAGAGAGGATGGGTCCGATCCCGGTCCTTCGCCAACCGATCCATTCACTTTATGGCCAGGCCCTGCCCGTCAAGATCCACTCAATTTGGAGGGTTGCTCAATGATGGACCCTCTCAGGGCTGCCACACATAACACGCGGGCTGTCGGAGGGACAATGAGCCTCTGGTCTGAGGCGATATTATTTCGGGACCTGGTTGGCCTTGACTGACGCTAGTTTCCGTAGTGGCAAGCCAAAACAATACCGCATCCACGAGAACAGACCCCGATGTCGTACGGAGGCGCCCCGGCGCCTGCAAGTCTGTTGCACCAGTCGCGTGGCTCTAAACAGTGGGAACGGGACATGGGTCTTGGGGATTGAGCCTCAGCCAAACGGCTCCAGGTGCGCCAGTTCCTCGTGGGATGAGCCCTCAACTCAACGTGCCCGACCCGCCCCTCCATAAACTTGAGAGAGAAGGAAGGGCACGAGGCAATCGGGGAAAAAGAAGAGGATTCAGAAAAAAACGTGCGAGGATTTGAAAAAGCCCAAGCCGATCTAGCCTCAGGCCCCTTGACCTTAGAACATCTATTCTGCCCCTAGCTTCGTGGTCGGCCAGCCGGCGACGGCAAGTGTATTCAGAGGAGGCTTTTGTTGCCAAACTGAGTACATGTAGTGTACAGTGATCCATTCCTCCAGTATTACAGTATTCTATTGATTGATGTACTGAATAGACTTGTTATACTCAGCTTGGTTCAGAGATCATTACAACAAATGCATTACAATTGGCCCCTTATTTCACCACGCAGACAACTGGCCTTGCCATTCCGCCCCCAGCCAAGCCTTTGGATGATCAACAGCCATGTTAGGGATAGCTTGCTGAGCCTGGCGTCAGCCATCTCGGCCACCATTTGATCCTGCGTCCTCCTCGGCGCTCAAAGCAAAGGGTGGAACCCGGTAGTGGTGGTCCATCCCGGAAACACGGTTTTGTCGATCTCTCGCCTCCTCCCATATGCCAACAATCCATCCCCACATGCAGAATGCAGAGAATATTAGCTAGCATGCACACGGGGGTTGAAGAAAGAAAGATGCGACTCGATTTTGCGCGATGACCCCCTTGACAGTCAGTCTATCCCCTGTCACTCGTTACTTGTAGATACCCTCTTATACCCTACGGCTGCGCGCCCAGCCAACTGTCCCTGCGGGCTGCTCTTGTTTAGGTCCGACCCTCTTTGCAGCCGTCATCGATCTCCTGCATGCATTCACCAACTTTTCTCCCTTGCCCTAGTAGTTCCGGGGGTCCTGGCAGCGAGTGCTCGGTAAGGTTAACACTGATGACAAGCAGCCGTGATCCTTGATAAACTCGGGCTAATAACGTGAACCAAACATCGACGGATCTCGGAACGAAGGGTCCCCCTCTTGACCAAGGAGCCACCCCCCTTCTCCCCATCCCTCCTCCCTATTTTCGTCTTTCCTTGGTGTTTGGTGTTTTCTCTTCCCGGTATCCTTCCTCTTCCGTCCATCTCCAAGGCTCTTCTTGGACAGACGCAGATTCTCCTTCACCCCAGTTGTCTATGCCATTGCCGCCGATGCCAGACCATGTCCAAGTTCCGTGCTCTTCTGTCAACACAACATCACGCCCAAGCCTCTCAGAGTCCAGATATATAACGGGCGGGGACACTTAGAGATCTTGCCTCTTTTTCGATTCTTCCCTCCCTCTCCATATACCTAGTTTACTCTCCACTAGCTTCTAAAGAATTGCAATCAGCCGCTCGGGGTTAAAAGACATTGTGTGAAGACCGCAGACAAATTTCCCCAGCCTCTAAAGGAGAATCCAAAGACAACTTCACCAGCCATTGATCCGCTTTCTGCCCATCTCTGGCAACACGGCTCATCCCTTTATATACTGTATGATATATGCAGGGCGTCTTCTCTAACAGCATTGATCCCACCGATTGATCTGATTTTGCGGCCCCCACAACCAGCTTGAGGAGCCAACAGTTGGACAGTGGCCCAAACTTCAGACAGACACGGCAAGAAGCGACCAGACGAGACGCCATCCGTACTTTCCATCCCGCAACCTTGCAACAGCCCGAACTTTCTTCCCTTCTCTTTCCCATCTCTCGTCCAAGGCGCCTACCTTGGGACGGCGGATACGCTCTCCTCTGCACTTCTCCCCCGCCTTTTCCCTCATTCTTCGCTGCAAGTGGACCTTTTAGCGGCTTTTCTCTTTCCAAGTTGACACGCATACTTGTGCTTGGTTTTACCCCTTCCCCAGACTTCAAAGATTGATCGGCGCCGAAGCTCCGCTTGATCTCGCACGCCCGCGCCCGCAGCCTCCTATTCCCAACGACTCAGTCTCCAACCCTACCTAAAGAATACAAGAGAAATCCTGATCGCATCTCCTCTCCACGCCGCAGTCCTCCCCGCTTTTCCACACCACCCGTTTTTAGCCAAAAACTTCTTCTCTCCGCTTCTCGCTTAATCTATAAGCGAGCCCAACTGCCGTCGCCCTGGCGCCGAGAACACAGCTCACCACTCCCTCCAACGACGCCGTCGCCGCCGCCGCTACCACGGCCGCCTCGGACCTTGTCAAGCAAGCCCCGTCTGCCGAAAAGGTCAACAGAGACCAAGTCGCCGACGACATCGATACCAGTGCCAACAAGAAAGAAAGGGTAGGAAAGATGCCGGCGTCCGCGACCACGGGGCCTCCGCAATCTCCCTCCTCCACGCCGGCCGCCGCTAGTGCCAAGTCCTCCACGAGAAAGGAGGATGGGCCTGCCAAAGGTGGTGGTCACATCCTCCCCGTGGCTCTCCTGTCGATATCTTTTGCCCTCGATAAGGAGCTGGAGCTGACTCTCAGTCCGCCCATCAATGAACGAATCGAGGCTTGTTGCCAAGTCTAAGCCGTGAGAATGGTTGAGGAGGATTCCCAGGGGGAGGGGACAAAGGAGCTCATCGGGAAGGTTGAAATGGATTCTGTTGATACCCACATCATGAAGTGCGAGAGCTGGCTCTACGAGACATTCAATGGGCGTTTTGCGGGGCGTTGCATTTTTTTCTCTGTTTCTTCTTTCTTTCTTTCATTTTTGGTTCTCCGAACTTCACCTGGTTATCAATGATTTTTGGGATTACGGGTTCGACTGGAAGAGGTTAACTTGGGAAAGACCTATCCGAGAAGATTTACGGTATAGCGGTGGTCATGTTGATGATGTTACTCTTTAGGTTTTAATTCTTCATCTTGTCGTTTCTAGGCCGCAGCTGATATGCGCGGGTCTCATTCCGCACATGCATGTACTTTTTTTTGAATGTTTTATATATTTGGTTCCTCATTCATTGGGTCTTGACCTGTAGCTTCGCGCCCTGCCAATATTTGTGTTCAAGATCATCCATGTATTACACTCATTGGATTTGTGAGCCCGACATCGGGTATTGATATACATCCATTCCCCAGTCACCACTGCTACTCCCTTGCAGGCGTGAGGCATGAGGCGGGAGGGAGAGGGACAGAAACAACTGCAGCGAGGCAAAACATGGGTCAACAGAAATGGACAAAGAACAGAAATGGACAAAGAGAAGGAACGATGGAAGATATCGAGGAACACAAAAGCCTGAAAACATTTTCAAACGAAATAACATCATCACGAGGCACCTCGTGCCCGACTTCTACAGACATTCGTCGAGGACAGGCAATAACCACTGTTACTCCATACCGCTTCCATGCTGGCCGTTACGTCGTGCAAGAAAATTTTGTAGCTGCGTACGAACCCGAATAGGATGAAAAAGAAAAACGGAAAGCAAGACCAAAGATATGGAAGAACCAGATCGGGGAAAAGCAAGACAAGATACTGAAACGTCTTCGCTCACCGCCTCTCTTCCTCCTCTTTCCATGCAGAGCGACCGGCTTTGATACGAGTATATGATGAAACGGCAAAGGAAAAAAAAAGAAGAAGTGGAAAATGAAATGGGAGAGACGCAGGGGGACCGGAGGAGGCCTGGGACGGGCCAGATTGCCTAGCAGCCCCACCCGGAGCCAGCCTCCTCGCCACATTCGCCGCTATACATGGCCCCATTTCAGTTCAGCTGCCGCCCAAGGTCTCCAGCAAGGTTCATGTGCATGATCGCGTCCGCCGTCCAGTCGTCCTCTTCTTTGGTCTCCTGCGGGCGCCACAAGTCGAGAGATTCCCGCCCGTCCACACCTGGCAGTCTGATCTGTGGGGCGTTGCTTTGACGCTTGTCCGACTGCGATGTCTCCGCCGTGCTGGCGGGCATCTCGACGGGCTGGAGCTGTGGAATCGCCGGCTGTCGTGGGGAATTGTACTGGGGCCCGGCGGGGGCCCGCTCATAGCCCTGAGGCTGAGGACTGTACGCCGTACCCGGGGCCGGCTGAGCGTAGCTAGCGAACCCGACGTTTGCACCAGAATGCTGGTCTTCGATAGACTGGTTACCGAAACGCGAATCCTGGGTCGGCCCGGACATGGGGTACCCTGAGCTGGAAGAGGGCGCCTGCATGGAAAACCTGTCATCGTAGCCATACTGTCTCTGATCAACTTCCGCCTGCTCTAAGATCTGTGGCGCGGGCTCCACGTTCCTCAGGCTTGAAGCGCGAGCGGGCGCGCCGCTGCCGCTCCTCATGCTACCGAGAGATGTCCTCCGGAGCTGCTCCATACCGTCTGGTCCCGGCGAGCCGCTCCCGTCCATCGGGGTGAAGTCCGAGTTCCGGATAGCAAACTGCGCCTCCGTCTGCAAAGTGCGCTTGACCCACTTGGCAAGGATTGTGCCCCGCTGCTTCTCGCCAAGGCGCGACCGGGGAAGTTGCCCTTGTTCACAAAGGCGACAATGTCTACGACGATTTGGTGCTCGTTGAGGATTGCATTCACAATCACGGGAACAAGACAAGCTAGATGCGGGCTTCGCGGCACTTCGACAATGACCACCAACAGACCCCCAGCTTGGAATACGGCACTAAAAAGATTCCTCAATGTTAGTTTAAAAATACAAAATAAAAAATTCCGAAGAAGACCTAGAAACGAGAAAAGAAATGGTGAAACTTACCAGCCTCCCGGAACAATTCTTCGGTGGCATCGTTCGACGGAGTTTTCGATATCCATGGGGAAATGGTTGAGGCCATTCACCTCAAAGGTTTCGCCGATGCTGCCTAGGACGAAGAGGACCTGCATGTCAACTTGGGCACCGCCGGGACCGATAGGCCGGCTGACGCTGTGCAAGAAGCCGAGGTCGCCCGTCCGGACGTAACGCAACGTGGGGTCGCCGTCAACGGTACGTCCGTTGAATCGTTCCGTGTCAAATGGATCGGTGGAGCCGTAAAGGACTTGACGCAAGCTTCGAGTCGACCCAGATTTCTCCGTACTCGCCGTCGTGGCAGAGCAGGCAGCTCTCTGGATTGACAATGGCGATTTGGGTCGAAACGGGCACCATGCCAGAGTCTTGCACCAGGAGGGCCCGTGGGTTGGTCTCGGGGTCGACAGGCTGCACGATGCCACGGCGCAGGCCCTTGGTGTCTAGCCAGAGCTCGACAGGCTCGATGCACATGTATGATCTGGAAGCGATCATGGGATTCAACACGTGCGAATACACTGTGTTGATGGCGGTCCGATCGAGGAAGGTGGCCGCGAAGTGAAGGCGAACCTTTTGGAACACGTCTACTCTGGGCCTGCTTTCGGCCGAAATCATCATGTTCTTGAGTTCGCGAAGGGTGAAGCCCTTGGCAGCCATGGCGGCCATGGCATGGTCGAGCATTTGGGGAGTAGCGTACGTGTCTTTAATCTTGTATCTCGAGAGGCTGACGAAAAGGGAGAGAGGCTGCTGTGCAAACTCGACGGGAGAGAGAAGATACGTGGGCGTTCCAATATAGATGCCCATCAAGCACGAGTGGATGAAACCTAGGCCTGTCGTGCTGCGAACGCAGCCAAGAACGGGCCTCGAGCTGGTCATCTGGCAGGTCTCCTTTTGGACCTTGCACATGCCCAAGATGGTATCGTGGCCTAGCTGCACGGCGAGACGCTTCTGGTCCGGGGTCCAATACGTCCAGATGATGACGGGGTAGTTGGGTTGAATCCACGCCGGGTCCGTCTTGACTCCCAAATCTCGCAGCCCGCTGTTTTGTTTCGGCGGCTTCATCGTGTTGTACATGTTGGGGATCGCCGTCCGCGAAATCTGGGCAGACTGCTTGATGTGGCTGGCCACCGGCTTTAGCTTTAGCAGGTGATCGACGTCCTGGTTCACGAGAACCGCCTTGACGCGGTAATCAGCCACAAGTCGTAGGAAGGCCGGCACGTCCTCGCTCAAGCGATTCTGGTCTAAAGGCGCGACGGGGAGGCAGATAGCACCTAGCGCGATGCACGCGTGAATGGCATAAACAAACTCCTCCGAGTGCGTATACATTAGGATGACGTGGTCGCCGGCGCGAACTCGTATCTTATTCTTGAGGTACACAGCCACCGCCGCGATCTTCTGATCAAACTTTTTCCAGGTGACGCCCTTGCCCTCACGGACGCGGCTGTCAATCGTGCAGTAGGCAAGCTCTTCGGGCTGCCTAGCCACGCGCCACTGGATGAGATCGGTGATACACGAGAAGTTATTGAGGGGAGTCGACGTCCGATCGTCGATGACTACCTCGCGGCGGTCGATACCAGAGTACTGCTTGTCTGCCGGGATCAGGAATTCCGCGCGGGCCTGAGAAGCGATGGGGGACCAGATTCCGCCGATAGGGTCCACTCCAACCGCGAGGTTCAGCACCGCCCTCTCGACTCCAAACTTGACATGGGCGCAGGGCAGGTTCCCCAGGTCAAAGTCACGTCGGCAAAGCATGTTTCCGATCTCGCGCCTGCCATTCTTGACAACCCTGGGGAGCGAGTTGGGTGGGCTGATCATCACACAGTAAAGCCGAATGTTATGTTCATGGTCGAGGATCTCCATGCAGCGCTCCGCAAGGGATTCGAGAAGAGCTCGATCGAGCTGCCGGGGAGCACCACCCGACGTGAGTGGTGCAACGGACGCAGCCACCGACTCTACCACTAATATAGGAAGATGCTCCTCATTCACAAACACGTCGAAGGCTGAGCAGTCCGTCACCATGGGCAGGCTCTTGAGGATGCTGAGAACAATGTGCTGGACAAAGAAATAGCGGTACTCGACAACCTCGTGCCCATGCTCGACCCACTCCACCTTTTGCCGGATTCGATCCTCGTAGAGGCCAAGGACAAAGAGCTTGCCCTCGATGATGGTTCCAAGGAGGCCGGTGCGGAGAAATTCGGGCTCGACCGGCGTCGGGGTGGGCTCGCCGGGGTCGAACTTGTACGGTCGGGCATGAAAGATTTGCTCCGTGTGTTTCGGGAGTGCCCAGAAGCCACCTGAAAGAGAGGGCGAATCGACCCAGATCTCTCCGACGGAGTAAGGCGAGGCGAGCAGGCCGCTTTCCGGGTCGACGACGGCGAGAGTGGCATCGGGAATGGGGTATCCGAACGCTCCCACGCGAACAGTGGTTGAGTCATCGGTGCCTTCTTTCCTAGCCTCGTCCCCTATCGCCACGACGACAACCTCGTTGCGTTTGAGAGCCTCCCGGTCGAGAAGTACCTCACCTAATTCGTTCTTAGCGCGATGCTCCGTGGTTGTTGTCGTTCCTCCTCCGAGCAAGCTACCAAACCCATTAGAAGGCTTTTCCTTCTCCCCCTCCTTCTCCTTCTCCTTGTCCTTGTCCTCCTCAGGCACGGACTCGGAATCGGAGCCGGTATTCAACTTGAGGGGCACACCCATGCGTTCCTCGCCACCGAGCCAATCTCGCACGCTGATCGCCATGCCGCCGTGCTCGGGAAGACAGAGCATAGGTGCCACCACCTCCCGGGCCCTGGAATTCCTCAGCGGGCGGAGCCACCTGTCGGCAAGCAGTTCGTGGAACTCGCAATTGACGCTCAGTGTGTCGATTAAGCAGAGCTTGACGGACTGGAAGTTGGGCTCTGAGCCCTTCTTGAAGTTCCTCGTCGCCATGGGGTCGGTTTGGTAATTTCGCACCGCGCGGTTCAGACCAGTGTAATCGGCAACCATCAGAGTGGCCCTGTGCTTGGTGATGAGGTGCGCGTACAGGCCTGGGACTTCAACGGCTCGGTTCTCCATCCAAACTGTCGTATGGCCGCCGTAGATGGCGAGGAGAACGCCGAGAATCATGCCGATGCCTTGCCGGGGGTCAAGGTACGATAGAATCGTTTCGCCAGTCGGCCCAGCAGCGATAAGCTTCCCATTTTTGTCCCGAAGCGAAGGGTTGAAGGTGTCCCCGGGGGCATTTCCTGGGACGGTAGACACGATGGCGCTGAGACAGGCCATCTGGTGCATAATGGTGCGATGGCTTAGGACGACACCGCGGTTGTCACCCGTGGGGGCGCGCGAAAACTCAATGTAGGCGAGGTCGGGGACGGAAAGGGGGTACATCATCCTTCTTCTTAGGGTGGAAGCTACCGAACTCGTTCGTCTTCCACCACTCGACGCCCTTGGGCCAGGTGAGCTTCTGGGTAGTGATGTCGCGTTGGAACGCCTTGAGGTTGTTGTCCGTCGTCAGGGCTAAATGGGCCTGGGTCGAAGTCAGGATAAAGTTGAGCTTATTATAGTCCTGCAGGTCGTTGATGGGAACGGCTACGACGCCTGCGATAAAGCAGCCAAGAAGGGCAATGGCGAAATCGATAATCTCGGTGTCTCGGTAAATGAGTGCAACCCTGTCACCGCGGTATAGCGTGCTCTTGTCCCGGATGACTTGCGCAACTTTTTCGGCGCGCGACGCAAACTTGTCCCAGGTGATGGTGCCGATTTCCTTGCCTTTGCTGTCTAGGACCCAAAACGCCGAGGTCTTGGGGTGGTCTTGCCGCGGTGTCGCAAGACGGCGGCGATATTATCGAATCTTGACATTTGGACGGTGTTATCGTGAGGATCGTAGATGGCGAACGGAACCTCGCGAGGTTCCAGGGAAGCTGGTACTCGAGCATCTCGGGAGGTGGCAGGTCGTTGGTCGTGAGCATCGGCGGCGCCATGGCGGCGGTGGGGAGAAGGCCTCATTGGCGGAGTATCGGTGGGGGCCGCCATAGTCGTCGGCGGTGTTTTGATCGTAGGCTTGCTGGCCCGCGAAATCGGAGAAGAACTGCTGGGAGTTTAGCAGGGTTTGGCTCCTGCCCGGGTTAGGCTGGGAGTCATGGCCCATGTACGCGCCGTGCTGTTCCGGGTTGAAAGCATAGTCCCCAGACACCATGGTCTCGGTCCTTGTGGACGGTTCATTGGGGTAAGGAGAGGGCGTGGCTATGAATAGGGAATCGTGAGGGCTGCGGAGGTTCGGTTGCTGCTCCGCAATGGGCCCGCCTGGGCGTAGTAAGCCGGCCGGGGCGTGGTCAGAAGATCCATACGAGACAGGCCTGTGCTGACTGAATGCCGAGGATGGGCGGTACTCGGAGCTCGGGCTGGCCGGACCAGAGACATTGCCTGCTAGGGCTGCAAAGGCGGTGACCCGGTGGCCGTCGCTCACGGAATGGTGCGATGCGCTGTCGGGGGAGTGTATACGGAGACCGCCGCGGGGATCGACGAGGGGCGGAGAGCTTACGGCGGGAGCGCCGAGGTACTGGGAGAGCAGCTGGGCCCGCCGTTTATTGTAGCTGGGAGATTGAGGTCAGAAGTTAGCTTGGGGGTCGCGGGGAATGGACTCGCGGTTGATGGGGAAGATCGGTACCCTTTCTCGGTGATGTCGCCTTCCTGCAGAAACGAAAAGCAAAGGTTAGCGAGGCGCGTTTAGCACACCAAATAGCAAGAAAGACAAGCAGTCGGCCTTGTGCACCCGGTCATGGCCAGCTTGACCGCTTTCGCGGCGGGGATTCGAGCACTCTGCTCATGACGTGATGGGGTCACCGAGTTTCAAACCCTCCCCGGCTCGAGACTATGGTGGGCCGAGTCGCAATTTGCCTAGGTGGCGGGAGAGGGCGGGGGATCACCACAAAATGGACTTGCCTCGAGTTCTCTTTCTAATTCCTGCAGCTTTTCTTCAAGCTCGGGGTTCCTAGCGTCGGCCATGGCGAGATCATCAAGGCCCCTGTGCGAGGCGGTTTGCCGTTTCTCCTCGGCTTGCAAAGGTGAGAGTTTGGCGGTGTCTGCTCGTGCTCGGGTGGGCGTCAACCCCAACAAGGACCGCGCGCCCGGGTCGTGGGTAGGTTTTTCGTGCTTCCGTAATTTTGTTTCCCTTCTTCTTCGTCCCTCCCCCGGAATCTTGTGGCCAGGAGTTGCAGCGGCGGTTAGTAGGCGCCCGGGGAATTTCTAGGTGCCGGTTAGGATAAGGAGTTCAAGTGCGCATCCCAGAAAAAGAAAGAAAAACCCCAAAACCAAAAGACAAGAGGTAGAATTTCACGTCATGCGGGGATCAAGTCTGCGCTTGGTGGAGAAGAGGCCGCTGGCACTAAAAGGGATCCACGGCCGGATTTTAAGTGCTCGGTTCAATGGCAGGGTACATAAGAGAGCGGGCCAAGCCAGCAGAGGCCGGGCAGGGAGCTGCTGGAATGAAAGGGCTCAATCAACAATCCAGACTAGAGTTCCAAGAGCCGCGCCAAAGGATTTCCACGCCCAGGGCCAGAATGTGAGCGGGAGTGTGAGTGTGAGTCTGAGTCGGTGTCTCCAAATCGAAATCGGATCTGAAGTTTCAGGGCTTCGTGACGTAGTGGCGGGGAAGGGATATGATACGGGCAGGAAGAACAGGGAAACCCAAGTGCACAAAAGAAGGGTCTATACGAAGCAGGAGAACGAACAGGGCAACTCTGATCTTCCCGAACGTCTCGTCATTGGGCTGGCTGATGGAGGGGTCAAGCTCGGGGCAGGGATCAGTGATGCATCCACACACTCGATTTGGACCAAATTCTCAAATGGCGCTTTGTTGCCTCTCGTGTTCAGTCAAAGTGGACTGCTGAATGCTCAATTGATCCACCATCCACCAGCGACCAATTTCGCCGGGTCCCACTTGACCTTGCTCACCTGCAGTAGCAGCAGCCTCCCAAAGAACCTCAACCTCAAACTGCGAGTAGGACAATGCGCGCAGCCTTTTGTTGTCGCGGTTTGTGAAAGGCCACTATCATCATTCGAGCTAGTGTAAACGGAATTGGCCAAATTCGAGCCTTGCGCTTGCCTGGGCCGTCCCAATTTTACCCATTTAGCATTGCTAAACTACAAAGACCCTTTAGGCCTTTGAGTCTTTTTATGTCCTTTAGGTCTAGGCCGGGCCGGTGCTACTATTATCTTGAACACTCAGCATCGAGCCAACTGGTTGCAGTTCCTGACGCTATCGCAAGCCACCCCCTCACCGAACCAGTTGGCCGCCGCGGGCCTGAGCACCGTCACAAGCGCTACATGTACTTGAAGAAAAGCAAGCAAGCAAAAAAAAAAAAAAAAAAAGAAACCCAGTGCCGTGATGAGAAAAGTAGCCAAGCGGAGAGGGGCAGGCCGTTTGAACACTTGTCCTATCGCATGATTCGGAGGTTTCCATCCCAGCGGGATTTTCGAGTCAAGGTTGCGCGGCCGCACCTCGAGACAATGCCATCAAGTTGATACGCCAATTCATCCGGACAAGGGCTTCGACTGGCGGATCAACGGACACGCAGGCGAATTTCCATTGATGCGCGACCATCAATATTCGATGCCCCAGCGCTGCCAAGGCCTAGATCCATCGGGAACGGGTACTTGTACGAGCTGCTGAGGAACGGACTACAAGACGATCTCAGCCCAGCTCTTGCTCGTTTGCGTCTTTAGTCTCCATGATGAGTAAGTGGTCAAGTAGTGATGAGCGATGATACAGGCGGTACGAAGTATGTACGCCGCTCAATCCTCCCGGGAGTCGGTGGAGATTTCCCAAAGGGCGAGGGCCACTGATCTAGTTTGCCCCCATCAGACGAGCCAATTGATCTGGGATGGCTTGACTAGATACATCTACGGACGGAGATGAGGTTGTTCTGTGTATTGAGCTCGATGCCATTGCCCCGACGTTGCCGGACAGCGGATTGCCATAAATCGGCGTGGGTCCATGAACGGTCAATGGAGACCTTTGCCTCTTCCCCACGTCGCTTCTTACCTCTTATTCATGCCGCTTGGCCGCCTCCAGTCCCCCCTCACCCCACCACCTGCAGAGGATGCTCTTCGACAAGAGTAGATGTACAACCTTGTCGAACCGTGCTCCTTCCTCCAGGGATGTCCTCATGGGCTGGTCAACGGGGTACGGTATAATACTAGTATTTGACCATTCCGTCCCATGTGCACCCCGCTTTCAACTTCCCACACCCAACTCCCACCAACACCAGCGCACACACACGCGCCTCCTAGTCGCCCTCTCGCTCCATATCCGCATTCAGCGCCCGCACCAGCAACTTGAGGCTTGCTTCGACTGTACCTGACCTTAGCTCAGCTTGGCTGGCAAGCCACGCAGACACATTTGGACGCCAGACTGGACTGGACGACGCACGACAAGTACTTGTAGATGCTAGCCATGAAGGAACAGGATCAACTTCCGGCCTGCTCAGTTCTTTCCAGCCGTCGTTGACATTTTACATTCCACAATTCGAAATTAAACATGAAACCGTCCGGGTATGCGGCCCTTGGCGTGTCGCCATCCGGCTGGTGGCGGCTGATCTTCACCTATCGACGAGGTTAAAGAGCCAGAAAAAGAAGGAAAAAAGGCCATGACTACCGCCCTTTACAATCTGTGGATACAACGAAGTAGTACACGTTGTATTGAGAAACAAGTTTTTGTTTTTTCTCTGGTCTTGGGCTGACAAGGACGAATCCCGCCTATGGTTGATTTATCGCCTCTTAATAGGCAATAATATCGTCCCCCATAAGGTGGGCGGGCGCGCGGTCAAATCTGGTCAGAGCCTGATGTCGTCACTGCGTCGCATTTTGTTTTCATGTGTACTTATCCCTCACCTACTTGAAGACGTCTCCAAGATTCACTGCAAGAATAACAGGACCACTTCACGAGTGCTCGTGTTGTACAAAGGCCGTTTTCATTTCAACACCTGGACGCTCAAGCAGCCAAAGTAAGCGCAACAACGCTTGGGGCTCTGGGCGGAAGATGTTGATCAACAATGCTTGTCAAGGCTCCCTTTCGGGCAAGCAGAAAGAACTTTAAAAGCTTCTTTGAGGTTGAAGAATCCAGCGTCCTATTTTTAGCACCTGCGCCTTGAAGAATGGAATTGGACGCCGTCTCGGCCTCGGCCATTGTTCCATTCATCTACGAGCCTTTCTGGCGTTTTGCATTCTTATACCAAGATTCCATCAATATATCGAGAGATATGATTCCGTGCTTCGGGGAATCAGCCCAGTCTCGCCAGCCCTACCGCTTATCCCCCTGCCTTGGCAGCGAAAACAAGCCCTCGAATCTATTTCGAGCCTTGCCCATGGCTGGGCACTGTGAGATCCAATGAAGTCTAGAAAACGCATATGGGCAGCCTTGGAAAATGCTAGGAGATTGAAAGAGAATAAATAATAGCGTCCCGGGAGATTACTTGAGCGCATCTAGAGCTTCAAGTGACATGCACTGCCCGGCTCTTTGGTATGATGTGCGCCACATTCTTGTGCCGATGGGATTTGCTTTGCCGTGCCTAGTGAGGGATCTCTTTGGGTCATCGCCTTTGGCGTCAAAGAGATGGATGGGATCTCAAAAGAGCCGGGTTCAGATGGGAGAGAACAAGGCGTTTGAGAAGCCAGGCATATAAGCTCACGGGCGTTGCCTCCAACCGACGACCGTCAAGGCAGAACGGCATAACAAGACAGCAGTGCCAGTCTCTGAGCCAAGAAGCTTGCGACGACTATATGCCAAAACGACGAACAGTACTCGAGTTTCACGAGTTGGTCCCCCATATTCTAGCTGTGCTACCTTTCGAACCGACATCCCCTTCAGGAACCCCAATCGCCATGCCATCCCAAGCCTGGACCTCCTGGGGGACCGCGTGGCCTGGGAAGACAGAGTCCGACGAACTTGAGGAGCAGGACTGGCCGCCTTTTATCAACTTTAACGGCGAATCCCAGGCTATCGATCCCGCGTTATTCGGCTTACCCAGCGACATTCAACTAGCACCCGAGGCCGTGGATAACCAGGACCCTATGAACCCAGGACTGTTATTGAAGGAAGATCCCATTTCAGATGTAGAGACGAACCAATTTCAGTCATCTTCCTGTCCTTCAACCCAAAGCTACATCCAAACCCAGCCTATCCCCAGTGTTGGTGGAGCCGCACCTCTTCGCGGCAGTATCGGTGCGTACTGCACCAGCCCTGCGCTAAACTCCGCTCCGATCTCGAACGTCACCACTAACATATCCGACAGTACCCTCTCGCTTGGGACGCCGTGGGATACTCTTGACCTCCCCAGCATGCCCACGTCCGACGCTCTAGATTTACTCGAAACCCAGTACACGCTACCTCTTGTTGGCAATGACCCTGGTATGCCACCAAGCTCTCCGTTGCCAGCTTGAGCCCGCATCAGGGAGCGACGCCATTCTCTCTCCGGCGCGTCCAGTCTGCCGAGCTAGGCCTGAGTGCGCTGGCTGATCGACTTATTGCCGGCGGCCAACCCGACCAGGCCGGTCAAGCCTGGCAGCAGCCCGCTTTCACATCTGCTCCCTCGGCAACCCCGCAAGAGCTACCTGGACGCCTTCCAACCATGAGCCCCGCTAGCTTCTCTGGCCGGAGGAGCAGTGTCTTTTCGCGTGATCAGACGACAACACCCCAGGCCCATGATCACATGTATAGGCAACTATCCCAGCCCCTAGGAGCGTGGGGCCCGCCTGGCCAGCCTGATCTCTTCACCTATACTAAATACGGTGAGTGGAGCCCCTGGATACGTTTGAACAGAAAGGACGCCGCGTACTACATGACCAATTTGACCAAGTCCCAAGGTCGCAGACTCCAGATATGGATCCAGAGTTGTCCAGCCCCCTGGTTGAAGAGATATCCACACGAGCTGTCGAGCAAGTGCCGGTGGGTAGATTGTCCAGCCCCCAATAACACGATCAAGAAGCCTTTCTACCGGGTGGCATTCGACGAGTGGCCTCGAGAAACCGGGCACGTCCGTGATCCATTCCATAACGCAGGGTACATGCATCTCTACTGCTTCGAGAGGCTATTTGACCTCTTTGAGATTGTGGAGCTCGGCTGGGCGGACGCCGACGTGCGAAATTTTCCCTTGGAGGAACGCAATCACACGGCCCTTACCTTTGACTTTGCAGAGCTTAAAGATGCGTATCAAATCTGGTTTGAGAACCAGCGTGTGGTCTATCACCAGCATCTAGTTCAAGTCTGCGGGGGCCGTCGAGGAGCCCAGCGCCGCACCATCCAAGAGTCCGATCGGCTGTGGTCGGTGCTTACGGAAAAGGCGCTGCAGCTTTCCCCAAGCATCGGATCGAGGCGTGGAAAAAGGTCGGGGGCAACTCGCCTCTCATGCATCGGGGCAATCTTAAGAGAAGCATCGAGTTTGACCAGAGGCGCCTTGCGGAAAAGAGGATCGCACGGTGTCTTGTCGAGGAAGAGGAGGAGGAGGATGCATTGGGGGAGATCGTCGTCAATACCGACTCCGACATGTTTGAAATTAGGGTCGCGGGTGAGGGCATGGCAAGACCAACACGCGGTCAGGCAGCACTGCTAGGACCCTCGGCAAACCCGAGACGAGGCATGGGAAGTTGGCCAAACAAGATAGGAGCCTGGGGGAATACCAGTACGCCCGCTTTCATAGAGCTAGATGGCGACGTGGGCGCAAACGTGCCCGTCGGCGAGGTCCCATCCCACGAGCCGCGGGGGCGAAAGAGACGGGCGGAGGATGATGAGGAAGATGGAGAGCAATATAGGTCTCGCGCAGCGTGGATTCCATCCTCCGGAAGCCTAAGAGACCCACCTGGAGAAAGCCAGGTTAAGGGACCCCGCGGTTGTAGATGATCTATCATTCGCGCCATAGGCCGCAGTGTACCCTGCCTTTTCCTCGAGATATTTCCCGATTCCCACCCCTGAAGAGAAGAAAAGGATTGCTCAGCCGCGCTCGCCCAATCCTCCGTTAGCTTGATTGAAGAAAATACCATGCATCAGTAGATTCTACAGCCTACCCCTCCCCACAATGCCGTCTCTCTAGCCCCGTAGTTCCATGTAGGATTGGGAGATGATAGAGTCTATGGCTGGCTTGGGCCACCGCCGGATCACGCCGCTTGGGAAACTCCTTGTTTGTACATTGCCCCACGCGCGGCAGGACTCCTTGCGGTACATGTAGGGTGCGACGCAACACCAACATAGTCTTGAATGTAGTGCACTTGTTGAGGGTGTGTTTGAGTGAGAGGCTGCTGGTTTGCCCGAGAAGCAAGGGAAAGCCGTTGATTCACGTCCGTTGAACCCGCGAACGAAAGCAAGGTTGAGACTCGTAGCCAACACCAAGGATTCATCCTCCCTCTGTTGGATATACACTATGCCCGTCGTTTCATTTTTTTCTTTTTCGTTTTAGCGGACACTCTCGGTCTAGCCTAGCCCTTTCCCCGCCCCCTCTTATTATTTACCTCATTCCCATTCAACGGGTAGCTGCTGCCCTCGTCTTTGCAGACGCCTCTTGGTGGGCAAGCTGCTCCCCTTTCTTCTTCTTCCTTAAACCCCACCACCCCGTCGGCCACTCCGAGTCTGCCGAGCTAGCATGACGTGGACCGTCAAAAGTCGAATGCCGGGGGACTGCCTTACGCCGCTTGTCTGCTTTTGGCGAGTTTCGATGGAGGGGCGAGAGAAGTCAGTAGAGCGTGGCCCGAGCTTTTATCGAGCCCCTTCCTTTTGAGACATTTCACGACATCGGGGGTTTTATTACGGCGAAGCATTCACAGGGCTTCCGTTCCTAGCAATGACGGGCGGGCGTAGCGTCCTCGTTGGCAATAAAGCGCAACGACTAAGAAGTGGGCAGATGGACTAGAAGTCCTACTTGTACTAATCTAGAGGCAAAAAACGAACCGGGGTCATGGGGGTTGAAAGGCGTGGATGGAATAGATCCTTTTGAGAACATGTCTAGATCTCAAAGGCATGAGAGGACACCAATTGCAAACTTATAGGGGATTTTGTGTGTCGCCTGGAAGAGTGGTTGGATCAGATCGCCTACTAAGATGACGTAGATTGGGGTCGACTTCCAGGGCATCAAGCAACCTGATAAACAGCGCTCTTCTGATAGATGGCATCAACTGAATATTCAATGTTGGGACGAACATTCTCGGGGATCCTGAAATTGACTGGTAGCATTTACGATTGACCGGCCGAACTCATGAATTGGACTACACTTTGTTTTTCAAAAGGAAGGAGAGACAGAAAAATAAGAAGGAAAAATAGAAAAAGGAAAGGGAAGGAAACACCAAAGCTCCTTCGTTGAAGGAGCTTGCAGGGAATTACGTCGCGGGTTTGTATCCTCTCCCATCGCAAATGTCCTTGGGATCAATGTTGGGAACGGCCTAGCTTCGAGGTGGGAGGTGGTGGCACAACATACTCTTCACTTTTGGCCTCGATACTGGCGATCTCAAGGGCCAAGATAAGGCAAAGGAAGAGCTGAGTTACATTGATGCTCCCCGGCGCACGCACATCATCGACATATTCTTCGATGGAGGTGCAGCTCTGAGGGGTTGAGGTCGGGGTGAGGTCGGTATGTAGAGAAGGGGGGTCCCCGCTGCAGCTGGCCAGCAGAGACGCACATCCTGAACTGCAGCATGCGAGGTGTTGTTGCCTTGCAGCGGCGATTCCGAAGGGCTTCCGGCTATTATTATAGTGTACTTGGATCCGGATCGGTGGCAGGCGAGGATGCAGTGTTGCCGTGTCAAACGGACTCCCCAAGATTACCATCTGGTAGCGAAGTGCTCTGCCGCCCGCAGGTAAGGCCCATCAACCTTGTTGTTCCGTCGTTCGAGTAGTCGTTTCGCTGCCGTTTTATGACTTGCTCGCGAGAGAAGGCTTGCGCGCGCGCGTGGGGGATAAGGGGGAGGGGGCGATATTGGAGCTCTTGGGTGAATTGGGCCTGGAGGGTAATATTATTTCTCTCCTCCTGGCTGGTGCCTTGGGACCACTTCAACCGCATCTCCCGTACGAGTCGTGAGCGAGGGTACAAATACATGACCCCTTACCCTCCTTGAAGCAAGTGTCGTCGACCCGGCTCGACATTGACGCATCGAGTGACTTCAACGAAGACAACTTGGTGGTAGCCTGTACGTCTCACACACTCGAGAGCCCTCAAAATTCCCGCTACCAAGCGATAGATTCCTTCTTCTCTGCTGGTCGAGTTGACTGTGGGCTGGGCAGGGCATTTCTCTCCAGCCGCTCTCTGTTGGGACAGACATCGGCCAGTACATCAAGGTAGCCTGGAGACTTCTCTTCACCGATCTGAAGCAGCTCCTGCCCCTTCCTCTTGTTGGTTCCACTCACCACATATCAACCTTCTCTTTCTACGTCCCTTTTCCGGTGCGTTTCATTTTAGAAAGAAAAAAAAGGACCAAGGACGAAACCAGTCGGAGCAACATACGAAGTAACTGGTGATAGTATTAACGACAAGATCGAGTCAAGCCCCCACCCGGCCCTCACGGCTTGCTCACGGCTTGCTCACGGACCCCTCTGAACGGCCCGGGATCCTCACCCTGTTGCACTGGTGGCAAGGGGTCTGAATCTCCATCGACCCAAACAATTGAGGCCAGTGCCCAGCCCACCTGTTCTCTCCCGGAAGTGTGCGAATTTTGGGGCTACTTCACTCCCGCTGCCGGCGCCGGGACCCTTCGGTGAACAAGCACCAGCTAGGTCTCAAGAAAGGGCTGGCAAAAAGGTGATGTGACAAGGTGGCTCAGCGGGCGATCAACGAGGCGATCCATCAATTGATCAATCAATCACACCACCACCACCTCCTCGACATCGTTGCCATTGCCGTAATCATTACCCAGCCGTCTTGGAGCGACGTGCGTCAGGCACTGACCACTGGAACCACTGCGCCCCCTCTCCGAGCGAGCGAACGAACCGTCTTGTTGCAGAGCCCGGGTTCCTGGGAACAATCAAGTGATACAGATTGCCAGAGGCGATTGCGATTCCGCCCGGCCAGAGCCAGGTTCCCGTCGTTCTTTTAGCGTCCTCCAAAGCCCCTTGCCACATTTCATGATCAGCTCCAGCTTTCAGCCAAAGCTAGACGGCGTTGCTGTACACTAGGCAAGTGGCAAGCATTGCCTTGGACTTGGCTATTTTCACCCAATCGATTTCTTCGCCCCGAACGTGGACGTGAGGGTGAGGAGAGACCATCGGTTGCTTTTCACCGAGCCGAAAAGAAGTCCTGAGCCCCAATCTGTCTGATTAGGACCTGATCGGGATTTCATCGACAACTTGAACCCTTCCATCACCTCCACATCAATATCCCTGCGTGCTCAGTTCACTCCAGCCCCAGCCTCTACTTGTCAACCCTTCCGCCTCCGCCAGTGTGGCCAAGTACACGCCAGCACCTGGCGCTAAAAAGAAGCCTCGACGACCAAAGTCAAGTTGACAAGCCACCGGGAAGCCTAGCCCCGCCTCTTGACCGATCTGACTTGCCCAGTGTTCCTTTCCCGATCCCTTCAATTCCACTTGAATCCTTGGAACCTCCATCGAGCGCAAAGAGCCGTCGTCGTTTCAACCCGCCAGGCTGTCTAAAGTTCGTCCCAACAACCGTCCCATCTTGCTCAGAACCAACGCGCAGGGCTCAAAGCGAGCAAAGGTTGATACACCATTGGAACCAACCTTGCATATACATTGCATATGTGCTCTTCTCAGGGGTAGACGCCCCTTGCACCCTATCAGCGTGACGCCGACCCTGTTCGAGTTGCATACAAAATATTGGCGTCGCCCACGATCCCGCTAAAACAGAAACCAGCCTTCTGCGGCTCTCTTCGTCCCCGAACAATTTGTTGTCTACACTAGCTTTGCGTCCATTTTCGAGCTCCCCCACTCCTCTTTTGATTCTTTCTACAAGTACGCTGAGAAGCTTGGACCTTGTGCTCCCCAAGCCACTGAGAGCTGGTCTTGGCCAGTGCAACGCTCTGCCGTCCACGATCCTGGACCAAGTGAAACTCGACTTCTCCACATCACTAGCGGCATTCCGCCATTAACCTTGACTCGGCCTGCCCTCCAAAGTCTGCTCGTTCCAAGGCTACGATCTCATCCACAATCTCTCGGTCTTGGTCGCAACTTGATTTTCTTTATGTTGCATCATCGCCATCCCCATCTCTCTTAATCCGCAGCCTCCCCGCATACTTTCCTGTCTCGCACAATTAGAGAGGGGACAACGTAAAAGTGATTTCCCTCTAGCTTCATCGCAACCAAGCCTGTATCGGTGTGGTTTTCAGCCCGGCGTCTCTCGAGAGGAGAGTGGCCGCTTCCCGTGGACGGACACCTTTCATCACATGACGGCAACAGAACACGGTATGGCTACAGCGAGGGAAACGGCACCTGCCTTGCAGGTTATTGTTCTGGTAAGTGCTCGATCTTTTTTTTTTTTTTTTTTTTTGGTTCCTCGTCTTGTGGTTTGTGCACCTACCCGTATGGCCGTCGACTTCCATGATGCGAGAGGCCAGACACGGGAAGCTCTTCCTTCGCGAAGCTAGCTTCGCCCGCTGGCGTGGCTTGAGAGCTACACCTCATTGCTCTCCCGTTGGTAATGCATTGCCCCTTTGTGCATCCCCGCCCGCGTCCTTGGATGCCTTGGATGTAGAGCCGATCAATCGCTCCGTATATCGAAGTCGATGTCTTTAAATCATGAAAGGTGCAAACCATCCTTGCGGTGCCCCGGCCGGCCTCGTATACGATCAGTATTGCCGATGTTCTAGTTCTGTATCGTGCTCAGTGGGCGTGGCTATTCATGCCGAGTCAAATCAGGCCTTCCCCTTAGACCCCGTACTTTACCATCCCTAGAGCCGAAGCCTCCATGCCATCCGTGGGAGGCAAGAAGAGCCACCCTCTCTCGTTTGATTATATTTCGCCATGCGGAATCCATAGCCAACCTTTGGGAAAGTTGCAGGGCTAACCGGCAGTGTAGGGATCCGGTGGTGGGCCAATTGAGCACAATACCACGGCCTTGCTTGTGCGTTCAGTAGCCTCGGGCTGGCACCGAGGCTCTATCATAGCAGTCGATGCTGGAGTCCATCTTGGTGCCATAGCCCGTGTTCTTGAATCGACACAACCTAAAGGGCTTGGTACTGACATACCCCTTCCCCATGTTCTAACGTCTGGGCCGTTCACCGGGCTTGAAGTCCAGAGTTCCTGTCCAAATACAAACGCCGCATACATTACCCAAAGCCTCATTGACACGTATCTCATCACCCACCCCCACCTTGACCACATCAGCGGCTTTGTCGTCAACACAGCAGGCTTCCCCGGGACAAGGCCGAAGCGGTTAGCCGGTCAACCAAGCACCATCCACGCGTTCAAAACCCACATCTTCAACAATGTCATATGGCCCAACCTATCGGACGAGAACAACGGTGCCGGGCTAGTCACCTACATGCGGCTGGTGGAAGGCGGCAGTCCTGCCCTGGGCGAGGGCGAGGAGAAGGGCTACGTGGAGATCAGCGATGGCCTTGCCGTAAAATGTGGAGCGTTTCTCACGGCCACTGCATTGAGAAACACAGCCACCGAGGTTCGCAAAGTAGCCAAGGTGGCGTTGGTCCTGGTGTCGCCCCAAATTCTCGCTTCGGCAGCGCAGACGCCTCCGCCGTTGCCTCTCCACGCCTTCTCTCATGTTCCCATCCCCACGGAGCTAACGCCTCGTCGCCTTCGTCCTCTTCTCTTCCCCTCACTCGTGTAGGAGCCTCCTCAACGCATCCGCGGTAACCGCCGCTACTCCACAGAACCTCGGCAGCGACCCCACCGCGAGACTGTGTGTTTATGACAGCAGCGCCTATTTCGTCCGCGATGTGGTAACCGGCAATGAAGTCCTCATCTTCGGCGACGTTGAACCCGATTCCGTCTCCCTATCGCCGCGGAATCTCCGCGTTTGGCGCGAGGCTGCCCCCAAGATTGCCGCCGGGACCCTCTCCGGAGTCTTCATCGAGTGCAGCTACGATAACAGCCAGCCTATCGACCGGCTTTTGGACATCTTAAGCCATGTTATATCATTGAAGAACTCAAGGTGCTCGCCGCGGAGGTGGAAGAGGCCCGGAGATGCACGCTTCGGGAATCCAGGAAGCGCAAGAGAAGCATTGGCCACCCGGGACGTGAACGGGATGGCGAAGCACCAAGCGACGTCGCCGAAGCCGGACTGACTGTCAGACGCAAAGTGTACGAGGAGCCCATTAGCCCCAAAAGCCTCAGACCTTTGCCCCCGTCGGCCATCTCAGCCGCCCACCGCCCCGACATTAACGGCGTCGACAACGTTGACAACGGAAGCACCTCATTAGCGCCGGGAAGCCAGCGCATGGCCACGCCCAGCCCCGATATTTCCGGCGACGACAACGACCGCTGCAACAATCGCGGCCATGACCACGGCGACCACGGCGACCACGGCGACCACGATGACCACGACGATAGGCCCAACGGTCATGCGGCTGCGCCAGCGGGAGAGAGCAAAGCACTGCCGCTTCAAGGCCTGCGCGTCGTCATCATTCATGTTAAGGACAAGCTTTTAGATGGTTTCGTGCCGGGCGAGCGGATATTAAAAGAGCTACGCGAGGAGGAGGAGATTGAGAAACTAGGCTGCGAATTCATCATCTCCAGCGTGGGCCAAAGCCTCTTTTTCTAACAGGAAAAGATTGCTTCGGGCGCACGCCAGAAGCGTTCGCGTCGGGTGCAGAAGCGCCGCGGGGTTTGTTCCTCGAGTCTTGTTTGACGGGGGATTAAAGAAGAGTTGATGGAAACAACGAAAACGAGCAACCGGCTGACGAGGTTATGTTGAGGATGTAGCCAGGCGTTTTGGCTTTTTTTTCTTTCTTTTTTTCTTTTTTTTTTCTTCTTTTTCCTTCTCATAATCTTCCCAATATCTCTTCTTTTTCGTCCATTTTCTTTTCTTCCTCACTTCTTCCCCTCTTCTTTTGCGGTTTCATTTTCTCTCCTCGATTTCCTTTTCACTTTCTATATCACGGCCATCATCCGTCTTTTGCCAGGTTTCCCATGTCTATAGATATTTATTGATTTGTATTACTAGGCCTCTGCAAAGTATAAATGTTATGGATGCTTTTTGTTCCTCTATAATTCGTGTGCCCTCCAATTCCGTAACGTGTCGTGATTCAATGCCGCTATTCATCGCGACTTTTAGTCTTTCCCAAGGGCGGCCTTGGCCAGTTTTTCATACCCTTCTTCACCACCCAAGTCCTTCTGGAAATCAGGGCGAGTGATCTCAAAGGCCTCTGTTGTCCTACCATACATAATTCCGCCGAGACGGCTCATGGGGCGAAGAACCTGGGCTGCAGGTTAGAGGTGATACTTCATATGGAAGGGTGGCTGACCATGATCTGGTCAGCGTTGAACTTACAGCTGGATCAACAATCGTCTTCTCCTCGTTAATTGCATCCTCCCTGACCCAAAATCTCGTCCCCTCAATGATGGCTAACACGCTTGAGATTTTTCCTGGCGTTGTCTTGCTCTCAAATTCCTTGACACTCTCCAACTTGCCTTCCACGGCAAAGACTGCTTCCTGGGCTCTCGCACACTTGACGCTCACACAATCATAAACAGGCGTCAGGCCCGAAACGGCCCACTCACTCGCATTGAGAGGCGCGTTGACGGAGCACGAATTCGCCGCCTCGACAAAACCCTCGGAGATGATGTTGATGACGCACTCCCCGGAGTCGACGAGATGACGGAGCGAGTCCTTGGCCTGCTTGACACTGCACACGAAGCTGACGGCAAAGAGCGGGGGTCATGGTTCACGAGGCCAAAGTAGCTAAAGGGCGCGAGGTTGGTCTCGCCGGTTGGAGAGCGCGTGGAAAGGAAGGCGATGGGCCGGGGGATGATGGAGCTGATGAGGAGCTTGTAGTTGGAATTGGCGGGGCGGCCGGGCTCGTACGGGTCGATGGAGATGTGCTTGCCGCCAATGTGAGTCTCGTTTGCGCCCCCACCAAACCTCCACGAGGGGTCAATCGTCTTTGTGAGGTGGAATTTCTCCTCGCGGTCAAAGTCTTTGCGCGACGCCTCGACGCTCTTGAAATCCGGGTGGGGATTGTGGTTGTTCACGGGTTGAGACATGGCGGGCTTTGGACGGAGAGTGCTGTATCGGGATGTGATGGTGAGTGGGTAGACGAGGAGACGGGCGAGGAGGTCTGTAGGACGAGATAGAGGCATAGATAAGGTGGGATTGTCCAAATTTGATAATCATTAATGGATGGGTTTGCTTAGAAATTCTAGCTAATGGTTTTGGGGACAAAAAACCAGCTCTCAGAAACGAAAGTGGATGACTTCGGCAAAGAGACACGGATATGGCTCGGGGCAACATCACGAAAGAGACAGGACGCTTTAGCACTGAGAGGGAAAAATGAAAATGAAAGGCACACTGCGCTCGACCACTTCCTATGACTGAAGTTTAGGAAGGACCGAGTCTGTCGATAGCCTCGACCAGTTCAGGATGATTAATGGGTGTTTTCATTGCGACACCCTCGGCCATCAGTCATTGGAGCTGGGTCTTGAGTGGGAAGGTCCCATATGTTCCCTTTGCTGGCGATGATGCTTGACGCCAACACTAAAACTAGGAAGGAGGGGCTTGCAGCTAACCGGCAGCCAACTCCCGAGTGGGGCCTGGCTGGCCTAACGCATCTCGCATCTTTTGAGGATTCAAGTCAGTCACAGGGAGTTGACAATGGCCAAGTCCCAGCTCTGTGAGGGTCGAAGCGTCAGGCCCGGGGTCTTCCTTATCTACACGTGCCTGGACTCCCGATAAAGGACCGCAAAGGCAAAAAAGCTATCCACATCAGCTCCAGGGTGGTGAGTCGCGGCGCACTATCGAGTTAAGCGGGTTCGTTGCATGAACCTGCAGTCACAATTTTTGTCACCAGTAGGAGACGGGGAGAAGCGAAAGGAAAAAAAAAGAAATTTCTAAAAACCTCTTTCCTCCACGACCAATGTCGCGGGCGCATCGAGCAAAGGTTCTCCTCAACAAGGCCATACTTGAACGCCCCCCTTCACCCAGGCACGTTAAAGTACACGAAACGCAGGCCGCCGCCCTCCCAGAAGAACCGCGCGCCCAAGTTCTCGCCCGCGACGCCAGTCAACATCCACCAACGAGCCTATCAAGTTAAACCGAGGACCGCTTTTCAATTTTCCAAACGAGCGCACACGTTCCCATATTTCCCGCAAAACACCGTCTTTGTGGTGCACCCGCCCCGACAGTCCAGGACAAAGGAGACCAGGCGCGGATACACCTCGAGTGGGTCAGAAAGCACCATGACTAGTCACGTCGAGATCGTCACCACCCCGACGGCGGATACGGCCGGTGCCACCCTCTACATACATTTCGACAAACGCCGCTACCTTGTTGGCCGGATTTCGGAGGGTACGCAGCGGGCCTTTAACCAGCGCAAGCTGGCGGCTTCCTCGCTCGAGCAGATCTTTGTCACGGGAGAAGTGAACTGGGATACCGTCGGCGGGCTCACCGGTCTTCTTTTAACGATCTCAGATGTTGTCGCTGGTTCGAGGGAAGCGTTGGCGGAGCAAAATAGGGAGCGCAAGGCCAAGGGTAGGAGCGAGCTCGCCAACGACGTCATGCAGCGGCTCGACATCCACGGCGCCGAAAACTTGACCTACTCTCTTGCTACGGCCCGAAACTTCATCTTCCGCACCGGCATGCCGTTCAAGCCATATGAGCTCCACGAGGACAGGAGGTTGGCTACCAGCGAGGCCTCGGGCCCGGATTGGGAAGATGATTGCCTCAGGGTGTGGAAGATTCCACTATACAAGCAGTCGCCGTCTAAAAGGAGGCGGGTGGCTGGTGACAGTCGGGCAACTTCGGAAGACCTGCCCCAGGCGGCCCAGGATCGCACAATGTTATCCGATCTGGTGGAAAGCATGTTCAACTCTGACTGGCGGTTCGACGCCCTCGTGCCTTCGAAACTCCATAGCATCGTGCGCCCCGCCCAAGCTTTTATCCGCGACAGCAACGGATCGATACAGAGATACGAAGGAGCATTTTTGGGCGAGCAGGAAAATGTGCCAGACATAGATGTCCTTGTGAGGGAGCCATGGCCAGCGACCAAAGTCCACACGCTGCCGCAGACTCAACCTTCTGCGCAGTCCATGTGCTACCTCTTCAAGAACCACGCGAGGAGGGGGAAGTTCAAGGCCAATATTGCGCTTCAGCTAGAGTGAAGCCCATGGACAATAAGAAACTCACCAGCGGCCAAACCGTCCAAGGAAAGGACGGACCGGTCACCCCTGACATGGTACTCGAGCCGCCGATCAAGGGGGCGGGCTTTGTCGTGGTCGATATTCCCGACGCAGTCTACATCGACTCGTTTGTTTCTAGGCCGGAATGGAGCGACGCGGAGCTTATGGATGGTGTCAGCGTCATCTACTGGATTCTCGGCAAGGGCTTAGCCTTGGCCCCCGAGGTGCAGGCTTTCATCAAGGAGCGGCCGAATCTGAAGCATATCATGCTCTCGCCAGACACATGCCCAGACATGATTGCCTTTGAGTCTCACGCCGGCCTTACCGCCAAGCTTCAGCGTATCGACCCGGATAGATTCCCGCCCCTCTGGTACAACAACGCTATCCCCAATCTCGGCGCAGCCGCCGCGTCCTACTTGACCGGTCGAACGGGAAAAAGGTCAAGACGATGCCCCAGCTGCAGGTTGAGGACGTCGGCATCGTGGACTTTTGCAACCCAGCTGAAGCGGCGAGCAAGCTAGGCGAAGACGTTCTTGAGCTTGCGAATAAGGCGCTCGCCAGTATCTACCCCAGAGTTCCAGCTCTGGGTTGCAGAAAACGAAAGGGACATACCCAACAAGGATACCGAGATCACACCCCTAGGGACCGGATCTGCGCTGCCCTCCAAATACCGAAACGTGTCCGCGACGCTGATTAGAATCCCCGGTTATGGCAGCTACCTCCTCGACTGTGGCGAAAATACCCTGGGTCAGTTGAGGAGAGCGTACGGCTACGAGGAGACGGCGCAAATTATGGCCGAGCTCCGGTGCATCTTCATCTCTCACATGCATGCGGATCACCACCTAGGCACAATGAGCGTCATTGAAGCTTGGCAAAAGGCAACGCAGGGCAAATCGGTCCTATCCATCTGTTGCACAGACTACATGCGTCGGTTCATTGAAGAATACTCACAAGTTCAGCCAGTCAACTTTTCCAACATCCGCTTCTACGGTGATGCTCACTCGGACAACGATTACACGAGAGAATTTGGTCCAGGCGATCCTTCGGGGCTGGCTAAGCTTGAGCGTGTTAGAGTTAACCACTGCAAATCCGCCCATGCAGGTATCCTGACGTGGTCTTCCGGTCTCAAGATTGCGTACTCGGGTGACTGCCGGCCCAGCGACCGTTTCGCCGAAAGGGCCAAGGGCGCCACTCTCCTCGTTCATGAGGCCACTTTTGAGGACGACAAGGCGGGCGATGCGAAGGCGAAGAAGCACAGCACCATGTCGGAGGCCCTGGGGGTGGCAAAGAAGATGGAGGCCAAGAGAGTTCTCTTGACTCACTTCTCGCAGAGGTACGCGAAGCTGCCCGCAATGGAGGAAAAGAGCGCAAGCGCCACCGAGGAAACCCAGTTTCCCACGGAGGACAGGGTGGTGCTTAATGCATTTGATCAAATGAGGGTTAAACTGGGCGAGTTTAGAAAGGCCGAAGCCTTCCTACCCGCCATCATCAAGCTACTGGAAGAAGACAGCAGATAGAGGTGGGTTTTTGGAATCTTGTATACTATACTATTTGCATGGCACGGAGGATTTGTGCTTCTTAAGGGGAGCCGAAGCATGTGCCGACCCCTTGGGAAACGACTTGGATGAGATCATGGAGAGGAAAACGATAGACATCTTCTCTCTACAACCAGCATACAGAACACCGCTCACTCGACACGCGAGCTGAGCATATCAGTTAGTCTTTTATCGAGCAGCCGCCTAGCCTCACCACTAAATCTAGGACTAGTTTAGAAAATAGTCAACATAGCTGCCGACTCGATATCTCCAACCCTTGCACCTCGTTCTAAGTGGTAGGAAACTTTGGGAGGCGAATGGCAAACTATCAGTCGCTGCGCCCACCCGTGAGGCGAGGTTTGGGCTGCTTAGTCAAGCCAAAGATGAAAGGAAATTCCTGCGCTGTGCTGCCTGCGATGACTCTTGCCTGGCGAAAAAAGTTGCCCCGCACAGTTGGGTTTATCGGCTCTTATCGCCCAAGAAAAAAACCAGGCGATGGTGGGGTAATCCCAAGTGCTTCCCGTATTGTATCTTCAACTCGTCGACAATAGCATTAAACTCTACACAAATCCCAACACTCACTTCGAACTGCGCCTTTGATATAAGGAAAATATAACCACGTGCCGTTTTGCAATAAACTCTGGACAGCCACGTTGAATTTCCAACTATCTAACCAACTACGAGTATTTACATCCACAATGTCCAACCCCGCGGCTCAGCCGACGCCTGATGCCGCCCCGGTGGCCTCCACGGAGCAAGGCCAGTCTCAGCCCGAGAACCAGACCCAGGAACAGCCCCAGGATGGCGGCCGAACGAATCCAAATGATCTCGTGCCCGATCTAGAAGGATTTGCCATCTCCCGGCGTGATCAGATTGATAGGTCGATGCAGACATCGGAGCTCACGCTCAAAGATAAGGCGACGAGGGCAACGAGGCAGCAGGTGCTGGACGACCGAACGGAAGCCGTCTTACGAGACCTCGTTCGACTCGAGTACGTCACAGAGATCCACGGCGTTGTGAGCACAGGCAAGGAGGCCAACGTATACGGCGCCGTGCTCATGGACCGGGACGGGGCCAGTCCTACATACCGAGCGCTCAAGATTTACAAGACGAGGATTCTCGTTTTCAAGGACCGAGAGAGATACATCGAGGGCGAGTTTAGGTTCCAGAAGGGCGGTGCCACCAAGGGATACGCAATGGTGCAGCTCTGGGCGCAGAAGGAGTTCAGGAACCTGTCGCGGTTGCATCAAGCCAGCATACCTTGCCCGGAGCCCATCGTGCTGCGGGGCCACACGATTCTCATGGAGTTTCTCGGCAAGAGGGGCATTTCGTACCCGAAGCTCGTTGACGCGGTTCTGGAGGGAGACGATGTGGACGAACAATGGCACAGCCTCTACGTACAACTTCTCGGCTGCATGAGGCGCATGTACCACATTTGCAGGCTCGTGCATGCCGATCTCAGCGAGTATAACATTCTTTACCACAACAAGCTGCTGTACATCATTGATGTGTCGCAAAGCGTCGAGCACGATCACCCCAAGGCCTTGGAGTTCCTCCGAATGGATATCAAGAATGTTGGAAGATTCTTCCAGCGCCGCGGAGTATCGATCCTACGAGACCGCGCCGTGTTTGACTTCATCTTCGCCAAGGATGGTCCGCTGACCGAACCTGAATTGACCGAAGAGGCGGAGCGGCTCTGCCGCGAGCAGCCTGCCTGGTCCAAGGAAGATGGAGATTTCGGAAATGAGGACGTCGATACCGAGGTTTTCAGGAACCAGTACATTCCCAGAAACGTGCACGAAATCTCCGACCTGGGTGATACCATCAACGCCGACGACCCGCTGATTCAGCACCTTCTCAAAACCAAGGAAAATGACGAAGAAGATGGCAGCGACGATAGCTCGGATGAGGATTCTGAAGGCGGCGCTTCCATCGCCTCCGGAGAGGAGGGAGCCGATGATAGAGATAAGGAAAAGACTCCCCGCGGTCACAAGTTTGAAGATCGGGACGAGAAGAAGGCAAGGAAACAAGCCGTTAAGGAAGCTAACCGAGAAAAGCGGCAGAAGAAGATGCCCAAGCATGTCAAGAAGCAGTTGATTGCCCGATCATCGAGGAAGTAGACTGCTTTTCAAACTCGACGTACTTCATCTTTGGCTATAGCAGGCACTTTTCTTCTGCTTCTTTCTTTTCTTTCCCTTTTCTTTCCCTTTTCTTTCTTTTCTTCCGTCTTTAAAGATGCTGAAGACACCTAGGCTACGGCACAGGGACCACGCGGAGTTTGGCAGGTTAGCATATAACACGGTTCTATTTTCTATATTTCATGACGTTATGTCAAAAGGCACTACTAGAAGCTGGAATGGGGAATAGAAACAGTTGGAGACACGATGGGTCAGATTTCCGTCTTTTCTTTTGTTTTCTTTTCTTTCCTCTTGAGTTTCCTTGTGTGACATTCTGATGGTCTGGCGCTCCACACCCCTCGCACTCGCCTCAGACCGAGACGAGATCGGCCATACAATAATCCGTGGAAGAGGCTATGAACACTACATGAAAAAGCCAGACATCAATGTAGGACAAAGCAAGCCAATACATGCAATTTTATGCCATTGGCCCTTGCTCAATAGCAGCTTCGGCACCGCAAAACGGGCAGGAGATGGCAGGGGACAACAGTGAGGTCACACGAGGCTACAGCCTCCGAACACCGCGGTCTGTCCGACAGTCATCAAGTAGCCGGGGATTCACCATCGTGATAGATGTGACAACGGTACCACTATGCCGCTGTCAACAAATAGCCCACCCAGGCAATCTGCGCAGCTGTTGCGTTACGACCTGCAAAGAGGAATGGGCTCTGAGAATAAGGCGAGGACAGGAGGGATTCCAAGCGACGTGTTGCGGTTACTGTACTTCCAACAACGTGTCTCGGCCGGCGGCTGCCCGACCCGCGGGGAACGATTGCGGAGGAACACAGATGTTCTCCTTTGATATACTTGTTGACAAAAGACAATCACTAGCGTTAGGCAGAGCATGGACCGGTGCGCGGTGCTGGCCAAGCTCGTTCGTGGGCGGTCCTCGGAGGCTTCGAGCGCAACGTTGGAGAAGATTGGGCGGGTTGACGGAAGGGGGCGCGGCCTGGTCGCATGCGGCGAGCCGAGAGCTAAGGGACGCCCTTTGGTCACGGCTGTTCGGTCAAGGTCGTGCGCACCATGGGGATCAAGTGGTTGGCGTGTCGAAGACTAAGCGTAATATATCCATGGATACATCCGTCCCTGACGTTGTGAATGTAATGTACTTAGTATCAACTTGTTTTCGTTCAGGTTTCTTCAACGCACCGGCCTTCTCAATCAAGATGAGGCGGCACATGAAGAAGAAGCCTTCCCTTATCTCAAGGCTTATAGCAAACCAACATCCACGCCTCGACAAGACTCCCGTTTCGTATTCAGGATGCTCAAGAGGGGTGCCCGCCTATGGCTTCCTGTTCGTTTGGTGCAGCACAGGCGGGTATGCAGTGCTGCCCAGGGTCGCAAGGGAAAGAGAAATTGGTGAGACAGCTGCTGGGAGGCTACACGTACACTTGGCAGGGAATGATATCTCCGAGCGAAGGATCCAGAGGTCGGGTCACGTCTTGTTCGGCTTCGTGGCCGAGTAGAAGGATGCAGCAACGTTGATTGCTTCACGTTACTCATATATTGGATGTATTCACGGCCACCTGGCGAAGCACAAGTTGGGACAGAGGTCTCTCCCTGCCCGAGCCTTGTTTCTCCTTGCATCCCAGTTGGACGAGCGAAGTACAAAATGTCTCCCTGTTCTCCGTTCCATCTCACCAGAGCGCCGTGCTTGGGCCTTTCTTACCCTTTTTCTTCTCACCTTCCAGGCCCACATCGCCTTCTCTCGCCTTCCTTTTCCCATTCAGCCTCCCACGAAGAGTTATACCTTTCATACCCCCTTGTTTGGCCGGAAATACATCTACACCGTATCGCTTCTCTCTCGTGGAGGGCATCAGTACGGGTACGCGGCTACACATTATAGTGACTTCGAATAAGCTCATCCGGGTTCAACCATAAACCCGTAGCTAGATTCTTTTGGTGAACCGTTGCCGAAGCGATGCTGGTCTCCATCTCACTGGGCCTGCTCTTGGCGGGCAAGGTTCTAAGCCAGCAGGAGCACGCACTCGACGGGCACAGCTACGAAGGTTGTTTTGCGGTCGGCATCCCCTACGACTCGGGCGTCGAGTTGGGACCCGAGAACTGCACGCCCGAGGCGTGTCAGGAGGCGTGCACCGGGTCCGCATACGCCGGGGTATTTTCGGAGTGAGTCAAAAAGAGTGCTTCCCCATGACCCTAGAAGCCCCACGGTCTAACACGATTTTGCCTTGCCCAACTCAAAAGCGGTTGTCGATGCCTCGATCACGCTCCTTCCAATAAGCTCCCGGAGGAGGATTGTGAAAACTCTTGCTCTAGAGGAGAAGGTTCTGGCCGGTGCGGCAGCCTCGAGGATCGAGGGCGGGCAAACGTCTATAGCTGCGACCAAGAATCGGAGCAACCCAAGACCTCGTCAACCCCTCCACCAGCTCCGCCAGCTCCGGGCCCACCGGTTACGTACCCGCATCCGGCACCTCCTCCGCCTTCTCCGACACCCCCGAGTTCATCGCCGTGCTCAGAAACTCCTACCACCCAGGCTCCACCTCCTCCGCATCCACCACCTTACGCAACCAAGACCGTGGAAATCAAGGAAACGGAGACCCCCGGAACAACCCCCGTACCAGGGTCCTCCCCCAGTACCATCCCCGCCACCACCTCCTCCACCTCCACCTCCACCTCCACCACCACCACCGCCGCCGCCGCCGCCGCCACCGCCGCCACCTCCGACTCCGCCGACTCCCATTCCTCCAGAAAGTACTAACGGACCCGTGTACGGCGGAGAAGAGGTCCCGCAAACCCCATATGAGGAAAGCACAGCCGACTCTAATGGAGGCTATGGGAATGGAGGACCGCAGGATGTACCTCCCGCAACGGTAAACCCGGGCTACACCAAGACGGACATACTTACCAGCACGGCGGACGCTCAGGGAGGTCACAGCTCCCCTCCGGTTACGTCAACCAAGACCAAGACAACCACGTCGACCAGTCACCGTGTCTCATCCACCGCGACAGCGGATGCGACGACAGGGGACGCGCCACAGCTTCGACCCGGCATTTTTGCGGCCATGGTTGCGGCTTTAGGTATTGCCATCCTCCATTAATGATTACTTCAGGCGCATCGAGGGAGGGGAGTCGCCCATTGTTCAAAGCAACACGTTGTTGGAGACAGCAGACGGGGTGGCGAGCTAAGGGATTGCGGGATGATAATGCGTAAAAAGGCAGAAAGGAGTTGCTTATCACAGTCAATCGCGTTAACTCCAAGTGGTTGGTACCAAGTGAGAGGCAATCGTGGATGTTTCTCACTAACACAGAAGCGATGGTGCTGCAAGGGCGAGTACCTTTTGAGAGCGAGCTCAGGGAGAACTTGAAGCGGGTAACTCAACTAGGGTTCCATAATTTGCGTTGTTGGTAGCGACCTATTTGAGGATGCAACTGGATAATGATGCTATATTATTTCTTGATTTTCAGAAGAAAAATAACGACAGAAAAGACCCCGTGGTATTTGTTCCACTTGCCATGAGTCCTCGTGAATGTCGTGTGAATCCGCTCTCGTCGTCGTCTGGTGTGGGGAAGAGGGAACCGCGCCCCTGTGACTCTCCCCGCCTCGAATGCGACCTACCATGCACTGTCAGTAGTGTCCCAGGTTGCTGGATCGCGGAAGTGGAAGAAGTATTAGACAGCCATCAAGGGGGTGGGGGCGGTTAGCGGGCCGCGGAGGCAAAGCCGGTCGAACCAACCCAACAGCGCTCTAGCCCCATTCTGCCATCTGGGCATGGACATGAAGGAAAGGGCTGTGGTGTGTTGACGTTGTCGCTACTATCTTATCTGCCCCCAACATCACTCTTGCGTGATCGCTATTAAGCCGTGATCTGGGCCCGGGGGTCGGAGGTGTCTGGTTATTCATTTACGGCCCGTGAATTGAGGCTAACCCTTGATGCCCCTCGACCTCGCCTGTCGCGGGCAAAAGGAGACGATGGGCGGTGCAAGAGGACGTCGAGGCGCAGGGTTTGAGAGTTGGTTCCCGGCGGCAAGGGCAGGCACAATAGACAAGAACAAAGGGCAGGCACAATCGACAAGAACAATGGTCAGGGGCAGTAGGCAGGAACAATAAACAGGAACAAAGGGCAAGAGCGATGGACGGGAACAAAAGGCAGGAGCGATGGACGGGAACAAAAGGCAGGAACAATAGACACAGCCGATCGATCGATGCAGCCCCAGAAAAATGAATAGATAGATAAACACGCAGACAGACGAACACTCGCGTACCATTCACGGTCCGGGCAAGACTCAACTTTTTCGGGGAAGGCATCACATCCATTTCAAATGATCAACAATACATCCATCCCACTAGATTCAGGGTCTCTCAGTCAACAGCCACCAAGGCCTTCTCCGATCCCGCACCTTGTCCCCAATTCCATTCTCCTCGCCAACAGTCGCCGAACATGAGACGTAGCCTTGGTAGCTCAATCACGCCGACACATTGCCATATCCTCGCGCCCATGTGCAGCAAAGACTCGATCCACGCTCTTCAGCCCTCGCCGGAGCGGAAGGCGGGAGCAACAGGCGAACCCTGTATTACCCCGCATTAAGCCTTCGATGCTGTCACCACTTTGTTTTGATGGCGCCACACGCCAAATTGCCGACCGAAACTAACTAAATGCTTCTCATCGCTCCTACACGAAAGGAAGGGGCGGGGGGACTGGAAAGGGGAGAGAGTGTTTGAAACTGAGGCAAGAAAGTCCCTTGAGAGCAGACACCAGCACTTAAGTCAGAGATGCGTGTTAGGTACCAATCTCAAAAGGGTACCTATTCCCGTCGACAAGATGCACCACTCTCCGATGAGTCCTAGTACCATGACATGTGATGTGGGCTGCAAGACTTGCGTATGCACCTGTGTAGTCTCTTATCGGCCTATCTTATCAACAGCCTCACCATTCTCGCCCTTCCTCCCAGCCAACACAATGCACAGCACACCCTCCCCCTCCACCGTTGGGGGTGCGAAGTGGACAAAGGGGACCGTTTCCGGGTTTTCGAGACCCTCAATTCGCGACAGCGACCCATCCATCAAAGCCTGGTCATCTACCTATCATCGTAGAGTTGCTTGGATGTGGCCACTCAGGTCGCTTCTCCAACGCCCGAGAGGCCAGACACGTAACCTGGGCATGTCCAGGCCTCCCGCTTCAGGGACATGGGGCCACACCCCCGATCATCTCCCTTCGTGGCAGTAGTCCTTTGGCCGAATGGTCTGTTTTGCGTTACTTGAGCATTTCTAGCCGTCCCCTTCCAGGTCTCCTCATCAGCTGTATCGTGCCTCGAATGATGGGGGACATTCGAGCCAGGTGGGGACCCGGGGCGGGGAGGGGGAGCACGTCGTTGGAAGGAAAGCAAGGAATAGAAGTGTAGTTAGGGTGAGGGAGGCCGGGATACGAGACCAAGGAGAGGGATTTCTCTATTTAGCGGGCGACAAGAACCTGGACGTATGTAGTCATATGAGCCAGCAATAGTTGTACACCCCTTCTCCCATGTTGGTTGGCTCACTTCTCGGGGAGGCATCTTGGGCCCTGGCCGACCTGAAAGAGGCCCAGTAGTGTCATACTTCGCCTCGGGTGGTAGTGGGCTTCGGGCAGTCCCTCAGCAGTGCTGGCTCAGAAACAGTCGACGCCTTTTTCAACACCTTCGGCGAGAAGCGCAGGGCGGCCGACAATCACCTTTGCACTCCGCGAGCAGGGGAACTTGACCCGTCTTGGTTCCTATCCTCATACCCTCCCTCATATTCTTGCTCTTCCTTTGAATTGACTCTTCTTTTTCTCTTTTCACTTACTCCCTCCTACAACATCGTCTTGTTCTTTTGGATTGTACAGGGGATAGCTGCATGCCAAACTCGTCCGTCTAACACCACTTTCTACCTTGCTTCCACTTAAACCTTGATGCACGTTTTCCTGTCTCTTCCGTCGACATGATCGAACTGCAAAGGAGCCACAGCCCATTTGTCCACCAGGGTTATCAGACCAAAAGCGCGTCTTATGCCATTTTCTTCGGCAGGGCCTCGAATGCCAGGACAGAAGAGCGTGCCACAGCTCCCACGATCCCGAGCTTCTCCGGAAGCGTCGCTGCCGCCACGGATCCAAGTGCTGGTATCTCACTTTTGGAAACTGCACCCAGTACCACACACGAGAGGAACTTGACTCCAGGAATGGCATCGAGAAGCTTGCAGGACTGAAGGACCCTGTCGCTCTCAAAGCGGCCTGCAAGCAGGAAACTGCCTTTGGAGATTGGTACGGGATCAGAGACACTGAAGTTATTGCTAGCTTCAACTGCCTAGGGGAAGTGACGTTGCAGTTCCTGGTAAGCTATATATATACCATCATGCCACCTCCCCTTGCTCTGGGAGGCCCGCGAAATGTTGACTCGAGCCATAAGGCCTCCCGCCTGCCTTGAAACGGCCTCGCGAGGTAATCTCCTTCGCCAGAAAGGACATGGATGCATGCCGCGATGGTTTCCAGACACAGCCAACCGAACCACCTAAATTTCAGCCACTCGCCCAGGCTATCCGCATCCAACAACCAGATAGGTCCCTTTTTCAGAGTTTCATATCGTTACGACGGCCGGTTGTCTCCGCCGCCTAGCGAAATTCCTCTCCGAGGATCGCCAAACCCCCTCAGCCAGGCCGAACGTCTGGATCTCGAAGTTCAGGGCGATGCCCTCTTCATAAGCCGCTGGGAAGCCGACCCTCGAAACAAATTGCACACGGGCTACGGAAAGCAATTCGAGGATCACACCGTGTCTTACGCACACCTACCAGAACTTAAACGATCCCAAAGTAGCCACATCGCCCTATCCTACAAGATGGGCGACCTGAAGCTGGCCGTGCAGACCGAAGTGGACGCCATCGACTGCGACTGCCACGCATCCCCGTGTCAGCCCGGAACCCCCGCCCCCAGTCCCACTATCAGGAGGCGCTTATCGGGTGGGAGATTTGACGTGCTCTCGCTCGATACCGGAGACAGCAAGGAAGCGCCAAACCACGGCGCCTACAGTTATACTCAGGAGGGCACGCGGATCCTACATGCCGGCAAGCAGTTTAATCTAAGCTGCTGCGTGGAGATCAAGACGCGCATGAAGAAGCCCGATCAGAAGGAAACCATCGATTTCATGGAGCAGCTGTACTTTCAGCGCACGTCGAAACTGTTCCTGGCCCTTCACAACAATGGCTCGTTCTATCCCACGCTTATGGGGCTTTGTGACGTGGCCGACGACCTGAAAAGGTGGGAGGCGGAGCAGCAACCTCTCCTGGCGAGGCTCGTGAAGCTTTTGGAAGAACTCAGAGCTCGAGCGATGAAGGCCGCCGCCAGCGCGGGCGGGCAGTGCAAGATGTCCATCGTACTGGGAAACACCGGGTCCCAGATGAGCGGGGAACGGGGGCCCATGTTGTACACCCGACCCGACGGCGACTCCATGCTGCCACATGAGCCATGATGCGATGGGAGAGATGTTGGATATTTATGCAGAAATTGTCTAGTTTCCACGGGAGTTTGTACAAATGGGTTTCCTTACGGGTTTCTTCCTCTCTTTCTTCTTTCTGCCCCTTTCTTGGACTTTTTTTCCCCTGTAGCAAGGCATTTATCGCATGTATAGCGCTTTCTAGGGCCTCGAGATCACGCCCAAATTTGACTTCACGGATTTACAGAATAGCCAATATTGTTAACAAGAATCAATAAAATTATGAAATTATGTGCCGGTACGCCCTACTCTTTTGTTTTTAAAAAGGTAACTCCTGACCTGCCAAAGAGAAATGGGTGCCACAAACCGGCAGTAAATGTAACAAAGGCCTGCCTGGGATGCCAGCGAGGTATCACAGCAAGGAAGAAGGTACTAATAGGAAGGATGACTAGTCTAAAAATGAAACAGAAACAACCCGTACAATGCAAGAAGAGAAATTTCGAGGGAGTAAAGTGGAGACAGTTGCGGAGAGTGACTATCAGAGTCCAGTCACGAAGAGGCCGCCGCGGGAACCTCGAGCACGAACTGAGGACCCAAATCGCTACCAGCCTCTGCGAAAGCTGAAAGCTCGGCCGCTGCGACAGGAACGGAGATGAGGATCCCGGACGAGTCCCTTCGGAAGGCCACGAGACCGTTGTCGCCCTTTTGGTTAGCGGCGAAGAGCGTGCCCTGCGAGGAGTCGGCGCTGAGAGAAATCATGCGGGGAAGGACGCCGCCAGAAGAGACCTGGCCCTTGAAGGTGAGGCAGCCCGAGGCCGAGGCGCGGAAGTGGGAGATGCTATCGGTGTCGTTGCCGGTAAGGCGGTTGGACACGTAGAGATCCCTGCCGTTGGCCGAGAGCACGACCTCGCCGGCGGCGGCGGTGGTGGCGTTCTTGGGGAAAGCGTCGCCAAAGGTGGAAGTGGGGCGGACGTTGGAGAAGTCGATGCTATCGTCGGAATACGTGAGCGAGTAGGTGAGGAGCTGATTTGTGCGTTCGCAGACGACGGTGTAGTGTGTGGCGGCCTCTCCTCGGGGCCACGGAAGACGCCATGGCGGGGTCCGCATCCGGACTCGACGACGAAGTTATTGGTGATCTCGTATGTGTCGTCTTGGGCGTCGATGACGATGAGGCTATCGGTGCCGAGGTCGTTGACGAGGAAGAAACGGCCCGTGGGGTCAAGGACGGCTTGATGGGGGTGGGCTCCGAGCTGGCCGGGGCGAGCTCGCCGCCACTCTTGAGGGTCTTGATCAGGGTCGGGGTTCCGTCCTCGGCGGAAGTATCCCAGACGTCGATGGTGCCATTGCCATAAGCGGAGCCGACCATGCGGGTTTGGTCTTGGTTAAACTCGAGATGAACAACGCCGGCAGAACTCTCGAGCTCGACGACCTGCTTCAGTTCGTTGGCCTGGGCGTTGAAGCTGAAGAGGCGGAGCTTGTCAGAGTTCTCGTTGACGGCGTAGAAGAGCTCGGGGTTCCGGAAGAGCATCCAGCTGGGGCCGGTGCCCTCCTGCTCATCCTTGGCGACGACGGAGAACTCGGCACCGTTGAACTGAGCAGCGATAATTTGGCCTGGAGCGCCGAGGATAAGAGTACGGGTGGAAGCGTCTTGGCGACGCTGCAAGAGACCGGGGCGAGACGGCGCAGCCGCGCTCAGTCCGGCGAGGAGGATGGGAAGGAACTTCATTTTTCTCCGAGATTTGTGAATTTGTGTTTGTTTCCCTCTTGTTCTTTTGGAGAGTGATCTCCTATTTGTGTTGTCTTTGGTTGGGGAGGTACGAATCCGAAATGAGATGTAATACACGATGAGAACCAAGAGATGGGCAATAAAGAGAGTTAAGTAGGTGATGTCAGAAAGAGGTTGGGTAGGATGGATATGATGTGACAATGCACTGGAAGAGAAGAAATAGACAAATCCAAAAGCACAGCTCTTGAAGAATGGATGAAACAAGTCAAATAAAAAAGGAGACGAGGAAAAATCTTGAACAAGCAGTTGCTATGTGCTGACCGAAAAAGGAAAGAGCAACAGGGTCAACTGGGGCGAAGCAGGACGGATTCTATATACTTGTTGTCAGAGCTGGATGCTGGCCGGCCCTGCGCCTTGGAGAATTTCCATGGACAGCCTTCTTTCACTCACGGATCACACCTCCCCGCGCTCCTGTTCGGCCATGGCTCCCCGAACCATTGCCTAGGAGCGCAGCTTACAAGAGACAAAGAGTCGCAGCCACAAGAGGAAGGCAGCGAGTCCTGTCAAATGTCGGCGAATGCTGCTTCGATGGCAAGCCTTGGCACCCTCTTTCCCCCATCAAGGACGAAAGGTAATAGGCGGTGATCCCATGCAGGGGAAACTTCAGGAAGGGAATTGGATCAGCGCGAAGCCGACAGGGATAGGCGGCCGTCCGAACTGGGCAGGTTGGCGGCACCACCAGTGGCTCTCGCCCCTCACGGCTTGTGCTGAATGGCACAGAGAGCAATAGCGGTTTCAGACAAACGATGGCAGGCTCGTCCACCAACCAATTTGCTTCTGTCAGCGAGGGCTTCAAGTCATGGCGCAAGGAGGAGAGCACTTGAGGTCTTGAGCTGCGCGCTGGTAGGGCTAGAGACGATGCAGGTCAGCGGGGGCTGCGCCGTAGGGCTCCGAAAGAGCGCTGTTCGAAACATATCCCTGGACGTTGTTTGGTGAAGGTGGCGAGGGGCTTTGGTGATTGGCCAGGAACACCTGTCCAGGCTTGCCCATGCTATGCCAACATGGGTAAAGGCCCTTGTCCCCGAGAGGCGCTGCCGCTCCTTGAGATCCTCTCACCCAACGGAAGACCCGCATCTTATATAATTGATTCCACTTATAGAGCAGGCAGTGCACCCGCTCAAGCGCTCCAGGGTGACGTTCCCTTGGTTCCGTGACATTGTGGATCGGACGCTGAGAATTTCCCAACGTCGTCCATGCCGCTCGTCTCCTCGCCACTGGAGACGAAGACGGCGCGGGGAGAGGGGGCTTTCGACCTTTGAAGAAGCACGGAATTGATTTTTCCCCTGCGTACCTCGGTATCACCAAGAATGATAGTCTCTGGAACAGCATTTGGATTGTTCGACGTAATACAAAGCGCTTTTGTGCCATTGGAACTTGTCCAATTGATCCCGTTCGCGTCCCCTAGACCTCTGAAGCCAGGGCCATTAATGTCTGCCTCTCAAGCGCTCCGAGAAAGGCTGGGTATGACACGAGAACATTGGAAGCCACCATCGCCACCTGTTTCATAGAAAAGCCTCGATGGACATCGATGCGCTTTCGGGAACCGACATCATGCACTGCCTACATTCAATAGGTTTCAACTTGATATGAATTCCCAAAGCACTCTTGGTCGATAGCAAAGTTTGGCATACTGGAGGGGGTGGACAGGCAACTTTGTGCCCATAGCCTGGGGATTAGGTAATCGGGTAACTCTCGGTCACGTCACACACACAGACGCGCACACACTTGCTTTGGAGGATGTACATGCCACATCCACCACTCAAGCGTCCGACGCACAAAGACAACTCCAGAGCGTAAGGCCTAAGGGATCCGTTGACCTCTCATCTCTATTCCGAGCCACCGGCTCGAGGTTTCTGGTAGGATGGATAGGTCACATACAGCCTACACTAATATTTTGGGTACTGTAGACCCCCTCTGAATGAGCTCACTGGGCGGCTAGCAGACTAATACTAGGCCCTTAGATCAGCACAATAAGCTCATCGCCGAGGTCCTGACCAAATTCCGCCTCCTTTGCCGCCTCTCTACGGCTCAGGAAGATGCCGAAAGCAAGGAGCCTGACCTAGCCACCATGGGGGTTACTCGGTTATCGATGCAGCTCGAGTTCGAGGCCTTGGTACGGAATTCCTCCCGCGGGTTACCCTATCCTTCCCTCTCTTCCCTCAGTGTCCCCCTTGACATCTCCAGCGCGGGAACGTGGACCCGGGAAAATGGGCTGTCTAACCCTGTATTTTGTAGAACACATGTCTAAAGGACCTACTGGCATTGAGTCGCCGTATCAAAGAGCTCTGGGTCTTTGGCCCCTTGGCCTCAGACCAAGACTCCACACGGCAGCAGGCCGGCGACTTGGAACGCGATGTCCAACAGGTTGTAAGGCTCGTGAATGAGCTGGAGGAGACGACAATGAGAAAGCTGGCATCCGGGAATGGCGGAACCTGGAGAGAGAAGCCGAAGGAAGGCGGTCAGCAGCAGATCTAGCTCAGATGCCCCGGAGCTGGTCGCCACCTCCAAAAAATCCTACCGTCATCTGCCCACCGCGCTTTCGTTAAGCTTCCCCATCTCTATGGAGGCTGACGCTAGCAGGCGGCTTTGCTGTGCCTTGTGGGTTGGGTGTCGAACCCTTCGGAAAGCAAGGCGCGCGACAGCTCTCCGCTTCGCGCTGACTCCAACTGAATTCCTTCCAAAGCAACCCTTTTGGAGCATGACAATTCACCTTGCTCCCTTGCATCGTAAAGGGTTTGCGTTAGGCTGTTTATTCTAGCCACAGCGACCCCTAGAACCCAAGTGTTGGTTCCTACGCATGCTGATCACCCATTTATTGGGATACACCCGAGTTGTGAGCTATATATCCTTTAGACACCCCATCCTTTTACTTCTGCCCTGCCCTTTCGACAACACGTTGGCTTTCCCCAAAGGTGTCGGGTTGGGGCTATCCAAGACCGGGCAAACCGGCTTGCTCAAACCACCCTCGCTTTCAGAGTCTTGGATCTTGCTGTCAGACGCCAGGAGTCTGCGCGCCTCCGCCGCAATGTCTCTCTTAGTATACAAACCGAAGCCAAGGCCATCACATAGCATAGATCCATGTATATATGTTATCTTTGACGGCTTCTTTATCAGGACAACTGTGAATCGCTACCTTTTCGTATTAGGCCACCGCTAGATAGTCTTGCCAGGATTTCTCTGCTTGACGCGTAGTGCTGGGTTGCCGACAATTGTAAACCGTGTCCTGGACGTTCTGCTCCCCTGGCCATGGTTTAATCCATCTACTATCTAGAAGATTGTCTCCGGTACAGCGCCTGGGTAGCGCCGCCTCCCGAGGCCACTGATTAATAACGGGTTCCGTACAAGCAATCACTACTAAATGGGGAATTTGGATACCCACACATCTGCATCTCTCACGACTTCTAAGCTGGTAGGCGGAGCGACCGGTCGAGAGGATTCCGCCCGCGAGCATGGTCCTGGGTCGGGAGCATGATGCGTGCACTGCGCCTGGCGGGCGTAAGCGAGGATTCACGGCTGAGGCTCAAATCTGGAAAAGGATGGGATATGGGGCGCAGAACTTGTCAGGCTCGTAAAAATTCTCGAACGCGGGACATTAAGGCAAAGAGGGTTGATAGATATAGTCTACAGGTATGCAACGTGATATTGACGCTGCTCAAGCTTGTTACAGCGAGTATCACAGACCAGACCGCTCCCGCAAACATCCTAACAAGCATCGGGGTTGATGCAGATGGGATGGCGGTGGGTTGCTGACACCGCTTGCAAATGCTGATATCCGGCCTCTACGCACGCGTCGGATCATGACGACCCGTGCTCGCACGACGACACTTTCCTCGACAGTCGGTGCCCAGAGTTGATCGCGCGCACGCACGCACGCACGCACTGGCCGAGCGGTCGGAATTCATCATGTCACGACACATGGGGCGGGCTGCTTGGCCGTATCCACCTGAATTTCCCCAACTTTCTTCCTGCCTCCTCTTCGCACGCGAGTCTAAGTTTTGTTTTTTCTCTCTCGCAAACTTCCTTTTTCTGTCTTTCTTGAGACCGCCTCTGCGGTTGGGCAACTGTAGGGATGGTAGAATGACAAGACCTGCAGCATTCAGCAGGAGCTGGGGAGAGATTCATTCGATGAAGGGGAGGTAAACTTGAGAGCGCGCTGCACGACTGACACGTATTCACCTACCTATAACAGACAATTCCGGAGCACAGCAACGCAGTAGCTAGCGGGATCGATCTGGCATCCAAGAACCATTTTGCACACATGCCGGCCCTAAGTGGTCTTGTCGGAACACTGATTTCTCTTGTCCCGAAACAAAGGAGGGGACGAGCTGGCCGGGCCGCCGGACTCCGTGGCTTGATCTCATGTGCTTGGCGCAGGAGCGCGTCGGAATATGAAAAGAAATTTCAACTAACAAGCAAGACGTTGCACAGATCCAATTGAGGAGGTACGGCGGTTTCCAGTCTAGTGTCCGTTTTGCTCGACTCGTGGTGATTTCGGCCATCAAGCTACGGTAAAGCAGGACCCTTTCTTGAGGCGTGTTTCACAATCCGCGCCGCCCTAATGCGCCAGCTGAAGGGCGCCAAAGTCGCCGGAGATGACGATGAAGATGGAAGTACGCTTTGTCAGGCGCGTGCGGGTTTGCCATTACCGGAGCCTTTTCCATCTCCTTACCTCTTCCTCAAAGCCTCTGTGGCGGCCTCTCATAGAACCGCTCTCTCGAGAGGTGAATCGTGGACCGAGACATCTAGTACAGCTAGGCTGACTAGGCCAGTGACCCGAGAGGAGAGACACGGACTTACCCAGTTTAAAAATAAGAATAAAAATAAACACAAGGAGGGTTCCAATCATTGGGGCATAGCAAGCTGCCTGTGCTGCGAATTAGTTCTTAGTCGAACTAGAAGCTGTCCTCATGCATGATTCCACTTATTGGACTGCTGGAGCCATACAAAACGCCTCAGACCCGGAGTGCGATTTTTTTAATTTAATTTTTTTCTGTTTGAAAATAAATATTCTGCTTCTTTTCAGGGCTGGGCTGAAGCTTTTGGTTCGCAGGTATTTTGCATGGTGAAGGACGGCTGGACAGAAGCAAGGACGGAGAAGGGGAAAAGCCCCGAAAGATCAGACAAAAGCAATACTTTGGGGCCATTATGTGACGTTGATCGACAAGAAATGCAAACACGATGTGCGAGTGGGAGGTGTACTTGCGTACCTGGAGAGGGGTTTTCTCTTCGATCTGCCCAGTGTTCCAAGGCAATGGGGAATTTAGAAGCAAGAAATGTTTCCGCCTCAAACCAAACAGAGGCCGTCCCGAACTGCTTCAAAACCCGGGACGGGAGAGACACGGGCAGCGCAGGCTCATCAATGTACCTGGGGATGTTCGGTTCGAGGCGATCATGGCACATCAGGTTGGAGGTCGTCGGAGCCGCGCGTAAGAGGAGACGAGAGAAGGAGAGGTGAATTTGCAATGGGTGTATCGCCCGAACCGCGTGTCCCGCAGTCGACTCTGGCCACACTGCATATGTTGCATGTTCAGTTCGAGGACGCCAACAGTCTTGATGAGACTGGGCTAAGGGAGCCCAAAAAAAAAAAAGACGGCAAGATGACAATAAAACGTACTTCTAGACTAGAGTCTCCCCAAGGATATCCACGACGGAGGACGAGGCGGAGTATGTGTTTTACTGACTGCATGTCTGAACCCTTTGTCTCTCTAGGTGCATGGCCTTACGAAGGCCGTCCCCACTCGAGCCTAAACGAAGGGACTTTGGTGGAGGCAGTGGAGACCGAGGCCTCTTGGAACTTGCTGCTCGCAGTCACACGGCGATTCCATCCGCTGATCAGCTGGGTTCGACCCCCGGGCCTCTCCTGACCGTGGACTAGGAGCGAGTGCCTCCGTTGAGCCGCTCGATCCAACTCTTCCCCCGTTTTTGTTTTTCTTTTTAGTCGACGAAGATCGTTTCCGCCACTATTATCCTGATAAAGTGGAGATTGATCGATTAAACTACGGAAGGCGTTCTGAAAATTTAGAACCTAATCCCTCTGGGTTCGTGATGTCGCGGAGAAACTCCACCCACGGGGTTCCTCGTGCTGAAGAGACTTAATTGATCGTTGGAATTGAAGATTTTTCTCCTGGGGATCTGTCTGTGCAAGACCACATTGCAGACCATGCGCCCTCAGAAAGCGGTCGGTATACGTCTTATACATGTAGAGTTTCAATTGAACCCCAAGTTACCATGGCTACTGACGCTGTTAAAGTGCATACAGTCAATCAAAGTGCATGCGGCAATGTGAGACCATCAAGTAATTACTTGTATTGCCGCCATAAGCACAGCAGTGTCTCTCTGTCGAATTCCTTGACGGGGTACGGTACCAGCAGGTTGAAAGAGAAGAAAAAAATTAATATAGGGCGTAGAGCGGATGGTGGAGGTCAATCATCGATCCAATACGATCTCCTCACACCCACGACTGGTGCTGGAGTGACCGGGAAAATAGATTGATGGCCTTGCATAGTAACCTGGGTGATCAGCCACTTCGTGTTCAAGGTTGCTGATGCTAATTCCAGGAGGTCTCCACTGTGGCGGTAATTGGTTGTTTATGCCGTTCGGGGAGAGAGCATGACCATCAACGCACTGCAGCAACCTAGATTGATTTCGGAAAACGGATGTCCTCGCTCATTTGGCGAAATTTTTGAGTCTTCGCGGATACCGTTACTGAAAGGAATGTTCGTGCTCCCAGCAACTTCGTCCGTCTTCGGACACGCGCGAAAAGGCTGGCGGAGGGCATACTATCGGGCTTCTTTTTTGCACTTGTGAGCCTCCGCTTGCGTTTGGCTTTGGTTGGTGCAAAAGAATTTGAAATGACAACAACGCAGATGAGTCCTCCTGGTTCAGGCATAATTAGAAAAATAAGGAACCGTCTCGCGACCCACAGTCCACTCGCGCCGTCTTTTCACGGACTTCCCCTTTTCCAAACGGAGTCTAGTCCAGGGCACCTCTCACCAACGATAATGCGAACAATCTGAAGTGACAGCGCCACAGCCCTCGCGCCTTTCTTGCATACGAGACCATCCGTGTCGGCGCTCGTGATAGGCCGTGATCCTCCCCACCCCGTGTTCTTGCATGGCGAGAGGGCCTTGGAGAGGACAGAAAAAAAGTAAGTCAAACAAACACGGAGCCTGCGGAGAACTCCGTCCTCGCCATCTCACCCAGTACCCGTCATCTTTTCTGGTCACACGAGTCCGGCTGCGATGTCGAGCGGAAGCGGTTGTAATACTGGTCCGCCTGGTCGGAGACCTGAGAAAAGGACAAGAAAGGTTATTCTAACGAACGGGAAGAAGGAAAGAAGGGAGCAAGGAAATAGGAAGAAAGGCGCGGTTCTCTCCTCAAAGGCTCTCGAATGGTTGGTTTCCTTGGAACGGTGTTGGTAGCATCAATCCATCGAAAATCTTTTTTCAAGGTATTGGAACACTGAGGGATACTAATAATAATACTTCGTACATGGGGATCTTGGATGGATCCGTTTGGCTAATGCTGTGTCGTGTTCGAGCGCTCCTTGCGCACCAAGCTTGGCCAGAGTCGTATTTCCTGCCAGTACCAAAGACTGAGCGGCCAAATTCATGTTTGTGCATGGAGAAGGAGCTACTAGTCAGTATTATTGTTGTCCGCTGTCTTGGGTACGTACCGCTCCGCCGTCTCGAGAGTCCGTCCAGGTCCTGGCCCCACGCCAAGGGCTACTTCCAGTATTATTCACTGCTGAAGAATATGCGCTTGCCTCTTGCCTAGTCCGGCCGCCGTCTGTTTCCGTTGTCTTCACCATTACCTCCGCGTTTATCTCCCTTTTCCCCCTGGTCCTCTGGCTCAGCCCTCACCCAACTCCTTTGCCAATCTTTTTGCCAACTTTCTGTCCATTCAGACAGTCGTTGATTCATCTCTTTACCTTCGTTTCGTCTCTCTTCTTTCTCTTCGCTTCCACTTGTTTACCGACGCTCGCTTTGTTCAACCTAGTATCATCTTCTTCCGACTAATAGCCTTCGTTCCCGGCTCCCTTTCCACCCTCCCCACTCTCGCTCGCTGACTCTCGATTCTCTCGGTGTCACATCTTGCTTCTTCGTGGTCCACGAAGAACAGAATAATATCTTCGCCAAACTCGACTGGGCACCTCTGAAAGAAGCAACCCTTTTTCGAGCGCGGGCCCCTCTATAACCGCCGTTCTCATCGCGAACATTCGACGACCAAACCTGCCCTGACTGCTTCCAACACACTCCCACAGTCAAGAATACTGGCGCAAACTCGAACTTGGTTGTGCTTGTAGGCCATCAAATTCTCACCCCTTCGACAGACTTTTGTTGCTCCATCACGCTTTCGTTTTCATCTCTTTTCCTACGAGGCACCTTCACCATGAGACCCACCAGGACCATTGCCCAAGTGGCTTTCTGCCTGTCTACCATGGGCTCGCTGTCCGCCGCCTGGCCCACTTGGATGCACCACGCTGGCCATGCCCTTGTCGGCAGACAAGATAATGAGGGTAAGAATGGTCTCTTCTCGAATGACTGAGAAATGTCACAAAACGATGCAATCTTGTGTTGCTGTTTCTCTGATGCTAACTCAACCGTTTGTAGGCTCCGATTCAGAGACGACTTCTAGCCCGACGAAGGGATCTAGGCCCACCGGCAACCTGAACACTGCGGGGACCCTCGACCCCGACGCTCCTAGGACCACATCCCCTTCCAACAGCGGAGGTAAGGGTAGCAGCGGGAATAGCACAAAAACTCGCGAAGAGTTTGATCCTACCAACCCTGCAGGCAATGCCGTCCTGGTTACACCCGACCCGAGGTTCGGAAACCCTCTGATCAAGGCTGGTTCCACCGTCACCTTTACTTGGAACTATACCAACCTTCTAGCCACGCCCACCGCTGTTGACGTTCTCCTCAGCCGCTCCGGTGACACCAACCTGTGGACTCTGGCCGGAAATTGGACCTTCGAAGACCCCGCTACTTTCACCTGGGACACAAACGAGCAAGCCACCCTCGCCTCGCACCCCTTCTCACGGACGAATTCACCATGATTATCAAGGACGCCGCTGCCGAGGTTACCGATGCTGGGGAGCCCGGCTACTTGACCAGGACCGATGTCAGGATCGACATCTATACCCCGCGCCCCTATACGCCTCTGAATGACTGGAATTGCGCAACCTGCAGCGCAGCCATGTCGGATCTCGATAAGAAGGCGCTAATGTTTGCTGCATCCATGGGCGTAGTAACTGTCGCAAGTTTTACGTGGTTCGTGACCGGACTCAACTTGTAAACTTGTGATGGTAATAGACGCGGCGACGGCAGTTGCCGATTCTCGAATTTACGCCTGATCCCCGGCCTTCACCCGAGGTGCTGGTCCCCGTACCGACGAACCGCGCCGCTTCGATTTCCTTCGACCCCATACCTATTTACACCATGCCGTTACTCCGAGACTGATGACTCTAAATCTCCATACGTACTTTAATTTTCACCTGTTTGCGAAGCTGTTGCTCCGTTCTGCAGTCGACACAGGCGGCGACGAGCTCCTGTCAACACGACACACATACTTTCTCTTACGCTTCGCGACTTATACGGCATGACTCGTCGCCACTCTTCTATTCCCTCCGCCCATCCTATTCTTTTTCTCATTTCTCTTGGTAATGTCGCGAAACTCGGCACATGGGAGGCGTTCGTTATTAGACACATGTTGAACTTTTTATTTATTTTTCCGTTTGGCCCCCACCCCCTTCTCCATATCCATGGCACAAAGGCACTCAGCATTTTAACTGCCTAAAAGATTTGTCCTTCCTTCATCTTGTAAAGACTTTTTTGTATTCCAGTTCTATCTTGACTTTTTTGGATGGTTTGATGATCAGCGTAATTCCTGGTTTAAAATATATCGGACTTGAAAAGGATTACATCTGGCCTAGAAAGTGTCCTGATGTTAAGTGATGTGCGATTGTTATGTGATATTGTGTGTATCTCATTATTCTTTATGCTCTCACTAGACACTATTCTCTATTCTATGTCTACTGACAATGTAAGACTCCGTAAACTAATGGGGGTATAGTAAGAAAAGAGTGCCATTTAAGAATGTGGGAAAGTCGCTAGAGAGGAACCGAAAGAGCACCGCCTTCTAGCCTTTTCCCCGTCCACTATGTCTGCTATGCTGTTTCATCTCCTAGCCCATCTTCAACCGAAATCCAGCCCCTTTAGCTTCGGAGTCACGGTTGCCAAAAGGTGGGACACGTCGATCTCGCCTAGCTTGACGGCCCGGTCGCCCCTCGCAGGGGCATGGGGCTCTTTGCGCGGGCGCCTCTCCTGGTTCGCCTTGCTGGGGAACGTGGGGAAGAGCGCCTCGGCCTTGGGTTTGGGAACTTCGCCAAAATACGGGTGCTGAAGCATCTCCTTGGCCGTGGGCCGGTTGTCTGGGTTCAGAGATAGGAGGTCCCTCATGAGGGAGCAGCCCGCCTTGGTAAGGTCGGTGAACCGGGGTCGTATGCGGTCCTCGACGGGGCCGGGCTGTCGGGGTAGCTTGAGCGATTTAGCATTGGGAAGCCGCCGGAAGCCAGGCCAGTCATCCTCGGATGGTAGGCCGACGAGCTCAAAGATTTTGGAGATTTGATCGGCCTCGGCGGATCCGCGAAAGAGGGCCTTGCGCTCGAGCAGCTCGGCGAATATGCAGCCGATGCTCCACATGTCGACGGCGCCGTTGTAGGTGGTGGCACCGAGAAGGAGCTCCGGGGGCGGTACCACAGGGTGATGACGAGGGAGGTAAGGTTATCGGGTGGAGGGTCACTGGTGTAGCGGGCCATGCCGAAATCGGCGATCTTGAGTACGCCTCGGTTGTTGAGGAGGATGTTGGAGGTTTTGAGATCGCGGTGGAGGATGTAATGGTCGTGGATGTAGGCGACGCCTGAGGTGAGCTGGAGCATTAGGCGCTTGATCTCGGAAGGGACAAAGGTTTCGGTCATGTCCTCCAGGACGCTTCGGAGGTCGTGTTCGACGAATTCGAGAACTAGAGAAACACTGGGATAGCGCCGAGGGCGTACATTAGACTTGGGTAAAAGAAAATAAAAAAATCGGAGTGTTGGAGGGGGAACATACGTGGGAAAGGCTGTATCGGAGGCGGCGACGACGGTCTCAAAGAGCTTCACGACATTTCGGTGATCGCAGGCTCGGAGGATCTTGATCTCGCGCATCGCCGTCACCGGGAAGCCGTTGCGATCCTTGGAATCCGTCTTTAGGCGCTTGAGAGCTACGATCCTGCTAGTTCCATTATCTTTCGCGCGCGAGACTAGCCCGTATGTGCCCTCCTCAATGTCGTTTAGCTTGGTGTAGTTCCTCTCCGAACGGCATGGCGCCCAATACGATAGCGAGGTCTTTAGACGCTTCCTCCCGACAACCTTTTCTGGATCGTCGGTTTCGGGCGAGATTCTGCGCTTCTTGTGGGGTCGGTCCTCGACGCCTGTCGACGGTTTCGCACGCTCCGCAGCCTCCCTCCGCCTACTCTTCTCCTCCTCCTCCGCTGCTTGAAGTCGTTGCGCCTTCTCAGCCTTGAGTCGCTTCTTCTCTTCCTTTTGCTTCTTGAGCTTGGCTTCGTATGCGACGTCTTCTTCGGTCTCGGCCCAGCGCGACTTGCCGGGGTTGCTGGCCATTTTGGCTCCGTAGGGGTTCGGCGACGATTTTCCGCCTCCCAAGTTCGTGAGGAGTTTGGCTTCGGCGGTTCTGCTTAGAGGGTTGGCGGTGGGCGAAGATGGAGGAAATAACGAAATAGGCTGGGCGAGGTGGCCGGGATTTGAAGAGGGCTGGGAGTCTTCTCTATAAGTGTCTCTCTTCTTCCCTAGTCTCCTTCAACTGGGGGGTTTCCATCCAACAGTTGTTGTCCGGTAGCTGGGTTTCTGGTCTGGACTTGGAAGCTTCCTGAGAGGTGACTTCATCAACTTGCATGCCGTGGCGGGGCTGTGGCTGGGAATGCAGGAATCGTTTCAGACAAGCCACAGAATACACATATCCCCTTGGAATTGACTCTCTTTCCCAGGACTTCGATGGTGCTGGAAGAGGGAACAAAAGAAGCCGAGGATCCTCGAGAAACCAAGATGGCGTCTTTTTATAGCTAAGATACACAGCTCACGCAAGTGAATAACTTAAGATTTCGTGAATTCATAAAAAGTTGGGAATGAATCTGATAGCCAATAGCAGCGAATCCAAGTGCCTTGATTATCCAAGCTCTTTCTGGATAGTTCTGCGACTGGCAAAGGTTAGAACAGAAGGAGCGGAGAACAAGCCTTCTTTCCATCTCGCCTGCCAAAAAGAAAGAACTGGGAGATTGGAGAGAAAAAAATCAAGAAATTGAGAGAAAGACGCAACAGGATAGAGAGCCCAAAGGGAAAGAAGTTGATGTTTAATTGATTGATTCATTCCAGGGGACCAGCCGCCTTCACCAGTGTACTATGACCTCTATGTGGCTCTTGGTTCCAGAAGCTCTCCAACTTCCTCGCCCCACCGTCTGCCAGTGTGTACAGTGCAGGATAAGGCGCACGGTACATACAGCCAAGGCTCCTGAGCCTAAGGAAGGATACGTAACACTCAGGAGCAATTCGTTGATCTCAGCGTGGGAGTTTCGTTTTAGACATCCACATCAACAATCTACGGCTAGCCTCTTCACCTGGCCGCTGCCCGTAATCTAGATACAGAGGCTCGCATTTGGCTAGCGTTTGGGCCTTTTATAGCACATCAACGTTTACTTCATCGTCTGGGCCGCTCTCCGAATTCTGCCTACCTACGGCGCATCCAGCTCCGAAGCTGTGTCGCCTCCTCGCCAGCTGGACCAGCTTGTCCCAGCTTGTCCCAGCTTTGCGCGAATCCAGCTATATACCTGACCACCCCCAATTTTCATCCGCCATCACCTCTAGCTAAAACCGAAATGCGATCCCTAATATGGACGGTAGCCCTGGGCATGGTCCTATGGACCGCCCAGGCCTTTGAGGTTGTCATGGTAAGCCGTGTCCGAGGTCCCCGACCATTCCGGTATCCCAGGCCCCCTTCAATTTTCGAGAACTGACGGCTTTGCCCTCCACCTCACAGGACCAAACCGACGATAACAGTCGACGATGTACCGGAATGTACAGCAAGAGTGCCTGGGGAGGGAACGTCGATCCATATATCCAGGTTGTCTTTGTGAACGATACCGTCAAACCCGATACCGACCCTATTATCAGCCTCCTCATCTTTGAATGGAAGGACCTTGACCTGATTGGAGTCGAGGACCCCAACCGTCCCGGCGAGGTAAATATAGCTTTTCAGAACCCCTTGGGAAGCCTCGTTCCCGCCCTCCAAAATACTAACGAGTGTCCGATCTCCAGAGTATCCCCGAGCTTTGCGGCCCCTCTCAAATCAAGGCCGGTCTTTGTCAGGAGAGCAACAAGGGCGAATTCGTCGTCGCTCCGCCTAATGAGCTTGCAGAAAAGTCTAAGAACCTCATCATGACCCAGGCAGTACATCTCAAGGACCCGCATACGAAAGTCTACCCCATCAAGAAGACCGGCTACTACTGCGTCCTTACCGAGGCCTTTACTGGCGACGAATACCAGGCGGTCGCCGTCTTCCGAAACGCCTATGGAGAGCTCCCTGCCACCCAGGTCCCAAAACTTCCATTCTATGGAGGAATGACTATCCTCTACGCCCTTGTCTCTGCGTATGCCTTCTTCCATAGCCGAAATCTGCGAATGCAAATCCACGAACCAAGAAATGCTAATAGCCTGATAGGTTCTGGGCGTTCCTCTACTTTCAACACAGGCATGACATCTGTACGTTACTGTTTCTGGGATTTATACCATGTCCGTGTGCTAACTTGTGCGTAGTGGCTGTCCAAAACTACATCACTGCAATCCTTGTCTTCCTTGTGGTCGAGATGCTCATGACCTGGGGCTTCTATGGTACGTAACCTACAGGCGCTTTTTGCACGTATGTCGGATTTTCTGACCCTCTTCTAGAATATATGAACAACAATGGCTCCAACCTTGGCTCCAAAGTCTTGCTCGTTGTTGTAGCCGTCTTGAACGCTGCCAGGAACTCCTTTTCGTTCTTCCTCCTGCTCATCGTGTGCATGGGCTACGGCGTTGTCAAGCCCACTCTTGGCAAGACTATGATCTATGTTCGATGGCTAGCGGTCGCGCATTTCGTTTTCGGCATCGTTTATGCCATTACCAGTTTATACATTGCGCCCGATACGGCTGGTAAGAATTCAATATTTCACTTACCATCTCTTGCTTCTGCCTAGTCTAACACATCGATTTTAGGGCCGTTTGTACTGCTTGTTGTCCTCCCCTTGGCAGCCACGCTCACCGCCTTCTATGTCTGGACCTTGAACTCTCTCAAGTTCACTTTGAAGGACTTGCTGGAACGCAAGCAAAACGCCAAGGCGTCCATGTACAAGAAGCTCTGGTGGTGTATTTTGCTCAGCATTCTCGTCATCTTTGGCTTCTTCTTCCTGAACTCACTCTCGTTTGCCTCGGTCAGCGATCCGGATTATGTTCCCTTCCATTGGAAGACCCGTTGGTTTGTTCTCGATGGCTGGCTCAACCTCGTCTACTTTGCCGATGTGGCTTTCGTAGCCTACGTCTGGCGCCCCACAGCAAACAACCGCCGTTTCGCCATGAGCGACGAGATCGCCCAGGACGACGATGGCACCTTTGATCTCCGTGACATTGGTGTCCCCGACGATTCCGATGATGAGGAGGAGAATATCGGCAAGCCTATCAACGGCCAGTCCACTTCAGCCCACCAGAACACGGCTGGCACGACGTCCGCCTCGGGAGCCCAGTCCTCCTCTCAAGCGCCGCAGAGCAGGAACCATCCAAGAGACTCCTCGATGGGGAGACTATCTTTGCCGTTGGCGACGACGGCGATAGATTCTCTGACGATGACGATAGCGACGAAGAGAACGCTAAACTTGTCAAAGCGCCCAAGAAAGATGAGAGCAGGTGAAGGAAGTCTAACAGGTAGCGAAAAGTTACGATGGACATGTGCGGGCTACAGGTTGGGTAATAGAATGGGGGACTTTTGTTTTGGTTTTTTCTCCTTTTTTTTTCTTTAAGAAGAAGCCATCCATTCTTCAGTTGTGTAAGACTAACCTATCATTTTTTAACTACTACGACGACTCCTACTTATTGGGTTTCCCAACCTTTTCTTGATGATACATACTACGACGACTATCGCGCTACACTATATGTAACATTCATTGATCAATTCATAACCAATACAACGCATGAGATGCACTGTTGCCCTTTTCAAGCTTCGTCCTGTCACTGTAAACGTACACCTTTCTCCCTAATCCCGAGACCTTGATTGCTGCGCCAAGACCTCTCTCCCTCTGCTTGAACGGGCCAGATGCCGAAGAAAAGCTTAAACAGGCTGGGCAACGAAAGCCAATGGCTTTGAATAGATTGCGCATTCATACATAGACGTACATTACATACATACACGTTAAACCTACAGAAACTTTACAGGTTTAGAAATCAAGGTCCGGGTCGGGCCTATGGGAAAAGGATGTGCCTTTGTCTAAGAACAAAAAGAATTGGAAAAAGAGAAAAGAAAAGGAGCTACCACAGGGCAGGCATTTCTGCTGGAGGAGTGAGCTCACCCCTTATTCGTGATAGGCTCTTCAAGCTGTACTGGCATGGCTTGGTGAGAAGCCGACCAGTAATTCTCTTTCGTCATGCTTTGGCTTCGGGCTTTTGAGGGCACGCTAACCGGAGACGTCTCCTCCGAATCCAACCGGTGCCCTGTGCCCCCGTTCTCCGGCAGGATGGCCAACGCCTTGTAGATCTTCCCCATGCCGCTAGGGCCGCGGTCAACGAGACGCTTATACGACTTTTCAATGTCGCGTGCGCGCTCCGGGCTGGCGGTCCGCATGAGCTGCTCCGCCCTCTCTCGGATGGCCATTCGGATGAGAAACTCGGATTGATCTACGGGACCATGTACCTCTACGCCCTTACTGGCTTGGATGGCGGAGTCGGCGACGGCGGTAAAATCTACATCTACGCTAAGATCTACCAAGCCTGGCTCCGAGAATGGGCTCACGTGGCGGTGCTGGCGGATGCCACGGAGAGAATTGATGGGAACAGTGTCGGTCGTACCATAGTCCAAGATTAGAGCGGCGCCGGAAGGTACGGACTTTGGGTGTTTTGCGGAACCACCTATCCTTGCGGCAAAGTCGGCAGCGAACAGTGAGGCGTCGGGGCAAATCTCGACGATGGCGTTGGGGATGTTCTTGAGATTGCGGAAGCGGGGGTGGGAATCGGGGAGGTATCGGGAATGGCGTGTGGGATACTTGGCAAGAGACATCTGGAATTCGGGTTCTGGGGTGGGCTGGTCAATCTTGGGCTGGCCCGGGACTGGAGAGACCAGCATCTCTCTCCACTGGATGCTAGGCTTTCCATTTCCGTTCGTTGGCGGAGGCGTAGTGGTGCCCGTGCTCGGGGTTTCGGAAGAGCCGTTCACCGTTTGTTTGGCGGTGTCTTGGTTTGGACGGACCTCGACGGCTTGGAAGGCGTGTATAGGTAGAGCATCAAAGAACTCGTGCGCTACTATGAACGGCATCTTTTTCGGGTCTGCGCTTCATGGTTAGCAACTAGGTCGACGAGGAAGGAAAGGGGGAGCAGCATGACCCCAGAGAGGACAGGAGACGCCTACCTTTGGGGATAGATTCAATCGTCGGGGTCCAGACGATGGGGATCTCGGTGTGCTTGCAGATGCTGTGGCAGCCCACCTTGGACTCGGAGACCTGTGCATCAGCTCCGCACAGAAGGTTCTTTTGAACTTTTCTTAGATGACTGCTAGCCTCCACCATGTAGATGGCGTCAATGGCATCCGCCATGGGATACTTTTTTATCGTCTGTCCATCATATTAGCATGGTCGTGTGACACGTAGATCCTCGCGGAAAAGTAATGAAGTCAGAGGCCGAGACTCACACGCAGAATGTCGTCCATCAGCGTACCGCGACCCGGTCCAACCTCCATCAGTTCGACGCCCCGTGAGGGCTGCCCTGGGATAGCCACTCGGCGACGAACCAGATCCCGATGAGCTCGCCAAATATTTGCGAAATCTCGGGCGAGGTGACAAAGTCGCCTTTTACGCCAAATTGGTCGTGCCCTTCCTTGAGGTTTTCTCTAGTGTAATAAGCCCCAAGGTCGGACGTGAGACACATTCGCATGTATCTCGCGAGAGGCATCGGTTCCGTGGCCTCCACCGCCGCGGCGAGCTGCTCAGCAAGCGGTGTGGACCATTTCCGGGCCTCTTCGCGCCTCACGGCTGTATTAGACAAACACCGATAAGAAGACGGCGTCGCAATGCCTGTCCTCTGTCTCAGAAGGCCTGGGCCAGCTCGCGTCTGGCGGGTGACCGCGCGAAGCGCCACGGCGGATAGCTTCATCTCAAGACTATATTCAACGAGAACGACCCGGGAAATATGAAGCAGAGTCAGACTGTCATTTTCTGCAGCAAGAAAAGAGTGGACAAGCTGAGAGGGTGGTGGGCGAGAGGAAACAGCTCCCTCCCTCGTGGGATAATCGCCAAATCTTCATTGGTTCAAGCCACTTTATCGGGCTGCAGGGCGTATCAGTTCCGCTCTTATTACATATACCTCGTATTGAATATGCTGCCCCTGCCATTCCCCTTGTACCTGGATCAAGGCGATAGCTGCAGAGACCATCCACCAAGATTACGATGATGAAGTATTCCCCAGATCTAGGCTTTCGGAATTTTTAAATTACCAGGTCCGACGAAATGAATAGAGGCAATAATAGGTACCCCAGAATCGTGGCGTCCGTAGACATGCAGCATGGTTGGCACAGCTCTCCAGATACCAGAGTCGGGAGTATGAAATCGCTTATACGGGTATATTCCTAAAATACATAACTTTCGTGCCAACCCCAGTGCCAGTGGGTCTGAAATTCTACGACGTCGACGTCGCGCGCCTCGATCTTGAATTAACGAGAGCGACCCGCCGACCAAGAAGCTTAGCAAGCGCAACCCGACTGAAACCTCCTGCTTCAACCACGCCGCTTGAAACCGCAAAGATGGGCAAAGGTATGTCGCTTCCAATCCCCAAATCGAATTCTCACCAAGCTTTTCCCTTTTCCACCTTTCTTTCACATGTAGCATCCATCTTCGCCCGCTTCTCTTCGCGCAGCCAAATCCAATAACATGTGCTAACCATTGACATTCACTCCCCTCGCCTAGGCACGGACAAACTCTACATCACCCACTCCGAATGGTCCTCCTCCGACGCATTTTCCGCCAGCTCGGGCGCCGCCGACCGCGCTAGCAAGTCCCGCTCAGGCGCATCCTTTCGCCGCCTCCCCTTCAACTTTTGCGCCGCCAGTCTCCAACCCTTCAAGAACCCCGTGTGCACCCCCGACGGCACCATCTTCGATATCGAGGTCATTGGCGACTGGCTTGAGAAGCGCGGGACGAACCCCGTCAACGGCGAACCCCTCAAAGCCAAGGACCTCATCAAGCTCAACTTTGCGCGAAACGCCGCCGGCGACTCGAGGGGCCCCGGCCTAAGCGACGGTCAGGGCGACCTGATTGATCCCGTGAGCTACAAGCCCTTTACCGATAATACGCACATCGTGGCTATCCGCCACGGCACCTATGCCAACGTATTCGCCTACGAAACCGTGGAGAAGATGAACATCAAGGCCAAGATGTGGCGGGACCTGCTCGACGACGAGGAGTTTACGAGAGCCGACATCATCACCCTCCAGGACCCCCAATTCACACACAGCCGCGACCTCAGCAAATTCAAGTTCCTCAACGACGGCGAGGACGCCATCCTGACCAAGGCGCAGGTCGAAGAGCGCAAGGCGAGCGGTGTCAACGTCGACGCTCTCGGCAGGATAGGCGACAAGGTCCTCCGGGCCAAGCAGGCTGTCGAAAAGGCACGCAAGGACCGCGAAGCCGGGAAAGATGTCAACAGGACCACCGCGATAACAAAATCTACCCCGTTGTCCGGTCGGTCGAGCGGCGGGCTCGGCTCGAAAGCCGTACCCGCCAACGCTGCCATCTACACAACCGGCCGGGCGGCCGCCAGCTTCACCAGCACAGGGCTGACGCCCGAAACAAGCGGGGAGCGCGCCATACTCACGGACGAGGAGTTTATGCTCAAGCCGCGACGGGTCAAGGTCAAGGGCTACGCGAGGATAGAGACGAATCTGGGAGAGATCAATGTCGAGCTGCACACGGACACCGCGCCCAAGGCTGTCTGGAACTTTACTCGCCTAGCGCAAAGGGCTATTATAACGGCGTCACATTTCACCGCAACATTCCCGGCTTCATGATCCAGGGTGGAGATCCGACCGGCACGGGCCGCGGTGGCTCAAGCGTTTGGGACAAGAACTTTGATGATGAGCTCGACGGGCCGTACACGCATACCGCGCGGGGCACGCTTAGCATGGCGAACAAGGGCAAAAATACCAATTCAAGCCAGTTCTTCATTACATACAAGCCTACCCCTCACCTCGACCGGAAACACACCGTCTTTGGCCGTGTTGTCGGTGGTATGGATGTTTTATCCAAAATGGAGGATGTGCCTACGGACGGCTCGAGCAGGCCGCTTAACAAGATTGTCATGAAGAGCATCGTTGTGTATCTCGACCCCTTTGCCGAATTTCAGAGACAACGAGGCGAGGAGGAGAAACTAGAGAGGAAAAAGGAAGAGATAAAGAGGGCGGGGGCACAGAGGACGATCGTACAACGTGGACAGGGAAACGTTTGAGGGGAAACGGTACTTTGGAAACAGAGGATGTAGCTGTGGGAGTAGGCAAATACCTAAAGTCTTCAACCGCAGCCTCCGCCCCAGAAGACCCTATAGTCGAAGAAGATGACGCAGCCGATGCATGGGATCGTCCCGTAAAGAAAAAGGCAAAGTTGGGAGGGTTTGGGAATTTTGATAATTGGTAACCGTTAAATATGTACAGGGAAATATAGATTCGTTAAGAAAATAGACATTCATTGTGAGGAGCGCACTCTCTCACTTCATAGCCGTTCTTCATGGCTCCTAACCCCGCGTCTTCCAGCTCATGGCGTCGCTCCAAGAAAAAAAAAAAAAGGCATCAAACGATCTCGTCCCTTTCCTGTTCTTGCTTTCCAAGATGCTCGCGCCCTTATAAGGGAAACAGAGTGAAGTTGAAAAAAAAAAAAGGTGAGGGATGAGGGTAGAAAAGGATGAAGGGAAGAAAAAGAAAAAGAAAACACATCTGCTAAGGATAGCCGAAAAGCGCTGTCCTTAGCGTAGTAGTAGTATATCCAAGAACGATGCAAGAGTGGGGGTGAAAGTGTATATAGACAAGAATTGTTGATCGCGACGCGGCCCCTGTCTACAGCCTCACTGGGACTGGCTCACCGGAAACGTCTGGCAATCCATCCCGAGGAATGGAGGCAAGCCAGTCAAGGGGAGCTCCTTGCCGCCACGGCATCTGCCACATTCTTGGCTTGAACAAGACCGGTCTCCATATACACGGCCGTAAGTCTATCCAATACATACTGCCGGACGGCAGGGGTGCACGTTGACGAGACACCAAGGAGGTAGAGTGGCCAGACAATCGGGCTACGACACGAAGAAAGGGCCATGAAGAGCGAATCAGTGTCGACACAGTCATCGGTAGGCCCAAGCAGATCCAGGATCGTGGGGGTAAATGGACGAGGGCGGCGTCCGAAAGTGTCCGAGGCGGGAGTGAAAGGAGAAGGTGAGGGCGAGGGGTGGACAGAAATTGTGGACGGTGGCGATGAGACAACTTGATAGGGCGCGTCATTCGCAACAGTGATGGAGATTGGCCCGAAGTAGGCCGAATCAAGGCTGGGCTCGGAGGTTCTGATATCACGGGAGCTCACCACGCCAAAATGCTGAGGAATGCTTGCGAGTGTGGCATCGCGGAGCTGCTTCAGGAGACGACAGGACCTGGCAAGCTGCACTTTGTACTCCATCGGTACCATCTTGAATTTGCGTCCTTCAATAAAGCGAGAAAGCTCGGAGAGAATCGTTTCATGGACGAGCATTCGAGAAGATCGAAGTCCATTCCAGGTGGTGGCGTTCTCGGTCGAGGTGTAGACGTGGCATACGGAGGCAAAGGCGATGGGGTTCGGGGTAGAGAGCTCGACTACGTTGTACTGCCACTGGTCTGGCAAGCTTGTCATAAGCGTGATATACTCGTCATCTAGGGTTAAAAGAGCATGAACAATGTTTTGAGTACCACTAAGCCTACCACATCTCATGTCATGTCTGAGCTGCAGCATGTTGTACATCGGCGAGGCCATCGACAGCTTGCTGCTGACCGGAACGAGCGCAACTTCCAGATCGTTCCTGAGTTCAATCAGGGTCTCCGGAATGGGTACATCTCGGTGGAGGCAGCTCATGGTTATGGAACGACAAAGCATGAGGAACATTCGCACGCCAACTTTTGACTTGAATTGATCGGGCCCTCGAAGCTTCGCGAGAGCCGCAGCGCCTTGCATGTGCCCTTGCCACGCTTGCATTGTGTCCGGCGAGGAGCCTGTCAACATCTCATAGGTTCCGAGAATCAGCACGGCAAGAAGAGTTCTGTCTTTAGTCGCCTCCTCCGGGTTCACCAAGGCATCATTGATGAGGCGTAGCGCGGTGATGTAGCTCTGCCTAGCCCAGTCGAGCCTCTCGGGAGATCCGGTAAGGGTGGCCATCGCCGCGAGTCCAACCGCCGTCATGCTCGCCAGCACAGCGTCAACGCGCCGATCCTGCATCCCACGAGACGGCTGCCACACTTCGTAGATAAAGTCGAAATTGTGATGATCAATTGTCTCTTCGGCTGCGGTGACGTATCTAGAAAAGAAGAACGCGACGCCCTGCTCTTGAAACGACGGAGAGAGGGTATAGTCGAGGGCAGACGGTGGGGGCAGCGGCCAAGTGTCCTCCTCGGGAGACGGTAGGAATAGGTCTTCCTCCTCGCTTGACTCCATCTCAGATGTACGAGAAAAGTAGTCGGCCGGGCCTGCTATCGGGGGTGGGGTCAAGATCGATAGAGACTTGAGCGTCGGTTCCAACATGGCATCGGTAGGTGATAGCCTCGCTCGACGTCGCTGAATGGGGATAGACCCAGGGCTCGTAATGTTCGGGGAGTCGTCCCCAGGCGAATCCGGGACGGCACTAGCAGCACCAGGCGAAGCGGAGCCTCTTGCGGCAGAACGAGCTCGGCGGTCTTGTTTCTGCGGGTCCTTGCTCTTCTTCGTCCCGCTCGTTGGTGAGGTGGACTTGGGTCTCGCTGCCCTCGACCTCGACTTCGTTGCCCTCCTGATGACGTGTTCGCTCTCATCGCGGAACATCAAATCGACGATGTTTCTGTATCCGGGACATATCCTGTTGTGTTTTTCGCACATGCGACATCCTGGCATTCGCTGATCGCACTAACCAACAGACATAACAGTCAGAGGGGCCCACGCCAAGGCCATTTCGGACTACGCAGTTCACACAGATAGAAAAAGATTGAGATGACGTTTCGGTTCGCGTTCCGAAAGCATCAAATCACGCGAAATAGAGACATTCAAAACACACAGGAGAAAAGGAGAGAAGACGAGAAAGAAGAACAGCTTTAAGAATAAGAGAGATCTGTACAGAGGAAAGGGGAGACAAGAGAAAGGAAGAAAAGCAAGAGAGAAGGAAAGGCGCAAAGAAGAGGCCCGCTCTGAAGAATGAGGTCGGCCCCATGGGGAAAGAAATATGGCTGAAAGAGTATAGGGTGAGAGGGCAGTCGATGCCCCTCTCGTTAGGACGATAGGAAAACGGCGCGCAGTACTCACAGCAATCTTTCTCTCCCGACAATTTTGACAGCCTTTCGAAGGCTTGCCGCAGTAGACCATGTCTAAGCCGAGAGTTTCCGTCCCCAGGTGCGACTGGGGAACCGGTAGGGCGAGGGTGGGTGGAACTGAGATCAAACGATGCCTTCCCGTGGGGGCAGGCGGTATGCTTCTCGAAAGCAGGAGAGGTTGACCAAGGGGAAATGCCCGTTTTTGGACGAGGCTGAAGGTAAGCCCTTGCTAGAATTCGGGTCCGAGGGTCCGTCCGACAGTGTTGGAGCCCTAAATCGTCAAGATGAGGCGTGGCGGTCGGTCGACAAGATCAGCAGGCAGTCTGTCCTGATGAAGCTCCCTTTAGGGGAGCAAGCATCACGAAAGCAAAAGAATGGAAAGAAAGTGGGGGTGGGGGATATTGAAAAGACAGAGAGCAATCGGTCGCGAGGGATAGCGATCAATGATAGGGGCGAATTTCTCATAAAAGGAGAAGACAAGTGGGAAAATAGGACGAGAATGTCCGGGACTAGCTTGACTATTATCGCTGGTGAGCAGGGGCTGGATGTGGTTGAGCACAGGTGGATGCGTGTCTCGCCTGTGGCTCGCTGTGGTGATGGCGGCAGTGAATTGCGGGTGGAATGCGGGACCTCGAAATTGACGGGGCTATGTTGGCGAAATTCAGCACGCACGAATCAACCCCTACTGGATTAACAATCAGACAAGCCGGCCTGGGCTGGGGAGCCTTGAAAACATAAGGCAGGATAAAAGCGGGAGCAGGAAGAAAAGAGGGGCCAAGCACATTCGGGCAGAGCAAGGCAAATGTCACGAATGCTACGGAGGGGGAACGGAAAGGGGCCTGACAAGGGATGGGGGTCAAGATGAACTTGGAATGGCTTCGGCTTCTCGTCGATCGTGAATTAGTGGTGCGACGCGAGGACTCGGATCACCTTGACAGCAGAAGACTGGAGAGCCATCCATCGCCCAGGTCTTGGAAGCAGATGGGGCATGGGGCAGTTGATGGGGCAGTTGATGGGGCAGTCGATGGGGCAGAAAGCAGAGAAGGGCGGGAGGTGGTGTGTTTGGGTGCTCAGGGGTACATACAAGGATTGATACAGGGCTCGCGTCTTGACCAATAGTTCTAGCGTGTTGGCAAAGGTGGCAGAGGTGGGTTGGCGTCGACGTGCAGCAAAGACTTTGGGAATGGCAGACGCTCGGTGGCAAATGGTTGTTGCAGACGCACGCCGCGGACGAGTCGTGATGGCGAACCACGCGAAAAGCACACCGGCCAAGCAAAACGGATCGGACGTGCCCGTCGTCGTCGTCGTGGCCGTGCCGCAAGCTTTTCGTCTTGTGGGGAGGGGAAAGGTTGAAATCAATTATGCTTAAATCTTAGCGAGCACGCGTCGAGGATTCGGCTGGAAAAGGAAGTTGGGGGCCCGAAGAAACTGGGGTCTTTGTGAATCTTTATTGTGTTTCCAGTCTCCTCCGGAAATTTCGAGACGGTCGCGATGCGCTCAATTTGGCAACCTCACACAAGCTTCTGAAGGGGAAAGTGCGACTTTGTAACCTTATCTCGGGAGGCAACCAAGCCAAGCACCTTGTTCCCCATTCCTCCCGTGGTCCAAGGGCGGCGCCTTTTTCTCGTACAAACACACCTTACTGCTCTTGGGAAAGACCTCACTCACACCCTACCGACCCCAGGGTTCCAATCTAATTAACGGCTGCTGTAAAAATAGAACACGCCTCACCAACCACCACCCGTTCCCGTCGATCGAGTGTGGGCGGGTTTCTTCACCACCAGACGCTTTCCGAGTGTTGTGCCCCCGCCCCTGCCCCGCCGCTAATCACAATCGCACTGGGAGCTCTCGGCCTGCACAACGCATTTTCCCTCGTACCCTGCCCTGCCCTGCCCTGCCCGCTTTTTTGTTTTTCAGAGAGTGTTAGGCCCCTTTTTAACTCCATAGGGCTGAGCACAGCCCAGCCCATTTGAATCGTGTTAACCTAGCATCAACATGGTCAATTGAGTCAAGCTCAATTTCCCATGTGGAGACCATGCACGCAGCCGCCTGTGTCTTGCCCGTTCACCTCACATTCAAACGATGAAGAGAACCCGGCGATGGCTCGTTGAGGTCTGTCAAGCTTTGCCGAGCACCATAAAACACAGCGAGCTCTAGGGACGGAATGGATCCAGGCTCCATCTGCCGTGAGAAAGGTCGGCCAAAGGCACAGCGTGTCCCGAGCGGGGGAAAATGCCTCGATCTATCCGCAGCGACAGCGACCCAGCATTGAGCAGAGACTCCAACCCCGCCGATGCTGGATTGATCTACTACGTTACAAATACACCTGTCTGAAATTGGGGCTTTTCCAACCCCTCCTTCAATTGCCCTTTGCAAAGATTGGTGCTCAAATGTGGCAATGTGACCAGTCCACCACTCCGATTGAGCTGCATGTACGGGCATGCAGTCAGACCTCGAACGCTGGAATCTGAGAAGTGGGATGAGTGGGAAGCACAACAGGTCATCCTTGTCCCAAAGCTCGACCTCGGTCGGGTTTCCCTATCACGACGATAGATGTACATACACTACACGACACTCGACCTCAAGCACAAACCAAGCCTAGAATCACATGGCTGGCGTCCATATATGGCTTAATCCCGACGAGAGCTAATAGATGGTTAGGCCGAAGACACCAACCGCCGAGGGACGGCCGTGCTCATTCTTGAGAAACCCCGCCAAGCACTGTGTCGTGGGAGCATCCACAATCCATGTTTTTTTCCTTCTTTTTTGTCACTTCCTTCTTTTCCTCTCGATGCTTTTCCGTTGCCCTGTTCAGGGGTGGTAATTGATATCTTGGGGAGAGTTGGGTTGAAGCTTAGACAAGGGGCTGGACCAGCACCAAGCCCAAAAGGGATGCAGTTGTGGCTCCAGCGCATCGCCCCCTTCTAGAAGCTCATCTGAAGCTGTGCCGAACCAAACCACGTCAATCAATCCAGAGATCAATTGCTCAGCCACCAACAGAGCCAGGGATCGCAAGCCACTCAGCGATACCCAAGCCTCGTTTTAAGCGCCTCAACCCAGCCCACCAAAGCACCTGAACTGGTCTAGCTCGTGCTGCTTTCCCAAACGGAAAGTGGCTGATCGATCCGAGATTCCAAGACCAATATTTGGTGTCAGTGGCTAGACTAGCCTGGGACCTTTTGTGGCTCCAAAATCTCTAGCGGCACCGACGCCTCTCCCTGATAATACCAATGCACACAAGAGCAGCTCGGCTAGCCTGGGCATGGGGAAGAGTCGGCCCGTGCCTCTGATGGGAGAAACAAAGACATTGGTCTTTTTTCTTTTTCGCTCACTTGCCCGTTTTCGAAAGGATGCATCACCATTGCACGCGCACTCGAGAGGGTACGAGACCTCGCCTGATTGAGGCGATGGCCAGGCTTTCCTATCGACAGTTGCAACACACAACCGCGATGATTGCTTCTCGGCATGCAGGAATCGGAAAATATATCTTTTGAGAGGATCTATGTACGTCAAGCAAGGCCCAAACTCGGACAGACGGTAGTAGTAACTTGGTACCCAATTACGGCTGATGAGAAGCCACATCCAATGTTGAGCCTAAAATCTTATGGTTGTGTAGCTGAGTTTTACCGCGGCTTCCGAGACCGTTGGATCGGGGAAATCAAAGCCCCGGCGGCCGTGTTGTCAACTTCCGGCCGAGAAGCATCAAACCTGCCCGGCCCAGCTCCACGACTGCGCCTCACGAAGCTGAGCAACTTTGTATGGGTGGGCGGGAATGAGCTAGTCAGTGTCCCGCACTCAACCAAGGTACAGCCTTGGCTTTCGTCATAATACCCCAAGTCTGGCTTCATTATTGTCGGATCTTAGGGCGGAATAGAAGCCCGAAGCCTGGCGGCCATGGAACCCACCATCACTATATACGTTGATGGATCTGGCACGTTGAGGCGGGAAAAATGCGCCCAATTTCTCACCCCTCCCCCACCCGGCATCTACCTAGCCCTGTCTGTGTGCCTTATAGAAAGATGGTGAACCATACCAGCAATGCCAATCCGCCGGCTTCAAACCCCAATTTTCCAGCAGCCGAGATGGCCAATTTAGTTGGCTTCTCATCATGAACAGCCGCGCTACTTGTTGGCCTCACGCGATTACTTCCACCGGCACTTTCCGGATGCGCTGTTCCGTTTGTCGTGCCCGTCGTCCATGGTTTTCCAACACCCGCCCCAAAGACAGCACCGCCCACTACACTAGCCACAACCGGCACATGTGCATGGATGGGGTTGACGCTAGCCCAAGGCTCCTCGAAAACAAGCGTGTGCTGCGTTGGCGGTTTTCTAGTCGTCGGCTCAATAAACGAGTTTATGATAGGTGTCGGACAAGGCACAAGAACCACCAAGTCCGTGATAATATGCACGTAGGCGACTTTCGCATCCGCTCCGGTGCTAGCCTTGAAGATTGCGGGATAGCCCCGGGTGAGGAAGCGCTATCAGAAGACTCGGAAGGAAAGGTGACTTGAGCATTGACAGGGCACACTGTCGTGAATGAGTCGACGGTGCGGGTGACAATAATCTTTTGCTCCCATCCGGCAGGGCAGTTTATCACATCCAGCGCACAACTTGTTATGGTGTAAACCACCGTCGAATAAACAGTAGACGTGACAACAATGTCCAGCCCAGACTCAGTAGGAAGAGTCGCATCCTCGACAAATACACTTGTCAATGGAATGCTCTCGTCAACACCAGTCCGTGTTAAACCGCTTTCATTCTCGTTGGGCGTGTCCGTTGCTGAAAGACTTTCCGTTATATTCATCGTCTCTTGGCCAACAGTGTCAGTAGCCGTTGCCGTTGCCGTCACCTCAGCATTATCTTCCGTCTCTGGGAAGGTGGTAACCGTTGACTCCGGCTTCTCCAAAGTTACATGGATGAGAACAGTACTGAATGAGGCAAGTGGCTCTTGGGAAGCGGCGGGCAGGCCGGGCTGGAAACTCGAACCAGGGTGAGGGAGTGGAGACTCGGCTCCCAGCCGCACACCGTCTGTCATGGCAAGGCCAGCATCGCTTGTGTGCGCCGGAGCCCCGTCGAGCAGGCATTGTGTCCACGTGGGAGAGTTGACAAGGGTCGTTGAAACGGTCGGGACGGCGCCGATGCGGGTGAAATCCACTACGACGTCGAATCGTGCAAATGCGCCGACGTTGAGATCGAACCATTCGCGAGTTTGCTGCGTACACGAAACCTGTTAGCCATCACACTTGGAACGGGGGCGGGGACGATCAGTCATGACTTGAAGGGTGTGTTAGTTATTCTTACCAGGGCGCAGTCCGGGGTTGAATCTAGTACGGTAACAAATTCGACAATATTGGCGTAGATGCCAATGAGGGCCCCGGCCCCGAGGCCGATGAGGTCGATGTCAGCCTCGACTCCGCACTGCACACGGAGACGAAGGCTGGCCTTGAAGGTGCCCGTTCCAGTCTTCACCTCTACCGGGATCGACTTCGTGCCAATTCCATCACTCAAGTGGTTCTCTGAGTTAGCACAAGAACGAGTGCGCGGGGGTTCTGTCTCCTCTACCTCCCACGTTCCGTTTCAGCCAACCACTGCACGCAGACTTTGTGACCGACTTACAAGACATGATCAACCACATCCCCAGAGAAGACGTCTGTCTCCAAAATGACCCGGGTGCGACCTTGACGTAGAAGCCGCCCGTCAAGTCAACCTCGGCCGCCAAGCTAAACACAAGGTCCAGGTGAAAGACAAGCCCAATGTCGAGCCGGGCAGGCCCAGCCCAACGGGCGAGTTGGAGCTGAAAAGGTCGATAGCGTAGGTGGCTCCTGCGCTCGCCTTGATGCCGATATTTACGTAGGCCTCTACCCCGTCGAACTCGAGGCGTACTACGGGTTCAAAGACATTTTCGGTCGTCAACTTGGCTGTAACTGTGCCTTTGGTCCAGCACTCAAGGCAAGTCACCTCCAGATCAACGTGCTTCGGTTGGAGTTCATCAACTTCGGTCCAGGAGCTGTTGCAGCCGCCTCACGGGGCGAAGTGTCAGCGCATGTTGCGTCTCTCTCCCCCAAGCCCTCCCCGGAATCCTTTCGCTTACCCGTCGGTAAAGAGGGCCCGAGTCGAAGCAAGAAACGGAAGATGACTTACCCGCCAAACAGTACTTCATTACTCCACTGTCTCTCGAGGGAGAAGTCCGCGGACAGTCGCTTCTCAAGATGGCCGCTCCGTGCAACCTCCATCGGGTCGCGAACAGCGAGTTCGTTCAGGACTTTCACATCCACCGCCACGGGCCCAGCCGTGGACAGGCGGCTCACCATGAGAAGCGCCAGGAGGGCGCGAAGCGGGTTAATAATCATCGCAAGCGTTTGCGAGAGCCAATACCCTTGAACTAGTTTTACTAAGGAATGGAAGCAGTGAAAGACCGAGGTGGGCTATGTTGAAAGGAATGGACGCCGGCCCTGAAAAAGAAAATCCGGAGCTGGCTGTTTAGATACAAGGAATGACTAGGAGTGAGTGATTACAGACAATGGCCGTTAGAGTAACAGGAGAGGCATCTCAACCACCGATGCCTCACATGTGTGGGGGCCTCTTCTCTTAAGGTCCTCGTCCGCCTCCCACCCCGTCCCGCCCCTTTGCTCGGATCACCATCCTCGATCGAGCACTAGCAAGGACCACGCTCATTGATATCCATACTTTGTTTCGCATGGGAGCGGCCTTGCTTCCATCGGGGAAGCCAACAACGAATCAGCATCCAGTGACCGAAAATCGGGAATTATGAGGAAACAATCTCATAATTTGACGACGAGGCAGGGTTTTGCTGGCTTAGACACGGTTCCCTATAATCGACGTGACCAACGGGAGAACCACTAGGAGCTCCCTGCATTATCGAACTCCCACCCCCAATCCCGGAAGGTTATTAGCATACTTTTTTCCCTCTTGTGATCCCGTGGTCTGGTGAGAAAGCGCAGTCGCAGTCTCGGGCCCCGATGCGCGGTTGCTGTTTGAGCCCTACGGTTGGCTGCCGCTAGCCAACGTTGGTTGATGCAAGTTGCGTCTTGTGATGGTGATTGGTTTTGGGCGGAGATGTGCGCGGGGGCTAATTTGAGAAGGCGACCGCCAATGGGCAATGCCCAGCACCAAGCTCTCGCAGAGTGAGTGTGGAAACTCGGAGTTGGTGATTACCCATAAGACTGATAACAAGAGGATTAAAATCTTTTATCCTTTAAGAATTTGATAGGGGTTGGTCCAAACGACCCTAGCGTATAATCTTTTGTATAGGATAGAGGCGGCATGTCAAAGCTGTGTGTCTTTAGGACAATGCCTCCATCTTGACCCAGAGAGCTTATACTTGTGGCTGATCCCAACCGGAATATTCTCACCATAACTTCAAGATATATGAGGTCAAGCCCTCTCACTTATCTAGTATTTCGAGAATTCATATATTACCGCTAATGCTACAGCATGGAAGAAGCCGTGGGGGAATGTGCATTCTTATCCAGGATGACGATGCAATACGAGGATTGAAAGGAGAAAATGTAAATTGGCGGAAAAAGATAGAAAAGAGAGGACATGGAGTGAGTATATGCTAATGAATCTTAGCTACATAAGATGGAGATGAGATAATCTTCAAAGTATGACTGGAAACAAAAGAGATAGATGGGCAGAGATGCTGGCCATCCAAGACGCAGCAACATGCTCAGAACCCGCCGCCTACGCCAAGCGTAAGCAGCTTAGGTTCTGAATGAAATAGCGACCCAGACTGATCAATACCATCAGAAGGGCCGACATCATCGTAAGGAAAGGCATAGCCTCGGCTGGCGATGCTTGTTTCATGGCAAATTCTCGAGTAATGGTTTGTCACAGTTTCCTTGTAGTACCCTGGACCTTGGCGCCCTCGGGATGCTCTTCGCCGGCCAAGAGCGTCGACCGGTTGAACCCGGCCGCCAAGCGAGCGCCCACATTACCCCGGAGCTCGGACCAGTCCGGGCCCCGACCAAACGGCCCGGTGTCGCAGTTGAAGATATCTACTGCTGCCGGCTTAGGGAAGCCGCGCCCTACACCGCCATCGAAGGTGAGGAGGCCGTCGCCTGTCACGCGGCCGTTCACATTGCCCCAGTTCCCATTCTGGGTGTTGATGGTTATGGTGGCGCGTCGATACTTTTCCCACACCGCGTCGACATGGGCAGTGTAGTAGTCCTTGAACAACGAACCACCCGAGGCGACGATGCCAGAGTTTGGGCTCAGGGCGCGAAGGTTGGACCCGTTGGATTTGCGCACGACCAGCTTGGACCAACCGGCCTTATCCCGGGCATCCTGCTCGAGGAGCTTGGCGCACACGGTGTCCAAGGCCGTTGGGGAAGCCCTTCCACGGTCATCTTTTCGCCGGCCTTGGTCTCGAGGGTGAGGGAGACGGGGATGCTCACAAAGTCAACGTAGGAGACGTTGACGAAGAGCTGGAAGTCGTTGTAGGTGAACTCTGCGAAACCCCAGCTTAGGTTGTAGTTGGGGTCCGAAGGGTTATGGACAGAGGGCTCTACAATGGCAGGGCCGGGGTTGATGAGAAAGGTGAGGGGGCCGTCTTCGCAAAACCAGATACGGGCTCCGGCTAAGCGCGGGACGGTAACGGTTCTAGCGCTACCGGGCGCACCAAGCGAGATGGCGCAGTTGATGGGCAGAGGGCTCAGAATGGCGCCCGGCGACTGCGGGTAGTATGCGCTTACACCGTCTGACTGGAGAAAGAAGGGCACCCCGCCTTTGTCGATGGCTAATCCGGTGATGTGGGCGTAGAGGTTGTTCGATCTCGTGTTATTCTTGAGCACGATGTTGAGAGTGGGGTCGGTTCCGGAGGGCGCCATGGCTTTGAATACCTGCTTTGCGGAAGACTCGGCCGCGGGTGCGAGTTTCTTTTGCTCTTCGACGGGGGCGCCGGTTGTGCCAGGGCTCTGCGCGAGCTGCTAGTGTTTCTTTAGGTTCGTTTCGAGAGATAGACTGGTTAACTTTGCCCCGGAGGCGAGTGACGATGCTCTTGAGCTTCATTGGTATGACAAGGTACGTTCTAGATTGTGATGGCTAAGAAGGCTAGAGATATAGAAGGCGTCTACGAGAAGTGCAGGGAAGCTATTGCAAGAAAAGGCAAAAGGAAGGAGGAAGACAGGATAGGATTAGAAAAAGTAGTCGCGGGATATAGATTGTTGGGAATGGGGCTCTAGGAGCCTGTATTTGAAGTTGAGAGTATCACTACATTGACCTGGAAGAGTTGGCGAGCTGAGGGAGAGCTGAGGGAGGTGACGAGGTGCCCAACTTGTCGGCGCGCGCCAGCCTCGACAGCTCAATCTGCGACATACGCAAAGGACGGGATCCTCTGGTGACCTTTCTTGCAACCTTGCAAGGGTAGTGAGGAGGTTGGCGTGTCTCAGCAGCAAAAGAAAAAGAAAAGGGTAAAAAAGAAGCTGAAGCTGAACAGCAGGTGAGCCTTTTCGAGAGGCTGGTGGAGGTAAAGGTGATCACAGCTGCTGATTCCAAGGGGGATCCAAGGGACATGCAAGGTCGAAATAAACAGGTTGATACTAATGGTGAAGAGAGAGAGAGTCGGGCGTAGGTGAACCTGGCGAATCGCGCATCACGGAGGTCATCCTGGGACTCGATCAGGAAACATGGGGCTCACTTCGGAATTTGAGCTGGTATCATCCAATCCAACCGATGATGCTAGCCCGCCGGGGGCGCAAGTTTCCACTGGGAATTCCCTGGTCGCCGTCGCAATTGTCAAGCTCCACTTCTTCTTCATCCATGATGGCGCACTCCGCTGTCTGATGCAGAAACGTAGTGTCAGTCGATGTCACCTTTTTTCTCTTTTTTTTTTTCCCTCCCTTTCCTTGCTCGCCAGTTTTGCCCTGTATTCTTATCGATGGCGCCCCCGGCACCCTACAAGCAGGAAAGCAGAGCTAAAGAGCGTAGCGTCGCGGGCTCTTGTCGGCATCAGGTGACGTCACGAAGATGGACTCGAACAGGCCTGGTCGGAACCTTGACGGTCCACTCCGGTCGACAACTTCCCTCCCTGGCTCACCAAGTAATATTCAATAGCAATATTGTCACCGAACCTGGTTTCCCATCTCTCGGCTCTATTTCGCACGGCACCCCCTTTAGATGCAATCTCGGGTCACCCGTCGACCGCACCGCGAATCCGGGCCCAACCTCGTGCCCACACGGAGGGTCGCAACGGCATGCGGAGGGGGACCCATGGCCGTCACACAATTTTCCCCTTCTAGAAATTCATTTTCCCACCTCTCCTCTCCGTTGCCCCGTTTTCCTTTGCGAGAATCTTCATGTTCCCTTGTGCTTTTTTTTTCCCTTCAAGGTGCTTGAACCCATGACCCACCACATCATGACTGTTGCGATACTGTTCATCAAATGCTCCTTTGTGAGGAGCTACAACATCACGCCCGTGCTCCGTCGAGGGCAGATGCTCGATGCAAGATGCCCCATCCGGAGGCACCATGTGTTACCGCGTCTACGCTTGTTCTACGATCTTACACTTGACTCATCGTTCCATCCGTGCGGTGTAAAAGGAGTGCGTCTTCAAAAGATCATGCTCAAGTTTACATGTGTAGACAAAAGGACGAAAAAGAGGGGCCCGGCTAGTAACGGATGTTGGAGATATCATAACTCATCGCATCCTACAGCCTGAGAAGCTCACTCTCTAACTAAGCATATGAGAAGCTTTGCTCCTGGCTCTCGTGTATGAAAACGTCCACGAACCCTCAACCATTATCTATGATCTTAAGCTACGAAAACATCATATCAAGCAAAGTGAGTACGGGGCTCATTGTCTATATTGGCTGATAATGGAACTTCGGGGTACGGCTCATGACTAGGCCACGTAGAGGAGGCCACCTCAGAGAAAAATAAGTCTTGCATTGCCCACAATGTAGAAGCGGATGCAAAGGTTCCAGGGGCGGATTACCTTCTGGGTGCATCGTAAGGTTGCAGGGGAAACTCGACTTGCTGGGATTTAGTGATCCACACCTATTCGCGAGCTATGGAGAATATAAGGTTGGGACGTGACGACATTGGAATGGATCAATGATTATGAGAGTAAAAGTAGCGATATGACAGGCCCGTGGTATTAGTAGGAAAAGATGATGAAAAAGAAAAATCCGACAAGCTCAATAACTGAAAAATGCAATGCCCATGCCTATGATCCAGTGGATTGCTATAGCGAGATAGCAACCTTCCAAGTTGTAGTGTCTGTTTCCCACCTGGACTCTGATAACCGATATTGATGCCCATATGGGGCCCTCAAGTGCGTGGCGTGTCTGGGGGCGCACGCGCGCGTGTGTCTCTTAATGTCAACTTCACCTCAGCTGACATTGAGAGAAGAGCCGATATTAGAATTTTGCCACGCACCCTCTCTTATTCAACCTCCGATCGAGAACTTGCCGGTTGGATCCTCTACTACACCGACAACAATCCGTTCTTGACCCGTAAACCTCACAGGATACTAGAGGGCTTTGCTCACTGCGTGGGAGCCTGCCTGCGACCAAAGAGCCTTCGGAAGAAACCACCAATCCAATCCACAAAGATGGTTCGAATTATGGTGGATATCCAACCCCTTGGTTTATCCTCTTTGGCGCAGAAGGCTCATCGCTCGCGGGGACTGGTGTCGTAGCGCCTAGACGCCGTCTTAGCAGAGTTCCTGGACTTGAGTGTGTTGCAGTCGTAGACGCACGCTCAGTTGTACCATTCTCACGCTCCCCCAGGCCGGCGGCGGCCTTGGTGTCTTGGGCCTAGAAACTCGGCGACATCGGTTAGCATCAATCCGTGGCAAACTGAATCCTTTACCTCCGCAAGCAAAGCCCGGGGTACACGAGTCCGCTAAACGTAATTCGAGGTTTCGGCGGGTTTAACTATACCTCTGGAGGGCCACTCTTGATGAGATTGTCCGTCGAGTCGTGGTGAACATTCACATAATCGCCGTCGGATATGGCGCCCTGCTCCGCGGCCTCGGCGCCGTTTTGGTGCTCGTGGGAAATGACATCATTGGCGGTTTTGGAAGTCGCGGACGAGGCTGTCGCCTTCAGCACGTTGTTCTGGTTGCCCGCTGAGTCGGTGACTAGATAATTGGCCAAAACCACGGAATCAATAATGCTGCTCAACTCCTTCATTCAAGAAACATCCAACATGGAAAGGGCCGGCGGCCGGCGCCCGTTGAAGCTTACCTGTTGGAGAGTCCTCCTTCAGCACCCACCAGTTTCCCGTTCCGACTCTAAATTTGTACTGGATTTCCGTGCCCGGCTCAACACTGCACGTATGAGAGAAGGAATGTACGCCGTCCGAACCGGTGGTATACACCATTTCCTGAGCCGTCCATGGTGGCTTGTAAAGGTGCCCGCAACGAAAAGTGGCGGTTGCGTGCCCGGTTTCCGATAGGTGATGGTAATGGGTAGCTTGCCCGTCATCTCCGGATGAGAGAGCTCTGACTCGGCTCCACTTCAAATCACGCCGGCGGATTGAGCCTCGATGGAAGAGGGGTGGCGATGGACAAGAAGCAGCAGGAAATAAAACGACGAACAATTGCAGGAGGGGGACGGAAAGGGAAGGGAAAAAAAAAGGAAGGGAAGCCGTTCACACTAGAGGGTGGTCGTCTCTGGCGTGCTGATTTGGGCGAGATCAGATGATATCGCGGAGTTCACAGCCGTGGGGTCTAAAGACTGGGACAGAAATAAATTGTATGAGCGTGCGTATCGCCGATAAGGGGCGGGGTGGGACAGTGACGGGATAATATGCCTAGATGGATCAATTCAATTCACGGGACAAGGACGGACAAGCCAAGCGCAACCAAGGATGACGGGCAACAATAGTGCCTAACAAGGCGAGTGTGAAGACGGGCGTGTTCGCCAGGAACAAGCTGTTGCGGCACCACTGGCTAAAATAGCGTGCGTGCTCTTGCATGAGAAAATCAAGCTTTGGCCTCGAGTAATACAAGTAATACAGGATAACGCCAGGGTAAGAGCGACACGGCGGAACTGGCAGACTCCCGACTACATGAAATCATATATGCATTGATCGACTGTATGGATGCAAGACGAGAATTGGGTGCCCCAAGAGATAATTTCGATCGACTCCGTCGAATCCCATTCTGACAAGGCTCACTTGATGACACGATTGACGAAAGCTCTCGGGCTAATAAAGGGCCCAAAGGCGGCTCAAACCCAACTGGGCTCCAGAGTTGATGTCTCAAGTGAGACAGGTGCTCATGCTAACGAAGTGCCTCAGTGGATCGTGACTAAGGCCTTCAGCTCAGCCCGAGGCTGCCCAGCCCCCTCCACAACAAATGGCTTTGTTGAAGGGACAAGGCGAGCGATTCGTGCGTGGCCATGGCAAGCTTCGTGTGTTCACCTGGGGCCTTTCACCGTCTTCTTCCCTCTGGCTTGTCGTGTGAGTTGGGCAGGAACTGAACAACGAAGTGTTTGGTTTTCTGCAAACAAGTGGATCAGAGCGCCTGAGACTTGAGCATTGGCACCAAGTAATATTTCGGGCTTGATTTCGAGTAGCAGTCCTCTGGAGACCATGTGGGTGTGAAGTAAACCCGAAGGTGAGCTCTCATTGTCTTCATGTTGATTGTTCGCTGTTTAGGATCTAATAATCCGCCTCTCGGTGGTACCTGCTAGCGGGTCTTGATGCAGCAGCATTACCGTGTGGCTGCATACCGGGAGACAATTGGCCTTTGATCCTTTAATGCATACAAGCATACCGAAAACAAGGTGCCCACACCGAGACCGACCACCATGCATTATGTAACATTATGCCCCACTCTGTTTTTCTGATGATGATGGCTCCCCATTGCCTAACAAGCAGTGGATGGTGGGGTGCGGTGACGCCAAAAGCTCAATATTGCCCAGCTCAATAGCAACCTCACCTGTGATCCGCACAAAGAGACGTCGTGTATTGATGTTCAATGGCATACCTCGCCTGGTAAGAATCTGTAATGATAGTGCTCTTGACTTGACGGACTCGACTCTCTCTCGTCCTCGTCCCCGCGCTTGCCCGCCCCAACTACTCTCAAATCACCGTTCATCCACAATCGACCGCCGTTAGTAATAGACACTTGTGAGAATTCCCTTATCCGCCTTCGCACTTTACCAGTCTTTCCTGGTCATGTTAGCTTTCCAAAGGGGCATTCTTGCTCTACCCTATCTGAATTCCGACTAGGCTGGCAAGGCGAATTTTGCAGGGCAGGACATCGCCCAGCCTGAAGGACCAAAGCTAGAAGCTAACAAATCATTCTAAGGCTAAGCAACCATGTCCGTTCCACCTGAGATTATTCGCGTCAAGAGAAAGAGGGACGATGAGAGCATCCCCGTAGCATTTCTTCGTATGTCATGTTTTCCCGGTCCTCTTGCCAACAGCTGGGCTTCGCGGACTGTACCACAGCTATATGGATAGCTAACGATGCCTAGAGCTTGATGAGACCACGAAGAGGCACTGTAGTGGGAATTGGGTTTACCAAAGGCGGGATCCTGAGGTTCAACTCGCCAACCGTATCATTCGTCCCGTCATCCATAGTTCTAAAGCCCATGGAGCTCCCGCGGAGGGCAAACAGCACGATGACTTGGCAGAAGCAACGGAGGCGGCTGCTGCGCAGCGCCAGTTCTTCATGTCCAAAGCCTCTTTTACCAAAATCTCCGAGGTTCCTGGGGAGATCTCTTCCAAAAAAGACGCCAAGGGACTGCAATATTCATCGAACGTGATTCTACAAAGGCCCGTCAAGGCTCGGTGCTGGAAAATGCGGCATCTCTTGATCACGCAGCACTCGCGACTCTTCAAGCCTCTGAACAATCACAATCGGGAGAAGGCCATGGCAGCCGTAACCAAGAGGCTAAGAAGTTGAAGCGCCCGGGCAAGCTTGTCCGGGACCAGCCCAGGACTTCCGAGGCGGAGAAGGTGGACGAACCGCCCACTCTCCCACAATATCACCATGACATGGAACGCCTTGCCTCCGAGATGGGGGCGTGGACAATGAACGAGATCCAAAGGAACCTGGACCAACGCGGGAGCCAATCTTCTAACCAACGTCCGGTGCCTAAGCCCGCGGGTGCACGCTCAACCCCGAGCTTGAAACCCAAAGTGCCAGCTCAGCGGTACGCCGAGCGCCATCCGCAGGCAAAGGCCGCCGTTCCCGTTGCTTCTACGCCTTCTCAGGGAAGAACCCCTAGTGGCCAGAAAGCAGAGGATGCCTTGGATACGGAAATGGATATGGATGGCGATTGGATAGAGGAGATTTACCAGCGCGTACCTGCTTCCAAGCTCGATGCAACGGTGCCGCTCAAGGACGTTGGGGTGATTCGCTTTGAAGACGACAAAGAAGAGCAATTCTTCTATGGTGCCGGAGATGGTGATTCGGATGCCGAGCAGTGGGAAGATGAGGAGGATGAGAACGGTGAGTTAACCCCCTCCCCCTCTCCCCACCCTCTTCTGGTCCGGCTCCCTCCACCCCGCTTCTCGAGTGTTGGTGCCCATCTATCGTTCATTCCTCGACTCAGGATGAAGGTGAAAGGTGTCCCAATCCACGATAGTACGGAATCTTTGCACAACGTGGGTAATAGTGCGCAAATTACTAACATGCGGGGCCATTTTCGTTCCAACACCAACCCTAGCCGAGGACTATTATGGAGCCGATTACCCCGAGGATGAGGTAGATGCAGACGACGAATTTGACCGAAACGCATACAAGTATCGAACAGGAAATGCCTCTGATGAGGAAGAATATGATCTCCAAGACTACAACGACGCCGAAGATGAATTCAACGAATATGAGGACGAGGATGGCAATGGTCACATCGTGTCAGGAGAAGACCCTGAAATTGCCATCCGCAAGATTCGTCAGTTTTTGAGCAAGCATCGCAACGGCGGTGTGCATTAGCATTGAAGACACGCAACGCATTCCAACCCCGGCCCGAGTGCAAGGTAGCAGCTTCCTACGGGGTCATGAGGGAAGCAAGGAATATTCCAAGGCGCTTGCAGCATGATGGATGGCATTGGCAGTGACAAAACAAGCCAATCTAGTAAAGTCGATTGACTTGACCTGGTCCGTTGCGAGGTCGCCCCTAGGAAGTGACGAGGAGGGTGCAAGGACAGTGGCCAGGTGATTGAAACAAAGCGCGGGAGGCGCGGGTTGGCAGACTCCGTCCGGACCCGGCAGTCTGGGACGGCCGTCCCTCTTTAGGGTATCGTCCAATCTGGTTTGACAGAGACAATGCGAGTTGACAAAGAAAACCATGCCAACGTAGCCCCGAATCAGAAGCGAGAATTGCGTCTGCACGGCCAAGCGCCCGCCTTTTATTTCTCCTCTCGGATGAGGGGACGCTTCCGTTGGCCTCGTGTTGTTTGCCTACCTTTCAACCCCCTTGTCCCCCTGCCATCCTCGCTCTTTCAGCCCTCTTCTCCTCCTCGCCCCCGCTTCGTGACTTCTCGATAGTTCACGCGTGCCCACGTCGAATACCTCCTACTATTACCTCCCATTTTGCCTTTAGCCATGCATATCTAGGCTGTCGGTTGGATCTACAAGTAGGAGATATCCACAATCCCAATTTACTGGGCATCTTTTCACCTTGGCCTCCTCCCCTCGCTCGCACACCACCAACACTGTACACCCCATATGCAGGCTAGCTGTGCTCCTTCTGACACACGTCAATAACTTGTTAAATTTGGCCGCGTCTTGCCCAGAGGCGACAGGAACCATGCCGTTGTTGTGGGGAAGTACTAGTACCATCTTGGCTCATTGTTTTCATCGCCACGCCGTCAAGCTCCGTCCTTCTCCCTTTTGTCCTCCTTCGTGTCCTTCCGCTTGATCTCTCGATTTCCCTTCCTCGTCTATCGGTGCATGACAGGTCGGCCTTACAGCCCGAGCCACAATGATCGCTTCCCACCCCTCGTTAGACAAGCGCGCTTCTGCAATTTTCACGCACCTTCCTTTCCTTTCCCGCCCCCAAGCGCCTGCGATGGCCATGGCGATACCGAAAGGCCAATCGGAAGTGGAAAGGCCAGGGCATTTTTGAAACTCGGGTGCTGGGTATTTACTCCTAGACGATGGCATACGCACGCTTCTTCGAGACTGTTTTCAGGCTGGGAGGGGATCGAAGAAGGCATGGGTCAGGAGGGGGTGGCTTTGCAAAGGTAGGGAAGTCCTAGAAAGGAAAGGGGACGGCAGAGGGAATGGGCGAGCAAGGGGGAAATGCTGTTGGTGCCGGAGCCTTTTCCCCATCCCTTCCCAACGCTGTTGGTTCGAAGTCCCGTTGCCACCACGAAGCTGCCCGCCTGGGGAAATGGTGAATTCCCCGCCCCTTTTTTTCATCCGCTCCTCTTCAATGCTTTTCATTTCCCATGTCCTTTACTTTAGATATGCCTAGACTAGAAACTACGGAGTCCCGGGGAAGTCTTTCTCCATCAACGGCGGCACTCTCGCTCGGGCGAAAGAGGATGGATGGTTTCGTAGATGTCCTTCGTCCCTTGTTGTGCTTACTTCTTTCCTCAGCTGGGCTGCAGCGTCGGGGAGGTGCTGCCGCAAATCAATATCACCCTTCCTTTTGTTCTTCCCCTTCCTTTTCTTCTTCCTCATTCTTCAAGATGGCGTGCGTGCGCCCGCCATGTATCCGCTGTCACGCTCGTCGCCGGCTGTCGAGAGGCGAGAGAGAGAGAGAGCCCAGGCGCAAAAGCAAGGAAGAAAGCCGTGCTAGCTTGAAGGAAGTGACGCTGAGCCCATGAATTGGCCGAAAAAGAGGCGCAATAAGCAAGAACACACGCGTTGATGGAGCAAAGATGGCTCAACCTCGCGGACAAGAACGGCGCGGTGCAGTATTAGCAAGGGATACGATGCATGCATTGGGCTACAACAAAATCTTGTATTAGCCTCGTCGGCTTTGGCCTTGTATTCTGCCCTGAGCGATCCTCCTGTACTTGTTTAAAATCTCCGGGTTGAAGATTTACAATCCGACCATATATCTGGGGTGCTTGGCAGGCATAATTCATCATCCACGTATTTTGAGCCTTTGCCCTCCCAAGTCCTTCCCTTGCTCTCGATTGTTCCAAGTTCCGCCAACACCGATAGCCGCCCATTCCATATTACATAGAAAGATGTCCCGTCCTTCCGAGCTAGAAAGCAAAAGAGCTGGGATAGAGGGAGAGAGAGAGAAAAGAGAGCGAGAACAAACAAAGGAACAGCAGAAGCAGCAAAAAAGGAAACATGGGCAATAGAGTAAGTGGGCGGCATGCAGAAAAGAAATGCACGGTTTGGGGGAAACTGAGGCCATGATCTGAATCATAATGTCTCTCATCGAGACAATATGTTCGCTTTGACATCTTTCTCGCCCTTTTCCCGTGTTCCAGCGGCCCTGCTCCACCCAGTCTCAGTCAAATAGAGGCCCTTTCCTCTAGTATTGCGCTTGCCGAAAAGAAAAAGAAAAAGGAAGCAAAAAGAAAAGTGCAGAATGATGATACGCCGACCGTTTCTCCTAGTGTACTCCCCGTGCCCCCAAGTAGCAAACAACCTAGCCCGACCGTGAAAACAAGGAAAGAAAAAGAAGAGAGAAAGAGAACAGTAAAAACAAGACAACCCAGACATAGTTTCCGCCGCAGGTATGAACAAAAGAGATGATGCAAAAGGATAGAGAAGGAGAAACGGCAAGAGACCTCGAGAGAAAGTCCCATGCCTGGACTAGACGAGGAGTTTGTTTCCCCCGTCGTGCGTGTTGCTGCAGCAGGATATCCTCTATAATGAAACCTGGGCGGAAGAAGACAACAAATAGACCTCGCGATCTGGTATCGATTTGGTGGTGACGAGAAGGAAAGGAAAAAGAAAGAATTAAAAGTAGGTTATGATGGGGTCATCGCTTCCTGGTCCCGCCTCTGGCTGGGACTGGTTTCGTTGTTGAGAGCAGCGGCGATCCACCGCGATGGATCTAAGATTCTCAGGCGTAAGCCTGGCGCCTCTGCTGGCGAAGTTTTGCTGCCGCGATTTGGGCCTTGTGTCGGCTCCCTTCAAACGCTAGTTAGCATCTAAAACGAGACATGGAATGAAGGCGTCAGGGGTTGGCTGTTTGGCCGGGCGGGGGAGGGAAAGATCTTACCTCTGTGCCAAACACGCTGCTTGTCCTTGAACTCCACCCAGGTGTAATCGAGCGCCCGGTCGGGGTAACGATCTAGGAGGCCAATCTTCTTAGGCTGGTCCCTTACTTTGGAGACCTGAACGATCTGCTCGCCATTCTCGTCAAACATGAGATCACCGTTGGGATCCGTGACGGGAATGGCCAGGTTTTCACGGTAGAAGCTGCCTTGGAGCCCGGGCGTCGTGCGTCCCACTTCCGAGGGAATTGCCGCATGTAGGCGGGGATGACTTCGGTCCAGTTCATCTTCCTGTCCACGCGAAGATAGAGAACGAAATCGATCTGCTCCTGGGTGTACTTGCGGTTCGTACGGGGCAGACCGGTAGGATTAGTCGGCGGCTTCCTCTGCTTCTTCTGGCAGGGAAGGACGTCCGCGAGGGGCGCTACCTGTCGCCTGGGCGAGAGGGAGAGGGGCGGCGGGGGAGGTGAGGCCGGTGGTGGTAGCTGCCGTGCCAGTTACTCCAGGGCGCCGGCGCCGCAGGTGACGAGACTTTTGTGATGCTTGTGGGTGATACGGGAGGAGGGGGCAGGAGACCGCCAGCTAGGCGGGCGATATCATCAAAGCCGGGCAGTGTTACGCCAGACACCTTTTGTCGAACTTCTACGGATTCTCCCGTTAGCGACGGCGGCCCATGGAAAGAAAAAAAAAAAGAAAGAAAACTCGAGGCTTGGGGCTCCGCGAAGCGCCTTGAAGCGATTGGGGGAATGGGACCCTCCCAACAAGCTGCCCCTCAGAGTTGCGAAATTCTTACCTGGACGAACCTCGGCGCCGTGGTCAGACGGCGTCGAAAGACGGCTGTGATGTGGAGAAGATAGGGCACCCGCAGTGTTGGCCCAGGATTCGCCATCGGATTCCGCGTCATCGTTGATTAGGAAGTTGACGGGTAACCTCTGCTTAGAGAGCGGCGAGAGGGAGATGTTGCTAGATCGAGGGAGCACGTAGGCGAGGGAGTTCCAGTAGATGGCACCCGATTCGACCAGCCCAGGGTGGGAACGGCCTGGGGCCTCATCATAGTAGCCGACATGTCGACGTGCCCGCAGCAAAGTTGCACTCGAAGGGTGGTTTTCCTTTCAAAGAAGGGTCGGTTTGGATCGAGTGAACCGGGAGGAGCCGCCTTTGATTGCGTTGTCTCTGCGAATAGTGGGAGGCTTGTCTTGATGGCAGAGGAAGATGGTAGCACTTGATCTGAGATTATTGGGGTAATAAAGTTAAACAGGAGACTGAGGTTGATGTTTGGGTGTTGTTCCTCGGGAAGAGTGATGGGTGGGAAGAGTGTGTTGATTTATACAAGACAGGGAGGAGATCGGGTCTCGAGAAGGTGAAATCTGCGCGCGTCCGCTTCATATATATCCTTTGACGAGCGGCTAACTTTTGTCTTTAGCGTCTGTTGGATGCGACAATGGGACTTGCAAGATTCAGATTGCTCTATCGATATCCGCCGGGGCTAAACCGAGGGTGGTGGAAGAAGAAAAGAAGGGGAAGGGGAAAATAAGCAACGGGAAATAGATAGGATGCAACAAGATGTGAGTGTGAGCGCGGGCGAGGGTGGCGTGCAGTTATGGCCCAACCCACAACGGTAGTCGGAAAGTTGCAAGGGCAAGGGAAGGGAATCTGGGGGCGTGGAATCGACCCAACATGGGTAAATGGAGACACACCCCGAGGGGGGGGGATCCCTCACCTCACTGCCTCTTCTTGAACCAGGAACAGAGAGGGTGTAAAAAAAGAAGAAAAAAACAAGCTGTTGGTTGAAAGAAACGTGGAGCTGGGCCTAAAATTGGGGAGAGGAAGAATCTCGTCTACTAAGTTGGCGTTTGATGGCCCCCGTCACCTTACATCCCCGTGAAGCTTCCAGATTATCTTCTTCTCCCACCGCGCGAGTAGACTGATCAAGATGGTGATGCGTCTTTGGCGAATCCCCGTGGCCTTGCGCAAAGCAAAGGGAGTTCGCGATGGGCGATGTTGAGACTGACACACACGTACACACACCCCGAGAGAGAGATAGGGAGTGGGAGTGTGTAAGGGAGAGACCTATACGGGGAGCTGTCAGGGGAATCTCTTGCCGTGGAGGGTACCTCGAGAGCGTCTACCTCGGTAGGGGGTGCGATGACAGCAGAGACAGTCGGAGTCAGACAAGAGACACCGAGAAACAAGTTCCAAGACATGGGAAAATGTCGACCAAGTGGGAGGGTTTCTGGATTAAGCGTAGCTAAGGACCAACAGAGGGTAGTGAGGGGGTAGAAGAAGCATGGGGATGGGGACCGGGGAAGGCAAAGCAAGCAAGGGCCGAGAAGACAGCGAAGAAAGCGTGCCCCAGCCGGACTCGATAATAGCCCACTCCAGTCCAGTCCATCCATGCCCACACCCACGGCGCATGTCCATCCACACGCACACACACACACACACACACACCTACACACTCACACTCACACGCGCACACACGCACATACTCGCTCATCCGCTGCTACAGGATACGTACACTGGCGAAAGGAAGGGAGAGAGAGAAAGAGAGAGGGAGAGGGACGCAGATACTTCGTACACACAGCAGTGGGCTTGAGGGGGGCGTGTCAGGAAAACAAAAGGAAAGGCTACTCGGAGCGCAGCTGCGGGATATTATCCTTGTCATTGAAGAAACAACCGGACTGGCTCACTCATACAAATCCTGCCATGCCGATGGGCGCCAGATCCGCTTTGTCGGGGCCCAGTTGTACAGTACAAGCTGTGGGCATCCAGAGGAGAATGTCGACGAGAGGAAGAGGAGGATTCAGGTCGGTGTACATGGGGTTGCTTGGTAAAGGAGGGAATATTTCGATGGGTGGCATGGGCTGTTGGTTCTCCAATATCTCCTTGTGCATGGCGGTCTGAATCGACCCGTTTTAGGACGGTTGCATCTCGTCGCATCTCGTTACCGGCCTGTCGGGTCGGTTTATTCGTACTGTGGACAAAAGTGCAACTAAAAAAAACACACACGCACGGAGGGACGAAGGGGGAGAGGGAGGAGAATGGCGAAAGGAACCCGTCCAAGAGAGAGAGAGAGAGACAGAGACGGGGACTGACTGGGCTATTGAAGTTGGGTTGTTCCGCTCGCACGCACTATCCACACTTGTACTGGTGTCGAGGGAAAGCAGCTCAGTCGAGAAGCAATCCATCTAGATAGATCCATTCGGTTGATCACAACGGTCGACTGCCAGCTGCTATTGACGGGCGCTTGCGGAGCTGGTCCCCGAGACGTGTGCCCGACAGGGAAGGAAGAGACACCAAAAAAGGAAAAGAAAAGCCACCCATGGTGAGCCAGGCGCGGCCGGCCCTGAATTACCTTGGAAGACGTGCGAGGCGTCGGCGAGGCCAAGGTCGGTGGTGGCCGTCTCTCCAGTGTTGGTTGCTTTTCCCACCATTGAGCACAGCATTTCCGTCAGGATGGGGCACAGAGCTGATGAGACTTTTAGTGGGTTATTGGTGGGGATACCGGCTTGTTTTCTCTCTCGGCCCTGGGAGTATTTCATTTTTTCTTTTCCTTTCTTTTTCGTTTTTCGTTTTTTTCCCTCCTCATTTCAACTGAACGCCTAAAAAGAAAAGAAAAACAAAGGGGCATCCATGGTACTTTTTTAGCAGTAGTAGTGTAGTAGTAGTAGTAGCGCACCGTTTGGCTTCACGTTGTCCAGGGAAGCGCAGCTGGCCGTGTTCCTCTCAAGAGGTACTGGATGCATCCAGTATTATTCCTCATGCCTGCCTCAAGGCGGAATACCAGACCAGACCAGACCAGACTAAAAGCAGAATTGGGTCATCAACCCAACCTGTCTGCTTTTTTCCGGTGGCCGTGGCATTCGTTCACTCGGACTCCACTCAATGCACGCCGAGTTCCAACTCGGGATACGCCAGGTGGGCGAGATGGATCATCTGAGATAGGCGAGGCTGTTCTTTGGCCGTTATCTCTAGGTTTGAGAAGACGGGTCATCGCCTCGTGGCAGTTCCAGCTCGGTCACGGCCAGGGAGCCAGGGCAAGCCCATTCTGTCGCGCTCGGAGAGAGCAGCCGATGGCATAATGCTCAATTTTGACCGAGGCCGGGGAGGAGGGGAATGACCAGGAGATGAAGACAAGAAAGGTTAATCACCAACACGCCACCTCCAAACACACAGACACGGAAGCAGCTGGCAAGCAAGAATGATGGCTTGACCAGAACACAGTGCGCTCGTTTTATTGATGGCGTTGTGGGGACTGGCTTTGCTGAAGATCAAATGTGACTCGAGTCCTTTCCTTTTCCCTCCGCCACAGGCAGCAAACATCTTCAGGTACGTACCTTGTGCGCCTTCCGCTCCTGGTTCCAGCACACCTCAATGTCCTTTCTACTTTGCCTCGACGCAAAGCACGGATTGCGCTGGTCTTGGTCAGGTAGCCACAGGCTCTGGACTCGACTCGATCGCGGAACTTGGTTCGTTCTCCCAAGCATGAGCCAGTGAGAAAAACACTCTCTTCCGAATTATCAAAAATCCCCTTCACTCTCCATATTCTCATAAAAAGAAAACCATTATTATCGATGGCGAGCCGGGACATCGTTTTCTGTGTACCAAGGTCAATGGTATACATTGATGGAAGTTGGCCCAAAGCTTCCAGAGCCCTCAAAGTTCCCAGTACGAAGTCCTCCCTGCATCTCCCGAGCTCAGTCACAGACAGTCCCGACGGTTTGGGTCAGGGTGATATGAGGTTGATTTGATTTAATATCAGCGAGAAAGGGCGGCAGGAGACCGGATGCTGTTGGCTCAGCGTTCGACCCAGTTCGACCCATCGACTGGCGTGGATCGAAGGGGGCCTGGAGCCTGCCCCCTCCCAGAGCGCTTCCGGTTTCCCGCTCCTCCTCCTCCCCATCGTCATGCCCGGTTGCTCTTCTCTTGAAAGCTGCTATGTAGTAGGGCGATTATCCGCTACCGCCCTTTCTTCCATTTCAATGGTCCTGCCCGTGGGCCGGCCCAGTTCTGCAGTCGTCAAAAAGAATAAAAGTGTGGGCGAATGAAACGCTTAATCGCCAGCCGCCGGTCCTCACTGCCACACCCCGTTGTGCCTTGGTGCCTTGGTGCCTTTGTGCCTTTGCGTCAACTCATATTTCTATTTTCTTTCCTTCTTTGACTTTCCTTCGCTTCTTTCCCCCGTCCGTCTAGGCCCATCCTGCCGAGGCCGAGGCGGGTTTAATGTACCTTGGCGCTGAAACGGGGAAAGGGCATGATGGGGGTCTTGTGGCCCCGGTGCTGGTGGATGATGGTGCTAGTGGTAAGTAGCAGCTGAAGCACCATCAATGCAGGCAGAGGGAGACAAGACGGCGCTGGGCCTATTTCGGGCCTGAAGCTGGACTATTGCTAGCGCTGTCGTTAGAGTCCTCCTCAGTTGACAAGGCTATATACCATTGCCCTCCGTCAAGCCCCTCTTGGTGTCTCGTCTCGACTCGTCTAGGAAGTCATGTCGCACTTGAGGGAGCCATCAGGAGTGCTTGACAGCCCAGAGTTTCGACGTCCTTGTCTGGGAGGGGTATTCCATTAGGAGCATTGACACCGACACTGAGACAACCCCCGAGGTCGAGTTGCTCTGTCTTAGTTGCACCGATAGCCTTGTCTATATGTGGGGTGTGATAGCTAGCAGCCGTACCCAATGGCAAAGGACACGGGCACACAAATAGCTGACCTGTGCAAAGTGCGACCTGCAATGACGACTTTATCGATCTTCCGGCTGTCGGTGGATATCGGTGCTTGCAGTGATGGCGTCTTCTTTGAAGCAAGGACGGAAAAGGATGATTGACAGAAGCTTGCCGGCTGTACTCCGGGCGACAACGTGGATCGTGATCTCGCCGCAGCGATATCCTGGGTGGGCCCCGCCACACCCGAAAGGAATGTTGCTCATGCCCCATATTAATACTTGTGCTCTCGAGAATAATAGTGCCAGATTAGAGCCAACAGTTGGTCTATGCACGACGGCGCGCGGCGGGAGCAGTCGGTGCGTGCACGCATCCATAAATCCATAAATCTTGTCCAGACGGCCTTGACGTTCGCAGCAACATGGAGAAGGTCCATGGGTACTTTGAGAGCGCTGGTAGGGTTGGTTGATGGAGCCTATATTAGATTCAATGTTGATTCACCCCATTTGATGTACTCACTGCTATGAATCCCCAGGAAACACTTCGGGCCACCCCGCCACCTCCCTCCCCCACCAAAGACTTTATGAAGGCCAAACATTATTGATAAATCCAATAGATCAATAGAGCCTGGCCATTAAACTGATCAATTCCACACCTTGGTACCACTGAGGCATCAGGGACACGGACACGGACAGGGACACGGTTAAGTATGGAATGGTGGTGATACAGGCACCTGCACCTGTCAGTCCCGCGATCCGATATGAATGGATATCCAAGCCGCTTCCACAAATACCTCCCGCATGCTCCATAATTTCGCTCCGCCCCTGCTTCTCCCCTTGAATTTGCCGAACATATAGATCGAGGCCCGGGACTGGTCGGGGCTGGCCGGGAAAGGTGCCATGTACCAAGCAGGCCGTCCAGCATTCACCGAAACCTCATATGTGTTGTGTTGTGCTTAACCGCCTTCACATCGAGCCTCTCTGATTTGCGATTTTCGGGTCGCACGGCCTTTTGGGATTTTGGGCGCACTTTGATGAAAAGTGGTGCTGGGGAGACGTGCGAGGCTCGATAGGCTCCTGTTTTGTTTTTCTTTTTTTTTTGTTTCCGGAAGGGACAAGGAACATCTCGTTTCCCCGCAGAGAAGGAGACCAGGCCAATATCCTTCCATTGACCCTTGTACATGGATATATAGGTTGCTTAAACTTCTTGCTATTGATAAGAAGCAATCAGGATTGAGGGGCATCATCTATCCTCGATCTTAGCTCTAGTGAACACCCCATCGCTCGAAGAGCACGGACATTCACTCTTGTGCAAGGGTCGTGGTGATGCCACAGCCCTCCACGCCCAAGTACTTGTAATAATACATGTACAAGTCTTATTATCGGGAGTGGAAAGGGATACAAGCCGAAAGGGATGAGGAAATAATAAGAAAAAGCAAGTCTCGGTGAAATAGACACCATTGGCATTGATCGATCAATGAGATGAGAAGAGGTGGCAACGACTACAAGTATGCAAGGGCGGTGATACATAGCCAACAGACTCGAGTGCGTTAATTTTTGTTATGGATTTTGATTTCGTTTTGTTACATGTATTCTTTAGAAATCGATTCTTCACTCCCTAAAACGAGGAGACGATGTTGTTGAATATGTGCCAGGCCGGAATGCTGTGCGTTGGTGGACGATCCTGCCTGGCCTAGTGTAGTGTTGTTACACAAGTCTGGGATGGCAGCTGCCAATGGACTCGAGACTCGAGACGAGGCGAGATTGTTTGGCAGTTTGCTGTATCAGTTCAAGGATCAACACAATTACAAAAAGAAAGGATAGAATAGATGGATCCAACTACAAACCCAGTTCGCATCATCAGACTAATCCAGCGAACCCATGACGGAATCTCTGAATCCTTTTCTACAACCCTCCTTGCCTCTGTCTGGCGAAGTTGGCGAAGTTGGCCAAACGCGTTCAGGTGGCACAGCTCGCTCAGAATGCTCAAGCTGGCTGTTTGGCTTGATTTGTGGGTGCATACATACACGCGGGGCCGTTGTATCTTCATCGTTCAAGTGTGGGAGCCAGGGTTTGCAGAAGAACAGGGGGCCAGGACTGGATGTCACCTCCGAACTCTGATCCTGCTCGGTGCACCGACGGGGTTGCCTTCCGGTACAAGGAACATTGAACTTTGACTGTTGGCTGTTGGCCGAGTGGATCAATCACGTCCATTCCAGTCTTCACAGCAGCCAAGGGCCGTTAGCCGTGCGGCGTTGCACTCGACTTTCGTTAGCTGCGTGCGGTGCCCTCCCGGCCCACCATTCTCCCCTTCCGCTCTGCTCTTGTCCAAAGTGCCCAGAGCCTGCTAGTGCCTGAGGGGGAAAATAACAAAAAGATTGAATGATGAAAATCCATTGATCTGTGGCATTGCCTGATCCATAGCGTACATGTACAGACGGGTTTGATCAATCGGAAGGGCGGCGCAGCCCATTGATGGTTTTGAACAGGGCCCAGCCTGCCCCTTGAGCCTTGAGGTGGTAGCTTGAGGGTGCAGGGTACACCACACACACACAGCGCACCAACGTCGATCAATGTCGAGCACCCACGTAATCTTGCGTCGATTTAAGCCCGCGCAGGGCATCCTTCGGTTTGGGGCGATGTTACGGGTTGCACATGTATTTTTGGGCACGTGGAAGACCCTTTTGGTGACCCTCGACCAGGGCCAGGCCTCGTCGCACCAAAAGAACAACAATCAGGGGGAACCACCCATACAGAGGAGATTTACGCGCCCACCATACCTCGCCTCCCCAGGATCGCGAATGGCGTCTACCAGATCCGTGGCTAGACACCGGAGAACCGCCCTCATTCGGCTCCTGATTTTTTTCCTTCTCCCTTCACAGGATTCTGCTGCTGCCACTCGTCGCTAGCGAAGCCACTCTGGCGGTTCTGGGGCCGCTTGCCTCTGCGGCCCTCGCAGTCATCGCGCCAGTCAGAGAATTGCGACCGCCGTGCAAAGCACCTTTTAACTTGACACTGGGGGTTTCGGCTAGTGAGGAAGCGCGCGTAAGCGACTGCGCCAGAATGGGATAGGTGCACAGATCTCAACGAAAGAACAAATGTCAATGGACAGGTACAATATCACCACCCTTACCAGTACTAGTACTTCTACACAGCTCGACACCTTCCCTTATGGGGGACATGTAATCTCTGTGGCCACTTGAACATTCGTTTCTCTATTCCCCACGAAACGAGTCTCATAGGTTTCCTCTTTCTCCTTTAGGCCATTCCCCTCCAGGTTTAGGTTCGGGGCGCCATTGTTTTTCTCTACTTGTCCTTGATCGAGCCTCGTCTTCTGCTCGTTCTCCTCATCTCGGCTTTGGCCGGCAACTGGTTGGACGTACAAGTATGCTACTAATACTCAGCAACGAAATCGAGACAAGTTATGCCTTGTCCTCATCTGGCAAGCTTACACCAAGCGCAGATCCCAACACTCCTCCATTCGGGTAACATTCCAAGCAATAGCGCCGTCCAATAATACGAGAAGTGTGCAGCCAAACGGGCTTCAACCAACACCGATGCAACTCGCACTCTAGGCACAACCTCCACTTTCCCATCCGAGTAGGAAGTGGGGGATTTCTCGTGATCTATCACTTCTTACCCCCTCGAGCACCAAGTCTTCGCTGGCCGGATTGGGCTTTGGGTCCTCTTTGGTGTTTTAGACAACAAAAGAGCACGCCGAGGCTAGTTGCGGGGGCCCTCAGCACCGCTCGATCATCCGTGCCTGGAGAATTATCACCTTGGTCGCCTTGCTGGTGCTGGAGTCGAGGATGATGGACCCTTGTCTCAACGCCCTCATTTTGCTTTTAAGTAGGCTCGTCAGGGGGCACCAGAGCCACCAGAGCCATTAGAGGCAAGTTCCACCTTTCCCCCAACCCACTGAGATCCTGCAAGTGCAAGTACAAGTATCGTCGGCGGGAAGACACATGATGCAACGCTCTCCACATTCATCTTGGGCTTCTGCAGTAGTGCAGTGCCTGTGTTGCTATCGCTGACCATCTCTTCCGAGAGTGTGCGGCCACCTCAGCCCTCTCGTGTCTTGTTCAAACGCTTGTTGCTTTCCCAACCGCATCTTCTCCTCCAGGTCTTGGCCCATCATTGTCCGAACCTGAGTGAATGCTGATTCCACTCCGAAAAGGCGATCAGGACAACGGTGCTTGGGTTCAGCATTCATCCTAATGTGGATTTGTGTCTTTGTTGACCCTGTTTTCTTTCGCTATCGATTCATCAGGTCACGATTTCAAAGCTGTTGGAGATGTCTCCTCGGCCCCAGACCTCCGCCCCCCCCCCTGACCCTTCTACTCCGCCCAGCACTTGACCCATTGGATTAGCGTGTGTTGGTTCTCCAAAAACAGTCCAAATTTGACGAATATCTCCTGACCTGGAGAAATCGGAATCGTGATGAGAATCCCGCCTCGAGATTTTGCCAACCCGTTCACCATTCTCAAGGCAGGGCTAGTTCCAGCCTGTCCTTTCCCAGGGAGAGGTATCCTTACACAACGACGTATGTGGGCTCCAAAGTGCCGCATGTACTACAAGTGTACATACTGTGGTTACGAACCATCGTCGCAAATTCCCCAATCTTTCGATGGAGATGGCTCTAGTGCAAAGGCTGAAGGACAGCATTGCCTATCCTTGTCCGGTAGGTATAGCTCCTAAGTGTTTGCTTATCTTCATGTTGACCCTACATGGATGATACTTGCTCTCCGCATGGACCCTTCCGATTGCTCGAGGCAGGCGGCACTCCACTACATGGGCGTTCCTCTAGACAGAAGCAAGTGGCCTGTCCCTCTCGGGTAGCTTGATGAAACGTGCAGCAACGATATAAGACTGCGTTCAGATGGCCCCGTCATCGCTCCCACACATAGATCGAACTCACACTCGTGTCATCTTTGCTGAGCGAGATCTGTAATAGCAAGGGACCGATGCGGCCTGGCAGCAGCCGAGCCTCTTAGAGCTCCTCTTGAAATAGGCAGCAAGCACCGTAGCACTCCCTGTTGCACAGAGACTTGTAGTAGTTCGTGGTCCCTTGGCTTTTGATAGCTTGCCAAGGAGTTTGGCCAACTTCTGTCCAGCAGATACCCCTCGAGATCCCGCCACCTCTACCCCCTTTCGCCCGTCGAGTCGGCGAGAGATGCCTGCGTACGTTTCCACTTGCTTTATCTTGGACTCGGGCCAAAGCCAGCAAAAGGTTTCAATTCGATCGCTGCGGCTCTGTCGTCACCGAGTGGCTTTGTGGAGACAGCAAGGGATCCATTGTGTGCAGGTGTGGTTTGGGGGCAGATTCTTTCTTCTTTCCTTTTCTCACCATGCTTTTCTCCCTCACGGTGGAGTGTTGAATGTCTCGTTTCTTTGCCGATGCTGGATCATCTCGCCCGTTTCGGGGATATTTTTCCCCTGCTTCCTTTTTTCTCCTTCTTGCCTTCCTTTTTCCTTCCTCCTTTTGCCTGACTTGCCTGACTTTTTCTTTTTTTTTTTCTTCTTTTTTTCCTTTTTCTCCCTTGGCTCTGGGCGATACTAAAAGCAAACCCTCGCTCCAAGGCTGCACCAAGCCCGTCATGATGAAGCCGGTAGCTGTACCTCTTGCTCTTCTCTTGCCGACCATTGAATCTATTGCCTGCAGGTCTTTGAGAGGCACATCTTCCTCAATGAACCCACCGCTCTTTCCTTTTTCCTTTCCACTTGCTCTCTTCACCATTATCTCGCCCCTGCATTTCGTCCTCGGCACCACTCGAGGAGTTTCCCCATCGCCTCCAGTGCCCGATACCCGGGCATTCCGTGCGTCTCTACGTCTGGAGTGCAGGCTAATCATGCGAGCTCGAGCTTTGGTCAACTGTTGCCCTGGCATCACACTTTCTTTGCTTTTCCTTCTTCTCCCTCTTTCCCTCTTCTCTCTCCTCTCTTTTATTTCTTTTCTATTTTCCTTTTTCCCTTTCGTTACCCCATGATATCCGTCCTTCCCTGCCGAGCTAAAGTGTTTGCAGCTCGCCGGTGTCGTTTGACGAGTTTCACGCTGATCACTGCCAGACACTAGATTTGGGACAAAGGCCACGCCATCAACGCACCTCACCTAGGGAGACTATCCTAGGTCTCGGTCGAATTAAACATTGTGTTTGTCCAGGCAAGACCAGTGTGCCCACTGACAGATGGCAGGTGTATGTCCTCGAAACTCAACAAGTACCGCGGAAAGGAACAGGAAGGAATCCAGGTTTGTCTTTGGAATGAGTAGTTTCTACGGCCACTTTCCCTCCAATGTCTCCATTGATATCAATGGACAGCGGCATGGGGCCCTAGATTCCGGGCCGCATGGCCCCAACAAGGCAATCTAGCTTTTCCCCTCTCACACTCAGGCAGAACAGCACCATCTTCTGCACCTGCCGATCAATAGGATGCGAGCTCAAAATGCCCTCTAGGACAAATCAAGCTACAGAAGCCAGGGTGTAGGGAGGGGTTTGTGACTGGGAGAGAGCGGGGGCAGGTCTGTTGGGAGGATGGCCCTGCACATTCAGTCTCACCGGGACCCGAGCATCTGGTTCTGGCGCTTGATGTGTGATATTATTGCTCATAGCCACAAACTACGCGAAATAACCGCATGATACCTAGACCAGGAAGAAAAAAAGGGGACAGAATTCATCTTCCCATGTCACTCATGCCATCCCTTACAATCGCGAGTTGGAAAAGGTGGCTATGCCCTCGGGGACACTGGGTGCTGCACCGTCGCCCAACACTGGGTCGCCAAAAACGAACGCCTCGTCGCCAGTAAAGTACCTGGGCAGCATTTCGGTTAGCTCTCTGTTAGTTCAGAGCGTGACGACTAGACGCGGAACGGTACTTGGAAAATATGCCTTGAAACCGGGGATGGGCTGGAAAGGGAAAAGAATAGAAGATGTCCATGTTCAGGGATACATACCACCCCCTCTCTGGGCCGCCTGTCAGGAAACTGCAGTTGCTGTTTGCTTCACAAGTCCAACCCCCAGTCACTCCTCCCCTTGGAGGCCATCTGCACACCCTAGCGCCAGAGCATGGGGTTGTGTCGTTGCAGTCGCTTGGCTCTTCGCCCTTTCATCGAGAGGCAGCGCACTGGATGCGAGTCCGAGTGGTGAGGAGACAGGGCCATCAAGACGCTTTCTAAAAACGCTCAGCCCACAAGTGAAAGTATCAAAATCTTGAACCTCGACCCTGTCCGGGATGTCCCCGGTCAGAACACGCCCTATCGCTATGATCACTGCTGCGTGAGAACATAAGATAACGGAACGAACTCCCTCCGCATTGCACCTCTCTACAACCTTTTCCAGAGCCGCAGCGACCCGACTATACAGACCCTCAATGCTCTCGCCGTTCTTGTTCGCGACAACACCCGACTCAAAGGATTCGTCAAGAAGAGGGAACATTGTCTTCAGCAAAGAGTGCGACGCGGGCCTCGGCTGGTCAAAGGGGCTTGCCCATAAAACTCGCCGATTCCAGTTTCGCTACGGATAGCGAGCGCGGGCAATGGCTCTTGCCCCTCACCCTGCCGCTTACTAGCTTCTTCGTTGCGAAGTGAGATGAATGGTGAGATGGTTTGGAGACACCGGTAATAAGGACTAGAGTAAACGGCTTCGATTGGGGGTCAAGAGACATCAAATATGCCCCCAACTCTTGGGCTTGGTCGATGCCGTGGGCCGTCAATGGAGGGTCAGCAGCAATCTTTGTTGGGGACAGAACAGTCGTGGACGCAACCCCCGAGACTGGGTCGATCACATAGCTACACCGGAACTAAGAGGACATTTAGCATCTTGAGCTTATTCTTCCTCTGAACCCTCTCGCCTTCGCTAGTCTCCAGCCATCTATATATAGGCTTCAAGATCTCAGGAAGTGGGGTGTTTTTCACTCTTAGGACGAGTGGTCTTACCCCATGGCGGACAACATAGATGGTCTCAAGGGACATTTTAAACGCTGCAAGACAGTCCCGTGGTTTAGAATGACTCAAATCCACCGCTGGACTCTTATGATCTTTGAAGAAAATGAACAAGAATCGTCAATCTCTGTCTGTGGGAGAGTCACCTCGTTCCAAGCCCTGTGATCGCTCTGTGTCAGACCTAGGGCAGAACCACGCAGAGATTCACCAATAGCTACCGTTATTTCCAACGCCAGGAAGGGGGAAGGAAAGAGATTAAGAAGAAGAAGAAAGAGGCAGAATCCCCGTAGAGAAGCAGTCTATTACGTCGCTAGCAAACTGCGAGAGCTCTCCAAATCGCGATGGGGTTTAATAGGAACAGGACGTTTGGGAAGTTTAATGATACGCACTGAAGTAGCAGCCCGCTAAAAAAGAAGGAAGTAGAGAAATTACTATGAATATAGCGTAGGTATCAATTAGCGATAGAAGGAGTTAACAATGGGAGGTTGAGAGACTAGAGGGCATCTTCCAGGATTTTGGGCATCCGGTGCTCACGAAATGCGGATGCCGAGGCTTCAAGTCGGTATTCCCATGCGCACTCTTGCTGATGCCCTTACAGGGGTTCATACAAAGGCGGGGTGATTCATTAGTCGGGGCAGCACCATCTCTCGGTGTATTATTCATTTATAAGGGAGTCGCCGTCCAAGCTCTCGGTGTGTCCGTCGGTGAGCCGACCCCCTCAACCGACGGAGGCTGAGGGACCCGTGAAACAGTTATTGGTGGGAACCGCGTTCGCTCTTTCACTTTCAACGTACAGCTTCCTGGCACTCCACCATTGCTCCTTTCGCCCCATTCAAGGGGAGAATGGCCCAATTTCAGCCTTCTTTGTGTCTGCACTAGGAACCCTTCAATTAAAATCTCTACACCTCCCCTCCTAACGTCCGTCAACGGCATCTCGCAATGTCTGTCCTCCAGTCCGAAGAGTAAGCCGGCTACCTTCCCCAAGCCTCCCGCTACTTTCTGCCTTTGTGGTGTCTGCCAAGGAATTATGGATATGCTAATGTGCCTTTTAATAGCTTGGTTTCCTACCAGCTCCGGAGCAGCTACCTGGACGACATTGCCGACGGCGTAGGCGAGCGCCTCATTACTCTCAACGACGGATTTCTCAACTCGGCTGCGTACAAGGCGGCTGGATGGCGCACAAACCACGCCCTTTCGAAACGCACACATTCCTCCCATACCCACCGCCATTGCGTCCGAATATTTCCAAGCACCGCGCTCAGCCCGGCACACCTTGGAGGATGAGGCAGAGGATGGAGGCATGCTCACCGCCGGTGGTGACAGCACCCTCGGGCCTGGAATGGCGATTAAAAGGCGACGTCGTCGAGAACAAATGGAAGAGGATGACAGTAGTGATCTGAGTGACGATAGCGATGACGAATCCGATACACGACCTGCCCAACAGATCAAATTCGCCAAGATGCCCGTTCGAGGCCGCGCGGGCTCCTCGCCTCTCCAATCCTCGAATTTAAGACAGATGACGACGGCGTCGCCGCCCCGTGCTGGTGCGGGGGCGCGACGAGGATCGCAATCGGCCCTCGACACGGTCAAAGAGCGCGTGCGCCGGGATACCGTGACAAGTAGCGAGGTGTCCTCTGAAAACGAGTTTGATGCTTCTGGCTTCCATAGACATCGTGAGCAGGCTCGGCAGGCGGCGCGAATGGCAGCAGCCAAAGCGAGTCGGTCGCGAGCCAAGTCGAATGATGATATCACACCCGGGGTTTCTCGCCACGATAGTCTACCACTGCAGGAGGAAGAAGAAGAATCAGATGCCTCTGATATTTCGGACGCCGCCTTTGCCGAGAGTCTCGACTCGGCCTCAATCCTAGATGCCGTAGACAACCCCATTGTTGACAACCCAATCCACCCTCGCCAACGGTCCAAGTAGTAGGAACCCCGCCCCGGGTGTTCGCGAGGCAGTCTACGATCCGCCGGTCCCACGCTCCACAGCCTAGGATACTCGCAGCGCTTCCTCCCCGAGGCCCTTGAGCACCATCCGACCGGTGAGCATGATACAGCCAGTAAGCATGCTGACGGAGTTGTTAAAAACGAAGAAGTCTAAGTCGAAACCTACGATGCCTTTCCAAAATTTTGCGTCCCTCTCCGGGGAGGGCGACAACCGTAAACCTATGCTTCTCCGAATCTATCCTGCCTTTTCCGAGGACCCCGACGAACACTTTGAAGTCCTTATTCGCCGAGACGTCAGCGACGATGCCGGAAATAATTTCCGTGTAGTCACTGTGGGTGACGCAATTGGGCTAAGTCTACTACGGTATATCCAAGAAAAGAGACAACCCACGCTGCCAGTGGACAAGCTCAACGTGAATTGGTACAGCTTACGGATAGTTGAAGAAGGAGGAGAGATCGATGACGACTTTCCCCATTAGAGAGAAAAAAGCCCCTCGCATCGTTCACGACTGCCAACAACAGAGCGGCAGCTTCCAACTTCCAGCAGGGCGCAGCGAGCCGAGGTGGAGGCAGAGGGAGGGCAAACTCGAACAAGGCGCATGACGAATTTGCCTTGGTCCAGGCTTCCCCATCTGAATATGAGGATAATAAGAGGATTACGCCAGAATTTGAACCCGAGGAAGAGGTGGCCGAGGACGAGGGCGAGGCGGCGGTCAAGGACACAACACCAAAGAGTACACCCCAGCCGGAATTATCGCTTTCCGTACCATATCAACCAAGACAGAATCCCGTTCTCACGACGACTCATCGGGCTGGAATTCTCCTAGATCAACCTCAAGTGGCAACGTCGGTACAACATGCAAGGGGGCAGCAGAAATTACTTCGGGTCAACATCCTCTCATCAGACACGGCCCCAGGTCAATTAGTAACACTGGATGTCACGACAGATACTTATTTAGCCGAGGTGCTAGACTTGGTGTGCAAGAAGCGGCAGCTAGACAAAGTCAACCATGTCCTCAAAATTCCGAACTCGGGAGCTGTCGTCATGGTGGACCGGCCGGTCGCCTCCCTTGGTGCCGTGTCAGAGCTGGAGCTGCATCGGCGGCGTTTCGCCACGGATGGCCCGCTCACAGTGACGGGGTCACCCAGCAGCTCCTCGCCAAAACTTCCATTCGGCGAGGGCCAGCAGAAGCGTTGGAAGAAGGACAAGTTTATGGGAGCGCATCCTCTTGCGCGTGAAGCGCTAAAACAGGACGAACTGAACAACGCCAACTACAAAAGTATACCGTTTGGCGGAAGCAGCCAATGCGAATCGTAGGGATGAGCGAAAGAGTGTTCATTATCGACGGCGAATATGTTCACATCATGGCGGCATCTGGTGCAAAGGGAGTGGATGGGGGCAGGAAGGCTACGACTGTGCATTTTAGCAATGTCGTTGGCTGCAAAGTCATGAGGAAACACCCAACCACCTTCAAGGTACGTCATATCGCGCTCTCACTCGGCCATGGCTAAAGCGGAGAGCTGCTGGCGAAGAACTGCGCTGGAAGAAGTTGTTTCCGTCCTCGTGAGACAGCGAGATAGTCTTGGCTATGCGTTATATCGTTGGGGCTCCAGCCAAGAGAACAAACCACGCTAACCCTTGTCTCTTTTATCATAGCTCGTTGTGTACAAGGCTACGGAAAGTAAACGGTACGATTTTGAGGCCAAGACGGCGGATGAGGCGAACGAAATCGTGAAGGAACTTAAGAAGGGCATCTCGCCCTATCGGGATGTCTAGTCAACCTTGCTATGCTACCATGACAACCAAATATTCCTGAACAAACGGGAATGGCTGATGGGCATCTGCCCTCTGCTCTCTGCGAGAGAGAGTCAAAGTTACCAAGAAAATTGGGAAATCAGCTTATGAAGTCAGCAGCCTCCCAGAGAAATACAGACGACTCCACCCAGTCTTCTCAGTGAGCCTACTAGAACCCTGGCGCGACAGAGAGGGAGAAGATATATCACAAAACCTCCCAGACCTAGAGGACGAGCCAGAAGTATGGGAAGTCGAGGAAGTGGTCGACAAACAAATGGACGGCGACCAGGAGGAGTATCTTATCAAATAGGTAGGTTTCCCAGTAGAACAGAACAGTTGGGAACCCATAGAAGCCTTGGAGAACGCAAAAGAGGCTGTCGCCAAATACGAGAAAAGGAAAAATCAATTTAAACACCCCCAGAAAAGCTATAATCATCCTCTAAGGGGTCGGAGCAGGAACAGGGGCAACATAGTCCCCATCCACATCACGAACCCCCGATTTCACCTCTTACACAAACTACGAAATCACACCCCAATTATCCATCCACATTAACACATTATCCGCCACGAAGAGGGCCTGGTGAGCCTTCGTAGGAGGCACAGTCGTGAGAAGCCCCTCCACAACCGCTCGGGAGGCCGCGGTATCATAACGCGCAAATATGGTTCCAGCCGCCGCCTTGCCACCTGAGCGTTTAGTAGACCCCTCAGCGAACCGATAGCCAACACGAAACGAAAAATGGAATCGTGCGCAACCACGGTCGACGCGGACCGACCCCAGTTATCAGGGGGCTCCTAGGTAGCATAGTCTGCGCGGGAAACATTGGGACGGTCTTAGCCGGAAGTGATAAGCTCCCCCAGACGATTGAGGCGGCCAAGGTTCACCCGACTCACACCAGACGACTGGCAGTCGGCGATCGCCTGGATCCGCTGGGCCATCGCCTGGTCCGTCGTGGCAGGAACCTAAAGAGAAATCCAGAAAAGGTTAGAAGTAGACAACCAAATATTCCTGAACAAACGGGAATGTCTGATGGGTATCTGCATCTGCCCTCTGCTCTCTGCGGACCTTCCATTTTTCTCTTCCCCTCTTGCCCTTTGGTGTGTTTTCTTGTTTTAACCCTTTACGTACCTTGGAGCAAGGTAAATTTGCATATGGGTCTGGGGAGTTATCGGGGTATCATTTATGCCGTGCCAGGCGTTTTTCCAATGGTGACTTTGTGTAGCTATTTTGAGTTGATTTTCGGATATCATACTATTCGAGCTGTACATTAGAGACAAACGCCGCCTGTCGCTTTATGAGAGCGGGCGGTGTTCCGGGCTAGGCGTGGGGTGAGATCATCCCTAGTAGTCAAAAGATCTGAAGCTTCTGCCAAGGAAGCAGAACAAAGTTTGCGCATTGTTTAGATTTAGTTTGTGTGCTTGGCCACGCTGGAGGTTGTAGCTTCGAAATCTCACTTTTCTGACACAGACCGCGCGGTGTACGAGGAGCAGAGTATACCAGCCTTGCCGGGAAGACATTGGATATTTAATATCGGTATCTTGCTCATCGACGCCGATATTAAAGATTTACCAACAACGCCCCTTGATCGGCATCGTTCATATACAGCAGCAAGTGAATACGAGAGGTGTTCGTAGCCTCGAAAAACGAAAAAAACTTGGCTGGAATTCCGCTCCTCTCTATGTTCACCAGCGTCCTACGTCTATGAAGCAACTTGAAACTCGAATGCAGATCAAGGCCGTCCTTGTAATGTTCAAAGAGCTTCTGGGGGTGGATGTTTTCATGGTAGTTGAGGTCGCGCTACAGTAATAACATTCGGAAGCATCACCGTGCTGCGACTGCTTTGCCGTGGGAGGAGAGGAAGCTTGTCCTAGTGCACTTGTAAGCTGCAGGTAGCCGGTAGAGGGTGCACTAGCATCGGCTGCAGGAAACGCGCAAGTGGAATGTCTCGGGGAGAAGGCTTGTTTGTACTTGTAGCCAGGGGAAGATGAGATGAGAGGAGGAAAGGGTGCGTTGTTATGGTGATGTGGACGTGATGGTGGATGCTATAGGGCAGTGGCCAAGCCGACCCAGATGTGGAGGATAAGGTGGATGGTTCAGTACGCGCAAGCAGAGATGGCTCAGCTTTCAAGATCTGCGGATATTCAGGAGGCTTGAGAGGGAAGGGGATGAAGAAGACCTCCAAGTCGGGAAGGGATTCGATGGTTTCTAGGTGCGGGTAACTCATGGGGCCCATCTCTCGGCGCAATCAAGGGCCCAAAGGGGAGAACCGTACGCAGAGCTTAAGCACTGGGAGAGCTACTTTGACGTTTCTTACGGGGCCAGCAGTTGGTCTCTAGACACACCCTTCCCCTAAGCGGCAAAAGCATGGCCCGATCTGCGGGTTGACCCCCAAGCCAGATGTCGGGAGCTCTAAAAAGGCTGAGCGCCATTTTTACGGTTCGGAAGAAAGTTGGAGTTGGCAGAATATCAAGAATGCAGGTCCAAGATGTGTTTGGACATCCAAGTTTGGTCCGTGTCAACAGAGAAATGAACAGGAACTTGCGCAATCCATCAGCCTTGAAACACCAGCCGGTCTCCACCCTACAAGATGAAATAGAAATCCGTCTTGGCAGATGAGGAAGCGGCTGGAGTGACTGGTCGAATTCGAGAACGACCGCCCCGTCCCATGGCCGAATCGCCGCTGTCACCAGCTCCGTCACTCAGTCAGGAAGATGTCTCCGTATCTGCACGCTGGATAGTATACAGGAGCCGTACTTGGAGATGTAGCCTGCTTGGATTTCCTTTGCCAGATATTAATAGATGAAACCGTAGCTCATTGGATTTTGTGGACACTGGCATAGCCCTCTCTTGCCATCACATAAATGTACACTTGACGCTCCACAGGGGGAGACACCGCAGAGATTAAGGTGGGGATCGCAGAGAGCACAACAAACAAGAGTCGGGAGAAGAAAAAGTTGGAAGCAAGGCGGAAACCTGAGGAGAAAGGTCGATGTCGCCATCCGAAGGTTAATGGCCAAAAAAGCGGTCGTACCAGCGGTGGTGCAAGGTCAACTGCACATTTCCTGAGCTCTCATCAACAATTGATGTACAAGGATAGTCGGTAACCTTGGAAGCGTGGAGCGGCGATCTTCAATATCCGAAGGCTCAAGCTGTTTGTCACCTGGGAGGTTTGTGTTATTTGACACCCGAACAGTAGACCCTTCCTGCAACTTGCCAAGGGGTTTAGTCGAGCAGCCATTCGGTTCTCTATAAACCGATTATACAAGTATGTCATGGATTATTTCGAATTTGGGTTTAAAAAAGAAAGAAAAAAAAAAGGAAGAAAAAAGGGCAGAGAGAGGTCTAGAATCAACATCGGTGGGATCCAAAGGATGAGGCGTGGATGTGGCGAAATTATTGATGAATCCCTCTTGCAAGGTGCTCATCGGGACAGGACATCTAGCTCAAGGTCTCTTAGATTGATCCTCCTGGGCTACCCGAGGCTCGAGAGGACTAAGGACCTAGAAAGGGCCTATGTGCTGAATGACCAAGGACTCATTTGAACATCCATCAATTGATGCTCTTTCAAAAGCGATGGCATCCCAGTAACACCATTGCTTATTGCCGCCAAGGGTCAGTCCAGGAGTATGAGGTAGGACCTACCAGCAAGAGCCTGGTCACTAAATGATAGGTAAGTTATGTCTCCTGGGACCGCAGGCCTTTCTACTGGTCAGTGGTACACCAGGGTCGGCCTTGATGGATGGTATTCCTAACACTGTGGTATTATTCAACTCCAAGTCTAACTTAAACTCTCGATCTTAAATGGGATGAGTAAGAGGGCGAATAGCATTCCTCTTGATCGAATCATTATTTGCCGAGCCCATTAACAACTCAGACCATGGCAATTGTGATGAATAGGGCAAAGGGGTAAGTAGACAAAGGCGAGAGAGAGAAATCCAGAGGAGTAGGTCTCCACTTCTACCAACAGTCGAGCCTTCCACCTGGGCGAACACCCTCCACCTCCATTGTTCTTTCCCACCTCTGTGCCTCAATCGGTGTGTTGGATGTCGCGTTCAGCAAGTGGCCGAAACCGGCAAAAGGGAAAGCGCGAGAGACGGTTTATGAGGAAGTTGGCTCGCCACAGTATCGGCGCACCCCATCTTGCCCATGTTAGCTGGGCGGATACGGCAGCCGGCGCCCGGAAAGGACGTGCGCCACAACAAAGGTGGGGATGGCATGTTCACTGGCTGCCCGCCATTCGCCGGCCACGGACCGGTCATGGACCGAAGATTATGCCGGTATTTCCGCTCTCCGTCACGCGTCGTCATCACTGTCCAACCAGCGCCAGCTCCGTGCGCTAACACTACCAAAAGGGAAAGAGCACTGAGAGAGAACAAAGAGGGGGCAAAAAAAGAAAAAGAAAAAGAAAACACCCAAAATAGCATGGTAAAAGGAATAGAAGCAAAGATGTACAAAATCATTCAACTTGATTTGCTTCCAATGGGCTCTCTGCCCCACCTTTATGCTGCCTGTTGGATGTTGGAGTACCACGCAGTCGGCAATGCTGGTGCTAACCGGCCTTCCGTCGTCTGCGATGGCCTCTTGCGCTCGTCCCATCCAAAAGAAAAAAACATCCGCACCAACAAGGGCGCCTGAATGGCGACACCGGGTGCCATATGGCTTGTCCAGCGCTGTCTTACCCTTCTTCCCCTTCGCCCGGTCCTTGTTCTACTAAACTGCCCACAGGCACAAACAAGCTTTCGAACGACAAAAGTAAAATCAGAGATACATCGCGCATATCCTTACCCCAAGCGGGGCAAAAGGAACGCTGACGCACCTCTTTTCGCATTGGAAACAAGTATACCAGAATAGTCAATCTATCCACCCCAAAAGCGAACGCGGTTCCTCGGTAAATATCTACGTCCTACAGACTCCGAAGGTACATTCAAGTTGGGGACAGAATGCTGCGCAGCAGGGACCTTCCGTGTAACATGTACTGCGGGAGGTTTTCAGAGCCTTCCACGCTTCGACTTTCGTTCCAGTCCTCGTGTTTTGTGCGCGGCACTATTCTTTTTGGCCTTCAAGTGGCCCGGGCTGGACAAGCTTTACTAATTCCTTCAGGTCGGCTTGCTAAGAGCTGTCCAAAAATGAACAATTGAGCTTTCAAGTTAGTGCTCCAGTGCAGTCGTCGTGGCGCTTCAAGCCCCCAGCCTGTGGCCAGCCTACCATTGCCACGGCCACTGTCCCGCAAGCTAACCGGCCCTGGGAAAGCAGCAAAGACAAGGACCCCTCCATGACGCCTAGTCGACCGGTATGGAAACGAATCTACAAGTGGGAAAGATGCAAATACACATAGCGAGTTGGCGAGATTCTAACCCACCATCATGCGGGATCTAATGTTGGATCTATGTTCTGTCGAGCTTCTTGCCGTTCTTGCCGTTTGCCAATGCAACGTCGTGACGCCAGATCTCAAGGGTTAAGCTCCAAGGCCGTCATCGACATGCTTCAATGTTGGATTTACGCGCGTTTGAGCTGTTAAACGAGGTTAAATGAGCTACATTATACAAGTACAGCATCTTCTTTGCCTCTTTGCCCCTCCTCCGCTAATGACAGCGCTTCCTTCGCTCCCACAAGTATATTTTTGTCTCTCTCACTAACTATTGCTATCCAAGCTTCGCCCACACCTCTACCCCGCCAGCCGCCCCCTGATTGTCCATGTAAAAATTCACAATTAACCCTCTGCAGCTCAATGGCTTAGGTTGGCTGATGAGGCGCCATACGAGGCGCTGCTTGCCGCATAAGGCTGCCCTGGCCACTATCAGAACGGGCGAATGAAGGCAGGCCAGGTTACTAAGAATCTATTGGCGAGCAACAGCCAGAGGACCTGATGGCTGACCCTCGGCTTTTGATGACGAGACTTCTAGGTTTGAAGTCATTACATTTCAACCGGTGAACATTGTTTGCATGGAGAGTGAGATTATGCACCACGACAGGAAGATTGGCGCAATACTGATTTCCTGTCACAAGCAAGAAGCTGGCCGTCTCAGACCAGGGCCAACTTTTTTCCCTTTTCTTTCCAAGTAATAAGGCGTAGCCTGGCGGGTTAATGCGACGGCTCGAGACCCTTCTGAAAAAGGAATGTCAAAGGGTCCATCCATCCTTATCCCTTCTAGAAACTTTAATAACCAAGGCAGGGAAGGCCTAGAAATAAGTCGAAACCCAAAACATGCCTCCCGCGGGACGAGAGCAGGGGCAGGAAAAGGCAACAAAGGATGGACAGGAGTGCAGCGGATCCAGCAAATCAACACGGAACCCGCAAAAGCAGGCCGGGCAGGCAGATCACGCTGAGTAACTTTTGATTTCACTACAAGTACTGTAATTTTGCAAGAGGAGAGAAAAAGAACCTGGCTCGCTTGGTCACCGTGGGAATGAGTGGTGGTTTCGGAACAGAGTAATCACACAAAAGTATGACGTAGTGGGAGGGCCATATCCACAAGATGCTCATCCAATTGATACTAGCGAGGAAAGTTGAAGTGGGCCTAAAGAAACGATATACCCAAACAAAAAAAATGGTAGCGGGAGATGGAGAAAGTTTGATGATATTAATAGGGAGGTACAATTGACGAATTCGAATGAGAAAATTGGATAAAATGTCGGACTGGAAAGGAATCTAGTGGATTCACGAAAAACCGGGAATGAGGACGGACCGAACGGAGAGGATGGCGCGTCCAGTACCTGCCCGGCATGTGCAGACAAAAGGTCACTTTTCGCCTCAGGCTAGACGATCGCAGAGGTATAGCCAACCGCGCTGCTGCGTAACGATGGTGTGATGGCGCAGTCTAAGATCCAAAAATCAGTTCGAAAGCGATGAAGCCTCTAACTAAGCGTGAGCTCCCCAAGCTCAGTACCGACGACTTTGTACACCAACCTAAAGAGGGACGGGTCTCGAAGACGGGACTAAGAGCGACGGGAGGGAGCCTGAAAGCTGCAAGGAGCCAGATGGAAGGGGGCCCAGCCTTTCCCTGTAGGCTCGCAGAGCGTAGTGAAACTTGGGACCAATCTTCCAAATATACACACCATTGAAAGTATTTTGATTCATCCGCTCAAGTCCCGCCCCAAAACCCACCTCCAGCAAGGCCCCCATACAGTATCCATGGCCGTACTGTATACAGAATGGGGCGGGGGAGGGAGCTCACCCACAAGAGCTCTCTCGGCTCACACCCCTCGACAGCCGACTCGAGAACGCAAAAGCTTCTTGCACCGCGATCAGCAACGACGTCGACGCAAGGGGCTCCTTGCTCCCGACGCTTTTCTGCCTACGTATCCACGCCCCCCTCCTTTCCATCCCTCCACCCGCTTGACTACTTGTAGTCTATGCGAGGTAGGGTAAAAGCTTATGGAACCTCGGGAACCCATCATCGCCAGTTGATTGGGAAACGGAGACTTTGACGCCATCGCCTCCTCCCTCCGATCCTGTGCCCCCAGGAAGGCGTGTCATTCCAGGCTAGCTCCTTGGAGTTGCGTGTCCCCCCGCCTCCCCCATGTTTCTGTCTTCTATATAAGACCATGAAAGCCTCCCACCGTCTACTCTTTCTCGTCCCTACCAATTCCATCCACACACTCACAATCAACATCCGATTTTGTCACTTCTCGCGACTCACGCCTCTCAGCAAGAACATACCTCCTTCGTTACACACCTGTCCATCGTTTCGCCTTTCGGAAAACAAGCCCTTAATCCTTCTACCCGCAAACATGAAGTTCACCTCCGTCGTCGCTCTCACCCTCGCCGGTGTCGTCTCTGTCCGTCATCCATTCCCCTCAACATCTCCTTGAATGTTATAACCACTAACACCCGTATTCTCATAACAGGCCCAAGACGCTAGCGATATCGGTAACGCTGTCACCAGCATCCTCGGAGACGTCACCTCTGCTGTCGGTGGAGTTACCTCCGTGGTCGCCTCCGGCTTCTCCTCGGCCACCAATGCTATCGGTGGTGGTGATGATAGCACCGACTCGGCCGGGTCTACCACAACTGTAGCCACCACTACCGTTGAGTCTAGCGGTGCTGGCGGTGCCGCCGCCACCAGCAGCGGTGCGGGCGCTTCCGGCTCCGGCGGCGCCGGCGGCGATAGCGGTGGCTCTTACAACACTGCTGCTCTTGGTCTTGGTGCCCTCTTTGGCGGTGCCGCCCTCATGGTCAACCTCTAAACGGAACTGGCTTCTAGTCTTTAATTTATCGCCAAAATAGATATACGTCTTTATGTTTCATACATCCTTTGACCCTGAGGGTATAAGGGGTTTCCAACGCTACGCAAAATATGGCAAAAGCGAATACATTGCCGGGTTGGAGGCATAATCTTGGGTAATTGGTGCTTGGGTCGGGAACATGGAGATAGGCCTAATAGTTGAAATGAAATTCAAGCTCGCCTCATGGCCATGTTCACTCTTTTAAGATTTAAGCTGGAACTCACCTTTTCTCCCTCGCCGTTGTTCAACTTGCCACCTTCGTGAATGTCACTTCCACCACTCTTCCCACAATCATTTTACTCAGGCGACTACCCACAACTGAAGCACTCTTGAATATTGCGTTCACAAATTCAAATCTATAAAAATGGTGGCGCAGAATATCATGGTTGCTTGCGCCGGGTATCATTCCACATCTTATCAATTGTCTGAAAGATCGCCGTGACGTTTCTCATCACCTCTTCGTCAACCTGCCCCCTAGGCGCTGCTGGATTTTGTCGGGGTGCCACCTCACTCTCTCATCTTTGAGCTTCTGGATGAATTCGCCTTCCTCGGCACCGTCCTCCCTCAAGCACCCCAGGTAAAAAGACCTAACGGCATCTTCACTCACGTCTTGTTCCGATCCTGACGCAGCCGGCCAGGGAACCGTACCGATGGTCCCATCCCACGCCGCCCATCGTTTCTGGTAATCGTCCCATCGTTGCTGCCAAGCCCGTTTCGCTCTCCTCTCCTCGCCTACAAACAGACTCTGCTCGATCTCTCGAGTTAATTTCCGCCTCTCCCTCTCCTGCTTTTGCTGCGCCTTTTGGCCTCTTCTCTCCTCGCGCGTTCCTCTAAAAGACCATCGTGTGTTTTTCCCACATCTTTTGGCGGACATAAGCAGCATACTCATCGTCCGTCATGCGCTCCAACTCTCCCTGTGGCCCATCTCTCTCGTTGGAATAGACGTGGATCGGCTGGCCGTACACCCCTTCCCAGTATGCCGCGCCCTCGTCATCCGCCATCGCATCAAAGAGGCTTTCGCGAAAGGCCGCTTCCGGGTCAAGGGGAGGCTCTTCATGAGGGTTGGGAGGAGTCGGTGACCGGCTCCGCCTTCGGCGCCGTCGTCGTCGACGATCATCATCGGCTTTATGATGTCGTGAAGACCGTCCATGGCCCCGATCACGGGACCGGTCGCGGGACCGGTCACGAGGCGATCTACGCCTTGAAGACCTATGGCCTGTGTCATCCTTCAGCCTTAGTCGTTTCCGCCTTGAGCGGTCCTTGACCTCGTCCTCAGATCTGGCGTACTTGGCCTCGTCTGCGCTAGGAGCGCCAGTGTCGCTTTTGAATCCTCGAGGGGTTTCGGTGGCTCTTGATTGATAGATGCAAGAATGTGTCGCCTTTTTGGTGAGTGGCCTCGTTCATCCATGGTCCCCGCGCCAGCTCATGAAGTATGATGTGTGAGAGGGGAGCTAAGCCTGCACCGTAGCCTTTGGTTTCTTTTCCTTTCTTTCTTTCTTTCTTTCTTTCTCTTATTGGGCGTGGAATATATGATGTAAAGCCACGCTAACCCCCATTCGAGTTTTTTGTTTTCAGAAAACGTAGGAGCCGTTTGAAGATGCTATCAACGATGTTTAGTTGAGACCGATGAAAGAAGATGAAGTCATGTGTATTAGTCATCCGGGCATGAACCAATTCAACCTCGTCAGTACTCAGGCCACGGAAGAGACTTGTAAGCTAAGGCGAGACCAAGTGAGCAACTAAGCCTTTTGATCTTAGAGCTGGCCCAAGAGGAGACATTATCATTTTATCTTAGCAAGCTATATTTCCCTCTCGATTAATCATAATTTCGCGACATAAATAGATTTTTCGGCTCCTGTAGGTTCGTTCGTTGTTGCAAGCCTTGGCATCTCAGGCCTCAAAGTTCTCTGTGTGGTCGAGAAGCGAGGATAAGCAGAGCAGTTCATCCCGTATTAGCCGATAAATCCCCATTCCACTTTATTCGCTGAGAATGATCCAGTGGATCCTGCTGTTGCCCCCAGAGGCCGGAGCTCTCCCAGCCCAAGCCAATTCCCCTTGCAAGGGTCGCGTTGGCGCATCGACTTGACATTTCGGACCCTGGAAAGCCTCAAATCGTGTCCTGTTTTCTCGGCCCTGCAGCCACGGCAATATTTTGCCCATCCACCCACTCTCGCCAACACCCCTCCTGGAAGTGAGCGGGTTTGCGCGTTTTCGTATCCTGGCTCTGAGTCTTCTATCTCAATCTTTTCGTAGTACCTTCTCTCCTTTTTTCAACTCCGTTTCTTTTGGTGTTGGAGCGCTCCCCACTAGGTGAGGCCCTCAAAAGATGGGGAGCTTTCTACTTCTGCTCACGCTCTGCGTAAGTCCTCCTGTTTAATATACTTTGAGCATGTTTCCCCTTCTCCGTCTTCAGAAATGGCTAACGTTTCCCGTGAATAGGTGGTGATGGCCGTAGCGTAAGAGTCAATCCACTATCCCCGAAAGCGCAATGCCGCTGGCTAACGTAGCATACCAACCAGCTCTTTTTCGCTGGCCTCGTACCTTTATCAATGTCGCTCACCCAATCGCAACTACGAACCGTGTCGAATATTGGCGTAGGAATACTGGTCGGAACATCCATGATCGTGATCATTCCGGAGGGTGTCAATGCTTTGATCCCGCACCCAGCTGTGGGCCATTCTCACAGGGTAAGGGGGCTCGAGGTCGCCCTAGGAACTGCGGCCAGTTCCCCCTTGCCCTTGCCCTTCAAGGAGAGGTCGCTGCGATTCATGAGCATGTGAAGCCGCGCGACACGAGAGTCGATCGGTCCGACGAGGACGGGGATGGTCACGAGAATGGACATGATCATTCACACGGCGATGAGGAAATCCCCGGGCCGGATGACTCGTTGGCTCCCCACCCGAACAACCTCACAGCGATCCTTTTGAACTTCCCACTTTCGGGATCGGATTCTCGATGATCCTCGGCTTCATCCTCATGTTCTTGATCGATAGGTTACCGAGCCATGCCGGAGCGAGGCAACCGGCGCAACAGGCGCGAGAGATCCGCCTCGATAGCCTAGCCATCTCTCCTTCCGAACCCGATAACGAAGACGAGTCGGGCCCCTTTTGGGCCTTACGGGATCATCTTCCAAGCAGTCAAAGAGCGCGGCAACAACCACCGGCCTCGTGATCCATGCCGCCGCCGACGGCATCGCGATGGGAGCCTCGTCTAGTACTTCTAACACTCGGCTTGGCTTCATCATCTTCATCGCCATCATGGTTCACAAGGCACCAGCAGCCTTCGGTCTCACATCGGTCTTGCTCCGCCAAGGCCTATCTAAACGGGCGGCTCGCGCCCACCTCCTCATTTTCAGTCTCGCGGCACCTGCAGGAGCAGTCGCCACTTGGTTCCTGATTGCTTTGTTGGGAGGCTCTAATTTGGAGGAGAGAATGGGCAATGGTGGACCGGCATGCTCCTCCTGTTCTCTGCCGGAACGTTTTTGTGAGTACATGTAGTCGCCTCGTCTGATTCACCTGGACCAGGGCTAACACTTCACAGATATGTTGCCATCCATGCCATGCAAGATGATGGCCACTCACATCACCTAGAGCCATCCGGTATGAACGGATACTCAGATGGTGCCCAGCACAAAGGACCAGAGATGCGCGATACCCTATCCATTGTCGGAGGCATGCTGCTTCCCTCCTAACCCATCTTGGCCATCAGCATTGATATTTTCAATGTGACATGAGATTTTCCATATAACCTCTTGTCTTAGTGGGGTCTTGTACTATAGCGGGCGTTTTGGAGCATTCCATCTTTTATTTCCGAGGGGGTTAGAGGTGCCCAAAGGGCTTACGTCTCAGTTATGGCACGAATCTGATGGGTTTACATGGATCACGATCACTGGAGAAAGGAAGGCTGATGTGTGACATTACGCATATTTCAAAGTTCAAAAGTTGGAGAATATTAGTATCGAAGCTGTTTGATTTAGCTTGAGCATATACCAAACTTGTATTCTACGCTCCCTCTCTCAATATGCCTCGTACGCCTCGGAAGAGGGTTTGTCTTGCTTCGAACATTGATCCATTGTCATTCACCTGTCGTTCAGACGGCCACCGATAACTGTATCAAAAGCCCGCAAACAAACCGCCCTGAACACCCAAATTTCAGACTGTGATCTGTCTTTTGGCAAATGGTTATAAAAAAAAAAAAAAGGGATGAGCGGTGCAAGTCAATTTATTCGAAATCTCCATGGACCCCCTGAGTTTAGCTCTGACGGTTTGGGAGGAACCGGCGAAGTGGCACATAAATTACTCCACGCACAAAACCGCAAAACCGCCGGGTTTCCAGAAGAAGGTTTGTGTTCGGGCGACTGGGAGATCTAATAGCTTCATGGATTGAGCTCATCCGTATTATTATCCTCAACAGTCGTAGCGAGTCACATTATCGCTGATGGACCGTTCGAGACCGCTGCGAGCTCCTGGCGTGGTACCCTACCCGAATTCGATCGGGACCGATCGGCGCGGACTTGGAGGCAAGGCGTGTCCCGACCCCTTAAACTTTACAGACGTTGAACATCAAGTGTAGGGTGGCGCATTATTTCCAGCGGACGCGACGATCAAGATTATGCGAACTTCACAGGGACTCCATCCTGGCAGGCGTAAGCGGAGGTTGAAGGTGCAAGCAGTAGTGCATGGGAACATAAGGACTGAAGGGAAAAGGGGATGGGGGTGCTGCGGGGTGTGAGTTTGGCCTAATCCGAAACACGATGTGCACATGAGCAAAGCCGCACGATCTCTCAAGCTGCAGGTCGCTCGCTCGGTACTGTCGTATTGGAGTTCTTCTTCACGGGTGGGGAAGGGTCCCAAGCGCAAATGCAGGCAATAATATTTATCGACGATAAAAGACGATGTGCGCTCCAAATGCACCAAGTACTTGAGCATACCAAGGTAGTGCTCCCACATTTGACTCGTAGCCTGGCAAGGTGCGGATGGGGCTGTCAGGTCAATTGGATAGCGAGATTGGACAAAGGACATGTCTCTCCGAGAAGTGGGAGACATGGTGATCGAGCGCCAGCGGTGTGTATACACATGGAGCGTCAATGTCTTGCCGAGTCAAGCTGGGCGGATTAGATCGTTGCCTCTCAAGTATTTCATGCTCATCGGACTCTAGCATGGAGGTATTTGGTTTGGGGTTGGAGAGTCAGAATTCAACCATTTAATCAGCCTGGCACGCTGTCAAGCCCTGCTACGGACGTTTGTTCATTCACCTTGTGCATGACACTGATACTTTGGGCTATTAGAGCGCATGCCTTGTTTTGTGGATGTGGACTTGGGGGCAGGCTCAACCGTGTAAGCGCCCGCGAGGTTCCACGGGCGTCAATCCGGGAGCCACATCCGCATCTAGTGTGTGCGCAAGTATGTACCTGTGTGTGTGTGTGTGTGTGCGTGTGTGGAAATATGCGCGTATGGGTGTGTGTGCGGGTGTGCTTGTGGGTGTTTGTATACTATTGATGTGTGAAGGCGGAACTGATGGGGAAAGAGCATTGATGAGAGGAAGAAGAGGAACATTGAGCGAGGAAGGTGGAGGGGTAACGGCAGGACAAGCCCCAAATCCCTCGTGCAGACGCCGGCAGCAATGGACCCAGTGATGCAACAACCGAAGATGACGGCGCTTTTGCAGACAGCGTTCGGTTATGCTGGCCAGCTCATGCTGATTGATTGATGTCTGTAAGGATTTGAGATTCCTTTCGTCTCCGTCCTTGGTCATTTTCGCCCTGCCTCTCCACGAAGGCGGGTCAAAGTTCCACATTTTGAGACGATTGGTGTAGTTGAGCCCAAAGATCTGGGTGCTAGTCTGTGAGAATGGATGGGAAGGGCTTCCAGGCGCGGCGACCCAATTGATCTTCTTCAACGGGAAAATACCGAAAATACAGCATCGAACTGAGTCTCCCCCATATTCGTAACTTGGCAGGACCCTGTTCGCGGATGCGTCTTTATGGTCTTGGAGTTTAAGAGTACAAGCATCAGCGCTTGAAGAAGGATCGGAGTTGCCTTTCTGGTGGAGGCGGGGAGTGGGTAGCCCACGGTGTTCTCCTCGCTTTACTTTTCCCTTTCCTTGTCATGGACAAAAGGGGCGGGGGAGGCCCCGCGGGATTGGCTCGACGTTCCAGGATGTTAATGGAAAGGTAAATCACAAGAATAGGACGGCACCATGCCCGATTCGCTCTCGTGATACTCTTGAGTTGAAGAAGCCGAACCCGAAAAAGGGCTAAGTCGTTTAGCGGGGAAGAAGGAAGCAGGGCGGAGGCTCTGGTAGTTGTGGCTTCAACTCGCATCCCGAAGCACTGAGCACTGGGTTCCTGTTTCTACTTGTGCTTGTCCGCTTCTCCCTTGGCTGTGATGGCCCTGACTTGTGCACGGAAGGGGGACGGCTGCCTCAACCCATGCAGGAAGGAGGGTGCACGTTGGCGACACAAAGTACCAAACATAACATTAACGGTTCATCCCCCACCAAGTCTCTGTTGTTTCTGGCCAGGTCCAGAGAATATGGATAGCCATGTCATTTCAGTGCCTTGAGAAGAACCGGAGTCCATTGTCGAACCCGTGGATCGAAATGAACATTATTGCAGTCGATCCAGGGGATTTGTGATTGAATGAGAGCCTGGGGGTCAAGTCACTTCAAATGAAAGGCATCAATGGGAGGCTGAACGGGGGAACGAGATAATGCTCTTTCCAAAGGGTCTCGGAGAGGTCGTCAACTACTTCGTATGTCGAGACTGGTTGGGTTTCATCCGTCAACTCTGAGCTGAGATTGTGTGTGCCCAAGTCCAAAGTGTTCCGAGGCCCAGCCCAGCCTCCGACGCGATTGACCTTGGATCTTCGCCACCTCCCTTTCCCCTGCTGTTTTACCCAGCGGGACTTCCTGCCACACTTCTTTCCGCCCTCTGTTGCAGGTAGAATTGGTCCGTTGTACATTGATCCAGCCAGCTCGTGCAGACGGTACAAACGCTTCAGTCTTGTCTGTACCTGAGCACCTGTTGAACGCTGAAGTGTACAAGTCTCAACTGGACCCATCCTGATCCATGATCAATCCCGGTCCCCACAGACAGCCAAAAGACAAAGACGCTGGATGACCCACGGTGCATAAGCCAACCATGAAGTGAGAATGGGCGCTGTCTACATCTCCAGTGGGAAACCAGCACCCATTTTGCCCTTTCCCTTGAATCAATCCCCATTTCAGCCCAGCGGCGGCACCCTCTCCACGCATTGAACCAGGTGCTCCACCACATTTTTTTCGTCCCTTTCGGAGAACCACCCCCCTCTCTCTTTTCTTCCTCTCTTCCTTGGCCACTTCAAATACAAAGTTTCAACCAGTCGGTCCATGTAGCCATCCTAAAAGCCAAACCAGACCTGCACGTCCGCATCCCACTTCGTGGCCTCCTTTTCATGGCCATGCCGCAGCGACAACGCACACGAAGACTTTTAACCCGCTGAAATGCTTTAGTTCCGTTTTGCGACATTCCTTGACGAGTAATACCCAACCGCCTCTTAACCAACTTAGCGCCGGGCCTTCCATCCGCCCTGTCATCTCCATCAGACCCCGACCGCCTACATCGCCTCTTGCCCGCCCGCCGCCACCATTCATTCAACTTTCTCCAACTACGCCCATCTCGGCTCTCGATCATTCACTCCCTTGGGATTTCGGCTTCGTCATCCCATTTCTGCACCGCTCCGCGAGTATTGTAGCTGCATATCATTTTGGAGACGTTCGTCCGCTGGTTGGCGCACCGTCCTGCCAAGAACCGTCGACCACTCGCTCTTCGCACCACTCCTCTCGAGACTCGTCCTCAATTGCCAGTCGTAAGGATAACTCTTCCGCCCCTGCACCGTCCTTCCTGGGCCATTAGTCTTTGCCTTCCCACACACTTCTCCTCCGAGAGGAGGATATCTTAATCCTTTTCTGCATCGCGCCTTTCTCTCTTCTCCTTTCGCTTCTTTGGCCCTGCTGCTGTGTCTCTTTGGGCGCTTGATCCCGTTTCACCCTGCTGTTTCTCCAACTTGAACCCATCGGATAGACTTGGTGCGGCTGACCTGATTTTGCCCTAGTTGTCGTTCATGGTAACCATCGTTGCTTCACATCTATTCTTGCAGTCGACATTTTGATACGACCCTGAACGCTCCACAATCGCTCATCGACTCGATCCGACGACCCGTTTCCACTGCTAGCCTTTCGCCGAGGACTCGTCAACGGCTCTTTGTTCTTTTGAGCGGGGCCTCTCATATCCCCCTTCACTCCTTTTGGGGAACCATGGCTGGCTACCAACGCCCTATAAGTTTTTCGGAGCGCCGAGGAAGTGCCCTGGGTGAAGAGCTCAGCTTAAATACGACCACCATGGTGTTGAATTCCCGGCTCGATAAGGTCCCCCAACAACAAAGGCAGTTGCGAGGGCCGCCTACCCCAAGCATGACGACACCCGCTGCCGATTTCGACCAGCAGTTGACCGCTGGCTCCTCCCCTCCCCTACCCCCGCGGCATCTCCCGGTCCCTCGCATCAGCAACCTGACTGGAGCGACGCAGCCGATGACGAGGACTTTTTCTTGCCAAAGTCCGCCAGCACTTCCAAAATTGCTCGGGACCCCAGCGAACACGGCTCTTGGCCGACCTCTTGAATCAATGTACTAGCCAGCAGCTGAGCTTTGTGCATCAGTTCGTCAGTCCGTTGCTCAAGAAAGATCCCTTCACAAGCCTGCCTGATGAACTCTGTCTCCGCGTAAGTGACGATTATCTCTCCCTGTACTTTTCAGCGCCTCTAACCCTTGACCGCCCACGCTAGATTCTCTCCTTTATCGACGACCCCAAGGTCCTCGCCCGAGCCTCTCAGGTATCGCGCCGCTGGCGAGACCTCTTGAGTGATGATATGACTTGGAAAACCTTTGCGTGAAGCACGACTATGGGCGCAGGTTGTCCGATGTTTACCCCCATCACTGCCCCTTCGCCTACCCGGGTTACCATCAACTCTCTCCTTCACGCCGAAGTCGCCGACCGAGCCTCGAGCGCTTTCTCACGGTCCTTTAGCTCTTCTTCCACTGCCATGTCTGCGTCGCATAGCTTCGATGGCTCGCAGCCATCATCACGCCCTAAGCCCAGGTCGTACAAGTCCCATTTCAAGCAAAGATATCTCGTCGAGGCGGCGTGGAGGTCTGGCGGAACCAGTGTCACCCGAAATATCACTCAGGAAGGCGGTGTGGTCACAAGCTTGCATCTCTCGCCCAAGTACATTATCGTCGCCCTTGATAACGCCCGGATACACGTCTTTGACACCGACGGTAACTCGCAGCGTACTCTCCAAGGCCATGTCATGGGCGTCTGGGCCATGGTACCCTGGGAGGATACTCTAGTTAGCGGTGGCTGCGATCGTGATGTGAGGGTATGGGATCTAGTTACTGGGTAAGCCTTCCACGGCCACATATCACGCAACAAACGATTCGAGTTCGGTTTTGCGATGCTAACCAGTACATATAGTGCTTGTCTGTTCACGCTGCGTGGCCATACTTCGACCGTCCGGTGTCTAAAGATGTCGGATGCGAATACGGCAATCTCGGGCTCTCGCGATACCACGCTTCGAGTTTGGGATATCAGGACTGGCCTGTGCCGAAATGTTTTGGTTGGCCATCAGGCAAGCGTCCGATGCCTGGAGATCAAGGGCGATATCGTCGTCTCCGGGAGTTACGACACCACCGCCAAGGTTTGGAGCATATCCGAGGGCAGGTGCCTGCAGACCCTTCAAGGTCACTTCAGCCAAATCTATGCCATCGCTTTCGACGGACGTAGGGTCGTGACAGGAAGTTTGGATACCCAGGTTCGAATCTGGGATCCTAATACAGCGTACGTTGCTATCAAACTACAAACACACGCCGATCCCTGTCGTTACTGTTACTAACATGAGAGTTTTCTGATAGTGAATGCCTTGCTATTCTACAGGGCCACACTTCCCTTGTGGGCCAGCTTCAGATGCGTGGCGACACCCTTGTAACCGGAGGCTCAGACGGCTCAGTCCGCGTATGGTCACTAGAGAGGATGACGCCTATCCACCGACTCGCTGCCCACGATAACAGTGTGACGAGCCTTCAGTTTGACGACACACGAGTCGTCAGTGGCGGTAGCGATGGGCGAGTGAAGATTTGGGATCTCAAAACAGGCCACCTAGTCCGGGAGCTGGTTTCTCAAAGCGATGCCGTCTGGAGAGTTGCATTTGAGGACGAAAAGTGTGTGGCACTTGCGTTGAGGCAAAACCGCACTGTCATGGAGGTAAGTTGGTGGACAGCAAGACACCCTTGCAGCTAGCGACGAGAAATTAACGATGAGATTTAGGTCTGGAGTTTCTCACCGCCCGAGGAGATGCTTTATGACAGGCCCCTTTCGCTACTCCCACGTCCTCTTGACGATGTCCCGAACCGCCCGATGAGTGCACTACCTTTCGACTTCCGCAGGTCTCAGGATGGCCTCGCAGGCTCAAGTCGAGAGTCCCAGGATGTCGACATGAGCGATGCAGGGCCTTCTACAGCACCTCTTCAAGGTGGCAACAAAACCTTCTTCCACGACGACTAGCAACATTCTCTCCTATCTCTCCTCGGAAGCTACAAGCCATGTCAACTTCCGAGCAGAGTTTTCCCAGGGCATATTTACCTAGCTTCCGCTATAGTATAACCGCTTTGTACCCGGATGACATGCGCTCGGCGACCGGCAGGTGGTTTGCTACCTTGTTCAGGGGCAGGTTGCAGTCATTCTAGGCTTACTGGGCAATTGATGGATAATGACAGAAGAAAGCTTGGTTTAGGGCGTTTATTTCTCAACGGTGTGGAGTCATGCGCGGAGTCATGCTTGCATCCAAGGGACCATTGATGGTATGTGTATGTATTGATTGGGCGTTTGTAGCATTGAAACTCAGGACAGGGCATTGGGATGGAAGACTCTTCGTGGCAATGGGAACAAAACATCGTGGTATTACTCTGCACTCTTTCCCCTGGACAACTAATAGCTAAACGCGCGTGGATGTGAAATTCGACTTGTAAAATCCCTCTCGAGTTGCGCTCCGAAGGCGGCTTCTCCGCTAAAATCTAACAGCGCTTCCGACGGTCCGAGACGGCTAGATCGGAAACCAACGAGTTCCTCCAAGAGCCCCGATTGGACCTCCTCCAATAATAACGGGAAGCAAGGGATCGGGTAGGCAAATAGATGAAAGAAAGGGTCTTGTCCCTTCTATTCTCTCCCTACAACAAGGGGAAAAGGGGGATAGGAGGGAAGACACTTCTCTCCACGTCTCGAGTCTATCGGGGTTCGGGGCTCACCTCAATTTCTCATAGTCGTCTAATACTTGTATCCGGTCCGAGTGCTACACGTTGAGGCAAGCTTTGTTCTCGGAAGCTCCTTGAGCGCGCGATTTTGCGCTAGTGCTTGTGAGAGCCAGAAGCTGTGGAGCGACAGGGGAGACAAAGTTGGCTGGCAAGCTGGGCTGGACCTTCTGGCACCAGTCACTTTGAAGCGTTGTGTCCACGTGACTTGCAGGCTAGGCCGGATTGGGGATAGAGCAGAGAACCGGATCCTGTATCCTCATCAAAACTCCCAACAGGTCGAATTTTCGAGCTCCAATCCGTCCAGGTGTTTTGTCAAGTACTTGTAACGAGACGTTTTTTTTTAACCCCCTCCCGCTTCGTTATCGCTTGCTCCAGGTTATCCCAAACACCAACGAGCCTCAAAGATTTCCGGAGATCGGTATTTTTCCTTCTTCTTCGTTTGCAATGTTTTCCAGAGCTTTGAGAACGAAGGCTGCGCCTTCTTGCCTCCGCGCGAGGGGCCCTGCCACTATCGCGGCGTCGCGAACGGTGACGACGGATGCAGCTCAATCGAGCCTTGAGCAACCCCTTCCCAAGGTATGCTACCAATTGAGTTGAACTTCAACTTCTTTATTCATGACGGATGTTTGGGAAACTGGGCGACAGAATTCATTCCAAATTCATGTCCACTTCCCTCTGCACCCTTCACATTTATTTACCCTTATCCTAAATGCGTTGTTTTGCTGTGTCGCTGATAAGCTCCCGTGTCAACAGTCCGAGGATGAGCCTTTTAAGATCCGCCTCAGCGACGAGTCCTTCGAGACCTACGAACTTGATCCCCCGCTACAGCCTCGAGGTGACCAGGAAGGAGCTCAGGCAAATGTACAGCGATATGGTCGTCATCAGGTAAACGCTACCCTGTACCGGCCCCGTTGCTCTTGGTTATCCGAGATAGTGCGGTCCTCGTCGCTTGTAGTGGTGCGTGCTAATGAACCTATTTTCCCCTATTAGGCAAATGGAAATGGCCTCGGATAGACTGTACAAGGAGAAGAAGATTCGAGGTTTCTGCCACCTGTCCACTGGCCAGGAGGCGGTTGCTGTTGGTATCGAGAACGCCATCACCAAGGAGGACGACGTGATCACCGCGTACCGTTGCCACGGCTTCGCTTATATGCGAGGTGCTGCCGTTAGCTCCGTCATTGGCGAGCTTCTCGGCCGCCGCCAGGGTATTGCCTACGGCAAGGGTGGTTCCATGCATATGTTCACCAAGGGCTTCTACGGAGGAAACGGTATTGTCGGTGCGCAGGTCCCTGTTGGCGCCGGCCTCGCCTTCGCCCACAAGTACAACGATAACGGCAAGGCCTCCATCATTCTGTACGGTGACGGCGCCAGTAACCAGGGCCAGGTCTTTGAGGCTTTCAACATGGCTAAGCTCTGGAAGCTCCCCGCCCTCTTCGGATGCGAGAGTAAGCACGCCCTTCCTTACCCTTATCTGACGTCGACACTCCCATGAGCCAGATGCTAACCGCCCCTGCCCCTCTTCTCTCTAGACAACAAGTACGGTATGGGTACTTCGGCCGCTCGCTCCTCCGCGCTCACCGACTACTACAAGCGTGGTCAGTACATTCCTGGTCTCAAGGTCAACGGCATGGACGTCCTTGCCGTGAAGGCCGCGGTCCAGTACGGAAAGGAGTGGACTGCTGCCGGAAACGGTCCTCTCGTCCTCGAGTACGTCACCTACCGATACGGTGGTCACAGTATGTCGGACCCCGGTACCACTTACCGAACCCGTGAGGAGATCCAGCGCATGCGATCCACCAACGATCCCATTGCCGGACTGAAGCACAAGCTCCTCGACTGGGAGGTACTCACTGAGGAGGAGCTCAAGACGATCGACAAGGAGGCTAGGGCCCACGTCAATGCTGAGGTTGCCATTGCGGAGGCCATGGCCGCTCCCGAGCCCACTGCCAAGATCCTCTTCGAGGATATCTATGCCCGTGGCACCGAGCCTCCCTTCATCCGCGGCCGAACTGCAGAGGAGCTCCATTACTTCGAGGGCAACTAAAAAGACGTGCTTTTCTTTTTTTTTTTGCTGCTTGTCAATTTGCAAACGACTTGAGCGACCTCGAGCGGGCTGGTAAGTCTGCTTCGAGGACAGGCCCAAGCATTAATGTACCATAATCCTCTTCGATATTTGAGTTGTATCTCTCCCCTCCGCTGGGAGAGGCGGGAAGAAGGGAGAGGCGCCATCCCGATATGTTTAGAGAAGACGTGTTGATCCAGCACAACAACAAAACGGATGCCTGTGGTGATACGAGGACGTTGGGATGGCGAATTCCGGAAAGATAGACCCCTTTGGTTTCTTTAGTTTATAAGCTTTTCTTGGTTGGTATGCTTGCGATTGTCCGGCCGAAAGGTTGTACTGATCAGTGTAATTCAACTCGTTCACTTGCCATTCCGTTCTCAATTTTGGTGTCTATGGCCTGTAGCATTGTGAGTAATACATAGGGGTAGGGGCGGAGGTTCTATGTGGGAAAGGGAACATATGAAGAGAAAAGGGACACGATATGAGGAGAGGCTACCAAGCAACCAAAGACAAGAGAGGCTCGGTGACAAACGACAGGCCGAGAAGTGCCCTTTGATATCATTGAAAGCCTTCTGCGGCCCTGAACCTCCAACTCTGATGAGATAAATAAGGTCACAAAATGACACGATGGCCAGCTCTCGAGGTTGCCCGCACTGCCTTGTTCTTTCCTTGTTGTAAATTGAATTTGGTACGGAGTCAACGATGGTTTAGCAACAAGTTATTACTGGCCAATGGCAATGCTCATTCATGACTTTTAGTTGAGCGCAGGCCACCAATTTCTTGGTCTGATCGACGATCCTCAAATACGTGGATCTATTGGCATTGACTGCACGAGGAGCTCAATATCTTGATCTCACCATAAGCTCTCCCTGATAGGGCTTCTAGTGGTGTAACCTGGTGTGGACACCAGACCCATCAGTCGCACCCTGTTCAAGGCAACATGACCCACCCTGAGCTCAAGCTCCTCGCCAATCTCGTGGGGTCTCTTGACCCACCATTGAGCCAGTGTAATATTAGTGTAGTTGGCGCTAGGTTAGGGGCATCGATCTCTTCAATGTTCCATCATCTAGTGTGAGTGCGTGCACATGTGATCTCAACCAACAGCTCAATACCACTATCAGCCCCTGAGAAATTATGAGGGAAGGAGCAACTAGCGTAGGCTGCACTTGGGCCAAACTGTGGCTCTGTGGCACGTGTTTGACGCGACATTGCGGCGCAGGCTTCCATACCCCACCAAAAACCGCTTGGAGCCAATTTACGCGCCTGTCTGCCTGGAAAGACGCACGATACGCGTCTGCTCTAGTCAATTGAATTGATCTGATCACTTCATTTTTGGGTGCACCCGCCTGCTCGCATCCCCCGCGTGCAATCCCCGCTCGTCTCTGAACTTCTCCAGCCTATTCTATATATATCCTAGAGGCCCAAAGCTGCTTCCTTGCAGATTGTGTAGACCTTTATACTTTATCATTCTTTTTCTCCACTGTCCATCATCATCCACCCCGGCCGATAACTCCCTTCTCGGCCGACGTGTGGGAAGTGATCATCACTCTGGCGTCGCGATCTCTTATTCGGATAGCAACGCTTTCGGCGGCGAGGTTTATCACCATGGCCCCAAAGCAGGCTACCCTTGGGTATGTGAAGCCAGCACAAACTACGATTGGGTGGGTAGGAGGGGCCTCCGTATGATAGATGACGGGAAGCTCCACGGCTGTTGATGGCATGCTAGAGACAGTGGGCTCTCTCGTGAGCCGCGTTGAAGAGCAGCCAGGCTGGCGTTGTTTTGGAGATTTCTCTCTTGATCTTTCACTAACTCGCCTGGGTATCTAGGAGATTTTTCGCCCAGGCGGATGGCACAAGACCAAGGACTACGGCCCCAAGGCAGACCACTTTATCCTTCTCTACCAAGCCCAATGGGAAATCGGAAAAGAAGGATGATGTAAAGGAGGAAGAAAAGGATGCGAGCGACGCATCTGTAAAGAGTGGTGAGCCGCTGCCCTTTTATCTCCTTGTAACTGCCCCAACCGGCCGTTGCCACTGACTTGCTAATTGCCGAGTAGAAACGAAGAAGCGTTCACGCTCCAAGAAGCAAGAGACAACGACATCCGATGCCGAGTCCGAAACGAAATCTATCAAGGGGGAAGAGGACGCTCCTCCTTCAAAAGGGCACGAAGGAATAGGAAACGAGTCGAGGATGAGGATGACGAAGGCATGACCGAATCGCCAGCTGCATCTCCCAAGCAGAAAAAAGCCCTGCTAAGAAACGAGATCGGAGTCGGAGTCGGAGCAAGAGCCCCGTAGAGTCGAAACCTAGGGAAAAGGCGGCCCGCACCAAGGCAAAGGCGGTCAGTGTTAAACAAGAGGACGAGGAGCCTGAAGGATCAAGTGCTGCTTCTTCCTCCGAGGCCGAGATTGACGCCGAGGAAGAAGACGAGGAGCGTCCGGAAATCGCAGCCAAAGCCCGAAAGGACGTCCAGGCAATCATAGCTTCCAAGGGCAAGGATCCGTATCCTGACTGGAAAGCGGGACAGCCGGTTCCTTACGAGGCTCTTTGCAAAACCTTCTCCCTCGTTGAGCTCACGACCAAACGGCTCCAGATCATGGAGCATTGTTCTCTCTTTCTCCGCCAAGTGCTTCGTCTCACCCCAGACGACCTGCTTCCCACCGTTCTCCTCATGATCAACAAGCTAGCTCCGGACTATGCTGGTATCGAGCTAGGTATTGGTGAATCACTGATAATGAAGGCCATCGGAGAAAGCACCGGGCGGAGTCTGCAAATTATCAAGCAAGACCAAAAGGAGATTGGAGATCTTGGTCTCGTGGCGGTCAAAAGTCGGTCAACCCAGCCTACCATGTTCAAGCCCAAACCACTCTCTGTAAGGGGTGTGCATCAGGGCCTTATGGGCATTGCCACAGTAAGCGGCAATGGGGCTCAGCAACGCAAAGTTGATCTCATCAAGAAGCTCCTTTCCGCTGCTGATCCCAATGCCACCGGCAAGGTGGATATTACCAAGGACAAGGGCGGCCCAAGCGAGGCCAAGTTTCTCATCCGCTTCCTAGAAGGAAAGCTGAGGTTGGGTCTAGCGGAGCGCACAGTCATCGTCTCACTCGCCCAAGCCGTTGTTGCCCACGAAGCCGAAGCGAAAGGGCTGGTCCCAAGTACCAGCGACATGGAAAAGGGAGAGGGCATCCTCAAGCAGGTTTACAGGTTCGTGCATCCAAGCCGAGTGAAGCGTGGGCCCTATTTTGACATGTGTATTACCCGAGCAGCGAGCTTCCTAGCTATGACGTGATAATTCCCGCGATCCTCCAGCACGGCATCGACAAGCTTCGAGAAAACTGCAAGTTGAAACCTGGCGTACCACTCAAGCCCATGCTGGCGAAGCCGACCAAGGCCATCACCGAAGTGCTAGATCGTTTCGATGGCCAGGCTTTCACCTGCGAGTATAAGTATGATGGTGAACGAGCCCAGATCCACTACGTAGCAAAGGACGCGCCTCGCGGTGAGGGGGACAACCTCAAGGATGCCGCCAAACTCAAAACGGACGGAGTAGCCGCCATCTTCTCCCGCAACTCCGAGGACCTATCCAAAAAGTACCCGGATATCCTCTCTCGTCTGCACACTTGGGTCAAGGAAGATACAAAGAGCTTTGTCCTTGACTGCGAGACAGTGGCCTGGGACGTTACAGAGAAAAAGGTGCTGCCGTTCCAGCAACTCATGACGCGCAAGAAGAAGGACGTCAAGATCGAGGATGTTAAAGTCAAAGTCTGCGTGTTTGCTTTTGATCTTCTCTATCTCAACGGTGAACCAGTCGTAGGAAAGTCGCTGCGGGAGAGGAGGCAGCTACTTACTGACGCCTTTTCCCCGGTCGAGGGTGAGTTCACCTTTGCCACCTACATGGACGGCCAGGAGTTGGATGAAATCCAGACCTTCCTCGACGAGAGTGTCAAAGCCTCGTGCGAAGGCTTAATGGTCAAGATGTTGGATGGCCGGGAAAGCGGGTACGAACCCAGCATGCGAAGCCGAAACTGGCTCAAGGTAGGATCTTTATCCATTCAGCTCCCCTCCCTTGAAAGGCTGCTGCTAACCCTTCGAACAGATCAAGAAGGACTATCTCTCCGGTGTTGGCGACTCTCTCGATCTCGTCGTTCTCGGCGCCTACCACGGAAAGGCAAGCGCACATCCGTTTACGGTGCCTTCCTCCTCGCCTGTTACAACCCGTCTAGCGACAGCTACGAAACGGTATGTAACATCGGCACTGGCTTCTCGGAGCAGGTCCTCGAGGAACTCCATAAAACCCTCTCCGATGTTGTCATCGACCGACCGAAGCCTTTCTACTCCCATTCTTCAGGTTCCCAGCACCAACCAGACGTCTGGTTTGAACCCCGGTACGTCTGGGAGGTCAAGACTGCAGATCTAACACTGAGCCCCCGCTACAAGGCCGGGTGCAAGGAGGGCGTGGACCCCGCAGGGGAGAAGGGCATCAGCCTGCGGTTCCCTCGGTTCATCCGAGTGAGGGACGATAAAAGGCGGCCGACGCCACCTCAAGCAGACAGGTGGCTGAGATGTATAGGCGGCAAGAGAGCGTCGCTAAGAGCAAGGCGCCAGCCGTCGATGACGACTTTGAGTATTAACGCACTTCGCGTCACATTCCATCTAGTGTGTTTTGAGTAGCTATGAGGGAGCAGGTATGGGTGGGTGGGCAAGGTTCACAGAGAGGGTGGCTACGTCATGCCGTCAACATTGTTCAAGTAAACAACTGTAAATAGATCTCATTTCACGGCTTCTGTTTGAGTAAAGGTTACCGGTATATCCAGGATATATTCAATCCTTATCCGTTCCAGGCTACTAGTTGTCTAGATATCTAACCCACCCGTTACGTCTAATGCTGCGTTAGATTGATTGGGGAAACCCCGAGGCCTCCAGGAATGGCACTCCTGGCCACAGGAAGGTGAAGGTGATGCCACGCACACCACTTGTAAAGTAAGAGACAATTAACCAAGGTGGACTCCCGAATACAATGAATGAAAAGGAGGATAAGAATACACGAGGTAACACGCAAAGGCCAACGTAGGAAAATCAAAACATGCTGTGATCATCATCATCCCCACCAGGGCTCATGGACCCATCCGCGACGGATAGCAGCCCCACCTCCCCGTGCCGCGGGCGATGCCGCCGTCCTCGTCGAGGTCGCCGCGGGCCTCCATCCTATTGAGCGGCGAGTTTCGGCAGCGCCGTTGAGCACGTACCACACGTCCTTTTTCGTGAGGAGGCCTTGGAGGCCGCCCCTATCGCAGAAGAGGACGTAGCGGAGGCCGAGTTTGCGGAAGTAGGTGACGGCGAGGTGGAGGCTCGCCTGGGAGGGAAGGGTAAGCGGGGTCTGGTCCATCCAGGGGCGGAGGTCGAGGGTAGTGCGGGGATCGGCCAGGGGTTGGTGGGAGAAGAAGACCTCGGTCTCGGGGGTAGGGAGCGGGGCGCTCGGGTAGAGGTGTGGAGGTTGTAGGCGAGCTCGGTGCGGGATATGTAGCCGAGGAGAACGGCGTCGCGGGGGTCGGAGATGACGGGAACCCTCGGTGAGGATGCGTGTCGAGGATGGCTTTGAGGCTGGCAATGGTGTGGCCCGTGGCGGTGAGAACGACGAGGTCCTCGATGCGCGTCATGATCTGGGCTGCGGGCACGTCTGGGACAACAATCTCGTCGCTGTTGTCGAGGAAGGGGTATTCGTTGAAGTGGATCCAGGATTCGTAAATGTCCTTGCGGGAGAAGGCGTCGCCGACCCACTTGGCCGTCATGACGGCAACCATGATGGGCAAAACGTACGTGAGGGCGCCGGTGAGCTCAAACATGATGACGACGATGGAGACGGTGAGCCGCGTGACGCCGGCCAGGGCTGCCGCGGCGCCGACGAGGGCGTACGTGCCGGGGACGATGCAAGGGGCGTCGGGTTCGCACGAGTCCCATAGGATGGACCCTCGGCTGCTGTTCACTAGGATCTCCATGACGATGCCAATCGCCCTCCCTACCAGTGCGCCGATGGCCATGGACGGCAGGATGATGCCGGCAGGGATCTGAAGACCAAAAGTAATGGCTGCGAGCCCGAAGCCGAGCACGGCGGCGAATATCAAGAGTACCACGGTCGCTGCGGACGCGGCGCCGGTGTTGCAGATGCCGATTTCGTCCTCCAGGAGTTTCGTGCAATCGGTGAAGAGGTTAGATACCAGCTCGGAGGTCTGGAATTTCATGTAGACGTTGGGATAGTTTACCAAGGCGGTAAAAAGGCAACTAAGAGCACCTGGGTGATGGGCCCGGGCAGCCACGTGTTGGCCTTTTTCCACTTGGCGACGGCCATGTTAGCCTTGATGAAGAGGCCCCGTAGATGCCGCCGAGAACACCCAGGATGACATAGGGCACCAGCTCGAACCCGTGCCACCCAACGCTGTACGTTGACTGGTAAAGCACGAGCTTTCCGGAGCGGAGGGGGTCGAGAGCTTGCAAAACGACGGCAGCCGTCATCGCACACACAAAGCTCTGCCACATGGTTTTGTCTGGGAAATAATAAGAAAGTTGCTACACTTGAGAGTTAGTATTGTAACCATGCCCGTTTATCTGGCAGAGGGTTTTGGCTAACCTCGAGACTGAAAAGCACACCTCCTATTGGAGAGCCGAAGGCAACAGATATGCCAGCGGCGGAGGCGGCGGAGAGCACCTCTCGCTTGCGGGCTAGGAAGAAGAGTCAGCAACTATTAGGGTTGGACAGCGCAGGAGTGGGAGTCGTTACCCTCGTTTTGGCTGATGTTTTTGAAGGGCTTCGTAAAAGGTTTGCAATGCAGCAGGCCACATGGACAAAGGGTCCCTCTTTGCCAAGCCACATGCCAGAGCCGACCGCGAGACACTGATAGATGGCGGAAACCCGAGGTCAGTACGAACGAAAAGTAGTAAACCATAGTACGCGTTAGAGGGATACTCACCAAACCCAAGGCCTTTGTGACTAGAGTCCACAGCCCTAAGAACTTGCGAATGACGAAGCCTCCTAAGACGGTCTTCATCTCAGGGATGCCGCTATGCTTGGCGTATATCGCATACTCCTTCACAAGGGCCGCCGCGAAGTAAGCAAGAATGACCTACGGAAGCCGTGTTAGTAACCGAAGCAGACTGGTTTCCACGGTGGAAAATGGGTGGAAAAGCATCTCACCGAGAAGAGTATAAAAAAGATATACTCGACAAACCACCTGCCACCACCGGAATGAATCCCCATTGCCTCGCCCCAGGACGACCAGCCATGGCACTTGGACCCCTGGTCATACCCCAAGCAACACGATGCCTTGCTCAGATAAAAGGCACCACCATCCGTCCCGCCGGAGCAAAACCCCGTCTTTAGGTCGCCCAGCCAATTCGTTGTCACTTGTATGGCTGCGGCGAGACATCCCGTCGCTATCCCTGTTAAAATGAGGATAACCCACACCTGACTCGCGTCGAGGAGGAGCTGTATATGGCCCAGCAGGCCACTCGCCGTGGATCTCAAGACTCTTAATCTCTGCCGCTCCTTTGTATATTCAAAAATCCAGTCGATCGCCGTCAAGTTTTCGTACGCGACACGCCTTCCGGGCCCTTCCACGTACCAATCTAGCGGCGCCCCGTCCTTCGCTTGAGAGCCCGCCGCATATGCGCTTTCATGGGGCCGCGACGAGCCGATCCCGTGAAAGATTGGCTCTCCGTCGACAGAATTGAGAGACGGCGAGGGGGCTCCTGCGTAGGTCGCTGCGCTGCGCTGCCGCCCGAACGCGCAAACGAGGAGAAGAAGTGTTGCGCGGAGGACGAGTATGCTGCGCTTTTGCTTCCGCTTAAACGTCATGGGCTCATGTCGATCGCTGCTCAAAGGGTCCTCCGCAAGCAAGTCATTCTCGGCCTCATCCACCCAAAATTGACCGACGCCGTCGTCGCGCTCATCGGCGCTCCCCGCTGGGGTCTCGATCGGAATCGGCGATCGTGACGACGATGGTGTGGAGGATTCTTGGTTCGATATCGGAAATCCCGGCATATTTACGATCTCGAGTCGGTCGACTGTTCCATCTTCATCAGTCACCGGAGAAGCTGATGGCGTATCTAAAAGCTGTTCGGGAGGGTGCGGGGCCAAAAGGAGCTGTTCTCTAATGCTGGTCAACCAGCCTCCTTTTCCGATTCGCAAGGCAACAACAATACAGAGTTAAACCGGGATGATGTCGCAAAGTGGCCAAAGCCTTGCTATCATCAGTTGCTGACAGCTGAGAGTGGTACTTTGGCCTCGCGCTTCCTAGACACAGTGCTATTGACGAAGAAGTTCAATTATTCGCACTTCAACCCCAAGGCCTTGTCGAATTCTCGTCATCCACGAGCAAACGGAAGGCTGATTGAAGAAATAAAACCCAAGATACAAGCAAGAGAGGGGCCTAAAAAGGCAAGAAAGAGAAATCTCAAATTTATCTCGCACCGTCCAACCTCTAAAGTGGACTGCTGGAAGGCTCTCTTTGCAGTCGCCAGAATATCGCCATAATGACAGAGCCTGCGCAAAGTACCAATACCACAGGCACCAAGAAGAATGCAACGATTTCCATTTCCAAGGTGCAAGCCCTGCTAGAGTCCAAAGATGACACCGCTAGGTTCGCAGGCCTCGCGGTTTTGAAGACTGTTCTTGATGAGTCGCCCCGGCTAAGAGAGGACGGAGAAGCCGTGACACGGCTGTGGTCCTCGATATCCCCCATATTCTTGGATCGACTTATACGGACAGGATCCAAAACTGTGGACAAGGGAAGGACACAAGGGAAATGCTGAACTTAGCCGTCTTCATCATACATACTTTCAGTACCCTTCTTTCTGAAGAGGCAAAGCAAGACGCAAGGCTAGTTGAAAGAGTCCCGTCTTTGATGGGCGCGTTACTCCACAGGTGTGCCCATCCGCCCGCTGAAGGCAGCATCTCATCTCGAGCCATTTGCTAACCACGCCCGGAAGCTCCAATGAAACGACGCACTTGGCACTCCAAGCCCTTGCAACAATCACAAGCTACCCCGTTGGCGCGCAGGCGTTCATGGCACTCGATGACGTGAGCGCCCTCGTGGAGGTGGCACCCACGCATCCCGAAGCACTGCAGACTCTAAAGCTTGCGTGGCTTAACGCTCCTATCTCGTCTTCGGGGCAAGCCGAAACTACCAAAAAGATCAACGTGACTATGCAGCAGCTAGTTTCCTCTTTCAAAGGAACAGATGGCGTTACCCTCCTAGACTTTGTTGGGTCATATCTCCAACATGCTGATCCGGCTGTGAGTACCCTGCATCTTCGAAGCCTTGGTCAACGACAGCCCGCATCGAGACTAACATCACTGGCAATAGATTTTACCGCAGAACCCTCGGTGGTTAAAGTCTTTGGGGGCTTTATCAAGTCCTCGTCACGGGCCGGCCAGCGGCAGCAGCTAGGTCGGCCTATGTCAACGCCTCGGCGGCTTTGCTTCAAGTGTACCCCGCAAAGGCATCCGCCATGCTTTTCGCGTCGCAGCCGACAGAGGAGAAGTCTCTGCCGTATCTCTTGATCAGTCTTGTTCTAATCGACATACGCTCATCCTGTCCCACTCTGCTTGAAAAACTCAATAGCCCCGGTTACGACATACTCTCGCGGCGGCTCACATCGGGGTTCGACATCGTGTCGAGTTTCATTGGCTACTTGATTCGGAGCCTCGATGATGAGGATTCACCTCTGTTCATGGAACCGAATCTACTACTCAAACTACGCAAATCCATATCAGAGACCGTTTCAGTGACACTTGAATACCTTCGGGATCGATGGGACGCTTCCGTTGCGGGTGCCATGGGTTTACACCCAGACGCGAGGACGGGCACGACAGCAACGTCAAAAGGCTCTCATCTGACTGTAGCATGGGATTCCGCAAAAGATAACGTGGAAGAGGATCCGCTGGTACTCGCCGCCGTCAGGGCGCTGGCGATCTGGATCCGGGAGGACGACAGCAGCGTTCTACGCAACGAAGCCTCTGGGCTGCTTGATATGCTCTTGGATCTTTATAAATCAAGCCTCTTAACGAGATACGATTTTCGGCCCGCAGTCCTAGTTGCCTTGGAAGGTGTGCTAGCCGTCAAGACAGGCAAAGACGTCTTTTTCCAAAACGAGGGATGGGACGTCCTCGCAAAGGATTCCCTTGGCATATTGCAGCGAACCACAAAAGAAGTCAATGAACCGGATGCCTCTAGAGGAATTGAGATTGTTCGCATCCTCCTGTCCCTCGCCGAAGAAGAAGCGTCGGGCACCCGGGAAGGCTGGATGGACGTCATAACCGGCGTTGCCGCATGGGACGTGCCTGACGTCGAACAGCCCCTCATGGTGCGAGAATTCCAGCTTGCCGCCCTGCAATTGTGCGCCACCCTCCTCGCACGTGCGAGCGCTGGGCTGAGAAAGAGGTATTCGCATTCGATGAGTGCCATAATCGGGGTAGCAAATCAGCTCCGAAGACACCTCCCGAGCGACGAGGAGCTAGAGGAACAGCTCGAGGATGTACTTGTGACCCTATCAAGCCTTCGGTAAGCTCCCCGACATTCCAGGTTCCGAGACCTTGTCAAGAGGTATGAGGAATAAACGCGGGCCGGGCCAGCTTTCATGGTAGCCCTCGAGCCCCACCTCCTGGCTTAGCATGAAGTGCGAGAGTGGGATAAAGCGGCAAGTGTAATCAGTCGTGGTAAAAGAGGAGAAAAAAGACAGAATTAAAGAAAGAAAAGACCTCATCTGAGCTTAAACGAAGCAGTGGCAGGCAGCCTTGCTTTTCAGCGACCCTTCACCTACTTCACGCGAATGCAGCCGGTAGACGAGGGACGAAGGCGATAAGCTTCTCTGCTTGCGCACACGGCGATGGAATGCAGAGGGGCCAGAAGAGACGAGAAAAGGATCTAAAGGGCATAAGTGTTGGCTCTCAATGGGCCGGAAGAGATGCAATTGAGGGTCAATTTAGCTTCTATAGTATCTGCACACCACGGGCAAGGTGGGCAGCGGAACAGTACAGTGCCGTGCGCTCAACAACCACCAAGTCGTTGTCACGAGGTACTAGGCGACCTACCAGGCTCCCGTTATCGGTAAATATGCGACTATGCAACTATGGTGAAGGGCATGGCGGGACAAACAAGTCGCCATTGGTTGATCTATGGGGCCGTTCGAAATATTCTTATTGACCCGCTCCGGCAGGTATCGAAAATCGCATTGGACCGCCGGGAAAAGAAGGCGGCTCAAGGCGACATGACATCTTGAAAGCCAAGGGAGAGGTGCGGTGCCGGGCGATTAAGAGAGAATGGCAAAGGTCCTCGTAATGAATTTCCGAGTTTCGTTAGGACAGACCCGGAAATACCAAAACCTACCCGCTAACACAGGGTTGTTGTGATGGTGGGGAAAAACGAGGGGAGGGACGAAGGAGGATGGAATAGACAGCTAAAGGCCTCTCTATATTCATATGGAGCATTCGCAGGGCGGGGAGGATTCTCCGGCGATAACATCATATGGCCAGGCCAGTTAATGACGACTTGGATACTTCTGTAACCTTGCTTGAGGGCCTAGACTCTGCCTTTGCCCGCCGCTTCCGAGCTCTCCTCACCTCAATCTCCAAGTTCAACATCTCGGCATTGACGGTGGCAAGGCGCGGGACGATGTTTTCAATGATCTTGATGGCATCCTCTTGGGCCATTCGTAGCGGCATAGGTGTGATCAACCCGAACCAGCGGAGTGGGTTTCGGGTTGCTTCCTTGTTCGACTTTGTTTCCTCAACGTCTCCATCCTCTTGTTCTGCCGGGGTCAGGTTTTCGTCTCCAGATCCGGGCGATCCCCGCCATCCTCGGCGCTGTTTTCTGGCGCACCATGACTCTGATTTGTGCCGCCTTGTTCCAAGACAGACCTATTCTCGCCGGAGACGGAAAAGATGGGAACATTGGCGCCCTTGCCCTCGCCCTTGCCCTCGCCAGCGTTGGCGTTGGCGTTGGCGTTGGCATCAACCATCACCCTCCGCATAGCCTGCATCCTCTGATCGTAGAAATCCTGGCCATACCGAATACCACGCTCGGCAGAGAAGTTGGCCCGCGCAATGTTCTGGTACATGGCGCCTTGGATTGGCCAAGGACGAGCGCAGCGACGTGTACTCATCCAAGAGGAGCAAGTAGCGCTCCAGCAGGGAGTCGATATGGGAGTCCATGACCGCTCAACACTTTCCTTCCTGCACCGAGGTACGAGGATATTTCGACGTGGTGGGAGGGGAAGCAGGACGGGACCTTGGCGAGTCAAGAGGGCAAAGGAAGGGCTCGACCTGCAGTTTGCCTCTCCTCGTGATGAGCTGCTGTCTTCTGCGGGTTGAGCCGGGGCGATTGAAATTGAAGGGGCTCAAATCCGAGGTCTAGGTTTATTCACCCCTTTCAAGATAGGCAAGTTGGGACGGAGGCTGTCCAAGGGTCTTGATGTATTACTTGTAGTGTAGGGCTGCCTTGGGGCAAGGTAGCATTCAGTGGCTGTTGGCCGGAAGATTGTGGCCCTGCGAAAAAGAAGGATGGGCAACGCCGACTGCTGTCTAAATTTTGATTCTTGGTGCACACCGATTTGGTCAAACCTCAAAGCTTCAAAACGGGTTCTGTTTGCAGCGAGCCAGAACAGTACGAAATGCGGAAAGGCGATGTACCAAACACGGTGCGCAACCTCTCGTGCTGCCTTTTGCAAACACGAGAGCCATGGGAATTACTGACGAGGCCTCAACTCCAATGTTATTGGTTCATACGCCCATAATACACCCGCAATCTGTCAGCATGGTGATCATGCAACGCCGGCCGGTCAAGTTTCCTCGTCAAACCACCGGTCGAGTCTGTCGGCGTTGGGTTGGGTGACAGCTCGTGGCAAGCGGCGGAGGATCTTCCTCAGGGTTCAATGGCCGTCCGAATTGTGCAAGAAATCAAGACAGGCTCAGGTCGAAGATGAATATGTGTGAGACCTTCTTCCCCAGCCTAGACCAAGGGTCCAAGGGCGTCTGAGACGTTCGCGCCATTGAAAGTCGACCATTCCCCTTTCCCTTCTCCAATCGTTTCGATGGACTTGCCAGCTCTCTCCGCTCGAAGAACGCCCAGAATATGGATTGAATGGAATGTTATGTATGTCATTTGTTGGACGATGGAACCAAGTATACCGAGGTAGCAGACATTACTGAGGTAGATAGAGAGACACATGTCGACCTGAGAGGCACTCTCCCAAAACTTGGAGCTGTCCAAGGCTTTCCTTGGTACATGGAGATATCAACCAATGGGCGAGACCTCACCCTGAGGCGCGATGCAAGGCGATAAAAGGGGATCACCTCCTATGAAGTTCACTGATGTTTCTTTTTCATTTCTTTTCTCCCCTTGTGCTTCCCTTGTTCCCAGTTTGGTCCACCAAGCCCACCACCACCTCTTTTGCCTGGTGGATCCCACCCTACTAGGGTACCATTGAGTCTTTCCACGCTTGGAATAGTGCCATGTTTCAGCTTCGGTATCGAAACTGGGGTGATTTGGCTGCGACAAGGGCAGTTCTCATCTGCCTTCGCAAATGACTGACCCGAAAAGGGGGTCAGTATTACGTTCCCTCCACGCGTGGTCTTTGAGACGCTCGAACGCTCATCAAAAACGCAAGATGAGATGAGGCTCGAGTGTTAACGATGATCCTCTCGAGAATGAAGAGAAGAGACTGAGAGTGGTTACGAAGAAAAAGAAACAAGGTCGAGAGAAGAAGAAAAGGAAAAGAAATGTCCCGCTACGCACACTCCAAAAAGCACGCTGACAATTATGACTTGAACGGCACAATGCACCTCTTGAAATAAACCCCTGCGACAGATCACGCATGGGCCCGCTCGTGGGCATACACAGCGTTCCATCAAACCATTCGCCGCCGTCTCTGCGGAAGAAACGTAGAAGAGCAAGGGAACACCTTCCCGCTGATCTCGACACGTTGTCGGGGGTTTGGGTAGTGCCCCCTTCCCGCAGTCAGCGGAACCGGCATCTCGAGGTTCCAATTTTAGGCGCACCTTGCCTCGGACCGGGCGGTGGACGGGCCTCGACTACCATCATTGATACCATACTACCAATGGATCGATCTATCTTTCCACTGTGGCTGCTACTTTTGTCCGCTTCTGATCGGGCTACGCTGTAACCTCCCGGGAATATATTCGTATAGTGGTATCGATCGGGTGCCCACAGCCGCCCCGTCAGACCATTGATCGAACGCGAACTCGCTGCTTGAACGTGTTGGTCAGTACCAAGCAGATGCACGCAACATGAACCCGCCTGCATTGTGGGCGCAAGGCGAGCCGTTGACCCACCTTGGAAAAGTGGAAGCAGAGGGGAGAAAGGTTGGCCTAGGGGAGGCGGAATCAGCGAGTGGGGAGAAATTGAGTGAGGGAGTGCAACCCCGAATGCAGGAGGTGGATAGAAATAGACCCGCCCGGTTTTCCTTTTACTATTCTTTTTTTTCTTGCTATCCTTCGTGAAGCGGTTGAGGCACAGGCCGACGTGGTGGTGTTCGATGTAACGAAGACCTCACTCAAGAAAAGTGCCCTTATCTTAGCGGCTGGCTGGTTGGTGTTAAGGACGCTGAGAAGAACGATTCGCCGTCAAATGGGGACTCCATTGGCGCCGACCCCGGCACAGACAACGTCCACTCGCCGTCGCTGTAGAGCGCGAGCTCAAGCCTTGATCTCACTCGGAGACCCTTCTGGACCTCCGAGTCATCAGCTCGTGAGACGATTGATTGATGCCTGTGAAACGGACCTGAATGCTTCTAGATGGAGTGTACGAATGACCAAAACCCCGAGTTCCCAATCAGCCAAGTACAGCCAATCACCAAAGAAACCCTCATCACCCGTGCTGCTTTGAGTATGAGCTCGTTCATCACTGGACGCCTCGATCACGCTCATGACCGCATCGCGAATAGTGATGAAATCTGGAACTGGCAAGGCCACACAAGCCAGCATCAAGCAAGTGGGGAGCACCAGTGGAATGTCGCCGTTGAAGACCCCTTTGCGGCACAAAGAAGGCCCGGACTCCTCCTTGGTGCTTCCATCCGAAATAGGCGACTACACTTCAAGTGTTTGAAAGGGGCTTGTTCTGAGGGGCCAAAAGGAAGTCTTTGCTCGGATGCATATCGAACTATGCCCTTTGTACCATCCCTGTCCTTGAAGCGCTGCTGGGCTGGGGTTTGATGGAATTGGGCGCGCCCCATATTATCGTCAGAAGACGCCGCCAGCATCCAACCTAGAGCGAACAACGGATAATATGAAGAATGTGATATGCGTCCTCGTCGCCACTCAGCTAAGGAATCTTGATTTACTTGTGGAGAAGGGAGGGTAGGAGTGAATAAAATAAAAAAAAAAAAAAAAGAAAGAAAGCCTAGTACTGATGTGAGATGGTCTCTTCCAGTGTTGCCCTGCAGGGGCAGCAGGTCTTCCTCCACCCGTCATTCCTGCGAAGTGGTTGAAAATGGGGGTCAACCTTGTACCTCGATGGGTCCAATCGATCTACTTGTCTGCTATCTCCTCTCCGAACTGCTCCCAGTTTTTGGGGGTGCGGGATCTTGAGCATCGAGCTGCTCGAGTCCGTCGAAAAGCGGCAAAATAATGCTGCTGCCTAGGGGCTGAATTGTAGCGTCCGCGGGGGATAACGCCGATAAGTTAACCATAGCTCGTCATTCTCTATTTGCATGCCTCCATTTTGCAATGTTTGTTAATTCTTGGAGACGAGAACCTCCTTGAGGAGGCTACACTAGATGCATTGTCTTGCCGGAGGATCGAGACACCAAACCTTGATTAGCCACCCTTGAGTTTCGTTGATGATGGGGCGGAGGGAAGAGATCCATCCTATTCCTTTCAATCTATGCATGCTAGAAGGACAGGAATGCGGCCAAGCCTCTCGTGCCAGCAAGGCTGAACAGGATAGATATCCATTCCATGTTGGATTGCTCCTCCTAGTCTAATCCAAGCTATGCGCGCGCTGGCGAGCGATAGATCACTGGCATGAACCGGGCTGGTGGAGGGCGAGGAATTGATTATCGGCCGTGTTGAACCAAGTGCCGCCAAGGTACTAGACTAGTCATTGTCGAGAAAGAGAGCAACAAGGATGCCAGTCTACACCACGAGCCCTCAATTCTTCACGCCCAGGGCTTAAGGCGCCCGGTGGAAGTGCCAATCCTGCACTGCTTGTACACGAGTACCGAGGATTCGCGCTCACATCGGCAAGAGATGGATGGTTCTTGATATCCACGACGGGGAAATTTGATCAAATTGACGGATCCCACATTTGCCCGGCGTCGTCGTTTGGTCGTACTTCGCCTTCAGCAGAGCAGAGCACGAACTCAACTGCATGGGGGATACAGCCGGGGGTATGTAATACTCAACGCCCCTCCTCCCATCAAAGGACTCCCAGGGCTTTGATTGTGGCCCTCGCTCAAGCGAGGAATAAGGTCCCTGAAAGGGCTCGGTACCGTAAGATACCCATCCAGGTTTTCCTGCACTGTTTGCATACAGTTGCATTATCCGCTCAGCCAAGTACTATGCTGTACCCCCTCGGAGTACCTTATACGTCCATGCTGCTCCCAGCATCCATGGATGGATCAATTGGATCAATGTCCTCAGAACTGCATTCTGCGTGCGGAGCCTACACTTCTCGACTAGGCAGTACATGAATGTAAGTGCCAGTGACCCTGGGACCTTCTCCATTATCCTCGCTCGTGCGTTTTCATCCCTCTCCCATCATTTACCGTTGGCATTTTGAACGCTATCGTCTTCATCCCTCCGGCCTATTAATTTCCCTCTCCTTCCACTTCCCTTTCCCCACACCTCCACCGTCACTTCGCGTCGAAGCCGTCTCCTCTTTCTCTCTCCCAATTTCCAAGAATCACTTACACTTTTTGTTACAACAATCAGTTCTGCCTTCTCTGACGTCGTCGCCAGAAACACCAAAGAAAGGGGGCATATTTTATTTTATTTTAGATAATAGGCACCACAGACCAACTTAGAGGTGGCCGTCCGACGACGAAGCCAACGAAGCGATCGACCCCCAGGTTGTTTTTCCTCCCCCAGCGGCAGCACGCACTCCAGTTCTCTCCCGCCCCCGACCTCGCCCATACCGCCGCCTCTAGTTCGAATTCGAACCGTCCTTCTGCCCCCGCCGCGCACAGCGAAAATAACGTACCGCCTTCCACCCCTCGATTTCGAGCTTCTCGCCTGCGCCCTCGACAGCAAGAGCGTTGGCAAACGGCCGACCTTCTCTTAACGCGACACATCTGCTCTCCTCACAGGAGCGCTGCTAACTCTTGAACAATGGTGGTTGCCACTATCAAGTACGTAAACTGACCCATATCCAATATCGGCCACCCATTCCTTGTCCTTGTCCCTTTCCCTCCACGCGCCTTCTGCCCTTCTGCCCTTCTGCCCTTCTGCCCTTCTGCCCTTCTACCCTTCTACCCGCCGTAACTCCATCCCCGACCACTTGACGGCCTTTGTGTCTCTGTTATATCGTCCTCGGCGATATGTCTGCGCCCCTTCGCCCATCTTCACTCCTTCCCAGACAATTCACCACACTGGCGCTGTTATTATATGCGCCTCTTCGACGAGTTTCCTACACAAAGGGCAGCCATGATGCTCCATACCGCTAGTAGTCCCGCACGACAAGCCAACCTTTCTACTTTTCTTTTCTTTCAATACTTGCATCAGACAGCATTGCTAACTATTTTCTCTTCGCTAGATGTGTGGTGGTCGGTGACGGTGCCGTTGGCAAGACGTGTCTTCTCATCAGCTACACCACGAACAAATTCCCCTCAGAATACGTACCGACTGTCTTTGACAACTATGCGGTCACCGTAATGTGAGTTGTGTCCTTTGTCCGCGATCAGCATCCCCATATCTGGTAGAATGGAGTCCACCTCCACTTTTTGGACACTACCTCCCTATTCCTTCGTGGCCAACTTGTGTTAACGTGGCTGGTTGGTAGGATTGGCGATGAACCGTACACGCTGGGTCTCTTCGATACCGCGGGACAAGAGGATTACGATAGGTTGCGCCCTCTCTCGTACCCCCAGACAGACGTTTTCCTCGTATGTTTCAGCGTCACCTCACCCGCCTCTTTCGAGAACGTCCGAGAAAAATGGTTCCCTGAAGTGCACCATCACTGCCCCGGTGTCCCTTGCCTTATTGTCGGCACCCAGGTCGACCTTCGGGACGATGCTAGTGTCCGTGACAAGCTTGCGAAGCAGAAGATGCAGCCCGTTCGAAGGGAGGACGGAGAGCGGATGGCCAAGGACCTCGGCGCTATCAAGTACGTCGAGTGCAGCGCTTTGACCCAGTATAAGCTCAAAGATGTGTTCGATGAGGTACGTTTCCTGCCATGACACCCCATTCCTTCCTTCCCAAACCTACTCCCTCGTCCATTCCATAAAGCGACGCACGCAGACAACTGACGCATCTTTGTAGGCAATCGTTGCTGCCCTCGAGCCCCGGCGCACAAGAAGAAAAAGAGCCGATGCGTATTGCTTTAAACGCAATACGAACCGCCAGCCTCCTTCCCTCCCACGATCTAGCTGCCTGCCATCCGTGCCCACGACCACATGAATGCATTGGACCGCGTAAAGTTCCAATGTCGGACCGGCGATTGTTTGAGGTGGCAATACAGGCTTGACGCCAGACTAGTGAGCAGCACCTAGGGAAGGAGGCTGGAGAGGAGAGGGCCAGTGGATGGGCCCGAACAGGGACACGCAGTGGCCTGTGGCTCGACGGAGAAGGAGCTGAGTGACATGGAGTAGCGTCTTAAGCTACGGGAGCGGCTTTTCTTTGACGATGAACGGAGGATTAACGAGAGGCGGCTGACGGGCTGGGCACCCGAGGGACAATTGGATCTGCGAACTGAAAGGCGCTCCTTGAAGCAGGCACCGGTCCCTGAAATTACCCTCCTTGAATGACAAAACCTGCCAATTCCCGGGCCTGTGATGGCTATCGGGGCCGAGGTTTATTCCATTTAGCATTCTAGGAAATTTCTCTATTCCCCCACTTTTTTATAACCCATCTTGTTTAGTCTGTTGTCACTACATTCTTCCTTCTTGCTACATTTCCAGGGTGGGCAGATACATAAATGCAGGCAGGAACGCCTTTCAACAGGACAGTTTGGCGATCGGAGTGAATTCAATCTTCTTCAGAGGGTCGTCGACCATTTTTGTCTTTTTATCGCCAGTCTGATGCCCGGCTGCCCAGCTACCAGATGCTGCCAACTATGTAGGTAGGGACGCAGCACATCCATGTCGTCAGGCGTTGTAACGGGCTCTAGTCCTGAACTAAACAGAGCAGTGAAAAAAAAAATTTTTGAACGAAGGAGCTCGCCCTGTTGACTTCGCCGTTACCGCACCCACTAACACCCTCTCGATATGTTATCGGCTCGCAGAGGAGGTGCAAGCCCGAAGTCTTCTTGCTTTTACAGCATCAAGAGCCAGATCCATACCTAAGACTCTCCATCCGATAAGGCGCTGATAGTGGGAGAATAGCTCAACCTCTTGAAGTCGAGGGCAATGCATCAAGATCGAATGGGAAAAGCCTACCATGGAACACATCCATGCATTCTACCGAGGGTTAGAGATCCGGTCCTCGCCATTGCCACCAAGACGGCAGCAGAACCCCCAAGCAGAAGCAAGGACCCTCCCGAACCCGATGCTGTCAAAGCGAAAGGGGAAAAGGAATAATAAAAAGGCTGAAAAAAGAAAATAAGGGGCAGGAATCTCCAGCCCCTGTGAATCTCAGATAGCTCTTGATAATAGATATCCTGTTATCCACGGGGAAATGCGCAGCCGGGTTGCTCAACAACCGAGAGCGACTGGGAGTGTGGGGTTTCTAATGGATGGTTCTGAGACAGGTGGTGACTCAACACCGCCCATATCATTTTTCCCATGCGCCGCCTGTTCCCCTCCAAAAAGAAGAGCACTACGCTCCCCAATTCCTCCCCCGCCTTCGGTTTTGCCCAAATCGCATTGCCCCGCCATTGAACAAAGCCGCACCAAAAATATTAACAAAGCCTTATCTTCCAACCACCCAAGGTCCCGTATCTACTTTTCTCGGTCCCGAACCACGATTGCGCCGTACGCTTGCGGTTTTCTTTTTCTCGATAGAGACACAAAGCCTGTTTGGAGAGCATCTCTGGCTCTATATCTTTGGCCACTTGTGAAGCCAATCTCCCAATTGATTGTGTATAACCCCCCAATGGCTGCCCTTCAGGAACTCGCAGACCGCACAAAGGTGGACGACGCCAAGGTCTATATCGATACCGACGCAGGTGCCGACACCGAGGCGGCCGATGGCTCCGAGCAGAAGCCCTACAAATCGCTCGCATATGCGTACATCCAGAACTTCGAGAAGCCGACCCCGACATACTTCACCCGCGCCTCTGCGACCGGCGCTGGAGAGGATGAGGCTGCCCGTCTAGCTTGGAAGGAGCCCCTAAGAGCGCCGTAAAGAAGGCTCAGGGCGCGCTTGACTCGCACAAGAAGAAGGTCACAAAGCAGCGACAGCTCGCGGCGGCCGAGGAGGAGAAGAAGAAGAATAAGCTCCAGGCGCTCGAAGACGCCAAGAAGATTGTCTTGAAGGAGGACTCGTCCCTCCCGCAGGCGGTCAAGATCACCATTGGCGACAAGTCGGTCGAACTCGGCGATGCTGGAAACAAGGGAACCCGCGTCAAGGTGTACGGAAGGATTCACAGGTTGCGACCGCAGAAGCACGCGACCTTCATCACCCTCGTCGACGGCTACGGTCACCTCCAGTGCATCCTCCCCACCGGTGACCTGACCAAGAACTATGACGCTCTCCAGTTCGCCCAAGGCACATCACTTCTCCTCTTTGGAGAGTTGAAGAAGGTTCCTGAGGGCCAGTCGGCCCCGGATGGCCGCGAGCTTCACGTCGACTATTACGAGCTCATCGGCTCTGCCCCGCCGAAGAGGACGCCATCACCAACAAGGTCTCCTTGTCTCAGAACCAGTGGGACGCGCAGATGCTTGACAACCGACACCTCGTCCTCCGCGGCGACAACGCCGCCGCCATCATGAAGATCAGGGCTGCAACCGAGTGGGCCTTTGCCAAGACCTACAAGGAGATGAAGTTCGTCAAGGTCTCTCCTCCCGCGCTTGTACAGACCCAATGCGAGGGTGGTGCCACTCTCTTTAGCCTCCCTTATTACGACGAGACTGCCTACCTCACCCAGTCTTCTCAGCTCTACCTCGAAACCGTCCTCCCTAGCCTTGGGAACGTGTACTGTATCGAGAAGTCATTCCGTGCCGAAAAGAGTTTGACCAGACGCCACTTGTCCGAATATAGCCACGTCGAGGCCGAGCTGGACTTTATCAACTTTGAGGGGCTCTTGGAACATCTCGAGGAGATCATGTGCCGTGTCATTGAGAATGTTCTCGATGATCCCGAAATCGCGGCGCTTGTCAAGGAGCTTAACCCTGACTTCAAGAAGCCCGAGCGACCGTTCCTCCGAATGAAGTATACCGACGCTATTGACTGGCTCAACGCCCAAGACCCTCCCATCCTCAATGAAGATGGCAACCCCATGCCTTCGGCGATGATATCGCCGAGGCCGCCGAGCGAAGGATGACGGATATCATCAACAAGCCAATCTTCCTCACCCACTTCCCTGTTGAGATCAAGGCTTTCTACATGAAGAAAGACCCTAACGACCTCAGGGTCACTGAGAGCGTCGACGTGCTCATGCCGGGCGTAGGCGAGATTGTTGGAGGTTCTATGAGGATGGAAGGATACGAGGAGCTTCTCGAGGCGTATAAGAAGCAAGGCATTCCTGCCGAAGATTACTACTGGTACACTGACCAGCGCAAGTACGTTGATAACCACGGAAAGATCCGACCCATCTGGATTTGATTGAACCTAAAAGCTAACAATTCTTTTTCTCCAGGTATGGTACTTCCCCCATGGAGGCTACGGGTTGGGTCTGGAGCGATTCTTGGCCTGGATGGCCAACCAGCACACTGTCCGCACCACTTGCATGTACCCCCGTTATATGGGCCGCTGCAAGCCTTAAACAGACATCATTATAGTGAGAGGGAGGCGTTCAGGATGATCCGATAGTACAAAGCATCGACGGGCTCGGCCAAGACCTCCAACGGTAGTCCATCGGACGGCGAGGGGTGCTGTTGAGGGCGGTCGCAGCTTCGTTTAGAAAATACCAGCACATCTACTATCTGATATAGTGTATCTATCGCAGTATTTTCGTGTCCGAGACAATTGCTTCGTGATCACCCGTAGTCCCTTGCCCTCCCGTGGAAACGCAGAGTTTCTTCTTTTCCAAACATCAGACACGATGATGTTCCCTTGGTCTCCGAACTACAAGCAACAAGTCATGAAGGGAGCCTTTGATGCAGATTCTGGATGCAGGAAAGCTATTCAGTGATGTCTTCTTGTTCTAACAAGAAAGAAAGAAGCGATAATGTCGAGAACGCTGTAGGATGGTGGACGAGTGTCAGGCAAATCTCTACCTGTTTTCTTGTCCCTACAGGACAAGAATGAAAAGCTGATAAACACTCTTGAGTTGGTTTGCTTTTCATGGGCAATGCGACTGTCCACACACTACCAAAAAGAAAGAAAAAAAAAAAGCACAACAAACCAGGAATTCTCTATTTTGAGGTCCGGCGAGGAAAGATATAAAAGCAAGGTGCTTAAAGATATGGTTAGACGAGAAGAATCGGAAAAAGGAAAGAAAAGGAAAAGAGCATGTGGGGACGGCAAAGGACCGGGTAGGGTCGAGCTAGCATCTCCTGGTACTTGACATAAGGACGATGGAAAGCGCTTGGTGGGCATAAGAGGGTGAGCTACGAAAAGGGAGATATTGGCGAGGCGGCAGAGATAGTAGTTCATATGCGGGGTAGAATTCAGACGGAAGGTGGGTTTCAGTCCACTGCATGTGTGAGCGGTTTTCCCCAGAGCTTCAGATGATTGAAAACAAAAAACGCCAGCGACAGGGCCTCCTCGTTCCCAAGGCCCGTTGGGAACTGGGATGGAATCGTGCGAGATCCGCACTTGGCAACAAACCACACAACTCTTGTCAAACCTCGACAGCTGAGCCTGAGCCCTAGCCGACCCTGATTCGGAGAGAAATGATGCCCTTCAAATGGGGTGGGAAATAGGCCCGAGCAAGTCTAGCCGGCGAAAGTGGGTGGCACGGCGCGCTGGTGTTTCAATGGAGATCGACTCGCCCGGCGTGCGTCTGGTTCCCAGGCGATCGTGAAGCTTGAGCACGTTTGGCTAGGGGGTCACGAATGGCCTCAATGGCAGGTTGAGTCTCAAGGGGTGGTGTGCAGAAAGTGTCGAAAAGGGTTCTTGGTCTTGGGCTCCAATTGCCCCTTCCGAAGGCTACTTGTCGCAGTGGAGTGCAGCTTTCCTGCTTCATTGGCCCTCTCTCTCCCTGCAGAGCAGGGCGCCTTGGAGCGCCAGCAGTGAAAGGGGGCCGATTGAATGGGTTTGTCTGTTGGTGTCGTGTTTTGGGTGGTGGGGAAAAGGAGCTGGCCTGAGCCACAGCCCATTCCAAGCAACTTGAACGTCCCACGAAGTGCATCAATATGTGCATAAAAGGGGTCAAGGATCGATGACCAGACTCCTTTCCTTCCCTTCCCCCTTGCCCCCTTGAGGGTGAATTCACTCCATCAATGGATTGAAATCCAAGTCGAGGACCCTCGTCCATTGGAGGGTTGGTGTACGGTATACATGGTGCTTAATACACGGGATATCAAAGGGGATACTTGCACTGTTGGAGGTGGAAGGCAGGGGCTGAGGATACGTTGGCACTGAGCGAGGACTGATAATTATTACCTTGCGAAATAAAAAATGTTCACCATCCGGCATTCCATCAATTATCGACCGAGTCATCGGTAGTTTGAAACGCGGCTACTTTGGCGGCGATGGGGATGCATCCGCTGGCATTTCCTGTTCAAGGATAGGACGCGATGCACTAGAGGTTTTCCAGCGAGACCTCTCCCTAAAATTCACAATTATAGCCGAGATCCTCCATTCAAGGTGAACATATCGTCAACCGATAATGTACCGAGTACGCGAGCGCGAGAGAACACAGCAGGGTCGAGATCAATCGAGAGGGATCCGGTGTGGCTGAAGGGCAAGGACCCATCCCCTGCGTTGATTGATGTCCTTTAGAGCAATTTTCTGGTGGAAGGAGAAGGGGGATGAGCAATTATGCTCGACCCAGCCGCCTGGAGAACGGGCAGGGGGCAAGCGGGTCTCCCAGTACAAAATTCGTTCGGGCCAGGGGTCCTGTCAAGGTAGCGTTCGGGGCATTGGATGGTCTTGGTTCCTTGACACGGATGGTGAGACCAGGTGCCATCATTGATCCTTATTATTCTTCCCGATGTTCGAATCAGGTCGAGAGGAAAAAGAACCCAAAAAAGGGCAAGTTGGAGCGAAGCGCAGTGCCTTGGAGAAGGAAGAAATTCCTTTTCGGGGGCTTGGATCGCCGCTGGTGTTCCCGCGCACCTTCAGATCTGATTGATGCCGTGTGGTGGCTTGGATGTGCATTTGCGATCTACATTGGTTCATTGTACAAGTATTCGGGGACGAGAGAATGGGAGGGAAGCCCAGTCCCACCTCGTCTTTGCTTTGCCAGCGCCACATCTTTGAAAAGAACGAAACAATGATTGGGACCCGAGATGTGATACGAGGCATCCAAGATGGGACTCTCCATCGAGCCACCTGAGTGAAATTTAATTGCACCGTCCCAAGGGGTCGAGATTTGGACGGAACACAGTAGGCACCTTGTTGAACCCCTTCTCATGTAGTGTAGTAGAGGAGGCAAGTGAAGGGGGAAGGAAGACAATATTACTTCGTACCATGGGATTAATGGATCCATTCCAATGGTCCTTCCTGCTCTGGTGGCCAAAATGAGAAATCCAAAATCAATTGAAGTGCCATGGCAAGATCCCCACACTTGCTGGGCCAGAATCCACTCTGACGTGGACTTTTCCCTCCCCCGGCATCCATCATTTACAGTGATGCACAGCCAGTGAATTGGGTATCATGATTGCCAATGTCTGTCCTCTGGCCCGAATCGGCGTAAAGAAAAGATCCATGGATGACTACCGAGGTAGGAGAACATTGAAGGCAATGGTGACAGGTTCCACTTTGCTTTCCCAGACGATCAAGACGATGTAAGCAGGCAGGAAGGCCGCCACATCCCCGGGCTGCTAAAGTCTTCAGCGTCGAGACAATCGATGCGTGACGGGCAGACTGCGGGACCATAATGCAGATGCACAACCCCCAGGGCTTTGACCTCGCAAGAAACACCATCAACATCAATACAGATGGGCATAGGGATAATACTTGTATGATTCATGTGTGGAGCTCGGAGTCGTGGATGAACGTGCGGTAATACACGGGGTCGAGGATAGAGTGGGTGGAGATGCCCGAGTCGAGTAACCCCTTTGTTGTGTCCAGAGAAAATCAATCGTGTGCTATTATCATTTGATGCCATTAATAGTACTCCGGAGCTCCTGGCTGGGGTCCACGGACCTGTGCCTCCTCCTTATGGGGGCCTTTTAGGAGCTGGGCTGGCGACAAGTACAGTACAGTCCAGTACAGTGTTAAGTGCGTACATGTACGCTCAGAGTAAGATTGAGGCACCTTCAAATCTACTGGTCTGTACTATTGGTTGTGTGCAATGGCATTGTCCGATGTTCACTTCATTGAGCGGAGCACAACGTAAGCATCGCCCATAATAAAGTGCTTGGGGCCAAGTTTCTCTTGGCCTCTCCCATCGGCTCAAATAGCACTCTTTTCTCAGGAGACTAGCCGTAGCGAAAGCTCACCGAGATGCGCCACAGTCGATCTCAAAGTGTTGCCCTTATTATGGACAGCGACCGAACTTGCCATTTTAGTGCGAGTCTTTTTAGTCCTTCATGCAGACGTCTGGAGCCGACGGTTTGGAGGAACAACTGGAGCCGACTAACGCGCACTAGCCGCCAAGTCAGGGAAAGGGCCAAATTCAAGACTGAGGTTAAACAACGCCTCAGGCTGGACAGGACAAGCCAGCCTGGTATGCATGGAATGTGGGCGGATTAAAATAGACAATTTTGAGGTTGAGCACAAAGAGAGAATGACTTTGTTCGATTACCTCTTGTTTTATAAGCCTCAATGTCGCCCTTTGAATTACGTTCACTCCATCCATGATATTACCTCGTGCCCGTTTTTCGAGTTGAGCCAACACGCGAGCAGAGCAGGGGAACGGAGGTACCATCAATTCATCAATGTTGTCGGTGAATTGGCGGCCACACAGTGCTGATCAACGGCCTGTGAACGGCAAAATTTCCAAAAGGAGCATCCCATCATCAATCAATGTGTGGCGGAACCCTTCCCCAAATAAGAATTTCCCCATTGCCGCACCTCGTCGACCTTGCGGTTTGTGACCTTGGGCTGATACCAACGGGGTGATATGGAGGTTTCGGACAGTTGTTGGAAGTCGCTATTACTCGATCTTTTTGCTCAGTTCGTTTCTCCACCCATTCTTCAAGCTAGCTCCCGTTGATCGCTGTCTCATGGCAGAGCCTTTTGAAGATGTCGATTCTTCACGTTGATACAGCCCCCTTACGCGCCGGTCAGCTCGTGGCGGGTGCCTTGTGCGTTTCTCCCCCAATTACTTTTTATGAGGAAAAGGTTTCTGGTTATCACACCCATGGATCTATCTATACGTGTATTCTTGTTATCTTATCCAATCTTCACCGGAAGGAAGACTGCAGGTTCTCTCGGCCGGCCACCAACCTGTCGTCGTGCGATAGCTGGAAGAGCGTTTCCGCTATATCTTGAGCCCCAGCCCCTTGGGCAAAGGAGGAGAGTATACCTCGTACAACCAGGGACACTTGCGTGTGGTCGATCTCGCTTTTGTCCTTGTTAAAATTGCCCAGTTTTATTGGAGGGAATCTCGATGGGTACTCTCCCAGGCTCAATCAAGCCAGTGCAACACAGTGTAATCACATCCGCCGGGCTGCGTGCTGTACATGGCGCCAGCCTCGACCTTCACATTCAAGTATCCTCAGCAGTACCAAATTGGGACAGAGCTGGACTGGGGGCGAGGTACACAGACTGTAGCAATCGCGACATAGCCACGGTCCAGTACCTGCATTCCCAAGCCTGCCCAGGTACTTCCCCATCCCCTGACCAGCTCATTAAACTAGGGTGGCCATTAGCACCTTCCTCCACCTTTTTTGGGTTGGCATTGAACTAGAGCCCCCAAATCGAATGCAGTGCTTGCTCTCTCACCCCTTTCCCCCAATCATTCTTGTTGGCCGACTTGGCCCTGCTCGTCGCCTTCCATCCTCCTTCATCTTCTTTCCTTTCACAACCCATTTTTATCCTTACCTTTCCATTCATTCTCTCGCTCGTTTGTTCCCTCGCTTTTTGGAGCTGCATTCCTGACTTCTCCTCAAGAGTCGTCTTCTTTATTCTTCTTTTTCTTCTTCTTCTTGTATTTCTCGCCTCTTCGACCTTGGCCATACCTAGGCACGCACCTTCATATTCTTTCCCTCCCTTCTATAGTATTTTTTTCTTCCTCTTCTCTTCTCTGGCCAACCTCCGGTGCAAACCCGCATCTCGGACCTTTTCACCACCTCCTCCTGTATCCCGTGTTATCCTCTACAGCAGACCGAAAGCTATCGAACTCGACCCTCCTAGACCATCTTGTTGCGCCTGATCTATTTGATCAGCTTCCCGTCGAACCTCGCCCCCTTGGCCTCAAGCCCATTCATGCTCGTCGCCGTTCACGGTCCGCGCCTTGCCCCCTTTTACCGACTAACGTCTTTTAATTATCTCGAGATTCGGTGCCGCTTATTGTCTTTCCAAACTTGTCGTGCTCAACACACCGTTTTCGAACGTGCCACGCCTCTCTTGATTCTCAAATCTCGTTATATCTCCGATACCGAACATTTGACCTCGATTCATCTGCATATACTTCGATCTTGCTTGTCCTCCGTTTCGCTATACCTACATCTGTACCTTGGATCTCGTAGTGAGATTACTGGTTCCTCTAGGACTCTCCACTATCGCTGAATATCATCAGCGCCCTCCTTTCGCTTCGGCCTGCTTCCGTGCCTCTTACCGGGCACGCTTAATCCGTCAAAACGGCGGTACTTTCGCAAATTGGTCGGGACTCCCTTGTCCCTCCGCATCTCCTCGCCGGGATGCAAGACCTCTCCGGACCAGTTGGTGGTGGCCCTAGCGGTGCCCCTGGTAACCGCTTCCCCGGCCATGCCTCGAAGCCCTCGAACAGTGATACTGGCTTCTCTCACGGTGCATTTGCGTCCAACATCCCAGGGTTCGGTGAACGGCACCCGCGCCGTGCCAATGTCCCTTCCATCAACACCCAGCCTTTGTCAGTTCAGCCGCAAGTTCCCAGCGGCGCTGACTTGGCCACCCCGGCACCGCTTTTGATATGCAGTTCACTCCACTTCTTCCTTCACAGTTGTTGCTTGGCTCCCCTTTCCAACCCGGCACTCCGGCCGCCTTCGCCAGTCCTCAGTTCCAGAACCATCCTGCCTTCCAGCAGGCCCAGCAGAACAATGCCCAGCAGCAGAATGGAGTGGGCAGCCCCCAGAGCGTTTCCCCCAGGGATACCAGGCCATAGTTTCTCCCTCGACCTATGGGGCTCCCCAGTTCTACAGCCCCCAGTCACCCAGCGGCTCTTACAGCAACCTTCAGATGCAAATGCAGCCCACCTCGCCCGTCTCCATGGCTCCAGGCCTTGTTTCGGGGACGAGCCGCACCGTCTACCTCGGGAACATCCCCCGACACTCCCGCCGAGGAGATCTTGGGCCACGTTAGAAGTGGCCAGATCGAATCTGTCCGCCTTCTTCCGGATAAGAACTGCGCCTTCATCTCCTTCCTTGATGCAAGCTCCGCAACCCACTTCCACTCCGATGCCATCTTGAAAAAGCTCTGCATCAAGGGCCAGGACATCAAGGTGGGCTGGGGCAAGCCCTCGCAGGTTCCCACCTCTGTTGCTCTCGCCGTGCAGCAGTCGGGCGCGTCTCGTAACGTGTACCTTGGCAACCTCTCTGAAGAAGTGACGGAGGAGGAGATCCGCGAGGATCTTGGCAAATTTGGGCCCATCGACACGATCAAGCTCGTAAAGGAGAAGAACATCGCCTTCATCCATTTCCTCTCCATTTCCAATGCTATCAAGGCCGTCTCTCAGCTCCCCCAGGAGCCCAAGTGGCAGGCTCCTCGACGGGTTTATTACGGCAAGGATCGATGCGCTTACGTCTCCAAGACACAGCAGCAGAATGCGGCCCAATACCTCGGGATTGCCCCTGGACATGCCCACATGCTGACCGGCGCCGACCGCGAAATGATTTCGAATGCCCTGGCTCAGCAGTCCGTTGCCGCCGCCGCCGTTGCTACCGCCGCCGGTGGTATCAACAACCTCGGCAACCGTACCATCTATCTCGGAAACATCCATCCCGAGACCACGGTCGAGGAAATCTGCAACGTAGTCAGGGGTGGGCTTCTTCACCATATTCGATACATCCCCGATAAGCACATCTGCTTCGTCACCTTTATTGACCCAACGGCTGCCGCCTCCTTCTACGCCCTCAGCAATCTTCAAGGTCTGATGATTCATAACCGACGCCTTAAGATCGGCTGGGGAAAGCACTCTGGTGCCCTTCCTCCTGCCATCGCCCTAGCTGTCAGCGGCGGCGCCTCCCGTAACGTGTACATTGGCAACTTGGACGAGTCATGGACTGAGGAGCGCCTTCGCCAAGATTTCTCCGAATACGGCGAGATTGAGCTTGTCAACGCTTTGAGGGAGAAGAGCTGTGCCTTTGTCAACTTCACTAACATTGCAAACGCGATCAAGGCCATCGAGGCCGTCCGCAGCAAGGAGGAATACCGCAAATTCAAGGTGAATTTCGGCAAGGATCGTTGCGGAAACCCCCACGACAGCTTCAGCAGCAACAGCAACAACCGGCTCAGTCTCCCATGAACGAGAGCATCCCCTCGCCTCCCGCTCCCAGCTCCCAGAACGGCGGCTCACCGACCAACTCATCGTCCCCTCAACCTGCCCTCTTTAACTCGGGCTCCAACCCCTTGACCATGTATCTCAGCCACATCGCCCACCAGGCCCAGCACCAGCAGAGCCAGCAGCATCAAGTCTTGGCTGCTCAGCAGGCTGCGCTTTTGGAACCGCTCAATCATCACCCAACGAAGTGTCCATCGAAGTCTCCCAACAAGGGCCGATCTCGGGCCATCAGCAATCGGCTAGCGTTTCCAACGGATACGGCGCGAACGGGCCAACGCACGGAGGTTCGACCACCATTGGTGGTCTCCTAGCCCCGGCCCTCGTGGCCAGCACAACCGTGCCGTGAGCCTGCCAGTCCTCGCGCCCGATTTCCAAAATGGCGGTACCAGCCCCAACAGCGTGGCCGGCAATGGTCCTGGCGAGGGTGAACGACGCGGACATCAATACCAGGCTAGCTACGGCGGCATGGGTTCCGGTTTCGGCCTTGCCATCCAGGGAGGACTAAACGGATGGGTCGAGGAAGAGGTTGCCCACTAAATGAGTGAAGATTGGCATATCTCGTGTCGGGTTCACATATTTTTTTAATCTCTTTGTTGAAAGCATTTTGGAAACGGGGAGGAAAACCTTGACGGGAAGATTGTCTAATTGTTGTAATTGTTATGGTCCACTCTTTCTCATTTCACCCGCTTCTTCTCTCGTCTTGCCTCTGTTTCCCCCTTTTTTGTTTATATCAACACAAAACAATCTTCTCTTTTTTAATTCTCTTTACTGTTCAACAACACCTATCTTGCACATGTTTCTTTTGTAGTTCACACCCACTGTTGTTGTTCTTTCACTTCTTTCACTTTTTTTCCCTTCTTGATATGCTTCGTTTCTCTCACACCTCTTCCCCCAGCCTTGGGAAAACTTCTTTGTATCATGCTTTTGGATCTTGTTTGACCACCTTACTATCCTTTTCTTTTTCTTTTTTTCTTCCCATATTCTTCTATCCTTGGGTATCTTCTGTCTCAGGTTTGGAAGACATGGCCACACAGATTGGACCTCCGCCTCGTGCTGGACTTTAAACTCAGGATGTGAGTGTTCTAGATTGGAAGAAGACGGCCGAGCACAAAGTTATCCTCACCCTAGTGACGATAAAAGGGTTTGTGGGAATGGAATCACGCGATAGGAGAGGCGCGTGAACACGGGGCAGCAAGGATGGACTAATGGGGTAATGGAGCGTCGTGAGTGAGGCTGGGCTCCCATGAAGAGATTGAGGCCTAGTAGGGGTTCAATATATCTACACTACGTACACTTCAATTTTTCCGTTATCGTGTCAATGTTGCTGTTGTCCAGGCTTGCCGTTAGTGCAACAACAGAAAACCAGAACGGCCCCTTCCTTTGGGGTCTAGTCAACTCGGATGATGTGTATAGGCTCGAGTATCCGTCCTCTCGTGTCAATGGGGTTCAAGGCAGTTTCTAAGGTTAAGTAGAGTCTATTGGTCTATCTTTTGAGATGTAGAAGAAAGGGTGTTGCTTTTATAACATGCTTTTCTTTTCGACGTCAACTCTTGGGGCGAAGTGCACACCTGATCTTCCGCGTCACTCACCCTTCTACACCTAACTTAGTTGCAGCCTGGCTCCACGGCGCAATTAGTCGAGTCTTCGCCTCATGCCCCGGGGAGACAGCGTTTTCCCGCGGGCGAGGGACATAGGATAGACTAGAGGAGCGGGCAGCTCTTGGAACAAACAACGCATAGCAAGGCAAGTTGGGGTGAGGTAAGAGGTAGCAAGAGGCTCGTGGGACGGGGAAGCGAAGAGACAACAGGACGGCCAAGACAATACGGGGAAGGGCAACCCAAGGAAGAAAAAAAGAAAACAAAAATACTATTCAAGCTCATGATCAAATGCAACGGAGGTCAGTATCCCAGCAAGTCTGGGAGCATAACGATAAAATAAAGAAGTTTTTTTGGAGCACCGAGAACATGGGACGTAACAGGGAGGAGGTGTTAATAGCCAGCCGGCTCTGGCTTCTCGGGGAAGGCCGGGGCATCAATGTTGGCCCTGCACTCGCGACGCCAGTTGGTGGGCGTGAACTTGTCGACGATGGACTTGAAGGCGGACTAAAGTGTCGCGGGTTGGGGAGGGCGAACAAACCCCCGCTTGAAATTAGCCCTCAGCCAGTGGATGGCAACCAGATAATAGTTGGAGATGGAGAAAAGAGGGAGGGGGGAGAAGATAAAGAGGTTGGAACATACCAGTGTGCAAAAGCTCACGTCGCCGTCGAGATGGTTGCCGGATTTCCTACAGCCAGGAAGGACAATGGGCTCGTCGTTGTACCGGATCCGCACGTACCAACCGTCGAGGGCCTCTTGCTCCTTGGGACCCCACCTTTCCTGGTCAAGGGTGGAGATGCGGCCCTTGGGCGTCCGTGTCAGCTCCTCGTTGATGGCCTTGTCGGCGTGCAGGGGTTCTCCTTGCGCGAGAACAGCTCAAATGCGATGTGGCTCGAGAAGAAGGGCCACTTTTTGAGGGCGGAGCGATCGCCGAGGCTGGTCAGGGTGGCGGCGAGGGTGGTGTCGTGGCACCCGCTCATGGCGAACTTGACGGGCCGCTGGGTGTCGCCGCGGGGGTCAGCTCGGGGGTCGACGCCGGGGAGCTGGGCGGAGGAGACGACCATGCGTTGGGTAATGTCGCCGAGGAGCGAGCCGATGCCGAGTTTGCGGTACTCGTTGGACTCGGCGTAGCCAAAGAACCACTCTTCGATGGCAAGCTTCTCGCCGATCTCGAGGAGCTTGGGGTCGTAGAACTCGGGGGCAGGCGGGTGGCAGGCCCGTGGGCGAGGGTGGCGTTGATGGTGTCGATGACGCCGACGAGGCTGGGCTTGGAGTCGATGGCGACGTTGGGGCTCTGGGGGCATCCACTTGCCAATCCGGTTGGTGATGTAGCGTAGCTCGGGGGAGTCGTTCCAGCGCTGGGCGGCGCGGAGGGAGAATTGGCGGGCGAGGTGGGCGAGGCGGCGGCAGTGCAGGTCGTTGGGGTAGAGGGTCTCCTGGGCAGGATTGCGGGAGATGATGGCCGGGGCGGGCAGGTTGGGGGCACGGCTCTCATCGGGGTAGAGGCCGAGGAAGGCCTGCTGCAGGGACTCGCGCGCACGGGGGATGGGGGTGGCGCGCAAATACATCCAGTCGGTGGAGGTGATGGTGCCCGGGAGGAAGCGCAACTTGTCGACGTACAGGTCCCGGAGGCGGGCGCCGAGGGCGTGGGTGGACTGGCGGCCCTGGTCGGTCAGGGTGCCGTTGTCGCAGATGCTGTCGACGTTGCCGTGGGGGCCCCAGACGAGCTTGGGGAGTCGTCGCCGTCCGAGGCAAACGTCTCGAGGTGGCGCTTCCACTCAAAGTTAGTGAAGCCGTTGGTGTGGCCGTTGAGGAGAGCGGTGCGCAGGGTGGTGACGTCTCGGCAGTAGGGCCAAAAGGCCGGCAGCCCCGTGTTCTCGAACCGGGAGGTGATGGGGGTTCTCTCGCCGTGGCGGAGGAGGATCTGGACCTGGTGGAGCTCGAGGTTGGAGGGTAGAGGGCCCGGAGCTCCGCCGGAGAGTAGGGCTCCCGCGGCTTGAGGGACGTCATGACTGGATAAAGGCAAGGGGCCCCGGGGGTGTGTACTAGGACAGCGGCTATGGCCGTAGCGCGAGCAAGCGGCGCGGGGTTCGGGGGAAGGGGCGGAGGAGGAAGAAGGGAGGAAGGGCCTTCGGCGTGGGGAGCCGAAATCAAATCTCTCTTTATGTGTCCCTCTAGGTCCCGGTGAGGCTGTCAAGGAGCTATCCAGAGGTCTCGGAACACACGCTACAAGCTCAGGCGAGGGCACGGAATCAATCCCAAACCAAAAAGACGACCAACGAAGGTGAGTGGCTGAGCAAGAACCCCGAAAGTGACCGAAGCAAGTGTGTAAGATATGTAAATTCGAGGGGACTTTCCCTCTTGTTTCTTGAAACGGGGGCTTCTTTTTTTTTCTTTTTTTTTCTTTTTAATGTTTTGGGAACAAGGTGAGGGTTTTCTGGTTGTGAAAACTACCCTACTCTTACGAGTTTGAAGATGTTGTGAACGCAAGGATCAGGAAGGGTGATGTCAACGCAAGCACCTGCGTCGACTCATCTTGGATGGACTCATACTGTGCCGGGCATGTATCCCCGGTTTAGATCCTCGGCCGGCATCTTGTGTGGTTTTTTTTTTTTTTTTTTTTTTTCTCGACCACCGAGCTTCCAACCTCTCTCTGTCTGTTTCCCGCGCTTTCTCTCTCCAGATCGTTCCTCCAGAAGTTGACTCTTATGTCTGTGCGATTTGCCTAGCCCACTTCAACCTCTCTCGCTCTCTCGAAGCGTCCGGCCCCCGCCCCCTTTCTTCACGGCATCAGTCATAACCCCGTCCACCCGTTCGGGTTAGAGAGTCAAAGCTAGCCGGGCCCACGACGCTAATTGGTGCAAAACCCCTCCTCATGCGAAGGAGCTCCAACCTCAACCGGCGTCCAAGGGAAAGACTCACCGGGAGTACGTGGTCTAGTCGGGTGGTATGCTCTTTCTTGCTCTTGCACTGATTGACCGCGGTGGGTCCAAGTCCGTATGCAGCGGCGGGGGAAGGTACTGCTTTGTGGGCGGATACGGTAATGGTTTATCTAATATGAGGGCTGCTCCTTCTTCAGCTTCCAAAGGACAGGACGATGCACCCAAGCCAAAAGAAAGAGAGATTGTGTGGTCATCCGTTGATGATATGGTGGGCGGTGGGGGTGCAGCGGTCCAGGGAACGTCAATCGCGCGCCAAAGAGCTTCTCAGCAAGCTGAGGGAGGCTTGGGAGTGTGAACAGGCACAAGCCCACACGCCGAACAATGTGGGGTATGCATGTGGGAGGGAATTCGGGTGCCTCAATCCGTGTCGATCATCATTGACCTATTCCTTGCATTTTCCACACACCATGGGACCTTGCCCTTGCGAAGGTCGAGGCCCAGCTAAAAGGGCCCAATCTACGAAGAGAAACTCGGTTCTTTTCTCGAATGCTTGTGACACATCTTGACCCGAATCGGCATTCAACAAAGGGTCAGAGTAATCTTAAGACACCCCCAAGATAATCAACCAGAAATATAAAAAAAAAAAAAAAAAAACAAGAGACTAGCAACCCTGATAGCTGCGCGAGACAATCAAAGAGCAGCTAGGTCACGGACCCATGCGCTCTCCAACTCCCTTGGAGTCGACAGGCAAAGGAGCGGCTCAGACTTGGAGCATGCCAGCATTGGAGCCGCCCCACGGTGGATCACGAGAGGCAAAGGGCAAGCCCTGGGCCCTTTAGGGCGTCGGAAGCGGCACCCCGACAAGTGCAAGTACGTTTTCCAAGAGTGATGATCCCCGAGTATAAATTTCAATCATGGGAGTATTACGACCCTCCTCGACCCTCATCCATGCCTCGAGGTCGGAGTTGGTCGCCAGCAAACGGCTGCTGTATGTACCCCCTTGTTGACCCTTGTCCATTAGTTGAGCCTCGTCACTAGGTATGGATCTCTTGATTGCATTGTTCTCACCATCGGCGAGAAGGAGCAATAATAGTCTACCTCTCTCTATCAGCTAATACGAACCGGTCCAAAAGGATTGACATTCGGGAACTATCAATTCTTCTATCTACATGACTATTCTTTCTTTTTCTTTTCCCCTTCACTTTCCCCTTCTTCAGGTACCCTTGTTAAAACTTTCTCATTGATCCTTCCCCTCACCTTCCTGATGGAGTGCAGGGTAGCACTGGGGCTCTCTCAGCTGGCTGAAGGGAGATGAGGTCTGGACAATCAACAAGTCGCCAGTTCCCGTTTACTGCGATTGATGCCGGCCACTCTCTCGAGTAAGGCGGCTCTCAAGCACGAGTAAAGGGGGGCGGACATCGATACCAACACAGGTACGCGCATTATCATTACATCGTACAATGATACTGGATGGAACACTGCGTTCAGCAGCTGCGAACAGGTTTGCCGCACCTCACGCCCTTTCCCTCCAACAGCCTCGGCTCATCCTTCCTCAATTGCGCTCTTTGACCAAGCCACTCCGAGCACGTCACAGTGTCCATCCAACCTAACACCATCCGGATTGGGAGCCCTCAGCCGTTGGGTCTCTTTTTCCTTACAGGTGGAGATGGGGGGACTGAATGGGGGCGAGCTGGAGCGCTTGATGCAGAGGGTAGTGTACACTAGAATGAAGAGGAGGACGAGGAGGGGGCTTCCGGAGAGGGGATTTGGCGGGGTGGAGCGTGACTACGCCTTCACACTTTTTAGTGTCGGCTTCCTGTTTGTTTCGTGTTGCGAAGCCGTTTGTGGCGCTAACTTCAGGCTTGGCCCGGAAGGGAGTAGCCCTGTCCCCATCATGGCCCCGTCTCCTGCCCTGGGGCCCCTTCACCTTTCCTGTCCAAAGAAGCGTGCGTTCGTTAGCGGCACAGCTCTTGATGGCTTGATGGGGGGGCGAAGAGCTATTGACGGTGACAGTCACGACCCAACGCCATTCTTTCAAAAGTTATCAATGGTGTACAAGGTACCACGGTACTTGGACTCTGTGCCCAAATCTTGAAAAGGAAAAGGACGATTCTTGTCGGACGTCTGGGTTTGGCTTCAGTCCCCTCAAGTAGGATGGAAAATGGAGAAAAGAACCGGGGAAAGGCATTAACGAGAACGGAGCCGAAGAGGAGAAAGAGGGGGGGAAGGGAAGATGGGGACGGGGGGATTGTGTAAAGCCAGAAATTGTCTTCAAATGTTCCTTTTTTTTTAATCATCAAGGGTATAATCCCGCCCATTGATACAGTTTAGTATACAGAATGTCGTTCCCTCTTATCCACCCCAACGAAGAGGCGCCGTAGCATAAAAGTCGTCATCATGGCGAACCGAACTAACTGAGGAAGAGCAAGAGCCAGAGTTGAAGCGAACTTGTAGAAAAGGGGAGGGGAGGGGAAGGAAAGAAAGAAAGAAACAAAGACAGGCGAGGGGGAAATTTCCGTGACTCGAGAAGAAAAAAAGTGTCGAGCGGACGGAGCTCGTAGCCAGCTCTCGGAGCTCTCTGGCGGCTTTGAATCAGAAATCTATCGTGGAATGTGTGTAAGGGCAGGAAAGAAAAGAAAAGGAAAGGAAACCCCACCAAACTCCGTCGCATCCCGGCCCGCATTCTTCCCTTTTCTGAGAAAAGAAGCAAATATAAAAGACAAAACAAGGAAAGGTACAAAAAGAAACCAGAAAAAGCAGCAATCATGTCCCCCTCGACTCAAAAAAGAAACAAGAAGAAACCAAGTCTAAACATGACATCAACGAGCCGCATTGGTCGGCGTCCCCTCTGCTTTGAAGATTGAATCATGGCCATAACCCGACAATTCGGCTTCTTCCAAGTCGGGTACCTCGTAGAAAAGTCGCGCATCGCCGTCTTTATCTGCCAGGCCATCTCAATCGCCTGCTTCGCTGCTCCCATATCAACGAGCAGCAAGTCCGCATCGTAGCTCGAATAGGCCATATCATCCGCCCCTGCCCATATAGCTGGGATGAACACAAGCTCTTCTAGCGCCGGCATGCGCAGCCGAACGAGTTCCAAAACGTCTGCCGTAAGAGAGTGTACGTATTTACACCCTACCCGGAACACAGCTTCGTTGAGTGCGAGTCGCCGCACACGGGCGAGATCTTCTGGGCAACAGAGAGACATGGCTGTGCGGAACTGCGCTTCGGAAGCTCCAAAGCCCTCACGATAGCCAAAGTAAAGGATGTCCGAGTCAGGATTGAAGAAGATGGTCCCCGGCTGACGGTACATGCCGAACGCGAGGCCGTGGTGCCTAAGGGCCTCTCTGCGAGCCTCACGGCAGACGTGGAGGTTCGCTGGTGCATGGCAGGGGACACGCATTGGGGTAGTGTCGACAAGCTTGGAAATCGGTGGTTTTCGGTCTCTGAAGGAGACGGCGCGTCGATGTGGATGGGTACGATTCGCGGTTGGTGTAAATTAAGGTCCCATATAGTGAGACGAAGTTCTGCAGGGAGCTCTGGGAAGCGATGCTGTCATGATGAAAAACTCGGTTAGCTTTGGAAAGAACAGTCAAGCAACGAGGTGGGCTTGTGGCCAGGGCGAAGAGCAGAATATGAGTGACGGGAGGCCGGGAGAAGCAGAGCCCCTCACCCCGTGCTCCCCTTCCGCAATATGAGCTTAAGCCTAGGGCCAAAAGCTGCTATCCGGGATCTAGACACCGGGTCGCAATAGAGGCGTTTTTTTAAAAACAACGAAGGAGCTGTCCGCTACCAGGTGTGTGTGTGTGTGTGTGTGTGTGTGTAGGACAATAATGTACTTACGAAGAACTCGGACGACTGTGCCATTCTCTCCAGACCTAGGCATGCGCTGCCTTCGCCGCGTAAGTCCGCTTTGCGAAGGACAAGTTCTTTTGGTGCCCTCTCTTTCCGCGTTGTTAAATTAGTGGTGGACAATGCGCCTCAGAGCGATTGCGCCGCCGTCAACTCGTCCTTAAGCACGACAGGCGCCTGGGGTGCGGTTAAAAATCAGTCGTGGCCGGGGGCCGCAATTGTTGTCGAGAGAGAAAACTGTGGTGGGATAGTCGAATCGGTGGAGAAGGAGAGCCTCAGATGTCACTAGCGAAGATTGAGGAAGGAACGAGGGTGTCCAAGGTTTCGGAGCTAGGTGGAGAGGAGAGACGGGTGGGAATAAGGAGGGGGCGGCGGGGGAGGAGGGGTGACGATGTGGTTGAGTGCTTGGTTGACGAAGCATACAAGAGGAGAGCGATGACGAGCAAGTCGGAGAGTGGGAGAAGGTCGAGAAGCAACAGGGAGAAAAAGAGGGAAAAAAAGAGTGGGAGAGAAGGCAAGTTCTAGATAAAGGACAAGAATACAATGGGAAGAAAGGCGCAAACGCAGCGGAGACAGGCTAAGACGGGAAAGAGGTGCAAACTGGATGTAAGGAGGGAGGGATGGATGGGTGGATGGTTGGATGGTTGGACGGATAGTCTGCGTCGACAGAGGAAGGGTACCCTGGGAACGATGATATAGATGGTGATTTCAAGTACCACTGGCACCAGGAGGTAGTTCGTAGTATTAGATGCCGTCAAATTGTGGAGTGTAGTTTATGAAGTAGCGTGGCGTGGTGGGAAACGCGGCGGCTCGGCTTTGATAGGTTCGAGAGGGTGGCCTGCACAGGTCAAAACCCGGTGCCAAGTTGAATGTGGGGATGGAGCACGCTTGTAAATATATACATGGACAGCATGCACCTGGTCCAAAACTTTCTCAGGTACCCTCCTCCAAGGGGGGCCGTGGCTGAGAGACGGAGAGATGGAGAGAGCAGCTCGGCGCGAGGCCCGTGACTGCGAAAGGCTCAAGACTTTGGTTCGATGCGCGGCACATGAAGCCTGGCCAGGCAGACAAGGGTCGATCAACTTGCGAAGGGAGGGTTGGCGAGGGAGAGGGGGAGAGGGAAGAAAAAGCAAAGAAGAAGAAGGTCGAAACAGGACCAAGAGACACTGAAGAGAACTTGCAGAGAAGGCCAACAGAAACGGCGTTCCGCGATCAATGTTCATGGTTCGGACTATTCTCCACTCCCATGGGTGGATGCCGTCCTCTCTAAACCGCACCCCTCCTTCGATGCTCCCCTCCCAAGTCCGTTTGATGGCTCTATTCTTCTTGTCTCTTTGATTGCTCCCTGAGAACTAGCTTTGATGACGCACCCACCAAGAGAGAACATTGAAAGAAGAGAAAAATTAAACAGGGTCGAAAAGTACCCCCAGAAGGGGGCAGGTCACTCCCTCATCAATCAACGGTACGAAAGTACTTTGGGCTCATTCGTCCAGCTGCTTGTGCATACTGTCCTTGGCTTTTGGTCCTCGCAACATTCGATACCCATTCATCAATCTTCTGTTATTAGGGCTCTTGTGAAAGCATAAGTACCCAGGACAGGAGTCAGGTTTCTACTAGCCCGCCAATATCCTCGCCCATGGTGGGCGTTTTACCCGTGCTTTTTTCCCCTTCTTCCATTACTTGTAGCGCCTATTGGACAAGTAAAAACCCGGAAGTTCATCGTTGAAAGGATTGGTGCTGCTACTTCGTACATTGTAGAGAAAATTCCAACTAAGCCCCCACTGGGGCCTGAGTAGCGTTGGTCAGGGCATAGACTGTCGACCTGGGTGCCCATGCAAGCTGAATTTCGGCCGGATCACGGACGCGATTTGTCCATCACACAAGCCTGAACTTTACTTCACGGAAATAGCGCCCCCGCCAGGAGCCTTGGACGTGCTTTCCATATTCCGCTCAGTCTTATACACTAGATGTTTGCGGAAAGCGCCAGGGGTGTATGTAAGGCAGGGTAGCAGCTGAGCGCCCCCGGACAGAATGAGGGACCATCAGGAGTGGGCGAGGAGCATGTGGTTACCTTGAACGGGAAAATGGGTGCCTATCCGGAAGTGGAAACTCCTTGGGGCCGGCAGCTTTGGAGGCAAAGCATGTATGAACGCTGGTTGAGTAGGACGAAGCGGGAAATGGCATGTGGCGCGTCCCAGAACCCAAGTTCCTGGGTAGGAAGCAATGCATCAAAAAGCAAGTGTATGGCGATGTTGGGCAGGGGGGGCGTTCACCGGTGGCAAGAGTCTGGGAAAGGAAACGAGCGAGGAGGGAAGGGGGCCAAGGTGGAAGAGTGTCCAATGTCCAGCTGGCAAAAGAATCATCCCGAAGCTTTCATCCAGCTGAAGTTTGGGATGATACACCGAGCATGTGGTAGGGGACGCGCAGCAAAAGGGCGATTGGGGGTTCTGTGACGCGGCAAAGCCTGCAGCCACAACATCATCAGCAGAGGATCTCCCTTTGGACAGAGCACTGAGGAGCCTCGAACGCCTCGTGCACCTAGACCGTTAGCACATGCGGGAGCCCTTTGGTGCGGTTGCAGTCAAGGATCAGGCACAGTTGGGATGGGGAGTTGTTTGCAGGCCCTTTGTGTAGCCATTTCACCCTGCGTGGTGGGAAGCCCGTCGATGCAGGCCACAGGAGGGTAAAGCGTGGGAAGGAAAATGAGCTGCGATGCTACGCCATTTGATATTACAACGGCCGCCCTGTGGTGCAAGCAAGCTGACTTTCTAAATGATACAAGTAAAACGGGCCCTGCAGAAAGATTACCATCCGTCCTGCTGAGCGGGTTCCACTGTTGCTGACCCCCTTGCTCCCTTGATTGATCAGTTGAATATTAGGTATTATTATCAAAGTATTATTTAGGAGGGATCAGTACAGAGGGGTTGAGGAGGAGCAGGACAGCAACGCACGCTGTCTTCGGATGAATAGCCTTCCAGCCATCCACAGTGCATCCGTCTGAAGCCTGGAGTGAATGATTCCCGCGCCCGCAGATGCAGGCACTTTCTGCCCCTTCCATAATTCAAGACTGCGAGGTAATGCAATGGATAGATCCATCAATCTACAAGTATCTCACTGGATCCAACCTGATTGCTCGTCGCTCTGCTGTCTTCACAGAACATTGTGGGGCGGGCCAAAAATTGAAGGGAGCCTGCGCTCCTGTTCCCCCTCGCCCCGCCCTTCTTCCTTCAATGTGTGGGATGGGGGTTGATTTCTCACCTTTGGATGATCCAACTCGACTGTGACAAGTTGGAGTGATCTTCTCAACCAATGACATTAAATGAGTGAACGGAACAGGATATTGGGCAATATCAGTGCGGCGGGAGGAAACAGCACCTCGGAGCCGTCAACTGAATTAGGAATGAATTCAATACAGTGGCATGCGCTGGGTCATGTGGGAATTCACATAAACGGAAGGCGCCTCCGGGATAAACTATCCAGCAGCAACCTCGTGTTGGCTTGACCTGGGGTTCCGCGTGCGTACGGCCCCCTCCTTTCCATTACCCCCAGCCCGGGGTTGGTTCATAGCACGGCCAGAGGAAGGGGGCTATCAAGGCTATCAAGCTTTTTATTAAGATTGAAGGAGAGCAAAGTCGCATTGAGCTGAAGCCACGCAATTCGCGAGAGGCTTGCGTTCAAGTTGGTGGGCAGAAGAAGCTGGAAAAAGCTGACAGACTCGGTCCGTGGCAAGGTTGGGGAATGCTGTCCCGAGGCAAGCGTCGTGGAAAAAAAAAAAGCCTTCGATTCTTTCTCCTCCATGTCCCTTCTTTTACACGGCCTGTCGAGCTGGTCTTGGGAAAAGCCATGTCAAACGCCCTCATCTATTTTCTAGCTTTCTTTGCCCTCCCATTTCGACCCTCTTCACATGTGCCTCTATAGTGGGGAAGGGGTTTCACGACTGACGCTAACGCCGGCTCCCACTCTACCGTTAATGTGAAGCTGGCCAGTTGGGGTCGCCGAAACCCTGCCACCGCCGCCAGCTCCGGATTACACCGGACAGCCAGTGGTAGAGGTGTGTGGGAGCGCGCTAGCAGCTGGAGGCATTAATGTTCTCTTTTCTTTTCGTTTCTTTTTGTTTCTTTTTCTTTTTGGCCCCCGAAACGAGCGAGCATGCTCTTCACGGCTCGAGATGTACCTCACAAGAACGCTTCAAGCTACACTCTATGCAGGCAAGAGGAAGAAAATAGGCTGTAAGGGGCTCACTTTCTTTTTTTCTTCTTTTTCTTCTTCTTCCCCCCGGGGGATATGTCATGTTTACGGCGTATTTTCATATTAACAAGATTAATTAGAACCAAAATGGGTGGGGGAAGGGGAAGGTGGAAGGCTGAAACAAGGTAGGGAGGGAGCAGAAACGAGGAAGAGAGAAGAAAAAAGCTGCCTCATTTACCATCCACCCACAGCCAACGACCGTAAGTTCATGGATGGATCTCGGAAGCTTCGATAGGGGCGGGGCGAAGGAAGCGTTGAAGGGAGAGGGAGGGGGAAAAGAACATTGAAGGGGAAGGGGCGCGTATCATCAAAATTGAAAATTGAATTGAATCTCAAACCCGCAGTTCACTGCGCTTGAGCCAATCAAGGTACCGTGCAGCAAGCGGTTGGGCAAGACGAGGGAGAGGGAATGGTGGTGGGATTTGACGCACTCCAAAATGCACGGCCGCCCTCATTCCCACACGTCCTAGGGTGATGCGGCAGCGACAAGTATGACACTAGCGTAGCGTAGTGTGCGGATGGCATTGGAAGAGGTGGAATGATCAATGATGGGGACCATTTCCATATCCAAGGGTCTTGTCGTGTTGACCCCGAGCTTTTCCACCGTCGAATCCTATATCTCAATATTGATTCAGATCAAATTTGCTTCTTTTGCAATTATACGGTTTCCGCCCTCTTCGGTGCTGTTGATTACTCTTTCCCCTTGTAGCCTGCCGGAAAGTCCTCAATATGCTCCCTTCCCTAGATGCTTGCAAATTGCATTGATGTTTGTATCCTTTTTTCCTTTCTTTTTCCTTCTTTTCTTCTTGGCAGGATCCCCAAAACAAAGCAGGAAACTGAACCCGGTCGCCCCACGAGGCCCGGGAACCGGTCCTCGAACGAGTAAGGAGGAATGGTAGGTTCGTCCGGCTGTTAACCGGGAGTTCAAAGGGGGCAAAACAACGCAATGTTCATCGTTCGTCTCATCTACATGTCTGTTGTCAGCCGGATGGCCACCTATTTCTGGGCTCGGAGTTCGGTACCGCTTTCAACAGGCAGGTTGCAGCAGCCCATTCAGGAACACAATCAAAAAACATTGAAACGCTTACTCTATCCCATTAATGCTCGAAACCCGGAACCTCGCCGGGAGAGGCAACAAGACGACGAGACTTCAAATGAGGGTGACATAAGGGAACATTGAAACCTGCCTCTCTGCCTCTTTCAATGTCCCCTTCCTCTTGCCCACCTTGGAGGCTGTCCACGTCCCAGCATCCAAGGATAGTAGTATTAAGCGAAGTTTTTCTCATGCTGGAGGCTTGAAATTGGACTAATATTCGGTGCCAAATAATGCCATCAGTGCCCAGCCGCAGCGACCCTTGACTGCAAAAGGGAAGTTGGGGATCTGCTTGGGCGTTCGAGCTGTTGAGCCCAAGTACCGCTCCCCGTTAGGGCTACACTATGGTGGGGAAGTTTCGGGCCTGTCTTTGATGAGACGACGCTAAAATAATTGCGTCCGTCACAACACACCGTTCAATGTCACCCACAGCCCTTTGCGCAAGCTAGGACGAGATACAACCTGAAGTACTTTACGGAAGGCAGTCAGCTCCCTGTAATTGACAGTCCCTGGCAGGGATGGTTGATGCTGGACATCCATCTCAAGCCGTCAAAAAGGCCACACGACAGCCCCCACTTCCTTCCAACGGTGTGGCAGAGAAACCGCCTCGGTCTACTCCGGCCCGTGCTACTGCGTGCCCCGGGCTGCCAGCTTGTGAACCTACTTCCCGAGGAGTAAAGGCAGGGGTTGCAGGGTCACCCAAATACTAATGGATGTTGTATCCATGGACCGCCCTTTTACCATCCATCAGCAAGGTCTCACCTCACTTTCCTTATCGCCGAGAAATGGACCCTTTTCGTCAGCGATATGCAGAGGGCAACAATCGATAGTTGCTGTCAATAGCTGACCCAAGGTGGTATAAGTACTCAGAGGGCGAAACCTGTTGGGTCACCTCCCTCATGCAATGCACGCACTCGTGCGGGCTAGCGCACCATCTTTATCTTCTCAAACCCTGTGTATGGGAGGTGGGCATACCATAGCAGCAGGGTTGTGTGCCCATGTCCCTCCAAGACTAACTCTACACTCCACTACAGCCAAGAAATTGACTGGTAGCGGTGGTGGGAGGGAAAAAGAAAAAGAGAAAGAAAGAAAAAGAAAAAGAAAAAGAAAAAAAGAAAAAAGGTCAAGCGCCTCGCAAACCCCCGCTAGTCTAGCCACATTGGGCTTATATCCGACTGTGGGCAAATGGTGGGCCCTGTTCTGGTCAGGGCGATCCTCCTGGATCCGCGCATCAACTCGACGGATGAAGCATCAACAATGGCCGTCAAAAGGCGTTTCACGAGAGATGCGCGCAGCGCCTCCTCGGCTCAGTTGCAAGAGAACCGCCCGAAACCTAGTGCGAAGGGGTTGCGGGATGGACCAAGCAGCAGTCCGGGCTTAGAAGAGAGCGACCAACCATGGATGGATTAATCAGTCCTGTGCATCCGTGTCCTGGCAAACGAACCATTGCAAGGTTTGTTGATCACCGAACTGTGTTAGAAATTGAATCCTTGCTGTCTGGGTCTTGCAACCTTGGAGATCGTACTTTCTGGGCTTCCAAAACCACTGGGTGGACCACAACCTCAATGGGCTGATGTTCGACCCTGAAAACCACACTATCCTCTGGCCTAGAAAACCAGGACAAGAAAGGTGGTAAGAGTTTCAACCGGCTCCTCCACGCAGCTCGAATTTTGAGAAATCTCGACACTTGACTTAGTTTACTCAAAGCAGGCTCTGTCAAAGGGTCAAGGCCATTCCAGTATAGTATCGTCCATCTGGCTTGGGGAGAGACGTGTGCATACGCAATGGCCCGATGGGCCCGGACATTTTCGTCCTCCATCATATACATTGCAACTATGGCCAGCCTATTGGGCATCTATAGATGAATGTATGGATGGAGGATGGATCTGTTAAACAATTCCATCCATGGATGGATTCATGGATAGATTTTTGTGGGAATCAAAGAAGGGGAGTGAAAAGAAGAATATATAAAAATAAACCAATATGATATGAGATAGCATATAAAATAAGAAAGAAAAAAGGAGCAGACCAAAAGCACGGAAAGTCGGAGACGCTGTGCGGGAACAAAGCCGACAAATCAACGACAAAGGCGCCCTTGGGAGGTCTCTAATTGTGGCCCCCGAAGAGGGTGAGCGCTGCTTCCCATGATTGGCGCGAGCTCCACGTCGGGTGCTTGTTAAGCGCTGGCGTTCCCTCCTTCCCCAAGCCAGCGGACCAATGTGAGAGCAGCATCTATCGCTTCGACTGCACCACCAGCGCAGCGCGGCTAGCACGTCGCTCCATTACCTATTCAAGAAGCCTTGACGCTGGGCTGCAAAGGACATTCTCCTCGCTCGCTCGAGTCCAGACCACGGCTTGAAAAATACACGCGATATTGCGGTACGTCGTCGGCCGCCTTGATCTGGGCCAGAGTTGGTCGAGTTGTGGGCGGTTATTTTTTTGGGGTGGGGTCAGTAGATGTGATGGCTTATTTTGGAGCTGCAGATCGAAGGGCTAGGCGGCTCCCCGAGACCGAGTCCCAGAGCTATTTGAAGGGATGCGGTTCCGGGTTTTTTGGTATTCTTCATGTCGTTTCGTTTACTGTTGTCAGGCTCCCGTTCTTCTTTTTACTATTCAAGCTGGTCTCTTTGCTTCATTCCTTCCCGGCCTTGCACTCTTTTACGTCGTTCGATCACGCATGGTGTCTGGGTTTCTACACTGTTTATGATAACATCTCTCCTTCCTTTGCCCTAGTGCCGCTGGTATCTTGACTCTGAACGACGACTTCACTTGTTTCATTGCTTCGAACGTCTTCATTAAACCGATAACGTCGCCACCCCTGCTCGAAACGCTCTACTCTGTCCCCCTCCGCATCACGTTTGCTTCTCGATAACAAAGCGCTCTCCGTCCATCTCCGTCATGTCTTCAAACGCCGACACCATGTCCGAGTCTAAGCATCAGATGAACTCGTCCGATTTCGAAGTTGATTCCCATGACCTTCCATCCCAGTCCAAGGCCAAGACCGTCCATCTCTTGGACACCGTTCGCACCGCTTTGACTGCGGTCTCAATTCTTTCTGCCATCACCATACTCGCCACCTCGGCAGATGCTTTATCTATCTACCAGGCGACTCACCTTCCCGAGGACCACCTTCTTCCTCTTTGGCCAGCCGCCTTCAACATACGCCCCACAATTGCCCTGGTCGTGTGTAGTACCATCGTTGTGGTGGCCAGTGCCATCTCTCTCGGGTTTGGAAAGACTAAGACGGTATGTATATCGATATACAATTGTGGGATAAAAAGAAGGCGCCCACTCAAACCGACGCCTTTCTTGCGCCATCCCTAGGTTCCTAGCTGCTAACTTCGTCGAATAGCTCGGAAACCAGGTATCCGTTGCCGCCATCGCTATTCTCGTACCGACTGTTGTGTCCCTGACCGCGGCGATCATCGCCATCTCCTTCTTCTACACCGTCAACGGCTCCGTGGAGGTCGATACCGTGCAGAGCTGGAGCTGCCAGTGGCGCGATGTTTCGATGTCGACGAGGCCACACTTTGGTACCCTATGCAGGCAAAGCCAGGCTTCGACTGGACTCGCTGTCGCTCTCGTCCCAATCCAGGCCATTATCCTCGGCGTATCCGCTGTAGAGATGGTTCTCGCCAAGGCTGTGAACTCGGCGAGTGTTCCTTCAAGGAAGACGGCAAGCCCTGGTTTCTAGAAGTGCACGTTCCCATGCATAGCTTTAGAGGCTGCATTGTAGAGGTCCTTGGTGCAATGGGCATCTAAGCTTTGAGAGGCCATGGGGTTACATACGATGATCTTCCATACGCCACCTCGTACTTCCCTATGAGTCGTTGGGGGAGTGGGTGCAAATGGGCCGAATCTTTCGGAAGGTTGATTTTCTTCTTTCAACAATATGTAGTTAATGGACCACTTACGGTCGGAGTTAAGGGCACACGGAACTTTCTTTTGGACTTCTGTAATGGGTAGTGGAGGCGCCAGTAATGACTTCATTTATTTCCAAAGCTATCGCTTCCTCTAATCTCTTCAGAAGTTGGTCACTGACGTGGGCAAGGCAAAGCCATAAGAGGATGGCCGACGATGTTTGAAATGTGCGCTGCATCAATGGGTAAGGGAGTCCTTCAACACCTGCCATAAAAGGAGGAGGCATGGCGAATACCGATGTAAGAGTTGAATAAGCCCGTTCAATCCCCGAAATGGGGCTTCAGCTTGACTTTCCGAATGGCTAGTAGAGAGATCCGACCTCTTTTCTTAATTGTGCATGGTATGTGGTTGGAAGGAAGGAGGGTGGCTATAGGCGATGAGGCAGTAATTGCGGCTGCGAATATAATAGCGGGATGTCCATAGATGTCATCGCCACGCCGAGGAGATCTGTATAACCGGAGCTCGAGTGGGTGAGCGATGCATCTATTTCAGCAACGACCTCGAGGCGCGCTGGGGTCAATTGGCGCATCGTCGCAAAGTAAAATCATTTCGGAGACAAATGCTGCTGATCATGCCTTGTTCTTTTAGTGTGCATGGAGCCCCGCACTGTTTGGCTGTTGGAGATACAAATCGATGTCATGATTAAAGACAGTGGAGGTTGGTTCCTGGGCCTGCCCGCTCCCACCTAAACCGCACCAATTTCTTCCAAGCAGCGAAATCGAAGGGGCGCCTTCCTCACACCTTTGATCCAATCCGAAGTGGCTTGCATGCAGTAAAACATGGCAAGGCTACGAATTAACTAGGGGCCATCATTCTTATCAGCCCTCTCTCTGTCTCCCTGTCTCTCTCTCTCTCTCTCTACCGCCGCCAAAGGCTCTTCAACATTTGCCAAGTCCACCGAGAGCCGTTTAACTAGTATCGCACCAGACATCCTTTGGATCCTCTGCCCCTCACCCACTCCGTCCCTCTTTCCTCGTACCGATCTCTGCCACCGTCGTCGCACTGCCTCATCTTATTGTCGCTCCATTCAAAGATTTGATAGAGCTATTGTTCACGCCGAGGCTCGAAAAGCTCCCAAACTGGACTCGCGTGAGGAGGGGGCCCGGCCAAACAAGATGGAGGTAAGCTCAACGACGAACCTGTCACTTTCTTTTTTGTTCCTTCGCGGCATTCCCGAGTCAGCTCAGGCTTGCCCGATCTCCACCCACGATTCCCTGGATTCGGCTTGAACTTTTGCGATCCCAAGCCCCCTTTTGAGCCCCCTTGCAATCAAGTCTTTTCCTTCCAATGCCCTTGCCACTGCTGGTTTCCTCTCGGCCAATTGATCCGACTGCCTCACGTCAACTCCTCCGAAGCGCGTCCTGGCGTCACCAGCAGGCCCAACCTCCGAGCCAGTGGTTACTCGCGCTCACCACGTCTGTGACGCACCGCTTATCAGCTCTGGCTTTATTGGCAGGGGTCTGCGAGGCTGGACCTTGACCCTGACGCAGCTTGGCTCGTTCTTTGGGGGTTCTGTACGATGGCGATGACGATCCTTTCGACCTGTTCCACCTTTTGTGGCTAGATGCTTCTATGGTCACACTACGAACCTTGATTACCCAGCGGGTGGCCTGGGTGGCCTTGACTAAATCGTGGGCGCCATCGTCGAGTGCGTAATGGTCCGAACACGCTCGGCAAGCAACCACCCTGCTCTGGTCCTTGAATGGTCCTGCGAATGCAACCTCCCGAGTCCACGGCCTCGGGCGCTGTCTGCTTTTGAGTCACGGGGGTGCAAGTGCACTTGCGTCCTTGACGACGCGTCAAAGGGGTATCATCGGGTTACGCGATACCAACCCCGTCTTGAAAACTGCGAGCTGGTAGCCAGGCTCGGCCAGACCATTTCTGGTGCCCAATGAAAACCTCACTTGCGTGCTTGGGGGCGGGTTTGACCATGTTCTCTTGCCCGTAGCCCATGCCGGGCCCATCTTCGTGCGCCTTTTCCTTAATGTGATTGTGTGCTGCCAAACCTGGGTGGTTGTGGCGGGTCGAAGAGGAAGGCTGGCCAGACGTGGTCCGTGTTGGAGATACAAAAGCTTCAGCTCCGTCCACGATAAGCCCCGGTCTCAAACCCTGCCGTTGCACCTCGTATATAGTCGGCTTTCTTGCCTCCCTTGCCGATTTATTCACTGGTTTACCTCATCCTCCCCGTTTTGGATCTTGTCTGTTTTTCGAGTCATGCATGGCACTTCTCGCCTACTTTTCAGGCTTGCCGTTCGAGTCGAATGGCGTCCCCAACGACTCCGCCGGGCCGTCGCGCGGTCATGCGTCTTGACGATGCGGAGAGTCCAGCAAAGCTAAATCTTCGACGTGTTTTTGAACAGAATCGCACGGGTCCACCGAAACAGGATGGAAGCAAGCTCGTTGGAAGCCTACAAGGGCCGCCTCCTACGACCAAGGGCCGACCTCGTCTATTACTGATGGGACAAAGCAGGTACGTTGTTGCCCTTGCTCGGCCACTGACTGCCTCCTAGCTAATCTTGACCCAAGGAGCGGAAAGTCGTCCATATCAAGTGTTGTATTCCAGAAACTGCCGCCCAATGAAACGCTTTATCTCGAATCAACTGCTAGGATTCAGAAAGATCAGATGGCGTGAGTAGCTGCCCCCGCTGTCTCAGCTCGCCTCATTTTCCCGGGTGCGATTTTATCCCATGCTAACGGGTCGATGAATAGATCCTTTATGGACTTCCAAGTCTGGGACTTTCCTGGCCAGATAGACTTCTTTGAAAACCCGAACCTCGATATAGATGCCATCTTCAGCGAGGTTGGCGCCCTCATCTGGGTCATTGACGCGCAAGATGACTATCTCGAGGCGGTCGCTCGGTTAAACGCCACCATCCTCTACCTCCAGCGCAGCTACTCCAACCTTAACATTGAGGTATTCATCCATAAGGTCGATGGTCTTTCAGATGACTACAAGCTCGATATTCAGCGAGACATCACCATCCGTATCCAGGATGAGCTCTCAGATCATGGCATTGAGAACGCTCCAGTAACATTTCACCTCACATCCATCTACAACCATTCCATCTTTGAAGCTTTCAGCAAAGTTATCCAGAAGCTCATTCCCCGCCTCGGAATCCTCGAAGGTATCCTAACCAATCTTTGTCGTACCTGTCGTTTCGAAAAAGCCTATCTCTTTGATGTCTTCAGCAAGATTTATATTGCCACCGACTCAACGCCGGCGGATATGGCTTCCTACGAGATCTGCTCCGATTACATCGATGTCATAATTGACATCACAGAGGTCTACGGTTCATGGGACAGAAATACGGAGCAGAAACAAAAGTTGGAAGGCGAACCATGGAATATGAAGTTAGAGGACCAAGTAGCGTGCCCATCTACTGAAAGCTCAATGATGCTGCATGATGGAAACAGGCCCATCATGCTGCGAGAAGTCGACCGGTACCTTGCTCTCGTGGCTATCATGAGAGAAGACTCGTACGATAAGATGCCCTTGGTCAATATGAATGTTGAGGCGGTGGTACAAGGCCTAAAAGAGTTTTTGAGATTACGAAACCGAGGAAATGAGAGATGGCGGGGAAGGAAGAAGAAGACGAGAAGTATCCCTAGTGGCCGCTATAACGTGTAGGCATCTTTCTGGGACTGAAAGCGAGGAATATTTACGAGATCTTTGATGCCCTCCAAGAACATGAGACGCGCGCAGATGGAACTCTTTTTATTTAACCTCTGAGCTGTAATGATCCACTTCACGAAATCTATTTTTTTATGCCGAAGCCCATGTTGCCACGTATAGCTTGTTTTACCTGCCACAGGTCTATCTGAAAGCTCATATCAACCTTCTTTCAACTCGAAAACCCGGTAAGTGCAACGGTCTTGGCCAAGGAGACACACTCTCACGGGAATGGGTCCTCTGGCGTCGCTCTTGGGATGTACGGCCATTTGTACGGGCAAGAAGTCGCCCTCCTTCCCCGTGGGGATGCGAGCAGAGGCTACGGAACGAGTGTCTAGCTCGTGTGGAGTCATTGGTTGGCTAGAGGTAGTATATGGGGTCCAGGGAGGGTCACGGCCGAGAGCCGAAGCGAGAGGAGAATTGGAGAGGAGTCTAGCTTAAAAGTTAGCCCTGTATTTCTCAGCGTAAAGGCGGAAAACGAGACTCTCTGGTGACAGAGAGATGGGCTAGAAAAGAAAAAAGATGGGTTTTCTCACCTTCTTCTGAAGTGAGAATGAGTAGGGTTGTGGGCGCGAGGAACTTTACGTCGGTGATCTCGCCGGTCGGTGTGGAGATGGTGCAGCAATGGGTCTCGGCGCTGCTGCTTATTCCATTCACGATGGGTATAGAGGTGCGGAAGAGGAGGACTGTGCGGCAAAGGGTCAGTCGACGCCAAGGTCGAAGACTCTACGAGCCAATGTGTTACTCACCGTCCTGGCCCCTGCCTTTGGTGGCCACCGCAGTATACGTTAAACCGTTGGTGGATTCCTGGCTCGGTGTTAGCTGCATGCACAAGGCGCCGAGCTTCGAAGCGTTGGAAAAGATCTTTGCTGCCTACCCCTGTTCCGGGAACCGCATCCATCTGGATATCGATGGCTCTAATTTCTTGTTCCAGGGCAATCCTTGTTGACTGACCGAACCGCACACTTCTTTTCAGCGCTTGTGCGATATCGTTAAAGACCTCGCCGGCCCTGCTCTCAAGATGCGACAGAAGCCAGCGAACCCTGGGTAGAAATTCGGCATACTGCTGCCCCATCTCCTGTTTTTTAGCTGATTATCGAGGGCCTCGAGGAGAGATGCGCCTCTCGCAACGGCCTCCCAGTCCCCTTCTGCTTCGTCGTCGGCGAGGTAGACCGCCAAGGGGCTCCGCAGAAGGTATTTTTGAAGATATGTCAGAACGTGGCTGTTATTCATCGTGGCCTCCTTCTCCATCAGCTCGTCAGTACCGGAGCTCGTCGCTAAACGATCAATCTGAAATCTCAGCCACGCAGAAAACGAGGTAAACAGCTCAAGTTCTTCCATGACGATGAGGAGCATCCGGTGACCAACGAGGCTGAGGCACGCAACCGTGTCCATCAGGCGGGTTATCCGTATCACCGAAAGACCAGTATCGTCGCGAGACTCGTAGAATTGGGCAAACCCTTTGAGCCGGCTCAGGATCACACCGCATCGCTCGAGAGCGGGTAGGAAATTTTCGTGGATAATGCCTCGGAGGTTTTCTAGGCCTGAAACCACAGCCTTGTCCCACCGTTTATGGCCCTAAGACTTGAGTTAGACGGCGGTGGGAGGAGCCAAGGGGCTACGAGAGTTGGTTGGTAGAGAGCCGAAACTTACACGCTCCGCTAAGCTGTCGACTAGCCATTCCTTCACAACCTCATAGGTGTGACCCGTGACAAGGGTGTGATAGAGGGCCGATACGATATCTCGCGGCCCGTTCTCAGCTCCCTGGAGATCCTCTTGAACATTTGCGAGAAAGCGGGACGGTAGATCTCGAGTGTTCTTGAACTCGACTTGCATATGAAGGAACGCCTGCCTGGTATATCTCAGGAGTTTCTGGAGAGTTGTCAATTTGGATGCGAGAAGAGATAGGTTGATTGGTGAGGAGGCTATGAAAGACAAGTCTAATGGAACTATGTCCAAAGTGTTCTGAGCTGACTGGAAGACAAGGGTATGGGTGGAGAGATCGCGATGGGAGGCATGGTGAAGTAGGCGCAAGTCGGTCCGAGGATCCTGATGAGACTGATACTTGAAGGTTCCGACCGTGAATGAGTCGTAAATGCTGATGTGAATATCGTTCTTGTCGGTACCGACAATCATGACAGAGATTTCTTCGCTATCTTCTGGTTTAAAAGGCTGGAAGAGGAAGTCTATTCCGCTTCTTAGGGTGAAAACCATCGAGTCGTCTCTACGCGGTTCATCAGCACAAAATCGAGTCTTCTCTGCTGTCCAAAAGTGAGGTTTATGCCTACCCAGAACCTGCACTACTGCTGGGCAGGGGCTAATCTTGGGCAATGCCGTATCTATTTCAAGAAAGGTGAGCTCGCGTGGTAGGTCGGCAACAGGGACGTCTTTCCCTAGGACACCTTGCCCTATAGGCAGACCAGCCCCCAGACGCGCGCCCGACTTCTTTGTGACGTTATTGCTGGCCCACCCGATATGCGCAATCTTGGCTTGCCCGGCCTCTATAACACCGATATTATGGGCTGCTTTATTGTTCTCGAGGCCCATAAGACGCACGTATCCATCATCCCAAGCAATGGCGATAAACTGACCTGTGGCCCGCTGTCAGCGTGTGAATCTACGATTGTCTGCCGCGCTTCCTCCCCGGCGCACGGCACCTATGGCGCACGCGCAAGCGGCTTGGAGCAGATGAGAGGAAAGGGGCGTACCGTCAGGTTTCCATTTCACTGCGGTCACAGTTGCCGTTTCCCTCTCCTGCCCCTTCCTCCTTGTTGGATCTTGGACACAACCTCATTCCTTGGCCTCTGCACAAGCACGTTCCCCGTCGCGTGGTCCCAGGTAACGGACAAATCAACAGTTGGAGAGCTAACGGGGAGGCCGGACTGCGCAGCGTGCTCAAACTTGGTTTCGCTGAAGGCCTCGAGAGAGATAGGAGCAGTCGAGGTCGCCATGTTCTTTTTAACCCTTCAAGATGAGCTCGTCGAGTCAAAGAGGGTGCCTCAACCAACTGGAAGCGATCAAAAGATCACCTCACATTGACGGGCTGGGTAGCCCGTAAGATACAGAACAGGAATCGGTTTATCCTTAAGTCATTTAATTCTCCTTCTAGATAAATGTCATGATTTCCGTCCTGTGAAAGCGGAGCGTAGGGAGTATGGTGGAAAGGGAGTAAGAAATAAGGTCAAGTTCGGAGGTGGAAGCGCGTCGTGAAAATGCAAAGTGCCCCGCACTGTAGTTGAGTGGTGGTTTCCTTAGAAGCTGGAGCGGGAACAGTGCGGGGTTGCAAGTATGGGCTGCCATCCTTGTGCCACACAACAATCATAGATCTCTTCTTATCAACTCTTGACATGGGGGAGTGATCAATCAACCGATCATGGTCATCTATTGAGCTGAAATGGTTGACCTTCCGCTATGTGCTACGAGCCAAGGACTTATTTGACGCCATCCCCAAGTTTGGCCGTTAATCCTGGCGGCCCATTTTTTTATCCATACCCTCAAGACGATGACTAGCCTCTCCTCCATACCGTTTTGCAAAACAGTCAATGATTGCTAAGCTGCTCATCAATTTCATTCAATTACGTAGTTTTCAGCCGTAGATTTGACGTCCTTTGAGAAGGTGATCTCCTCGTCCATGTCAACAAGCGAGACTGAGGTTACCTGTTTTGAAGTCGCTAGAGTTAGCAAGGGCAGAACGGGCCAAAATGGGAGAAAGGACCAAAGAAACGTACATCAACATCGACGTAGGGCGACGACTTGTGGAACCGAACCGTCATAGGGAAGAAGTCATTTTCGTCGTTGGCTTCCGCCTCAAACTCGAAAGACCCGCTTGCGTTCTCATCGTCAACAGAGCCAATGGTCCACTCGAGCATGTCACCCATGAGGTCATAAGTAGCGTCGAAGCTCGAGACGACGGGCTCGGCGGCTTGGTAGGGGATCAAGACACTGACATCCTTCAGTGCATCGCCGCCAGTGAGCTCGTACTCGACAGTCATATTGTACTTATCCGAGTCCTTGTTTATCCAGACTGTGAAAGTGATGGGACAAGCACTGGTGTCATCAGCCTTGGGAGTGGCTCGCCACCGAAGCACACCGACGGAATTGTTGACAGGGAACCCCTGGCCCGTGTTCGCCATTTGGATGATCTTAGATTTGTTAAATGTGTTTCGATCAACCTTGGGGTGTGTTCGGAACTGGACTCCGTGTGAGGCGTTGGCAGTGAGACCAAGCTGGATCCTAGTCAAGCTCGGGTCTGAAATGCGAAGTGTGAGATCGCCATTGACTGAGATAGAGTTGACCGCACCCTCCCTTGATAGATTCGCCGTAATGGACTCGTTAACAATGATATGGATGGCGTCACGGTCCATGGTGGTAGAGGCGCGGTGTTCGGCAACTTGGCTAGGAGCAGCAGGCGCAGGGGTTACTAGAGGGCTATCATCGATTTCCGCTCCCATCTCTCCGCGTACGCGCTCAAACATGTCCGTGGTCTTGGACTTCTTGCCCAGCTGCATTCCCTTGCCCTTAAGAGCAGAGGGCCTACAAGAGAGGTCAGTAGAGACTCCCAAGGTGTGTGCATGGCCCCAAGGGGAGCATGCGGGGTAACCCACTTATTAAATGTCTTGTTCTTCTCAGCTTCATAGGAATCGAAGGATTCTTGCGCGGCAGGTCGAGAGGGAGGGGTATATGTTGGGTAAACGGGGGTCCGGGAACCCCACGCATGCCCCTGGCTGTCTCCTTGCGCTGCATTTCGAGCTGTTTCGCTTTGCGCTTCCTTTCCTCGGTAGCCTCGAGTTCCTTGTTCTATTCGCAAGGGTCAGCATATCAGCATGCAATTGTATCTCGCATTGCGCGTCGTGACTATACCCTAGCGATAATTTCCTGGATGCGCTCTTCGTGGCTCTCCATCTCCAGAAACGTCTTGATCTGGCTGATGGTCAAGTTCTCTCGGTAACCCAGAGTAACCAACTCATCAAATGCGCTTAGGAGGTCGTAGGCATGTCGCACAATTTCTCGCTCATCGAGGCTCTTGCATGTGTTGGTGACGACCTGAGCGAAGAGGTGGAGCGAGTCGATGTCCTGGAGGATATTGGACTGCTTGTTGGTGATGAGAACCATGTAGAGCTCGTCGAGGGGTTGGTAAACGAAGCGAACGTTGTCCTGCTCGACGGTCGTATGCTGCGTACCGCTGTCTGCTAGTTTCGGGAAGGACGCCAGCAACGCTTCCACTCTGGATCGGGGCATCTCTCGGAACTGCCTCGAGAGGACAGCCTTACCCCGCGGGTGCAGATGGAGGCGGCGAGGACAACCTAGCTTGCCATTAGCGCAAATGACTCCAAGACTAGAAATGGGTTCTGAGAGCATATTGGGTATTCGTACCATGTTGATGCTTATACGAGGGTGGGCGGACAAAGGTTATCGGTTCCGGGGATCTATGAAGAAGGAGGTGTAGTCCTGGATGGGCCACAGAATGCCAGGTGGGATGTCGAAGGTGTCCACTGCCTCGATTCGGGACACTCGACCAGTAGCGAGTTCCCAGGGTGGTCCACAAGTACTTTACACCTGGGTCAGTACCCTTGATCTTCGTAGATACATAAACCCATTACAAGGGTAAGTTGCTCCTTGCCCCACCCCGCTTGCCCGTCTGTGAAATCAAGCCTCAAGCTTGGAATGTGACAATGGTCCGTGCTCTAGCGAGGTCAGGCCCCGAAAGGCGCCTCTTCCGGATTCGTCACTGCAATTAGCCACGCTTTTTCCACCTAAAACGCGATCATCGCTCATTCCTGCTTCTAGCCGACTCCATCGCTCATCAAGGACGGACATCAAGGACAATTTTCCTAGCATCTTAACCAAGACTCTGTCCTTCGAGTGGATGCCGATTTTCCCTCGTCCCTTTACCTTCTAACCTCCGTTGAAGTCTTACGTACACCGGCACTTCCACTGAACACTGGCAGTCGCCCTTGCCTCGACATTCGATCATCGATCTTTCGAAATATTTGCCCCCGATCTCTGACAGCCACATTTCTCATCATCGCCAGTACTTACCGTGCGCGCGATCTCCCTTTATCCAACCGCATTATCGAATGAAAGCTCTGAAAGAAAGTCGTGATGGCAGCTGAGGTCTCCCAAGTGCCGATCGATGGTCAACTGGATCTTACGTTCGATGGTGGCGGCGATACAACGACCAACCCCGAGTTTCGCTCCGCCATGTCGGACGACATCATCCCTGGGACAGAGGGGGATAATAGTTTTTCTGTTGAGCCTACGGAAGAATTGCCAGCCAGCTTGAACGAGATAGACTGGGAAGAGCCAGCTGCCGCTGGCAGCGCGGTGTCGCTTGCAGTTGCGGACGCAGATGGCACAGCTGATATCGACGCCCTCACACCATCATTTGACGTTAACATGGGCGAACCCGATCTTCATGTTGATTTGGGGATCGCGGCCGCTCCCGGGGATGGCAGCGCCCAGGAGAGTGCCGATGCTGGAGAGGCGGAATATGACGAGAGTGGACATGCCTCTCATGCGCCGGATAACGGAATCATTGAGGATGATGTGGAGCATGAAATCACATACGACGAAGATGAACCTGGAGAACACCTAGAAGCACATACCGAGGTCGGGGATATTTCTCCCTCATACGTGGTCGACCAGGAGCAAGGCGATGCGGAGGCGGATGCTGAAGGCCAGAGCGGTGATGAGACCCCTGGAGATGTAGGAGAGGGTGTTGAAGAGGAGCATGATATCGAGGGTGATGAAGCTGGCTCTGACCACGCGGAGGCCCAGGACGAGCAGTCTACCGATGAGTCTGATGATGACCGGGGCGAGTTACCAACGTCATGTCCCGATATCTCCGTTAGCTATCGTAACCAGGAGTATCCCCTGATCCACGGGCAAGGCAGGGACGACGTTCAAATGGGATTTTTGGAGATGTTGGTGTGCTGGACCTGACTGTCGATAACCTCCTTGCGAGGCTCCGCCAGGAACTTATTGATGACCTTGGGCCACAGGATGAACTAGTTCTTCAGGTGGATGAGCTGGGCTTGGAGTATGCAGAGGTATGTCAAATACCTTTCTACGAAGCTACTGATGGGAAAAGACTTGCTAACCGCTCGCCCCTTAGTCCACGCATCGAGAACATCTCTCCGGCGTCACGTTCAGGCAGCTCCACGAGATTTTTGACCAGTTGGCGAAGAATCAGGACCCTGATGTCAGCCGGGTCCTGTACACAAATCTCCTAATCCGACCTCACCCCGCTAAGCGTCTAGAACTTTTGATCGATGAGGCTTTCAATGGAAAAGGCCTAGATGAGATCATCTATTGCTTCCAACCTAACTCTCAAGGACATGCTACGCACGATGCGGGAAATACCAACATGATTATTGACAGTAGCGATGAGGATGGTGGCGAGGACGGTGAGGACGATGTCGAGGCTGAGGCCGAGGCTGAGGAGGAGGAGGAAGAAGAGGAAGAGGAAGAGGAGGAAGAAGCTTCGCCTGACGACGAAATGGTTTCTCAGCAAGAGATTGATGACGAGAGCGAGAACGAACTAGATCAATCTGCGGAGACTGATGCTGCCGATCTAGACCAAGATCAGTACTACGACGAGGGTAGCGAAGATGCAGACGAGATCGAAGGAGTGGAAATCGACACAGCCGAAGTTGTGGAAGTTCGAGAGGAACAACAAGCTGCCCCCGAGGACGATGGCGCTGCAGATGGGTTGATCTCCGTCGAGGTGGACGGCGTGATTGAGGTAGCAACACCACAAGGTAAGCACGAACCATCGTCACACGTCAAGTGATATCAAGGGCTACAAGCCTTGGCCGTTCCCCGCTACAGCCTTGACTAGTCTTCATGGAAGCATCAAGACGTAGCGAAGGAAACTCGAGCCGAACCATGTACACTCTGTTGCCAAGCTAACTTCTTTTTCTAGAACCGACCTACGATGAGCTTGCAACTGAACAGCCCGGGGAGGAAGCTCTGGATTCCGGGTTCGATTTTATTGAGATGATTGATGATGATGAGGAAGATCGTGACATCCTTGAGATAGAACAAGAAAACCCAACTGGCAGCAGTGCGACGGCCACACTCGATGGCCGAACAGAGAATGAAATCGACTATGAGGACAACAACGAAGACCCCGTGGAGGAAAATGGTGACCCGAGCCTCGGGATTGACGAAGCTACAGTTGATGGTGGCCAGCTTGATGAGATAGATTGGCGCGATTTCCCTGAAGAGCCTTCCACCAACGATTTGAAGGAGACGATGAGCACCTCAGGGAAACGACCTCACGCCGAGGTGAATGACGGAGAAGAGTTTGACTTGGATGAAGGGATTGGTAAGTCTCCAGGCCCCTCCGCAAGTCCCGATACCAAATTCTAACCTCATAAAAATTAGATGTCAAGCGTCGTCGATCTTAACAGCCGGGTCAAACTCTTGCACCACCCTGGCCACAACCAGTATCCCCCTCTCGCAAACCCTCCCTTCCTTTCCCCCAACCCCTTTTTTCGTGCCTCACAGTTTTGGCCTGCTGTGCTTTGGCACAATTCCTAGGCCAGCTCTTCCCTTACCCATGCCCTTTCAAACAAACACGGTCTAGCTTTCTTAGCGTGCCGCTACTTTCCTAGGATTCCGAACTCTCCAGCTTCCAGAGAAATAGGACTCCAGAGCTTGTTTAACGTCGATGCTAAAGAGGAGCTTGAGACGAGCTCTCGCACAAGGTAGGTGTTCATGTAGGTCAGCGTACTAACCCTCCGACCCTCTCCCCATCGTTGGCGGACGTCATAGGCCGACGTGGTTTCAACTCTCTCAGGCCATGATGGCTCTAGAAACGATATTCCCTTCTACGGCGGTCCCGGGGCGTACTACCATCGCCACGTATCTAGCCCATATCGAATGATGGGAATAGCCGGGGAAGCCTCGACCTAGAAATGCATTCAAGTCCTATAGTGCTGGTAGCTGCCGGTACACGACACACTCACATCCCATGTTGTATTCTTAACGATTCTGTTCTTCACGGCGTTTAATGGAAGGACGAGCTTAACTCGATCAGGTCTAAAAGTCAGCGCAAACTTTCCACGTTGCGCGGCTCCGAGCGAAATGGCAGGCCCGTCGGAGTTTGGTCGTCTTCTTTTTTCTTTTTCCTCCCTCTTCATCCTTATCGATCTATTCTTTTGACGGCACTTTTACATTTGCTTTTTTAGGCTTGGGAAGAATTTGGTATAGAGGCAGCGCTGTGAATGGTACCCGCTATCCGGACACAGCCATTTACTTAGTCAAGACGATTCTGGCAACATTTAGTTTCATTCTTTCTCATTCTCCCAATCGCTCTAGGCGACGCACCCAAGCTTGTGCCGCCCCGTTCAAGTGACTTGGAAAGAGATGCGCCTATCGAACACGACCGCATCAGTCCTCGTAAATCTGCATTTCGAAGAGCTTCATTCACGAAGCTGCTATCCTCATATTAGCGCTCTTTAGGAAGACGTCTGTCAGGAAGCAATAGGTCGTGCAGATAAATCGAGAGCACACCCAATCTCGAGCGGGTGACGTTTACTGAGACATTGTCATAATTACCGAGGCACTGGCCTGGCATTCGCAATACGTGCGCCGCTAATACAACATGTCGTACCTGATGATCCTCCATTGCTTAATGCGGGCTGGTCAAAACTATGGGATTGATGGAGTCCTTGATAAAAAGTTAAGGGTCTAGCCCGCCCCGCTTTACCAGTTCGTCTGCCCTCGATATCAATGAACCATCTTTCCGACTTTCGTGTCAGTGCTCGCTCGGTGGGCTTGCTTGGTGCACTGGCGCCAGGGGTGGCGCGGCTATTATTATCAGGCCACGACGACGACGTGAATATCACGTTGGTAGGAGGGCTGGCCGCTCGATGGAATGGGAGGCACTTGTTCCTAACCTGCCGTGTGCGTTCTTGCTTTTCCGGTATGGATCGCCCCAAGGTGGCCCAGAAGCGGATCGGTTGATGATGCCACTGGCCAGCTTCTCGCGGGAACCCCTGACCCCTTGCAGGACCCATCATTGATCGTGGGACCAAGCTTGCGTGGCCCATTGTATTAGTTGGAAAAAGCTTTCCCTCCCATCTACGGTGTGAACCACTATTCTTGATCGTTCTCCGATTTTGCATGCGCTCGATAAGATAGATCAGGAAGAGGGAAGAGAGACAAAAAAAAAAAAAAAAAAAAAATTGGGAGTGAGGAAGAGGGGCCCTTGGGTGATTTCGAAGTTCTCTTTCTTCAATCAACCCCTTGCGAGAAACGAAAAATCGAATACCCGAAATAATAATAGACTTTGCACGAAACAAACCAAAAAGAGAAAAAAAAAAAGAAACGCTCATTAACTTCATCCTCATGTCTTTTGGGATATCTTGTTTCAAACTTGGAGACATTGGTTGATGACGGGTGGGCCCTTTGTACCAACCCGCCTACGGGAGCCAAGAAGGGCCTATGAATGCTCAATTGATTGATCCATTGGTTTTAGCGTGCTCGTAATACTACGCCAACACGCCTAGCTACTAGATGGACAAGACTTCGCTGGGAGGGAACCCTTTGATACTGACGAGAAGGTCGCTGAGGACAGGTGCTTGTTGATTGTGCAGTGAAGTGCGGCGGTGGCGGAAAACAGACGAAGGGACCGACTGGCGGTTCTCAATTAGCTATCTGGCAGGAATTAAGAGACGACCATTTACGAGCCGCTTTCAGCGCGAGGCAAGGAGGAACGGACGAGTAGAGCTCGAGATCGGGTCTATTGGGGGCGGGGGTGCCTAGGCCGGTGGCTGAGTTGAGGGCTCAAATTCTTTTAGTCTGAGAAACGGGGTCACCGAAACTCGTACTGGAGGTGTTAGGCCTCGAGTATTACAGGCCGGATGTAGCTACATTTTCCAGCCATCTCTGCCGTATGGTGGATGGATCGAATAGTGGATGTTGCCACATGTGCTGACTTTGGGTTATTGGAGTCTCGATTCGGGTCGCGCCAAGAGCGACTGAGGCATGTGAGGCCTACACGTTAGAATTCATTCGTTTAAATTGCAAGGAGACAGTGAATGTCTCTTTACAGCGTGTGGGAGAGGACACAGCGACTTGACCCGTGTTTGACGGGCCTACTTGTAATAATAATACAACTACTTGTGTTGATCCAGATCAATCGATGTGAGCCCCATCAGCTTCCCCATCAGCGTCTCCATCAGCGTCCCATCAGTTGAGCCACTGGGGCCATGCCGTTGATGAGATTGATCCACGCCCCTCGGAGGTGCTCAAGCTAGTTTTACCTCAATAGACAGTCGACCCTGACGTTCTGGGCATTTGGTGTGCTTCAGGAGTTGGACATCGAGCCGCAGGGGGTGACCCTGAAACCGATGTATTCCTGAACCCCTTCAAATAGCGCAAGGTACTTTGCCGATGTGGGGCCCAGGAACCTCCTTCGGTAGTGTTCTCAAGACTCGACACACAAAACGAACAATCAATTTCTTCCCCATTGAGACTAGCGCTCCGATCATGCATCTTGACAGGTGTGGGCAATTGCATAGGCAGCAAAATTCCTCCAGCTCAGCCAATGAATCTCAGGCGACATGTGAGCAAGGAAGGGGCTGGAGGGAGGATGAGCTGGACGTTTCCGTGCAGTGTCCGTTTCCCTCGAGGTACCTCGTGTACCGTTGTTTCCAGCTCTCCACGCAATACCTGTACTCTTTTACCCACGAAACAGAGACCCTGCGACTCCCCTTCACGCAATCGCCAACACACCTCGTCCTTCGCTCTCCGAAAGGCCACCATTCCGACCTCCGACCTCAACTCCCTTTGGCCAACACAATAGCGGTCGCCACCGCCCTCGAACCCTTGACTATCATCGATAGACGACTCTCGACGCCTAATACACCATTACCGATGTATTGACCGAGCGACGAACGTGCTTCATCTGCCCTTTCTCGTCCCTTCCTCGCTGTGTCCAGTCGTCCAAACGGCCCCGTTAAGCCTCTTGCCTCGCCCGGCGCGAGCCTGCAACTCAGTTACCCTCCCGAGCCCACTGTTCGCGCAAGCCAACCGCTGCGTATCTCCTAAGAGGCCATCCTTCTTAGGACGATAACTTTACACTTTCGTTTTGCACTTCCCGCTATCCACCGGAGAGTCGACCATTCGTTCAAGATGATGCTCGAGGAGAAGTATGTGGTGCCCCGTTGGGCTGGGGGAGCATGGAAAGCAAGCAACGTGCCTTGGTCTCCTCCCGGCTACCAACCTGTGCTCTGTAGACCCGGTGACTGACTCGATACCCAACAGATATATCGGCCTGGGGTTGGCCATGACCTCTAGTTTAGCCATCGGTAAGCATTTGCGCCTAGCTGTGGTAACGGAAAATGTATTCTAATAGGTTGCGATATAGGCACCAGTTTTGTGATCACGAAAAAGGTACGCACCGTCAAGTCAAGCTCTCTGAAGCGCACCGATCTCGCCACCTGCGCCTTGGCCCGTGATGCCGTGGCGCTCCCACCTTTCCATGCTAACTCGACGCCTTTTGCGATAGGGTCTACAAGATGCTGAAAAACGACACGGCTTTGAAGGAGAAGGCTTTGTCTATCTGCGGAGCCCTATTTGGTGGGCGGGTATTGCTACCCGTAAGTTTATCTCTCGGCCTCTCCCGTGCCGCAGTCGCATTCTAACCGCCTTATTCTCCTCACTGTAGTGGGCATCGGCGAAGTCTGCAATTTTGCCGCCTACGCTTTCGCACCTGCCATCCTGGTTACGCCTCTCGGTGCCTTGAGTGTGCTCATTGGCGCTGTTCTCGGTTCCTACTTCCTGCAGGAGGAGCTTGGTATCCTCGGCAAGCTTGGTAGTGCGATTTGCCTCATCGGCACCGTCATCATTGTTCTCCACGCACCACCCGACGAAGAGATCGAGACCATCGATCAGATTTTAGACTATGCCATTCAACCAGGTAAGTCCTAGTTCTTCCTAAACTAGCCTAGCGATGGCTGGGCCTATTCTTTGGCAACTGCTAAACATGTCGACTTGCTAGGTTTCCTTCTATATGCCATCGTCGTCGCCGCATTTGCTATTGTAATGATTTACAAGATTGCTCCTGTCCACGGAAAGAAGAATGCGCTCATCTTCCTTTCCATCTGCTCCACCGTCGGCTCCGTTTCCGTCATGGCCGTTAAGGCCTTCGGCATTGCCTTGAAGCTCACCATGGCCGGCAACAACCAGTTCTCGCACCCTTCAACTTATGTCTTCCTGCTCTTGACAATTGTCTGTATTGTCACTCAGATGAATTACTTTAACAAAGCTCTTGCCTGCTTCCCCGCTAATATGTAAGTGTGTTTGCCACTTGGAGATGAAGGATATGCTACTGACAACTTTTTCCGACAGTGTCAACCCTCTGTACTATGTCACTTTCACGACCGCAACGCTTTGCGCCTCTTTCATCCTCTTTGGTGGCTTCAACACGTCCGATGCCGTCACGATTATCTCCCTTCTGAGCGGCTTTCTGGTCACATTTGCCGGTGTATATTTGTTGAATCTTTCGCGCGGCGACCCCAACGGCCACAAGTTGGTCAACGGGCGCCCAAGCATGGATGTTTCGGGTACCGACATGATCTCAAGCATCCAGACCCGTCTGAGCATGCAGTCTCGGAGAAGTTTCGATCCTCACCGTCGCCTCAGCGTCAACAGCCTGCATGGAGACCGAGAGGGCCTTATGAGGGGTTATGACGAGGAGTCCGGCGCATTTGGTCTCACCGAGCTTGCCGAGGAGAGCGATGAGGATGATATTGGCCGTCCCATGCAATCTACCAATGGTCGTAAAGGCGGCTACGGCAACTCGATAGAGCTTCAGGAACGCAAGTCCGACTCATGATAATTGTCACTTGCTCCCTGTTGCTTCTTTTTCTTGGCCATGAACAATTTCTTAACTGGGACGATTTCCAGCTCAAAAACATGTTGGATGTCCTTCTCTTCATTCCCCCTTTGGCGACCAGATCTTATACGGGTCGCCCTCCTTCTATCCTCTCTTGAAGATGGCATTTTGCTATCTTGTCTTTTTTTTTTTTTTTTCGACGAAAACATGTGCAAAATGACATGAGGTCCCCCTTTACCCCCTTTTCTGGGGCACCGAATGGATGAAATGGATCGGGTTTATTCTGCATCTATAGGGAGGATTTTGGTGACGGAGATAATATGGTTGGCGTCCGAGACTACCAAGGGGAGGTGCTTTCTCTTGACCATGCGGGGCGGGTGGTTTGTCTGATCACGAAACAAACGCATCTTTGCGTTTATCTGCCTTGCTCATCACCTCTTGTCACCGAGAGCTATGGGAAGCTGCAGAATTTGCACATCTTGATCTTGCGCGCGCAAAGGCATACTCATACATTTCCAGCACCGAGCATTCTAGCTTGACGGGCGAATCGGGGCGGGCGGCATCCGGCGTTTAATGGAGTATGACACATGGAAGGCGGTGTCGAAGGTTCTCCTTCCTAGGACTGACATGTTGGGCTTTTATTTTTTTCTTCTTTTTTTTTTTGTTCTTTCTCTCTCTCTGGTATTGGTCCCCTGTATCTCCCTTGGGAAGTAGGTGGCTTGGGCGCGCCTCTACGCATTCCTCTCAAGTGTGTTTCAATGCCTCCATGATATCCATCATCAGGCTTTCTACAGCAGCATCACGGTCCCGGGGTATACTATCAATATATGCAACTGGAGCTGGTGCTTGGCGATGCTTGGGTAGGATAGTAGTATGTACGATTATTTTGAAATAGACACAGAACTGTGGACTTGCCATCACTCTCTCTCCCCATAAACCCTTGGATGATATACAAGATTGAACCTGGCCTCGCCGAGACCAACGGACCACATGATGCCCCCTTTTCTGGGTGGTGCCGACAACTCTACAAACGACTCGCGAGATTTTGCTGGCACTTGAGTGGGAAGACGGAGGATTTACGAAGACAGATTTCATTCAAGCCGTGAATCCCAGGCTCTTCTTTGCTACCTCGAGTGTATAGTTTTTGTGTATCATTACACGGCAAAGAAACGTTTCATTCCCCCTTTCCTTCTCCGAGATGCAATGAGGGAGAACATATAAAAAAGAACAATGTCACTTGAGACGCCGTTGTACGAAAGCACCACAGTAGACCGAGTTCTGGTAATGTCTTCCGAACCCAACCAAATTTTTTTCGTTTAGCTCTTGGTCATCAGTACCATCTGGACCTGTCCATACGCTTTACATGTCCCCCCTCCCATGCTCCAGTGGTTCTCGGCAGAACCAGGGTGCTCATAGTTGTACTGTCCACCGTAGGGAAGCTGCTGGTGATAATGATGTTCCCCACCATAGTCAGCCTGCTCGCCATAATGGACAGCGGCATTAGGAGCAAACAGAACATAAGGTGGCTGGCTGTGATAACCCATAGGCTGCTGGTAATAAACCCCGTCTCCAACACTAGGACCAGGAGCTGCGATAGGAGGGTGGTTGACAGTTTCTTCGTGGACAGGACGACGGCTCTCCTCAGCTTGGCTATTCTATTGCTCAGCCGCGGGGGCCTCCTCGCTCTCCTCCTGCTGCGCCCTCTGGGCTTCCTGGGCAGCCTGGAGCTGAGCAGCCTTCGCGCCGTAGTCGACCGAGGCAGGTTGAAGAATGGCCTGCTCCTCCTTGGGCTCGATAATGGTGACGGAATCGGGGAGGGTCTTCTGGGGACCAGTCTTGCCCTCGGGGTCGGAGCCCCTCATGATCTTGACCTTGATACCCAAGACACCCTGTCGGAGGAGTACGTGGCGGGTGGCGCTGTCAATGAAGTCGAGAGCGGGCTGACCGGAGTGGATCATGAAGCCGTCGGTGAACTTCATGGACTTGGCACGAGCAGCACGGAGCTTACCCGAGACGACAACCTCGCAACCCTTGGCACCAGACTCCATAATGAAGCGGAGGACACCATAGCAGGCACGACGGACGGCGAGACCGTTGAGGAGCTTGTATCGGAGAGACTCGCACTGAGCGACGGCGGAGAGACCGCGGTTCTGGACCTTGGCGGCGTAGAGAGAGACCGAGTTCTCGGGGAACTTGAATCGCTTCTGGATGAGCGAGGTGAGCTCACGGATGCGGCGACCCTGCTCACCGAGAACCTCTTGGGTGTGGGTGGCTCGGATGATGATATCGGTGACGGTGGGGGTGACGCGGACTTCGACACCAGAGTAACCCTCCTCGGCAAGCTCACGCTGGAAGAACTCGTTGAGCTCGGCGTAGAAGACGCCGTCGGCGACGAACTTCCTGCGCTTAGAACTGTAATATGGGCGAAAAAGATTGACTGTCAGCAGACATCCCACGGACTTGAAAAAAATCATTTCCACCCCAGCGGCCACGAAACTGAAACGGAGAGCATTGTTGATGCGGTACACTTCATCGGCGGGCGAGAACTGGAAGGTGGTTGTTCGTGGGGTTCGCGCCGGCGGGGATCAATGGAGGGGCAGAACAGGATTGATACTCACATCTGAGTTCCTGGGACGGGGGACATCTTGGGCGATATGAGGCGTCTCGCTGAGGGTGTTGTGGGACGGGAGGTTGAAGGAGGTGGGATGTAGGAGAAAAAAATGTGGGATTTGGATGAGATGCCAGCACAAGATGTCAGTGGTCGATTTTCGGCAACGTCGAGAATCGTGGACTGGGGCTCTTGCAGAACGTCCCTTCTTCGACTAGCAGCACCAATTTCTGGTGTGGGCGGAAAATCGGTGGAAAGCCCTAAAGGCCGATTCCTGAAGAGACTTGGTCTGTGCACGGACTCTGGTTCGTTGCAAAAGCATCCAGATATGAGCATGTTTAGCCGATTATTCCCCGAAACCAGCCATCCCGTCAACGTCATCCCATTGGATGCACTTTCCAAGCTGGCCAACATGAGGGGCAGGCACAGAAGACGACCTGGATCGCGGGGCACCTGGTGCTTCTCTCACTTCAAGAACGTGTCGGCAGGTTCGCAACTAGGTTCGCTACCACCGTCTTTACAGGTGGCCAAGTCGCTTCAACTCATATCCGAAGCACCACCCCTTTGAAAGCCACTTGCTTCAATAGTGATGAAGAGAAATTTCTCAATCCAATCCTCATCTGTTAACTTCGTATACCTTTCAAAATCTTAGACCAGGGGCCCGACACACCCGGCCTTCATCCGCTTCCCTTAACACCGCGCGCATTCCATAATACGATTAGCATAGAGTAGGGCCTATCAATAACACGGCTCTTCGGACCCCTGTCCTTACGCTTGGCTGCGGTACTGTTTCTAGAGTCGCTCTATGCCTAGAGGGCCAGGGCCCTGATCTATCGTATACAAGCCTTCGGGGCGTGTGCTTGGTCATGGAGGCGAAGAAGGTAAACCTGACTGCTATCCCCGCAACTGCCTTGCCTGGGTGGAGTGCAATCGTGTGTGTTTCTAACCCTGTCGTCATCCTAGGTGTTTGAAAATGTCCAGGGCATCAGCGGCGGCCTCACTTCTACTGGGACACTCAGGTTGACGAATTTCCATCTCGTCTTCTGCGCCGCTCCCCACAGGACCAAATTCCTAAAGATGGTCCACCGCCTAGAGTTCGAGAATCCTGGATTACGTACCCAATTCTCTCTTACTGCGCATTTCGACCGACCCCGAGCTCGTCCGGCATCCCATCGTCGATCCGAATAAGGTGCAGGGACTTTACTTTTGTCACGTTCAACTTCCAGGATGATAAACTAGCGCGTGAGGCTTTCGAGTTCATCCGCGCTCGTACTTGCAAGCTCGGTACTGTAGAAAAGCTATATGCCTTCAGCTATAAGCCCCTGAAGGTTGAAGAGGGTATCAATGGCTGGGAGCTGTATGACGCCAGGGCCGAATTTCGTCGTCAAGGCATTAGTGAAAAGTCTACTGAGAAAGGCTGGAGGGTTTCAACCATTAACCAGGATTATAAATTTTGCGACACCTATCCAGCGCTCTTAGTCGTCCCCTCGTCAATTTCCGATCTCACTCTCAAGTACGCCAAGGAGTTCCGATCCAGATACCGCATACCGGCGTTATCATACCTCCATCCTGTGAATGGCTGTACCATCCTCCGAAGCTCACAACCCCACGCTGGGATAACTCGCAAGACCAATACGCAAGATGAAAAGCTCGTGTGTGCTGCTTTTGCTTCCAATATGCGTGGTGGTGTGACAGCCGACATGTCCCCACCGAGGCTTGTTAGCGAGCCAAGCACCGTCTCAGAGACACCAACAGATGGTAGTGCGCCGGATGATGCTAGCCTTCAGTCTGACGCTCCCGAGATGTACGATGCAAAGGAAAGCGTCTTATATATGGCGCGCAGCAGAGCAACCTAATCGTCGATGCACGCCCTACTATAAATGCCATCTTCAACCAAATGCAAGGACTCGGTTCCGAGAATATGGAGGGCTACAAAAACTCACAGAAAGTTTTTCTCAACATTGATAACATCCACGTCATGCGTTCATCCCTTAACCAAGTAATTGAAGCGATCAAAGACGCCGATATCTCGGCACTACCTCCGAATAGAGATCTCCTTGCGAAAAGTGGATGGATCAGGCACATCTTCCATGTTCTCTCGGGCTCCATACAGGTCGCGAAGCAGGTGGGGATCAATCACTCGCACGTCTTGATCCATTGCTCAGATGGCTGGGATCGCACAAGTCAACTCAGCGCCCTCGCGCAGATCATGCTTGACCCCTATTATCGCACCCTTGAAGGCTTTGTCGTTCTGGTGGAAAAGGACTGGCTCTCGTTTGGGCACATGTTCAGGCTCCGTTCGGGACACTTAAACCATGAGGATTGGTTTGCGGTACAGCGAGATGCCCTTGCCGGGTCTACCGTTCAGCCAGGCGAGAACGATGGTAGGGGTGATGCTCTCCAGAATGCCCTAGAGGGCGCTCGTCGGCTATTTGGCCAAGTTAAGCCCGATCCTCAGCTCGAAGCTATGACGGAGGCAGCGCCCGGCGAGGTGGTGGAAAGTGAGATGACGACCAAGAAAATGGTTAGCCCTGTTTTCCACCAGTTCCTCGATTGTGTTTACCAAATTCAGCGGCAATACCCGGATCGCTTTGAGTTCAATGAGCGTTTCCTCCGAAGGCTCTTATATCACCTCTACTCATGCCAGTATGGGACATTCCTCTATAACTCCGAGAAGCAGCGCCATGATGCCAAAGCCAAGAGCCGGACTTCTTCCGTATGGGATTATTTCCTTTCACGAAGACCCGAGTTCACCAATCCGGACTTCACTTCTGCCATCGATGACCACGTTAAAGGCCGTGAGCGTTTATTGTTCCCCGATATCAAAGAAATCCGCTGGTGGCATCAAGTGTTTAATCGTAGTGATGAGGAGATGAACGCAGCATTGGACGCAATGTCTGCGATGGAAACTGACCGCGCAACAATGGTTGCGAATCTTCAAGTACCATCTGACGCAACCATCCAAAGCAACAGTCAGCCAGCGACGCCTACGCGATCACTGAGCCCGAAACCCCTCCAACTTTAGTTGCTAGCCAGTCAGCTCTCGACCCAATTGAGCCCCCGGGAATCTTTGACTGCCGAGGCCGCCATCCCCGCGCTCCACCGAAGCGCAAGCGCCGATGCACCGGGCCCCTTTTCTACTATTCGTGACGGCATTGCCGGTCTCAAACTCCTTAATCCTCTGGGACGAGCTAGCGAGCCGTCAAACACGCCAGGACCAACGCAGCGCGAGCAGGAGATGCGGGAGATGACGTAGGGGTCATGTTTCCAAACGAGGGCCCATATGTGGTGACCGAACCCATTAGAATGATTCGGCCACAGACACGTGACGACGAATTGAGCTTTTGTGATGCTGTTATGATCGAGTCCCCGACAACGCTGTATGATTCTTCCGAAGAAGGAGACTTAGACTTCCGGAGTTTGGAGACAAGTATATGCAGTGCCGGTGAATGCCTTAGAAACCTGCCTACTGGTGGTACCGAGAACCCTTAGAGGGCTGTAATTTGCCGCTCACGGCTGAACTCGCTTCCTCCGCATAGGGTTGAGGCTTATCCTAGGGTTTAGACTGGGTTGTCGGGCGTTGGACACTGATTGTGATTCTTTTTTTGTTTCTTCTGTTTTGCATAGCGAGTGGTATGAGTCGCAAAGTAGGGGTTATCCGGAAGGCTAGTTCAGATACGTTTTACAAGCAGAGGCCATGAGCATAGATAGCTATGCGGATGGAAACAAGGTTCCTGTGTGAACGTTTAGAAAACGCAAGACTTTTCAAACGAAATTGGAGGATCAGAGGTTATCCGATGGGCGACAGGGGACATGGGGCACACGCAAGTATCTCCTATTCAAGAGAACCATCATCCGTGAATGCTCCTCGCTTCCCATTCGGTGATGTGTCTAGATGCGCAAGATCTATCTCTCGTCTCTTTTTTCTCTTTCTTTCCCTCTCTTCCCAAAAAACTCCACGATACAGAGTGATCTTCCATCGTCTGCTCCTTCCATAATTTCTTATAGGAACTCTTCCAGGTTAATCTCAAGCGTGCTTACGGGGTATCTGGAGAGAGTATGTTAGTTTTATATTGCGGATTGCGCCAAAGGCAAAAAAGCAAATCACAGAAAGGGGGAGAGGGTCAGAAAAAAAAACCAAAATGACGAAGGAGAAAACCTCACCTTAGCTCGAACTTTTCCAGCACAGACGGGTGAAGGATGCCCAACTCGCCGATACGCCTCTCAACGCCACCGATGCGGAGGAAGACGGCAGCACCACGACCAGGGAAGAATGTCTCCTCTTTGATTTCTTCGATCCAATATCCGTCAGCCTTCCCGGAGCCGCTGGACGGAGCAAGGCTTCCGCTAGCCTTGCCGGAGAGACCCTCCTCGCGAGTGACGAAGGCAGTCTTGAGCATGGAGAGAACACGGTCGAGAAGGCCGTGGACCATTTCGAAACCACTAGTCTTGCCGTACCAGGCGGCAGCGAAGTGACGCTCGTTGCGAGTCTTGCGCTCCTGGGACTCGTCCTTGAAGACGACGTCGGCAGCCTCAAAGACCTTGAGAGGCACCGCATGGGCCGTGTTCTCGCGGATGGTCTTGAGAAGGCCAGGAAGAAGGGAGGTGCGGACGACCTGGTATTCCGCGGACTTGGGGTTAGCGAGGCGGACGGCGGTGGTGCCGTCATCGATGCGGTTGAGCCAAGAGAAGTTTTCGTCGTGACTGCAAAGAATAAGCGGCATGACCTCACTCCAGCCGGCGGTGGCGGCCTCGATGCGGATAATGTCGCTCAGCTTGTTGATCATGAGGGGGCACCGATGGTAGCGCTCTTGTTCGGGATAGAGCGGGGAAGGTTATTGTAGCCGTAGCAGATGGCGAGATCTTCCATGACATCGCAAGGGTGCAGGACGTCGGTTCGGGTGGGGGAATGGAGACCTCAATCAGGTTCTTGTCCTTGGAGGAAGGCTTGGAGATGTAAGCCATCTTGTCGAGGAGCTTGCATAGCGCCTCGGGGACTCGCCAAGACCGGTGCAGCCGTTGAGATAGTCGACTTCGACCTCGGTGGTTCGGTGCTCGAGATTGGGGGTTACCCTCGTTTGGTTGTTGTGATCGGACTCGATCTTGACGGGGTACACAGTGAAGCGCTCCTTGCAGTATATGGAGAACATGGTGACCATTGTCTTGATCACGATGTCTAGTTTGGTCGCATCAGTGGCGGTGACCTCTATCAGGACGTTTTTGGTATCAAGGGTGATCTTGGAGCGGTCGCCGTTGATGATGGGGGCAGCGAGAGGACGGTCCGGTTGGCGTCGTAGATTACGGGATATACGGGCGAATCGCGGATAATGTGGAGGTAGCGACCGAGGTGCTTGTCCTTGTCGTAGAACTCCATCAACTCCCTAGCGTTCATTTTTTGTGTCTGGTTGAGAGGCACGAAGCTGATGTCCTCGGGAGCGAGGGCCTCGTACGTGAAAGGGCCCTTTACGGTATCAAGATCGTGGGTGCCAATTGACACCAAGGTCCTCTGCCGCGCCAGGTTCTGGTGCAACTTGTCTTGTAGGGAGATGAACGAGTTGTATCTGTCTTGGTCAAAGGCGACATTGCGCAAGATGGCGGCGGCGACGAGGGGGCGGATCTGAGAAGTTTCGGGAGCGACTTTGATCACCTCGGCCTTCTCATCGACGGGCTTTAGCAACTTGAAGTCCGGGGAGGCATGGAGCCGCGGAAGATGTTGAGCATGAGGGCGATGCCCTCGAAGCAGAGCATGTCATAGCGGTTGGCGGGGATTTCGATCTTGAGCTCGGGAGGCGCTTGCTTGCCATCTATAATGGGGCGGTTGGTGTCCTCGGTGTCTTCATCGAGCTCGATGCCGAATTCGAAACAAAGGTCCTCGAATTCCTCGGTCGTGAACCTAGGGACAGCGCGGGCGGTCGCGCGAGGTCAGCGTTTGGCGGGACAAGGCCAGTCAGTGGAGGGGCAGGCATGCATGGTGGGATGGAGGGGTTCGACGGGGCTTGGGAAGGAGGAAATTCCTCATGGGCGTTGCGCCCGACGAGGGTCCTGGACGCACTTTTGACCGAGGGCTTCGTAAAGCTTATACTTGTCTACCGTGATGGTCGGCATTTTTCTGGGAACGATAATTCTCTGACTAGCAAGCTTTTGCACGGGAGTATCGGGGACCGCGATTGTGAAAGCGCTGTCCAGCTTATGGTCTCTTTTGACGGGAACAATCGCTGAGTCAACTTTTGGAAGTTTCAGTGTTGCGAGTCACAGAAATCCATGGCTAAACCCGAGACCGTGTCAATGCTGTTAATGCGGGCGGAGCGTCAAAGGATGAAACGCCAAACCCTTGCCGGCTGGCAGCTTTTGGCCCAAGTCAGATTGGGGAAGTACAGTAATACCAGATCAAGGTCGTCCCGTGTGTTGGGTGTCCCGTCCATTGGAAAAATCAACCCCACGGCTCGACTTTCTTTCGAGGTACAAAGGTACTTGTGAGCTCGGATCGAACCCACCAACGTATCCATGGATGGATCCAGCTCAACCTCTAACCTTGTTCTATTTTTCTTCTTTTTTGGTGCTCTTCATCCATATCAGGAGACGAACTGATCGCTGCTCCGGTAAATTGTCAACGTCTACCAAGACACTTTCAACGCTTATCACAAATCCCGCCTAGGTCAACCCAGATATACGTGTTGATCCTGCTGGAAGCTATGCGGATATTCTGCTGGTGAAGGCGAGGATGGGATATCCAAGTCTCAATCGACCTGCCCCTCATTTTGCTGTCTGTGCTTGGCCTGCCGGAGCCGTACCTGCCCAGGAACATAATACAAGTAATAGAGTACTTGCTCGAGCAGCCTCACTCCAGTGTCAGTCAATCGAAGAATGAGGCTGAGGCTGCTCTTTGGCGTAACACAAGCAGACCATCCAAGGGCTTCTCGGGTGCCTTTGTTGGAGGTGAGGGTCAGCGGCAAGTCCACCTGATGCATAAATCCATTGCATTCAATCATTGTGTTTGCCTCAGCCCAGTACAATACATCACAATGATATCCTTCAGTGTTGGCAAAGCGGACATGGGCGCCGCCTTCGAAAGCCAAGAAAAACCGCCTCTCTAATTGCATCTCGAGGGAGGCAAGATGACGGAAGTACTTGAGGTTTGATGCATTGATCCATGTAGCGCCACGCCGTTCTGTCGACGACAAGTTGATCCACCGATGGGCATTGAGGGAGAGGCGATTTTGGGGTAATAGCAATGGTGAATGGATCTTGATCAATCATTCAACCCGTGCTGGAGCAGATCCAGCCCTGAGTCCGCAAGAGGCTTCCCGTGGTTGGTCGCTTGATAGGACCCTAGCACATAGAACCGGGGCACAGCATAGAACCCCTCTGATAATATAGCCCAAGCCGTGACTGACCCATCGACTACCACACTGACGGGCAGGATGCAGCAATTCCCCCGCTAGCCTCACTCTGAATGCTGACCACCACGTCGTCGGTCACGAATTGAACCTCAACAGACCAGGCAATCAACCAATTTGTGTGTGCTTGGGCAGATTGATTGTCCATGTCCATCCTAGGACCAAGGCCCTGCATCACGGTCTAATCAAATCAATGGGACTGCAGTGCAGTAGAATCTTGCCCACAACCCCCATTTCCTCCTGTAGCCGCCGTCCATCTGCATCCCAGCCAGCTATTTTTTTCATCTTCTTTTTTTTTTCTTTTTCACGCTTTTTTTTTTTTTATGTTTCGCCTTCGAAAGCCCACCCGATCGATTACGGCGATTAGCTCCTGTCGCTCTCTGGAAATCATCAGCTTGGGTTGGCTGCATTTTATTGTATCATAGTCATTCAAAACCCCCAGTCCAGTCCAGTTTGCCGCGCGACCCCACCCAATCACCAAAGGGTTTTAGCCCAACTCTACTCTAGTGTAGCCTGTCTGGTCTTGTCCTGTCCTGAGCAACTGTCGGCACGCGATAGACGTCTAACCCACCAAGCCTTCCCACCTCCCACCTCCCACCACCTCCTAAGACCTGCAACCTCCCCACCATAACCCCGTCGACTCGACCATTTAGACGCGCATCAACAAGCCGAGCTCGCCATGGCGGACGCGCAGAATCCCAACGACGAGCTTTACCCCATCGCGGTGTTGATGGATGAGTTGAAGGTATCGCCCGCCAATTGCAATTCCTCGCCCCCGAGCAAGGCCGCCAGCGCTCCTTAGCCTCCTCACCTCCCCTCTCCGTCCTCTCCCCCTCCCCACGTCATACGTCGCTCCGTGCTCTCTCTCAAGCCGCTCTCGATCCATGTATACCCGACGTCGCGCATCGCGAACCTCACAGCTAACGTCTTTGCTTTCCAGCACGATGATGTCCTACTTCGCCTAAACGCCATCCACCGCCTCTCCACTATCGCCCTTGCTCTGGGGCCCGAACGCACTCGCGAGGAGCTCATCCCCTTCCTCGACGGTTAGTCGCGATCCTCACCTCGGGAGATATCGTCTCTTCCTTTGTCCCCAAGCTGCTTTTCTTTTTCCTCGTGCCTGCCTTGCGTATGTTTTGTCTCTGACAGTTTCGCCGTTGTATCTCTCGCAGAATCCGTCGATGATGAAGATGAAGTTCTTGTTGCCCTGAGCGAGGAGCTTGGCGGCTTCATCGAATATGTCGGAGGACCTCAGTTCGGCCATGTTCTGTTGTCCCCCTAGAAAACCTTGCTTCTATCGAGGAGCCTGTCGTGCGAGACAAGGTACGTTGCTCCCCCTCACCTCATCCCTCTGGTCCTGCTTGGGCCTGAAGCTGATCAAGTCGTCTGGCATCCTCGAAATTTTATCTAGGCCGTCGAATCTCTCAACAAGATCTGCGCCGATCTGTCCTCTGAACAAGTCGAGGAGTACTTCATCCCTCTCACCATCCGACTCTCGAAAGCCGACTGGTTCACCTCCAAAGTGTCAGGCTGCGGTCTTTACGCCGCCCCGTACAAAAAGGTTTCGCCAGCCGTCCAAGAACAGCTTCGCCAACAGTTTGGCCATCTCGTCCACGATGAAACCCCCATGGTCCGCCGCCAGGCCGCGATGAATCTCGCGAAATTCATCCAGGAAATGTCCGCCCCGTTGTCGTCGAAGAAATGATACCCCTCTTCCAGCATCTTGCCCAAGACGAGCAGGACAGCGTCCGGCTCCTCACCGTCGAAGTCTTGATCTCCATCGCCGAGGTCGTCCCGAAGGAGCAACAGGCTAGCCATGGCGTCCTACTGACCTCCCTCCGCAACCTGATCGTGGACAAGGCTTGGCGAGTCCGGTATATGGTAGCAGACCGGTTCGAAAAGGTACGCATTTTGCAGCGCTTTTGTGAATGATATCCCCCACCACCCCTCGTCCTCCATTTCCCCCAATGGACGCGACCGCTGTGTGTCAGTTACTGCCCCACTCGCATCTTGCTGATATGTAAGAAATAGATTGCCAAGGCTGTCGACGAGGAGGTTGTTGCGAGGGACTTGGTTCCGGCTTTCGTAAAGCTGCTCAAGGACAACGAAGCAGAGGTGCGGACGGCCATCGCGGGCCAAATCCCTGGATTCTGTGCCTTGGTTGATCGTTCGGTCCTCCTCGACTCCATCATGGGCAGCATTGAGGGTCTCGTCAGCGACACTTCCCAACATGTCAGGGCCACTCTCGGAACACAGATTAGCGGCTTAGCGCCTATTCTCGGCAAGGAAGCGTAGGCGTTTTCCCGAATTCTCCCCTGATCTACTGCAGAACTTGGCTAATTCCGACATTTAGGACTATTGAGCATCTCCTGCCCATGTTTCTCTCTATGCTGAAGGATGAGTTCCCCGATGTCAGGCTCCATATTATTTCCAAGCTTGAGCTGGTCAACCAAGGTATGATTGATTCGTCATCCCGCACTCTTAACTTCGACATAGGCAGTGCCGACTAACCCCGTCTGAACCCCCAGTCATCGGTATCGATCTCCTCTCGCAGTCGCTGCTTCCCGCCATTGTTCAATTGGCCGAGGATAAGCAATGGCGCGTGAGGCTCGCCATTATCGAATACATTCCGTTGTTGGCGAGCCAGCTCGGTGTCAACTTTTTCAATGAGAAGCTGAGCAACCTTTGCATGAGCTGGCTGGGCGACACCGTCTTCTCCATCCGAGAGGCTGCCACTGTGAACCTGCAGAAGCTCACAGAGGTCTTTGGCGTCGACTGGGCTAATGAGGCTATCATCCCCAAGGTCATGGCCATGGGTAACCACCCCAACTACCTTTACCGCATGACGACCTGCTTTGCGATATCCGTAAGTTCTTCTCTGGCCTAGCTATCCCCGAATCCGCTTCCTGATGAGCCGCTCCGCATCCCCCACGCACCTTTTACGATTCGCCTGCATCGCGTGGTGAGGGCTGGCTTTTTTTTCTTTTTCTCTTTGCTGACCCATTCCCTAGACCCTTTCGGGCGTGGTGAGCATGGACGTGATTGCAAAGTCCATAATCCCCATGCTTGACAAGCTCGTTGATGATGATATCCCCAATATCCGCTTCAACGTCGCCAAGACTTATGGTGCGATTATTGACACCTTGCGCCGCTTGCCCGACCAGGGCACCATTTACAACTTGGAGAAGGCAGGAACGCCCTTCCAGGCCTCTCCTCGGGGCATGGAGCTCATCCAACAACGCATCCTACCCAATCTCGAGAAGCTCCAGAAGGACACGGATGTGGATGTCTGCTTCTTTGCGGTGACGGCGGCCCAGCGTGCAACAGGTCAGGTGGAGGGGGAGCCGATGAATACTTCGCCATAGATGATGAGTCACGTTAATGAAGCAAATCCCAAAATCACACACTTGTTACTCTGTTTCCGTTATCGACAACCCCACCTCGCACCTAGAGCCCATTGTGCGCGCGATTCCTATGCCTCCACAACACCCCTCCCACCCCTTGTCCAACCTTTCTCCTTTTAGTATCCCTCGCGAATGTTGATGGGTAGCCGGGCATTCGGACAGCTACTTAATAGTACCTTGTTTGTTGACACACCTCGATCTGTCCCTTGGCTCGAGTTGAAATATGGGACAAATGCATAGCAGAGTTCAGACGCACGGCAACACCCTGGGGTGGCTCGTTAGGGGGTGGGGGCTTTCCATAGCTAAACAGTTGGCATGACAGAGGTTTCAATGGAGAAGGCCCAGTCTCCAACCCCGAAACAAACTAGGAGAAAAAGTTGCAAGAGAGCAGTAACGTAGAGATAGATGGAGAGAGAGAGAGAGAGAGCTTGAGGATGAAATGTAGTTGAAGGTCGGGTTAGTTTAACATCATCGAGAGCGAAAACAGAACCGTTCATTACCATATCCACGCTTACCCTTGGGAGTGATACTATCTCTGAGAAGGCTACTCCGGACACTAGGCCCATTCATTCTCAAATCCATTCAAATTTATTCGTTTTGCTTGATTTCTCTACTGCATGCTCACCATTCACGACCTCCTCCTGAAGCACAAGGTGCTAATCGTCTGACCCTTGGCGCCGCCAAACGTAAAGGCCCTATACTCGACCCTTCCCGATTCCTCAAGCTCGCCCCCGTGCCCTCGACGAACCAGGCCCGCAGCTCCTCCTCGGTCCAGTTACAGCTCGTCACGACGAAGAGGCCGCCGGGCCGCACGAGAGTGGGCACTTTTTCCTTGTACCCCTCGCATATCCTCCTACCGCGGTCGTCGAGCTGGTCCGACAGGCAGATGGCGTCAAAGGTGCCCTTGTCGAGGACGACGTCCCAGCCCGCGTCCTGGTCGCCCGAAAGCACGGGAGAGGTATCGCCGCTGAGAAGATCCCAGGTTTCGAAACGCACGGGTTCCGACGAGGGGGCGGCCGCGGATTTCCCTCGTCCTCCTCATCATCCTCCTCATCCTCATCTGTGTCGTAGTTTTCTTCTTCGTCGTCATCGTCGTCGTCCTTTCCCCGCGCCGCGCCGCGCCTTTCCTCTATCCGACGCGCGAGCGCCACGCTATTCGCGCTATAATCAACGCCCAGCGCGGGCCAGACCACCCGCGCCTGCGCAGCGCGCGGAGCAAGCTCCCGTTCCCGCAGCCAAGGTCGAGGAACGAGGTGGCGGCGCGGTCGAGCGCGGGGTCGTCGCGGGCGGCGAGGAAGGCGAGGAGCTTCGCTTCGGCGTCGGAGTCGTCGAACCACACCGTGCCTTGGTCGGCGGGGTTGGAGGCGTGGTTGGAGAGTTCGGTGGAGTAGAGCGCGTCCCAACTAAGAAAGAGGGGGACACCCAAATAAGCAGAGGGAGATGGCAAGGAAGGGAGGGCCTTTTCTTTTTTTTTTTTTCGTGGCACCAGAACCCCGACGGCCCCGCCCCCTTCCTTACTCTCCCCTCAATATTCCGTGGTTAGTTCCGAGTGGAGGGTAAGGGAGGAGACGAAAAAAGAAAAGATGGGAGGTGGTAGCTATGGTGCGTAGCTAGCCCACCAGCGGGTTTCTTACTATTCCTTCGTCCCAAGCTTAGACGGCTCAAGGTGAGCGGGCAGAGAGTCAGCCATGGGCGCGGTGATCTCTAGGAGAGCTAGTTTTCTCTTCCTCTTTTGTCTTTCTCTTTTTCCTCTTGAGACGTGTATTTATGCAAAGATATCACCAATATCACGTATAAGTAGAAAAGCCAACCGGGCCTCGCCAAGCGATGGTGCAACACGCGCGGAGGACGTATAACCGCAAAGAGAAATGTCGTCGAGAATCGAGACGAATTTGGTATCTGTGGGCGAGCTTGCACTATGCTCAGCCTTGTCTTGTCGTCTTCGATGTCACGCGCAGCCTTAAGAGAAAAAAAAAGACTTGGTGGGATGCTTCTAAGTGATGGAGAAAAATTAGTTTGGAGGGGTCTGATATCAAAGTACCGGCAAAGTTTCTCGACAGCTTTTCCCTCAAGAAAGGTACAGATTAGATGGGAGACGATACAACTGTGTTCAAGGCCTAGCAACCGGCACCACTCAGCTCAAAATGCGAATCCTCTTTAAGTTCTGCGCGTGTCGTTGCAATCCGTTACTCGTTTCTATCAAGTCATACAGGGAGCTAGCTATCACTCTTCTCTAGCCTACCACCTACCCAGGATGTTAGGCCTGGCAGGCCTCTCTCTCATGGGTCTTTCGTCGCACTGATGACGCCGATCCGGCCTGAACTGTTGAAATCTATACCAATCATTACCAGATACAAAGATACAAATGATACCCCACATCAATTCCGTTACCCCTCATCATCCCAATCCAGCAACAGAGGCACAAGTATTCGTCAAAGGGGGCAACAAGAAAAAAAGCCTCGTGCTTCTCACCCCTCCTCGACCAACGCTCGCACGAGTCTAAATATAGACCGAGGGAGAGTAAGCGGAAGACATAATGCTTCGACCATGACGAGGAAAGGGCTGGCTTCGGCATCCATCCTCCCACAAAAAAAAAAACGCCCAAAGTTGCCTTTGTTGCTAGATGCAAACTTCATGTTCATAGTAAACGAAACCAGCGAGGCGGGAGGGGAGGGCCATTCATGCATGGATCCAAGAACCCTCGTCATTTCTGTTTCTTTTCTTCTTTCTCATTTCGCAAAAAATAAAAATAAAAACCATTATCTGGTGCCTACTGCTGAGCGAAACGTAGAATTGAGCTGTCATTGTCAACAGTCTTGCCAGTCTGCAAATGTCATTCTTTCCTCAGAGTAGGGCTGGGGGCTCTTGCGTGCCCCTGGGCTGTGCCAGTGCTACCCATCATAGCAGTCGGAGCCCAAGGCTTTTGAGCCTAACCAAGCGTCCAGACGGGGCCTTCATGAGCACCTGTCTACCTCTAACCTCCAGCGCAACGAAACCGGCGACCCGGACTCTGTTGGCATCTTTAGGGGTCCTTGAATCCCAAGTTAGCTCGTACTGTAATAGATAGATATAAGTGACTCGAGGGGCTGGGCCACAAATGGTACATACCAGGTCGGCTTCGATCCGCGTGACGGTCCTTTGAGGCCTTGTCCTTGTCCCCAGCATCGCCATCGTCGTCGTCATCCCCGCCCTCCTGGCCTTCCAGGAGGGGAGGCCCTGCTTCTCAACCTCCATAAAGGTAGGATCTATCAGATCGCCCGGTAGGGGTATCGCACGCCAACGTCACGGCTTTCTAGCGGGATATTGGCCGCGATTCCAACCGCCAGCTCCATGATCATCGATGCGCTTCCTTCCACCCCGGGCGGGGCCGGATCGTTGAGGTACTGCATGAGGGTCGTCAAGAGGTTGGCGGTAACCTTGCTAATGAACTCGGCGCGGTTTTCCGCGCTTTCGGGAGACGCAAGCTCCCTCGAGAGGCCCTCGAGGGTGGCCATCCTCCAGCTGATAACCTTGGCCGTGAGGGCTTCGAACTCCTCCTGGCTATTCAACGTGTACGAGTTGCGCCTAATACTGAGTTCAATCTCCTTCAGCTGCCGGCTGAGCACGGGATCGAGTCCGGGATGGAAGCAACGGTTGAAAACCTCCTCCACTATCCATCGCGTGATGACTGCCCGACCCACGGCCGTCATTTCCTGCTTTCCGGTTTGAAGGGCGTCCTGGCTCACAAAACGATCCAGCCACCGAGGCACCATGCGCCAGTCCTTGCGAATGTTGAACGACAGGTTGTTGATAGCGCCGTTCAGTCTGTTGAACCGGGTCGCATATTCGCTGTCGTCCAGCGAGGTGCGGGATTGGGATAACCTCTGGTTGGCAACGGCATTCTGCAAATGTTCAATCTGACCCGTCATCTGCTCTATTTGCGCCTTGTTTTCAAAGTACAGCCGCTTGACATTCTTGTACTTGACCACTATTCCACGGGGGAGGGAGAATCATCAGGTTAGTTTAGCCAAAGCAGCAAAGAGGAGGGGAGGGTGCCATCTCCCGGGGTCCAAGGGCACTTGGTCACGGTCACCAAAGTCAAGAATTGTAGGGTTATGGTCAACGTACATAATTCTCTAAAGGCCTTGTCAGGGTCCTCGCGCTCGGGTTGGGGGCTATTGCGGCCCTGGTCGCCTGCTGATCCGTCGTACGCCATCCTGTCCTGACCCGAAGTGCCTCTGAACGCCTGGTTCTGCTGTGCTCCGGGCTGCGGGGGCGGCATTCCTTGGTTCTGTCTGTAGTCGGGGGAACAGCGACTCCTTGTCCTTCTTGGGGCCTGGGTGCTTCCTGAGAATGCCTCGGCGGTTGAGTTTTAGAAGGGGGCTGTGGCATAGCCTGTTCGAATCCGTCTTGCTGCTCCTGGGCGGTCGGCGGCGGACGGGGACTCTCCTGGCCCGAGTGGGAAGCAAAAGTTACTGCGGGTGAGGCCTGAGAGGACTGGAACTGATGAGACGGACCAGTCTCGCCGGTCGGGGACTCTCGCGAAACTTGAGAACTAGTTTCGGGGTTGTGGTGAAGTGAGTTGGGCGGGAGGTGAACGGTGCGGAGTTGAGGCAGACCAGGTTGATATTGCTGCTGTCCTTGGGGTAGGTTGGGATGAGGATATTGCTGCGCCGGGTTCTGGTGTTGAAGCGGGTGCGCGACGTTGGCGTTGGCGTGGTCCTGAGGGTGTTGCTGGGCAGGATCCTGCTGGAGTTGGAGTTGGGGGATATTGGTGCGTGGGTGAGGCGGTAGCTGCTGATGCTGTTGGGTGGGCAGCTGAATTTCCTCACTCGAGTACGGTGAAGAGGAGTCGAGATCCGGGTGGATCTGGCGAATGGTGGTAGTATTGAGGGAATTTGGTTGGCCTTTAGATGGGGTGAGATATCGGGACCACGGGCCACAAACGACTCATCAATTTCGCCTACGCCAGCAAGGGGAGATGGCGATTGGCCGCCGTGAAAGGTGTGCGGTGAGTGAAGTTGTTGCTGCTGCTGTTGCTGCTGCTGCCAATCAACGGCAGGACGGTTGGGGTCTTGACCGTCGACAGAAACCTGCGACAGTTGCTGGGTCAAGGAGTAGCGGAAATTGGGCGAGTTACTCACGCGCTTGATGGGCGACGTCCAAGACCGGTCGTGTTGTCGTAACTGGATTGGCCGACCGGGGGCGGTTGCTGCTGCTGGTGCTGCTGTTGCTGGTGCTGTTGGTGCTGCTGGCCTTCCTTGCTCGAGGAACTGGTGAAGATACCCTTGATAATCTTCCGGGCGGAGCGTCTCTGCTCGGGTGGTGGCGGGGCAGGCTGTTGCAGTTGATGAAAGTGCTGGGGCGGCGGGGGCTGTTGTTGTTGTGCGAGGTGGGGTAGGGCGGGGTGGTGAAGGGGGTCTTTGGGGTGGTGCCGACCAAGGCCGAGAGCGTGGGCCTGAGCTTGGGCTTGGCTTTGCGCTTCTATCGGCGAGGCAAGTTGCTGCTGGAGATCATCTACGGAATTCGAGTATGCAGAGGGATGTTGGAGTGGTGGAGGATAGCGGTGGGGTTGAGGGGATGTGTGACGGGAGCAGATAGGTCATGGCCACTTGAGCGTGGATCAAAGGGGAGACCGGACCACCAGCCGCACTTTGATTGTGCAGAGGCTGAGTCGGGTTGGATTTGGTGATTTTATTGGTAGGTTTAAAATGGTGAGGCGGAGGCGGCGGCGGGTAATCGTCCTCCTCGTCCTCCTGTGGTGGGTGTTGGTGCTGCTGCTGCTGCTGCTGCTGCTGTAGTGGGTGCTGGAGAGAAAGATGCGGCTGTTGCTGTTGCTGTTGCTGCAGCAGTTGCTGTTCCTGTTGCTGGGAGAGAGACGGCGGAGGCTGTTGATGTTGATGTTGAAGCTGATGCTGTTGTTGAGGCGGGCGATTGTCCAAAGAGTCGCTGCTCAAACTGAAGCCACCTGGCGAACTTGGGTGAGGGGATTGCCGTTGCCAGCGCCAGCGTGGGAAGCGTGGGAAGGGGCGGGAGCCGAAGCCCCCGCAGGAGGAGCAGGTGCGCTGCCAGCACCAGGAGCGACCGTGCCAGCACCACTGAGGCCTTGGTCGCTGCTCACTTCCCGGTCGCTCGTCGCCGCTCCTCCGCTGGCCGGCTCCAGGATGGGGAGAGCGTGTTGCGACCGGTTGCCGTTCCGTCCTAAACGAGCAAAAGGCATAATACTTTACCTAGCGACTTGTTCGAGAGAGAGACGGGGGTTAGAACTTGGGCCCTGTGGGAAAGCTGTTCTCGGTCGCGAGTGTTTTTTGCGGTGGAAAAAAAAAAAAGTGTCGAGGAGAGCGAGGGTATGTTCTCTTTCCTTGGAGCGACAGCTACAACGACGGGTGAGACGGGAGTCAGCCACATCAATGGACGGGCACCGAGAAGGCTGGCTTAATTTGGATTTGGGGTCTGACAGGAGACAGGGGCGGGACCCACGGGGGAGAGGGAGGGGAGGGCGGGGAGGTTTGATGGCACTACGCAGGGCGGGATTGGGGCATTCTTTTAGGGGAGAGGGGAGGATCAAATGGGAGGATGAGCCGGTCTCTAGAATTGGCCGATGCATTGATTGATCGTTGCTGGCCCAGTATTTTGAATTGATCCATTTTCTTCGATGGAGCCCCCAGCGAACGATGCAACACGGGTCGTCGGCGCAGGCAGCAGCACCCGATACCCTACACGCAGACTGCACGGCGAGAGGTGAAGCAGGCCACTGGCCCGTTGGTTCGTGGAATGGGAATCGACGATAGATGGATCCAATGGATCTACCATTGAACCAACCCATTATCAGCTTGCACATGAGGGTTGAAGCTATCCGGCAACCCCACCGGAGGCCAACCTCAAGGTAGAATGTGGATTCTCTAGTCTGGCTGGAGGATCCAGGCTGCTTCGTATAGAGGCTGTCTAGAAGACAGATGAAGTTGGATGTTTACATGTATGCCAACTAGCCTCGGAGCGACCTGGTCAAAGGATCCCAGGTACCTCCAAATGGGCGACATGTATGTATGCTGAAGAGGAAGCCCGCTGTATTATCCCGTTTACACTATAGTAACAGACCGTGAATTTCAGTGGTGGATGTTTTATGTTGTTTTTGGTTGTCTGGCTGGCTCTTTTCCGTGAAGGATTATACTTGATTAAAAACCGCCTTGGCCGATCAAAAAATAGCGTGCGAGCAGATCTATGGATGGATCCATGGATCCATCTATGGATCTATTCTATCAGTTGCGTATTTCCAAAATCCCGCACCCTTCCTCATCCCCCAAAGCATTTTCGTCCAACATCCACTGTCATTGCTCGCCAGCCACGGCTGCAAGGCAAGAGTGTGTCTGCGAGAGAGCCACCAACAACAACAACTGTGGTGGTAGTGACGGATCCAGGTTCCAATCAATCTGCAAAATCGTTGCAAGCAGAAAAACAAGGTTACACATCTGGCAGTTCGTATCAGCTCAAGGCCACCCCAGAGAGGTGTGCGGCATCACCCCACTGAACTTGATCCTCCGCATGTGGACGGGTGGTACTATTGGATTCGGCTGAAGGACCGATGCCCTTTTGGGGTGATCTTGGGGGCTGTGCTTGGCGACCAAGCGCGGGTCAGCTCTATTTCTGGCCCCGGGAAGCATTGACGATTCACTGATCCCAAGCTCCTTCGCGTCGACAATGACATGGGAAGGGCGGATCTCTCTCTCGTAGATCAGCCGAGACCGAGAGAGCTAACGCTTCATTTCGTTCACATCCGGCCTGCTGCGCGAACCTCTTTGTCCAAAAGTCTTTTGTATTTTTGTATTTTTGCTTTCTTTTCTTCTTTTTTTCTTCTTTTCGCGTCGATGCCGTGATTACGCGTCCCTGTAGCATCACCTACGCTCAGCGCCAGCTCGTGCTCCCCTGCGCATGATGCTGGGGGCATCATGATGCATCAATGTTCCATACCCGCAGCCACATGCCCCCGTTTCAAGGCTTTGAAAACAAAAAGACATGTTAGGCTCGTCCCGCATCCTCGCATGCGGATTGATAGGGATGATAAGGGTCACAGCCACAATAAGCAACCAGAGACCACATAACCTCAAGATAGAATCCAAGGAGCTTGTTGTCACCCCCGGCCCTTTGTGGATGGAACTCGATGCTCTTGGCCAGGCTAGGTTTTCTTGTTTCTTTTGCTTCGTGATTTCTACGTTCCATTCCCAAGACCCTAGTACCTCAATATCATCATCAAGAGTATTGGAAGATAGAGGTGGTAGCTAGCTGCTTGCTGGCTGGGTGGATGCGTCCTCAGCCACTCAACTTCATGCAAACAGTCACGCAAAACCAACACCCTCTTATCTGCAAAGGTCAAAAGAGGAGGTATCGCTCATTCGCTTAACGCGGCGACCGAGACGATTGACACTATTCACCGCGGTAGTCGGTATCGAGCAGCAGTGGAAAAGGCGAGCGGAACACGGCAGGCATGACCGCTGTCGAAGCGACCTTCCACAAGGCTGTATCTCAAGTCATGACCGTGCATTTTTAAGACAGCTTCAGCTTCGTCCAGGGAATCTCGCCCGGCATGTCACAGTGGAAAGGAGAATGCAGCCACAAACGAACTTGGGCAATCCTACCAATGGCTTGTGTTTAGTTTCATTGTACGTTGCACCAGGTCCACAGCTCGCTTTGGATGCATGTCGTTGGCACAGTTCACTGGTCCGCGCATCTCTAATAAAGCCGCGCTTGCTTCGTGGGTTCGATTTCGCTAGACGCTTGGTGAACCTGTCAGGTTCAGGATATTATTTACGGCCAGAGAGGTTGGGCTAGATTTTCGCCTAGCCGTGCATAGTGTGTCGTAAATATCAATTGAACCTTCGGGCCGCTGTTGGCATCGCCCGTCAACCAATCTGAAATTGGGCAACGTGTTTCGTGTCCCACCTTCCCCCGTTCGCAAGCTCAAAGTTGGCCAAACAGTTGGTCAAGGAAGGGTCGGACCGCCTAAATATCCATCCACAATGTTGATGCCCTGATCATTCTCCAAGGCTCAAGATTTTCAAATCTCCACCTCACCGCCACCGCCTCAAGGAATCCCCGTAATTGTAAACAAGCTATTTTTTTCACAAGTCCCTAACTAGGTTCCGCCCTGGGATGGAGATGACGGAAGCCCGCGCCCCAGCAAAGAGGCCGGCCACTAAGCCGAAGCTGAGACACCGGCCCACAACTCCGCTGCATGTCTACGTCGCCGGCGGCGCCGACGGCCGGGACACCGGCTTAGACAACGACTTTGGCGACGGCGGTGTATCCGTACCCGTGCGCCACCCCTTTTCGAGCTCCAAGAGGATGCCGTTGTCCAAGTCGCCGTCGGCCAGAGGCACACGGCCGCCCTCACCAGGGACGGCGCCGTGCTGACGTGGGGCTCCAATGACTTTTACGCCCTCGGCAGGAGACGCCCTCGGAAGATCACGAACGCCAACCTGCCGTCGTGCAGGCGCTACTGAACCTCAATCTTGACATTGTCCAGGTTGCGGTGACGGACCACGCCACCTTTGCGCTGACGTCGAATGGGCGGGTGTGGGGGTGGGGATTTTCATGGTAAGATGCTTGACTCCGCCCCCTCGAGGGCTAACTTTCTCGAGGTTTGCCCTTTGCTGCGCGGTCTCGAGGCTTGCCCCCAGAGGAACAGCAAGGGACTCGCCTTGACCTGTATGTGAACGTGGCTAAAAACAAGGGTCCATCAACAGGGTGACGACGGAGTGATTGGCTTTCTCAAGGACCTCATCGAGCACAAAGCCAAGGTCCACCCCGACGAGCTCATCGCCAGGGCCCCGACACCCGTGCCGGGGCTCAAGGACATCCAAGAAATTGCCACCGGGTGCAATCATGTCTTGGCACTAACGCGGACGGGAAACGTCTACGCCTGGGGCTCCGGTCACCACGGCGAGCTAGGCCGCCGCCTCGTCTACCGGCACCGCTTCGAGTCGCTGACCCCCGCACCATATCCCTCCCCAAGAACGCCATAGTCCGCATCTTCGCGGGCTTTTACCACAGCTTCGCCGTGGATCAGAAGGGTCGCGTGTGGGCCTGGGGGCTGAACAACTTTTGTCAAGCCGGCATCCCGACGAGCGTAGAGGAAGGCTCGGTCGAAAATCTTCACATCAGCCACCCCGTCGAGGTAAAGACGCTTGAGGGCATCGATGTTCGGCTCATGGCCGGAGGCCTGCACCACAGCATAGCCTGTACCGGAGATGGTCGTGTCCTCGTCTGGGGTCGGTGCGATGATAGCCAAATGGGTGCCTCCTTGGCAAAAGTAAAGGACGAGTTCTTGGTGAAAGATGAGAGGGGGCGCCTCGGATCCTAATGATGCCGTTGGAGATTCCCGGTGAGTGACGGCCCCTCATCATGTCATTGAATCTAACCTGAGGCTGCTAACGCTGAAGAATCTACTAGACCTCAAGGCTGTTTTCATTGCCGCCGGTACAGATAACTGTTTTGTAGCCGATCCTGAAGGTAATATGTACAGCTGGGGTTTCTCCGAGGACTTTCGGACCGGATTGGGCACCGAAGAGTCCATCAAGGCGCCGACACGGATTTCGGATGGAGAGATGCCAGCCCATACGCCCAAGTTTGCTGCTTCCCGAGGATCATTTACCGTGTTTACGAGTGGCACGATCTTGCAAGCGGACCTAGGGTCTTCTCGAAGCTCAGTTACATAGTCGCACGCTATTACCGTTGGGAGCCTCATGTTATCTTGTCTTCTTTTTTCTTCCTCTTTCTATTTTTCTTTCCTTTGTTCCTGGTGTTTACTACCCACGCCACAGGACCCCTCAGGGCTCCAATATTTGCTAGATACCCTATCCCCTCCCACGAGGAGTGGCTAACGCGAGATGGATTTCATGTACTTTGATGGACTACCGCCCAATTCATCTCAAAACAACCTCGTAACCCTAATCAGCTGCAATGCCTGTAGTGCTCTTAGTCTACTCTACAAGTTGCTACGAGAGAGTGTCTATATTCTTTGAACACCGTACATAAGGGCCTCTTTGGTTCTGACATTGAAGTGATGTCAAAAGAGCCCGAATATGGAGGTTTACCGTTAGTCTTCTAGCCGCTGGTCTCGTCGCCAGAGGCCAAAGCAGGAGAATAGGGAACAGAGCGAGCTATCCCTCAGCCGGGTCCTATGGATAAACTCGGGCTGACGGAGGTTGGGAGTGGGCGATGAGTCCTGGCTGTAGTTACTCGAGCTGGGAGGTAAGCTCCATAACGTATCCGTCGCCTCGCTAGCAGAGGCAGCAGTCACCTGAGGCTTCTCAGGCGGCAAAATACGGGCAGGCTTCTCCGTAGCAGCAATCACGCTATAAGTCTCACCGCCACCAGCCCAGCAGAAGGCGTCCTCGCCTCTGGCGTCCTGGCTATCACTAGGCCCGAGTTCTCCGTCCTCTAGGATAACGTCTTGGGGCGTGTCACGATCCTCGACAGAACGACTGCCAAGCTGATAGGAAGCGCCCACGCCACTACTCATGCAGACTTTCTCATATCCGAGAAAATGGTATGGTCGGCACCGCAACCCACAGCAGTCGCGTGGTAACGGGGAGCGTCGTTGGCCTGGGGAATCTGGATCGGTCTAGATATATTCTGGAAGGGTGGGCTGGTCAAACCCGGCATGAAGATGTCGGCAAAGACGAGCCAGTTGCCTGCGAGGGGACACCGAGTCTCCCGTTCTTTCGGAAGCCCATGGCGAAGTGGGCGCCTTGGACGGAGACTAGGGCAGAGTGGTGGCGGCCTCCGCTGACCTGGGTCAAGGCGGGGTGATATTTCTGATATCTTGGAAGATGACTGGCTGAGGCCGGTGCACGAACCCGTCCTCGGTCTCGGAGTGCCCTGCCTGTCCGCGTTGGCTATCACCCCACTAAGGCGGTGCACGATTTTTACGAGTTAGTCGCCCGTGCTCTTGGTCTTTGGTCAAAAAGCAGAGATGAGGATGGGGTTGGGGGACTTACCGCCCAGAGGTGACCATCCTTGTCGAGGACTAGGGTGTGACCGTAGCCAGCTGCTACTGACCGAGCGAGGCAAGCACTTCGAACAATGGCTGGGATAAATGTATCGACGAGATCGGTGACACAGGCCAAAGGTCTGCCCAGACGGTGGTTGGTACCCCAACCCCACGTCCAGATCTGGCATTGATTGTCGATGGCAACGGCATGCTTCTCGCCGCAAGCGATATCGATGATGCCCTCGAATTCACGGAGAAGTATGGGCTTATCCTGTAAGATCCGGCAGAGGTCCTTGTAGACATAAAACATTTTCTCAGCCTCGTTCTGTTGCAACATTCAATCCTGTTAGCAGGTCTGTACGTAGGACTCCCCGAGCTCACGGCAGGGCCGATTTAGAAGAGCACAAAGGGTCAAACAAGGTTTGAACATACAATAAAGGTTCCCCAGGCATAGATCTGGCCGGTCTGGGTGAGAGCAAGACTGTAGCTACCGCCAGCAGCGACCTTTGAGAACTTAACGCGAGGGTGGATCAACGCGTCGTCAACTTTGGCCGGGAGCCAGCACTTTGCTTCCACGCCGTCGTCCTCGGATGGCCCAGGGTTGCTGGATGCACCACTCGAGGAAGTAATACGCCCGAGTTCAAAATTCTCGTTGTTTCCCCAGGAGAAAACCGTGCCCGAGTTGGTGAGGGCCAGCGCATGCTTTGGGCCGCATGCGACTTGGACAATGGAAACTGGACTATTCTCTTCGTCACAGAACCGCATGAGACGGGGACCTTTGCGTCCGGCAAGGATATCCATGTCCGAGTTCGCCGTGATTTCCGGTGCCGAAAGAGTACACCCGCAGAGGATCCTGAGGTATATAGTTCCGAACCTTGGAGATCCCGGGAGGGACAATGTCTGGACCAGGACGGTCGCTATGGCCATCTGGGTCATTTTCACCTTCTTCCGGATCACTTGAATCGAGATCATCGTTGGGTGCCAGATTGAGACCCCTTCGCTTCTTGAGGGTTACCCGCTTCTTGGGCGAAGGCGAAGGTTCCTCTTGCGCTTTGGATTGTGGGTTGTATTGCCGGCGCCGTCAGAATCACAGGGGTGGGCTCGGTAGACTCATTCCCACCAGCAACGTTTGTTCCGAGGTCCGTAAAAGAGTTCTCTGCAAGCCATCTGTTAGGTCCATCGTCGAAGAAAGCATCAAAGCTAACGCTTCTTCAATCTTCAAAGAACGATCAGGGAGGGGACTGTTTACCAATGTTCGTTTCGACAGGGTTCTCTCCTGGAAATTCCTGCCCTTTTTCCGAGGGTTTCTGGCTAGTTATTGAGACCTTGGCCCTCTCATGAATGTGCTGGATTCCAATCTTCATGGCATGGTATGCAATAGTGTGGCGTTCGGTTAACAACTGTGGATCTGTGACGTCTGTAAGAGGGTTCCCCTAGGTATAAACATCGAAATACCAGGAGCCATCGCGGAGAGCTAGCCTCCGTCTTCTTGTGTTGAGATTAGCGATGGAGAAGATTTCAGGGATTCGTAACGACTGCGGTCTGATGAGCAGGAGCCGCTCGCTATTCTCTTGCAACAGAACAAGAGTTTGAGCAAATCCAGTGGCTTTTCCGGGCCCTTCCGAGAGAGTAATCCTCGAAAAACCTGAGAAGGAATGGATGGTTTTGATCAAACTTAACCTAGAGATAGATGATATGGATGGATGTTTTATAGAAAAATGTCAAGAGAGAGAAATTGAGGTTGGCTGGGGTTTGATCTGGGCTTGGATTTCAGAAGAAGGAGAGACCTAGAGGAAGAGTTTACCCTATTCTATTTCCAGTGGGACCTGATAAAAACTGCGCATGTAGTCCAAGGAAGCAGATGGGACGCAGTTCACGATAGTTCAAAGCAGGGTGGCTGTGGGTGGGTGATTCAGGGGTTGTTCGAGTGATATAAGTGGCACTGGTCCTTTCAACATTGCATAGAAGTGAAATTCTCATACTCTCCCAAGTCCATCTCTTGTCCTCTTGTCTCTTTATTCGAACTCCAGAAGCAACCAGACTCGAGGGTATGGCTTTTCATGAAGTTGGTACTGCAACATCTATCCCGACATCTCCAAGATGTTGCCTCACTCGAAAACACTGCATTGATCGAACGCCCGGGGCTGGAGAACCACTACGCCCATGGCCGACCCTAGCCCTTTTGATTTTGAAAAGCTTGGCTTTGAGGGTATTGCATCGCTAGCGCAATCTGGCGGCTAACAGTGTTTTACGCCCGGATTCCCTTTGCGACTTTCTCTGATGAGTTACGTCGCAATAGCCTTGAGAGCTAGCTCAGCGATAAACCAAACTTCACAGCAAGCTCAAGGCAGGGAACGCATCAGTCGATATGCATCTTTATACGGCTTCAATACGTGCAGAGGCTAATAGGAGACAAAATGGTATAGTTCGCGTTTAGTTCGACTGCCCAAGTTTTCGTCTAAGCTGAGATGCACGATCGAGGCGTTTGTCGCATCCGAGTCGGTTGCGGACAAAGCTGTGTGAGCCGCGATGGCTATAGATGGTGGTCGTGATCAAGTCCGCCCAGACCGTCCCGCGACTTTATGCGCCCCGCTGGGGCGCGGATCCTTATCCGGGGGCGGCGTCCGTTGTGGTGTTTTCATTTATCCTAGGCGAGCAGTCCACTTTACGAAAGGGTTCTCCTAGGTTCAATTTGAGCGAATAGCCGCCCCGTCTGGTTCGGGATTAATTAGCCCGGGAGAGGGCCAGGTGCGCATAAAACCTCGTGCCTCTTATTAGAAGCATCACCAGTTAAAATGTTGATGGGTCGAATAGAGAACCGTGTTATGCATCCCCAGGCGGTGGATCATGATCTTCATGCCGTCATCAGAGCGCTGAAATGAAGGCCTCGATCAACGGCGACGCAGTCAAAAGATGACAAGAATGATGGGTCTGGCCTGCCAACAATCCTGAGGAAGCATTTTCTAACCACTTGGTCATTTCGTTCAAGCGTCGCATGCCGCCGAAAGAGGTGAAAATCGGACTACCCACGTCTAAAGTTGCCTTGCCTCATGTGCATCACCGCTCGAGAGTCCCGAGATTCGATGGACACTGGATACGTTGGCTTGGCTTGGGACCGCCGCCGGGATGTCACCCCGACTCCGAATCTCTGTATTCTGTATTCCTGGTTCTGGAAGCCTGCTAGCGTTTGCCGTTTATTATAAGTCGTGCCGTTTAAAGTGTCTGCCAAGTCGAGCCTTCAAAGGGCTTTTATTAATGACGGCAAGTGTCACTGATGTAAATTAACCCGGTAGTTTCGAGCCCCAGAGAGCTCGCCTCCCTTTAAAAGATGCGACATCCCCCTCAGCTGCATCCCAGGAACTGGTTTTCCGGTGCAGCTTCCTATGAGTTGTTTTGGCCGTTAGTTTTCGATTCCTTGAGAACACCGCGGACGAAAGAAAGAAGAACCAAGGGAGACCAAGGAGAGCTCAAGTTTGCGCCCGGGTTCTATTCCCACGATCTTCCTCGACCCTCCTCCATATCTTGTCTGCCTCGCGCCACGGAACTCGTCAAATATGGCGCTGGCGCGCAGTATCAAGATTGGTGGGCTCTTGGCCGTGGCCATTGACGGTACAGCGGCGGCCCTCGTTTCGCGAGCGGCCTCCCTTCCGGCAGCAGTCCGCGTGCTTTCCGTACCGGACGAGAACACCCCCATCACCCTCGAGATCGGCTTGAAGATGCAGAATATCGAGAAACTAGAAGACATGCTCCGCGACGTATCCGACCCAAAGAGCTCCAATTACGGACAGTACCTGAGCACGACCGAGATCCACGAAACCTTTCGGCCTTCGGACGAGTCCGGCGCCGCCGTCAAGGCGTGGCTTCAGGAGAACGGCGTCACGGAAATTGTCGACCGCGGCTTCTACATTAACTTTGCTACAACGGTATCCAAAGCGAACGACTTGCTCAACTCGGCCTTCTCGTACTACGACGTCCAAGGCACCCGGAAACTCCGTACGCGGGAATACACGATTTCGGGCGAAATTGCTGACCACATTGAGCTTGTGACCCCTACAACATACTTTGGAACGACCAAGGCGCATCGCGCTGTTGACGCCACGGCGCCCGACCACAATGAGGTACTTGTGAATAGGCAAGCAGACGGCGACGGCAATGCGACCAAGCCCTCGCCGTGCTCTCGCCTATTGACACCGCCCTGTTTGCAAGATATGTATGGATTCGGGGATTACCAAGTTGACCCAGACTCTGGAAGCCGCATCGCTTTCGCCAGTTTCCTAAACCAATCAGCGGTGCCAAACGACCTCGACGTCTTTACAGATACATTCGATCTCCCTCGCACGAGCTGGGAGTCGGTCATCATCAACGGCGGGGATGATCACCAAGACTTCAAGAGAGACGTTGGGGAGGGGAATCTGGACGCGCAGATGTTGGCCCTCTCTGGAAAGACGCTTCCCATGTTTCACTACGTTACCGGAGGGAGCCCGTGAGTATACAAGTCGCCTTTAGAAAAAGTCGTGTGTAATGGGTGTTGGCGAGGCGCCATGCTGACGAGTGCCTTGGACGTAGGCCTATTATTCCTAACCTCAGGCTCGACGAGGATTCCAACACGAATGAACCGTACCTGGAATTTTACCAATACTTGATGGACTTGGAGAATGAAGAGGTAGCCCAGGTCATCTCCATATCGTATGGCGACGACGAGCAGGTACAGCCCTAACTCACCTTTCCCGGTAACGGGCGCTCAAGGTGTTGCTAGCTAACCATTGCCATAGACCGTGCCGAAGGACTATGCTGTTCGAACGTGCAATTTGATGGGCATGATGGGTCTTCGAGGCATAACCATCATTGAATCAACTGGCGATGCAGGTGAGCGAACACGGCGGCCCCCGATCTCTCCAGTCCAAGAGTAGGCCCGTTTTGTCGAGTAGATACTTATTCGTTCCATGGCACAGGCGTTGGCGCACCTTGTCGAGCCAACGACGGCTCCGACAAGATCGAGTTCACCCCCAGTTCCCGCCGAGCTGCCCATACATCACAACGGTTGGTGGGACGCAAGGGTACGATCCAGAGGTCGCGTGGGTAGGGAGCGCAGGAGGCTTTAGTAACTACTTTGAGCGGGCATGGTATCAAGAGGGGGCCATAGAGAGATTCTTGGACGAGGTTATGGACCAAGAGCTCAAGGCCGAGTATGAGCAGTATACGAACTACGGCGGACGCGGATTCCCGGATATTTCTGCTCATAGCTCGAGTCCGTCGTAAGTCAATCCACGAGAGCTAGACGACCATCGGGGTCAGCAACTAACCTAATCGTGTGGCTGCAGTTACCAAATCGTTGTTGGAGGCTCAGCTCGTTTCTCCGGGGGACATCGGCGGCGGCACCACTAATCGCGGGAATGGTGGGTTTGTTGAACGACGCGCGGCTTAGGGCGGGGCAGCCTGTGATGGGGTTCCTCAACCCATGGCTGTACAGTGAGGGGTTCAAGGCTCTTACAGATGTCGTTGGCGGGAACTCAAAGGGCTGCGATGGCTGGGATACTCAGAGCGGTGCTCAGGTTCCCGGTGCAGGCATTATTGGCGAGAGGGGTGCATACTGGAATGCAACAGAAGGTAAGCTGTCCCCGCGGCGTTCCACCTCTTCTACCAGGAACAAGGCTAATCTAAGATGTCCTGCTTTTCTTTTCTTTTCTTTCTAGGCTGGGACCCTGCAACCGGTTTGGGCATGCCAAAATTCGAGGAAATGCTGACATTGGTTCTTGGCGAAGGGTTGGACGAAGGGGATGCGTAATAATTAGAGTATGGTTTGCGGCGTATCCCTGATAATCGATTCATAGAAGTGTACGCGAGGGAACCAACCCTAGTGAGGGGCGGGTTCCTGGCGGGTAGAAGGAACGCTACAGGAAATCTAGAGACATCATTGACCAATATCGTTCGATCCATGGATGTCTTAGTCTTGTGATAATAACCGTCATGTTCTGTGGCTAAGGAAAGAGTAGTTCGGCGTTCTCAGCTCAGCAACGGAAGTTAGCCGCTAAGCAGCTGATGGATCCATGGATGACATCGGCCTTTTGATCATGACAAAAATGAAAATGCCGCTTAAGTCCGTTTCCTCATCTACTCCCCTCGGAACCGAATACAACGAGGAACGAACGATTTTGCAAGGCGACGCGTGCCGGGACCGTGAGGACCATCGGTATGGTTTTTAGGACACCAGGCTAGATGGACGAGGCAACCGTGAGCAAAACCTACTGCTGCACTTCATCTGCTACACCCGGACTTTTGCTCACCAACATGAGGGCTCCATTTCCAGGCCGATGGCTGGAGAGAACGAAGATGGAAGATCTCCTAATAGCTCCAACGTTCACCAACGTTGACCATTGCTAACAAGAGAGGGAAACTGCTCTTCATTTTGATTAATCAAGATTCGAGGCACGCCAATCAGCAGGCGGGTGGGCATCCGCGTGGGCATCCGCGTGGTTTGGATGCTTTAAACTGCTTCTAGTGTTCTTTTTCGAGCCTTCTGTGTAGTGGTATCGGACATCTTGCGGACGCCTTCGGGCCCCAATTGATCTATTTATTGCCCCATCTCGTCGGAATTAAAGAGCGGAGCAGAATAAGAGCGGAGCAGAGCATAGGAACACGGCATGCATCATGCTCCATCATGCTCGGCTCTGTCGGTGCAAGACGAAAATAAGCGGTGCGCTTTGCAAAGTAATAGGCGTTTTCGCAGCGGAGGACTAGGCAAGCCAAGCTAATAGGTAGGATTGCAGGATCCCGTCTGGTGGTTGAGGGCAAGGTACCCGTTGGTGGGGTAGCTTCCGACTGGGGAGTACCTAGTGCACTGTGCCGAGTATGGATCCGTCAGTCACTTTTGCGCTGCTTACTCCCGACATTTGATGCGTCGCATGACGCATCACAGTGTAGCCTTGCGTACTTTTGTGCAGAAACTGCCAGACACCCCGGGTATCTCGTTCCCTGAGGATATTAGGTTGCCAGAGCCGGATTACAAATTCAGTTGCTGCTTCTCAAAGTTGCAGGTCCCTAGAAACTTTTTTCCCCTTTCTTTTTGTCGGCGTGTTTTTCCCAGTCCCATCACCGTCTCTCTTCCTAGACCTGGGGTTTTTTAGAACGAAGGAGATCATTGCCTTGACGTGTGTACCGAGTAATTTCGCAGGCTCACCTGTTGTCAATTGCTGTCGCAGTATCAATAGCTAACGCGACACGCGTGCTTGGCGAACCCAGTACAATTCCGAGAGCCCCCACCATTTGCGAACCTGTCGTGGACTGCGTAACCCTCCAATTGACCGAGATTCCAATCTTTTTACCAACTCCCAGACGCACCAGTTATCTCCTCCGCCTCCGGGAGCTTCCTTTACACTCGGGACACCGAACGCCATCTCCCTCGCCGCAGTAGATAAACGAACTATGCTGCGCATGACCTCTTTGGCTTCCCCGTCGTAGGAATCACCCCCAACCCATACAATGCGAGTCCTCGACGACCCAACCCAGTTCCGATTCGAGTCGGGCTCGTTTACCGGCTTCCGCCCTCTCCGGCAGCTGGGAAGCAGCTACCTTGACTCCCTTGGCCGCTTCAAGCAACCTCTATGCGGCAATGAGGAGGGCTGGGGCCCCTGAGCCCTCATCGATACGACTTCACTCCCTGCTTCATCGACGTATGGGTCGCCAGTGTTGCCGCCTTTGGCATCATTGTCGGCGGAATTGCCATTGCCTGGTTGGTGAAGCATCGAACTTCTGTCGACGTTCCCAAGAACTGGCACTTTTGGTTGAAGCAAGTATGTCTTTTGTGAAGAGCTTCAGTCGAACTCTCGTATCCCTCCGCCACCCGCCCAAAACCATTGCGGGAATACCCAGTGCTAATCTCTCTCTTCACCGCTTTGCTGTAGTCCCTCTTGGCCGCGGTTATCGTATCCTTTGCGTTGCAGTTAGGTATTCAGATTGTTAGTTTCCCGGGTATCTGGTTCGGTGACTTTCGCGTCTGGTCCACTGTGGCAACGATCGCGTCACTAGCGGTCATCTACTGCATCCAATGGCTCGAGCATACGCGGCTACGAAACCCCAATGGCGTGGCCCTCTTCTACTGGTTGTTCCTCCTGATTGCCCTCGCTGTTAAGCTGCGATCCCTCATCTCCCAGCAGCTCTACGACACCGATATCTGGTACTTTGCCACGTACGCCACGAGCTGCGGCCTCTCCGTTGCTGCCTTTTTGGCTGAGTGGAATTGGCCCGAGTCGGAGAGTCGATACGAGGCTCTAGTTGACGAGGAGGAATGCCCTCTAGAGACCGCTACCGTCTTCTCTCGCCTCACTTTTTCATGGATGACGCCCTTGATGCGCTATGGCTACAAGCAGTACCTCACAGAAGATGATCTGTGGGCGCTCGCCCGAACCGATAATACCAAGACCACTGGCGATGCTTTCGACGACGCCTGGCGGTCCCAGCTCAAGTACCGAGAGAAGCCCTCTCTTTGGCGCACCATGGGTCGCGCGTATGGTGGCCCTTATGCCGTTGCTGCCATCTTCAAGATTGGCAATGATGTCGCCCAATACGTCCAGCCCCAGCTTTTGAGGCTTCTCATCACCTTTGTCAAATCCTACCAGGCCGGCAACACCCCTCAGCCCGTCATCCAGGGCGCTGCCATCGCTATGGCCATGTTCGCGACCGCCGTCTTCCAAACATCCATGGTGGTTAGTAGTAACCCTCGCCCTTTTCGGCCGTGTAATATACCGTACTCTTTTGCTAACTATTAGTAGCACCAATACTTCCAAACCACCTTCGTCACCGGCATGCGTATCAAGGGTGGTCTAGCCTCCGCCATCTACCGCAAGTCGATGCGGCTGTCCAACGAAGGCCGGTCCTCAAAAACCACTGGCGACATTGTCAACTACATGGCTGTTGATGCGCAGCGTTTGCAGGATCTCGCCCAGTTTCTCCATCAAATTTGGTCTTCGCCTTTCCAAATCATCCTTTGCATGGTTTCTCTCTACCAGCTTGTAGGCTGGTCCATGTTTGCTGGTATTGCCGTGATGATCATCATGGTTCCCCTGAATGGCTGGATCTCCACCGTCATGAGGACTTTGCAAAAGAAGCAGATGAAGAACAAGGATGCCAGAAGCAGGTTAATCACCGAAATCATCAACAACATGAAGAGCATCAAGCTCTACGCCTGGAGCGCAGCCTTTATGAACAAGCTCAACTATGTCCGAAATGAGCAGGAGTTGAAGAACCTGCGCAGAATTGGTGCCACCCAGGCTCTGGCCAACTTTGCCTGGAACACCGCCCCCTTCTTCGTATCGTGCTCTACCTTTACCGTTTTTGTTCTCACCCAAGACCGACCTCTAAGCACCGAAATCGTATTCCCCGCTCTGGGTATGTAATGCTTCGTCGTCTTGCCTTGTCTAGTAGTTGCTGTCCTTGCTAATCGTTGATGTTCGTGGTAGCTCTATTCAACCTCCTTACTTTCCCACTTGCTGTCCTTCCCATGGTCATCACCGCCATGGTCGAAGCTAGTGTCGCCGTCACGAGGCTGACAGACTTCCTTGCTGCCGAGGAGATTCAGCCCGACGCCGTCATCGTCAAGCCATCGCCTGACGCTATCGGCGATGAGACCGTCATCATCCGTGAAGGGTCTTTCTCCTGGAACCGTCATGAGTCCAAGGTGGCTCTCCACGACATTGATTTCACCGCGTACAAGGGACAGCTTTCTTGTGTTGTCGGCAGAGTCGGCGCTGGCAAGTCATCCCTCCTCCAGTCCATGCTGGGCGACTTGTGGAAAGTCAACGGTCGCGTCGAGGTCCACGGCACCGTTGCGTATGTCGCGCAACAGCCGTGGATTTTAAATGCCACTGTCAAGGAGAACATCATCTTCGGATATCGCTATGAATCCCACTTCTACGAGCTCACAGTCAAGGCTTGCGCGCTCTTGGATGACTTTGCTCAACTGCCTGATGGCGATGAGACTGTTGTTGGAGAGCGTGGTATATCCCTTAGTGGCGGCCAGAAAGCTCGCGTGGCTCTAGCCCGTGCCGTGTATGCCCGAGCCGATGTTTACCTTCTCGACGATGTTCTTTCTGCCGTGGACTCGCACGTCGGCCGCCACATCATCGAAAACGTGCTTGGTCCTCGCGGTCTCCTTCACTCGCGCACTCGAGTCCTAGCCACCAACGCCATTTCTGTTCTTCAAGAAGCTAGCCACATCACCTTGATTAAAGACGGTTCCATCGCGGAGAAGGGTACTTTCCAAGAGCTCATGATTCAAAAGGGCCTAGTTGCCGATCTAGTCAAGACCGCCAGGCAGGACCAGGCCAGGCCTTCTTCCGATACCGCGTCAAGCGCTTCCGGCAGCGAGTCTGCCACCGTGCATGAAGCGGACCTCAAGGATTCGGATAGGGATGCGCTGGACACAGCTGGCGAGCCTGTTCCGGAAGCGATACATGCCAAGGACACCGACGGCAAGAAGAGGGCCGTGAGCTTCGCCACCCTCCGCCGCCCGAGTGCAGCAAGTTTCAAGGGCCCGCGAGGCAAACTTACGGACGAAGAAGTTGCCAGTAGCAGAACCAAGCAGGTCAAAGAACATCTCGAGCAGGGCAAGGTTAAGTGGGATGGTAAGTAAAGACGGCCCCTCTAGGCAATCCCCTGTGTTTGTGCTCAAGCTAATCAACGACATAGTGTACATTGAGTACGCTAAGGCCAACGACCTGGTCGCCGTGGGCATATATCTATTTGCTCTGTTCGCCTCTCAGTGCACGAGCGTTGGTAAGTTTTATGGACCCAGCGCCCATCATACGCCACCCCGGTCATTCTAACCCCGTTTCTTAGGCGGTTCCATCTGGTTAAAGAAATGGTCCGACGCCAACTCACGCGCTGGCTCGAACCCCGATATTGGCAAATTCATTGGCATCTACTTTGCCTTTGGTGTCGGCGCCTCCGCTCTTAGTGTTGTACAGACCCTCATCCTCTGGATCTTTTGTTCGATCGAGGTATGCAAGAACTATTTGATAATGAACACGCCCATAGGAAACTGAGCATAGTGCTAACGCTGCTTTGTCTTGTCCATCATTAGGCCTCCCGAAAGCTGCACGAAAGAATGGCAAATGCCATTTTCCGATCCCCGATGTCGTTTTTTGACACGACGCCGACAGGCCGTATCCTCAACCGCTTCTCCAGGTGAGCATATTTCGAGATCCTCAATTCCCTCGGCTCCGCAGATCCTGTGCTATGCCAACGAAGGCCCCGTGGAGGGGTGCTACGTCGCCTAGGGCCGCACAAGTGCGACTCTGGACAAATCGAAAGGTGCTAACATGGTTGTACCAGTGACATTTACCGCGTCGATGAGGTCCTCGCCCGGACTTTTAACATGTTGTTCGTCAACCTGTCCAAGTCTGGCCTGACTCTTATCATCATCTCTGTCACCACGCCCCCTTTTCTGCACTCATCATTCCTCTCGGCCTCATGTACATCTGGATCCAGAAGTACTACCTTCGAACGTCGCGCGAACTGAAGCGACTTGACAGCGTGAGCAGAAGTCCCATCTATGCTCACTTCCAGGAGACGCTCGGTGGTGTATCCACCATCAGGGCTTATCGCCAGCAAGACAGGTTTGGGCTTGAGAATGAGTGGCGAATCGATGCCAACCTGCAGGCGTACTTCCCGTCTATCAGTGCGAATCGATGGCTTGCTATCCGCCTCGAATTCATTGGTGCAATCGTCATTCTCTCCGCCGCCGGATTTGCCGTCATGGCAGTAGCAAGCGGCGTCGACCTCTCCCCGGGCATGGTTGGTCTGGCTATGTCGTATGCGCTCCAGATAGTCACATCCCTAAACTGGATCGTTCGCCAAACCGTCGAGGTAGAAACCAACATTGTTTCGGTCGAGCGTGTGCTAGAGTACACTCGTCTCCCTAGCGAGGCACCTGAAATCATTGCTGGTCATCGACCTCCTGTGGCGTGGCCGGCGCAGGGTGCCCTCACGTTTAATGGCTTTAGTACCCGCTATCGGGAGGGCCTTGACTTGGTGCTCAAGAATATCAACCTTGACATCAAGTCCCACGAGAAGATTGGGGTGGTGGGACGGACAGGCGCGGGCAAGTCCTCGCTCACGCTGTCTCTCTTCCGGCTCATCGAGCCGGCCTCAGGAACATTGCCATCGACAATCTCAATACCTCCACCATTGGCCTCCTAGATCTTAGGCGGCGTCTCGCTATCATCCCGCAGGATGCGGCCCTCTTCGAGGGTACCGTCCGTGACAACCTAGACCCGGGACATGTTCATGATGACACAGAGCTATGGAGCGTACTTGGTAAGTCTACTACCCCTTCGCCCCCTCGCCCCCTCAAGTCTTTGTATACACTAGGAGACGTTGGGCAGAGCGCTGCATGGGGAATCATGAACCATGTGGACGGCCGCCAGCGGTTCACAAACGGTGCAAAGCATCCGCAAATCGGAGGGAGCCCCAAATTTCAACCTATATCTATCAATTTGAGCTAACCTGAGAACCGTTCAGAGCATGCCCGTCTAAAAGACCACATTTCATCCATGGATGGTGGCCTTGAAGCCAAGATTAACGAAGGAGGTAAGCACCATCACTCCATTTTTTTCTTTTACTTTGGCTCTCGCTCCCCACCCCCTTTTTCAACGGCTATCTCCTTGAGTTCTTCCTCCCCTACGGCCCTCGCAGGCTCGTGAAGGCGTTTCCCACTGCGCACTTTAAAGCATGTGATTTCCAGGTCGGACTTCGTGCTTTTGGTTTGTGTGGTACAACGCGCTGCTGTGTCAAGACACATTCAAGAAATTTTACTCGCTTGTTGTGACAACCCGGGTTATGATTGCTTCAAGCTCTTTTCTAGCGCGAACCCCCGTGTCGACAGGGCTTAGGGTGGACGGCATAGTTGCCATAATCCTCACCCTAGCGCAAATCTCTTGCTGTTCATGATGATATGGTCCTTTCCTGTGCGCAGCGAGAGAGACTTTCAGCCCCGTCCCATACAAGGCCCGCGTACATGGCGCATGACGTAGTCAAGAGATAGTGAGATCGAGTTTTATGGGATATCAGCTAACACGACCGCCGCCACGCAGGATCCAACCTCTCACAAGGCCAGCGACAGCTCGTGTCCCTTGCACGAGCGATGCTTACGCCGTCCAACATCTTGGTGTTGGACGAGGCCACGGCTGCGGTAGACGTCCAAACCGATGTTCTCCTACAAGCCACGCTGCGAAGCCCAATGTTCGCAAACCGGACCATCATCACCGTGGCGCACCGCATCAATACTATCATGGATAGCGATCGTGTGGTGGTTCTTGATAAGGGCGAGGTTGTCGAATTTGACACACCACAAGAGCTCATCAAGAGGCAAGGATTCTTTTACAAGCTTGTCAAGCAAGCCGGTATCGACACGGACTGAGTTGGGGCGAAAGGAGGGGGTTGAGGTGGTGTGGAGAGGGGAGTGGTTTGTATCCAACCTCTAGGCTTTTCGCCCTCCTCTGCCCCGGGCTGCCTGATTAGTAGCACGTGGTTGGACAGACGGAGCTAAACGGAGCAAAGTGAAGCAGGATGCGGAAGTGCGGAGCCATACAAAGTCCCTCAGAGCCCATACTCTATCAGGGATGTGTGTGCGCTCGATGATCCAGTTCACTTCGGGATCAAGCTAGGGGTGGAGGGGAGGAGGGCAGGCGGGTGCGCATCTCCGGAGGCGGACACCCCTGTCTCCTTTCGCCAGCAGCCCCAGTTTCTGGTTCTCGGTTCTCGCGCTCCAAACGGGCAAACCACAAGCAAGGAAAAAAGGAATGAGTTGAAAAAAGCAAGCTGAATGCTTCGGGGAGGGCGGGAGTGGCTGCTGGATAGGCTCGGGCCACAGCCCAAAACTTCAAAAGACTGATGGTGAAGCTGGTGGAGGGTAAAGACAAGTAGAAGGAGGATGGTTGCATTGCGTGTTAGTTTAGTATACATTTCGTTTTCCAGCCATTAGTTCAAAAGAAGAATATAAATCCTACTCGAGGAAGAAGAAAATAACAAGGGGTGAAGGGGAAAGAAAACCCCACCCCCAAAAGGAAATCTCGTAATAACTCTAAGAAGGGAACGTGGTGTCTCCAAAGGTGAGCAGCCGAGAGCAAGCGCGCAATTTTTTTTTCGTTTCCTGCGATCCTTCGCTCGCTTATCGTCGCATTGCAGTTCTTAACGTTTAATGAAACATGGAGCGTGGCTCTGTTGCCTGCCGGGCGAGGGATCCTAGTGTAGATTCCCCAATGATGCTTTTTGGCTAGTCGTGGGTCTAAGACTGGGCAATGCCGCAGCGACGATGCGCGGGGCGCTTGGCAACGGGAGCGGCAGCGGGAGCGGGAGCGTTTCTTCGAGGTCTAGATCTCCCTCCGACTGACTAGGCGTGTGAGGAGGTTGATTTTCCTTGGACGGGCTCATTTAGCCTCCGTAGCTGACGCCCATTTCCCACGAGAACATGACCATTCGGCCGCAGTCTTTTTGATGAAGCCGGCGAACCCACGGCTAAGAGGCGGGCCCACCGTAGCACGACAGTGACCCCAAGCGCTGGGATTCAGAGATCTTACGGCAGGGTAGCTAATACCAAGATTACTACGTGTCTCTTACAGGAGCGCGGGAAGACGGGGTGAACCGTTCGGTGCGCTTGCTCAATCCACCAACGCGAGAAGAGCTACTAGGGGTGCGACCTCGTGTTTTGCTCATCAGTGCTGGTGATCCGACTAGGTAGGGCTGGGCCGAGATTGTTTCCCCTCTATACTTCATGTGACCTTTGGACCCTTTATACCTCATAGTGAGTTCTCTCTCCAGGTAAGAGAGGCGCTTCTCATTCAAGAGTGGCTCCCCGACCAGCGACAAACTACAGAGTGACTGTGGTGCAAAGGAGGCGAGGAGCGTGGGAAGGGGTAGAAGAAGGGGCATCCTTGTCTTGTCTTCGTTCCCCCGTGGTGGAGAGGCAGTTGGCGAGACCCTGACAACAGGGATCTCAGCGAGAAGGAACTGGTGACAGCATGTTTTCTTCTCTTGTCGCCAAGCTTGCTGATCCTTCGGTTACGTGCCTACAAGTATAAGTTTTGACCGTTCGTTGGAAAATGGTGTCAACGTGGGGGAGAATGGGCGAGGAGAGTTATACCAGCGGTTTCTCTCGGTCCGTGGCGCATGGGTTGACACGAGTGTGTCCCGAGGAGGAAAAGCAAAAACACCAAGAGAGAAGAAAGAAAGCAGAACATGGTCTCAAAAATGGAAACTGGGGAATCCAAGTCGAGAGACCCCGAGAACCTGGGTAAAAAATTATGGCCGTCAGCCGTTCGTAAGCTTGAGGGTGTCTCTAATAGCCTGTCGGCAGGGGGTAGCGAAGCCCCCAAAAGCAACGTTGGGGCGAAGGATTCTAGAGGGAGGGAGGGGGTAAACTCGGTGGAGAAAGATATTAGAGAGATATCGAGAAAAAGTAAGGTCGGTGACGGAAGCGTGGTTTGCAAATACAGGCGATTGCTGAGCAGGGGAACCAAACATCATGAGGTGACAAAAGCCCTGGGCGTGAGCCTGAATATGTTTAGGAGCTAAAATCCGGTCTTGGCGGGGTTATCTTGAGCATTGTTAGCGAGCAACGTCGCTATTTCGGGTCATGGGGCCGCATGGGTCAATGTGAAGATGAATTGCAAAAGGAGAGAGAGACATGGCACCACTGTCCAGGGCAGGCCCTAATCCCTCATCGCCGAAGCGCGTTCGGTCAGCCATGCCCCCGCCGAAGGAGCACGTCAAGAAAGCACGAAGAAGTCCTCAAGAAGGTTCAACAAGGTGGTTGCAGCCTCAAAAGAAAGAGATGGGCAAAAGTTTACCTGCACCGAGGCCTTGCATGTCTTGATGCCCTCCTGCACCAAGGTCGGCAAGGTATGAAGAGCCTGGCTGGGCTTGCCTATGCCGGCTTGGACAACCAGAATCAGAAAAGTTTGATCCTACCACCTGAGGGGTTTACCATGTTTTTGCTCCGTATTTCTTTTTCTTCTCTTCGTCTTCTCATTTCCTTTTACTTTGCTAGCAATCTAGGGTATGTGTGCCCGGGAGCGAGGATGATGCGGGCTTTCCGCCATCCCGCACTCCCGCGATGCTGTCTTTTTGGTCAGCTGGAAATAGCAAATAAAAATCGTAGCCGGGTGGGGGATAGGATTTGACGATGACATGGCCCTGAACCGGCCCGAGTCGGGGAGCTGTTATGGGTGGAAGGGAGGAAGGCGGAAACACCGGAGGTGGAAGGGAGGTCTCCAAGGAAGAGGGGGTTCCCGAGAGGGACGTTGAGTGTTATTCGGGGTGAAGGAGGAAACACTGGAGCTGAAGAGTGAGACTAGCAGGCCAGTATAATTTGCTTTTTCCCTCTTCGAGATCGAGCGACCCATCAATGGGATCGCCCTAAGCAAGGGTTGGGAGGGGCTGCCAATAGCAAGCTGATACTATTGTGGAGGGATTGATAATAAATTTGTACTCCTTGTTTTGCTTTTTCTCTTCTCGGGACGCCTCGACGGACATGGATCGAGGCTCAAGAGCTTCAGTCGATGGCGGGCAAAAGTGATCGGTGGCAGAACCAAAGCTATCAGCGAGCCATCGTGATGTCGTCGTGCAGCGAGGCGGCAAGAGATGCCTCAGTGAGTATAAGCTTCGCCAGTGAAACCCCCTCCTCAGACGTCGTGACTGTATCTGTTGTCCGCAGCGCCGAGCATCCTCCGTCGTGGTGGTGGCGGCGGTGGTGGGGAGGGCAGGGCATGGACTGAGATCCAACTTCCCAAGACCCGGTCGCACCTGGCCCGTCATTGCGTCGCAGGCTAGTCCTTGCCCTCTCTGTGCCGAAGCATCAAGAAAGGAAGGACCACCACATCCTTCCCTGAGGGTAACACTCCGAGCCCGTGGCAGGCGCAGTTGAGCCCGTCAAATCATGAAAAGGAAGGAGGGGGATGACCCTGGCGGATTCCAGTTGAGTCTTCCACACCTCCAGCCCCGAACGTGTCTACCCTTGAATCCGGGTGTACCTCCGCGCAACGAGTCAACGGGGCCTTCTTCGGGCGGTGAATGCCCCTCGCAAGTCACACAGTCCAAGGGTTCGGCGGGTCCTTCCCCGTCACCGTGGTTGAGACAATGAGCCCTTGCCGCCTCTGTGGAGACTCTGCATTCTGTTGGCCCTCTTCTGCTTTGGGCATTTCTTGCGGATACTAGCGCTGGCGGGATAGGCGGGAGCTGGTTGCCGGCGCCTAGCGTATGGGCCTTCGCAGATCGGATGACCAGGGTGCTATTTAGGCTTATCTCCCATAAGATGCCCCTCGTTCACTGAGCAGGCTCTTCCACTGCCCTTGAGACAAGAACCATCAATGATGATACTTCGTACTAGACAAGTCCCGTCTTTGGCTGGCCCAAGACGGCGGGAATCATGGAGAGTGGTATTCCATTTCCCAGCGCCATCGCCACGAATCCCGGGTCCTTGTAAACTTGGGACGCCCTTACCCGATTACGGATGGGCACACACACTTGACCTGCAGCGGAAGCGACATCCCCTTGCCGGCTCTGGTAAACTGACTCGTACCTTTTCCCCACCTCAACTTCGAGACAACCAAGTCTTCAGTGAAGAAAGCAGGAGCCCTTGATTCGCCAGAACCACCTCTATTTACAAGGAGACAATAAGGGGTGTAGGGGTGTAGGGGACGGGGAGGCTCTTAAAGAGTCAAAGACCCCGAAGAGAGAGCGAAAGAGTATAATAGCCCCACGGTATTAGCACATGAACGAAGAGCAAGATAATTCTAATAGTAGCATAATAACGATACGAGCGAAGACAGAAGAGGGATACGGAGGTAAGGCAACGCTGTATGATTACAGAGGGGCAAGGCCCACCATGTGGGGAAGTCGAACTTCAGCTTCCTCGACAGGCAACATCGCTATTATCTATGTAGGAACCAAAACAGTTACGAAGCAATAATAGCTACGTTGCGTTTCCAATATGCCCAAGTTTCCCCTCGGCTATCCACCGATTCTAGGCAAGCCATTATTAACTAGCGGCCTACGGGGGACCTATCTCCCTCCATTGTAATACAAGCAAAATGCGTGCCTCCGCCTCATAGTTCGCACCGACTTACCCACCCTTGTCTATGTCTCCTCCAACTTGGTGTCTGCCTCAACTTTGACTGGTTCTTGCTTTCCTGCTAGCCGAGACTAGACTATGTCATCGCCCTATCCTGGTGCGACAAGTGAAGGATAGCTCTATCGCCAGGCAGATATCAAACCCTATGATTCATTTCGGACGGAAACACCACGTTTCCCCGGTCCCTTCGAGTTTCGGAAGATCTAGTCCGTACGCCAAGGGCATGCCGGCGTGCGAGAAGCCTAGGTTAGCTTTGACCCATTGATAACCCAATCGCCAGCCTACGGTAT